GATCCAGTTTTCGTCGATTGTCCCGCGGCGGATGCCTTGACCGGCTACTCCGGGGTGATGTGGGGTCTGGAAGCTGCTATTGATGATGCTACTGGTACCGTGTGCTAGTGATTGGGTACGTCTTCCTTATTGGTCCCGGTGATTCGTCCTTTTGTCCCGCTTGCTTGATCTCGGGTCTTTAAACTCTCTGAGTTTCTGCTGACAATTGCCCAGGTTCTCCTCTGGTTCCCAGGTGTTTTCTTCCTCTGAATACCCTTTCCATTTGATCAGGTATTCTGTTTTTCCTGCGACCCGTCGCATGTTCATGATCTTTTCAACTTCAAACTCATCTTCCTCTTGGGTTTCGTAGTAGAATGTTGTTTGTAACGGTGTGTCTTTGTCGGCTGGTTCTAAATACGAAATGTGGAATGTGTCGAATATTTTTGCATCGTCGGGGAGTTGGAGTTGGTAATTTACTGGTCCTTTGACTTTGGAAATTAAAAACGGTCCGACCTTAACGTGATCGAGTTTTTTGCTTGGTCGTCGCGTTCGTAAATTCTTTGTGAGCAAATATACCTTATCCCCCCTTTTAAGCTGAGGTGCCGTTTTTCTTTTCCTGTTGACATATGAAATGGTTTTGCGTTGTGCTTCTCGGATGTATTCCTTAAGGTTTTTGTGGAGTCCCTTTAACTTGTCTGCCTTGAGTATGGCTTTCTTGGCTTTAATTGTTTCGTAGCTTGATTCAAAGAGATTTGGGTGTTTCCCGTGGTTCGCGTAGAATGGTGTTACGCCTGTCGTTTCCGATATATTGTTGTTGTATGCCAGTTGTGCTATTGGTAGTAGTGATACCTAATTGTCTTGTTGTTTGTTGCAGTATATGCGGAGGTATTGTTCCATGGTCCGATTTGTTCTTTCCGTTTGTCCATCCGTTTGTGGGTGGAAGGCTGTGGATAATTTTCGCTTGGTGCCTAGCTTTCCCATGAACGAGGTCCAGAAATTGGATGTGAAGAGCTTGTCCCTGTCGCTGATGATTGTCTTCGGTATCCCATGGTAGCGGTAGAGTCTGTCTTTTATTACGTCTGCGAGTTGTTCCGCAGTGTAGTCCTTTCTAAATGGAATGAATTCTGCTGCTTTCGTGAGTCGGCATACAATGACTAGTATTGCGTCGTAGGCTGTTCCTGTGACTGGTTCTTTTGACGGTGGTAGTCCTGTGACGAAGTCCATTGATATGTCGTCCCAAGGTGCAGTAGGTAGTTGGATCGCTTGCATTTCTCCGTATTTTGCGTGCGTGCTGTGTTTGTTCTTTTGGCAGTCTGCGCATTGTTTTATTATTGTCGTGACTTTCTTCTTGAGTCCTGGTATGTTGTGGTGTCGTGAGATAACTTCCATGGTTCTTTGAATTCTGGGATGTCCATACAGTGGGTCGTTGTGGTATTCCTGAATTGTGTCTTTGTTGGTTTTCGGTATGTCCTCGCGTTGGATTATTAGGTTGTTGATCTCGTGCGATGGTCCCATCGTTCTATCCTTGTTTACTTGAAGTATCGAGTTGTTGTTTACTTGATTCTCTCCTGCGATATCCCTTCGTCGACTAAGTGCGTCCGCTCGGCCGCTTTCCTTTCCTGGCGTGTGGATGATCTTGAACTTGTACTGTCCGAGTTCCTCGGCCTATCTTACTTGTCGTCGGTTAAGCACCTTGGTGGTGGTGAAGTAAGTAAGGTTCTTGTGGTCGGTGTAGACCGTGATCTCTGAACAACTTTGCATATAAGGTCTCCAGTGCTGGAATGCGTCTACGATTGCCATGAGTTCCTTGTCATGTACGTCGTATCGTTCCTCGATGTCGGTGAATTTTCGCGAGTAGTAGGCTACGGGGTGCCAGTGTCCGTCTCGGAACTGTAGTAACACTGCGCCTATCGCTAAGTCCGAAGCGTCCGTCTCGAGCTTAATAGGTTCGTTGCTTTGGAAAGTTATCAAAGTCGGTGCCTCTGTACTTGCTTTCTTCAGCTTTTCGAAGGCTTCTTTCTGATCCGTGTCCTATTTGAACTTGGTGTCTTTTCGTGTTAGTCTGGTGAGTGGGATGGTTATCTTAGAGTAGTCTTTGATGAAGATCCGGTTGAAGTTGCTGAATCCTAGGAATCCTTGTACGTCCTTGACTGACTCGGGTGTCGGCCATTCTAGGATTTGTTTGATCTTTTCCTCGCTCATTCGTACTCCGTTTCTCCCTACTCTGCATCCTAAGAATTCGACTTCTTCCTGGTGCCATTTGCACTTCTCTGGTTTGAGTCGAAGATCGTAGAATCGTAGTTTGTCTAGTACTTGTTTTACGTGGACCTTGTGCTCCTGTAACGTTCTTGAGTAAACCAGGATGTCGTCCAGGTATGCGATAACGAATATGTCCAAGTATTCTCGGAGGGCATTGTTGATGAATTCTTGGAAGGTTGCTGGTGCGTTTGTGAGACCGAAGGGCATCACGCGGTATTCGTAATGTCCGTAGCGGGTCCTGAAGGCGGTCTTCCATTCTTCTCCCTTGGCTATTCGGATTAGGTTGTATGCTCCTCTCAAGTCTAGTGCAGTGAAGTACTGAGCATTGGATAGTCTATCCCGTAGTTCTTTGATGTTCGGTAGTGGGTAGCGATTCTTTATCGTGATGTCGTTGAGTTTTTGGTAGTCTATGCAGGGTCGTCCGTTCGGTTCGCCTTTCTTTTCTGCGAAAAGGAATGGTGCTCCTGCGGGTGACTTCGATGGTTTGATGAATCCTTTCTCGAGTTCTTCCTGAAGGTATTCCCTTTGTATCTTCAGTTCTTTCTCGGATAGTTGGTATATCGGCCCCCAGGGTGGTACCTTCCCTGGTAGCAGCTCTATCCGGTGGTCCCAAGGTTTATGTTTCGGTAGCGCTTCCTTTCCTTTGGGTTTCTTGAACAATTGCTCCCATGGTTTGTATTCCGCTGGGATGTCGACTGCAACGTCCTTTTCTTCTAGAGGTGTGCTGGTCCTCTCTTCCCTTACCTCGGTCCGTTGGGTAGGTGTGACCGTCGTTTTCTTCTGACGCCGTCGTTTCGAGTTTATATTGTTTAACTTCCTCTCATCCACCGCTCGCGTCGTGGAGCGCGTAGGCTGGGTCATGCGGGCACAATCGCATCCCGTCATTCTTAGTTCTTTTCTTCCCTAATCTATTTGAGGGTTGTGCTTCCTTAGCCATGGAAGTCCTAATACGATGTCCCATCGCATATCCATTACTCGGAATGTGATATCTTCCTCGTGTTCCTGAATTGTCATTCGTTGTGTCGTTGTTTCGTGCGTGATTCCGTTTCCTTTGGTCAGTGTCGTCCCATTTGCCGCTCCTACATGTATGGGTCTGTCGAGCTGTGTTCTTCCAATCCGGTGTTGTTTGGTGATCCGGGTGGACATAAAGTTGTCATCCGCTCCTGAATCTACTAAGGCTCTCAGAGTCCTTCCTCGGATTTCTGTTGGAAGTAGCAGCATCGTCGATCCCTGTGGTTGGTACATGTTGTTTAGGCTAGTGGGGGTTGAAAAGCGGTACGTTCTAAAAAAGGAAATAGATCGAAGCCGTTCTCCTTCTTTTCCGCTTCGTGGTCTTCGCAGTCAGGGTGAAGGCAGGTTTGCCAGTGTGCCTGTCCGCAATATCCATTGACCAAGATTCTTCCTCTCATCGTGGTTTGGTAGTCTCGTCCGGGGAAATGTGTCGCTAGCCATTTATCCCAGAGATGCTTCGCACAGTGGTCGTTCTAACATTCATCTGGTATCCATTTGCACGTTCTTTTTTCGGGTGGAAACCTTCCTTCGGTGATCTTGGCGCCGTAATGGGCCTTGCAGTAGGTCTCGGTGCAAAAGCTCCAGTGGATCAACGGGTGTTTGGGGTTTCTTGCATCGGCCCAATAATGGTTCACTCCGTAGTCCTTTCGTAGTGGTGCTCGTTTGTTGGATAACCGTTTCTTCGCGTTTGGGTACGTCTTTTGTTGATACTCGATACATTCTTGTCGTGTCGTTTCTTTTGGTAGTCGTAGGTGCCTTCCTAACGCGACTTGTTCGGCTTTTCTTCTGTTATTCTCTTGATCCTGACATTCCTCAGGGTGATGTGGTTCAATGTTTTCCTTATCCTCGTGGTTTGAACAGTATGAGCAGGGGTGATCGATGAAGCTCCAAAGGTCTACTCGTTTTCCGGGGTGCGGTGTCGGGGTTCTATCGTCAGCCCAACTTGGTTCCGCCCAGCTTGGAGGTGTCGTAAATTCGTTGGTTGCTTCTACGTCCTCGGGGTCTTCGTAGAGGCGGCCGTCCTCTGACGGGGATGAGGGCGTGTAATCCCGTTGCTCGGGTTGTGTTCCTAGGACAGTCCATTCTTCCAGTTCCTTGCGGTTTGGCGATGATGTCTGGAGTACGTTCAAGGTTCGAAAGACTTTGTTCTTGTTTCGGCAGTCTCGGGTTATGTGTCCTTTCTTGTTGCAGGTATAGCATACAATTTCCTTCTTGTTGCCGTGTTTCTTGAAGCCTGGTTTCTTTTTCTGAGTGCTCATTTGGTTCATGATCACTCCTTCCATGGGTTGTGGTCCATACGGATCCCTAGGTCCTCGCGGCGTTGCAGCACCAAAATGTCGCCTCCCGTTTGCCTGTCGATTGTAACCTGGGTTGTGTCGTTCATCCTTGGTTTCCAGGTATAGTTCGTAAAGGTCGTTGTCAACGCGTATTGCCTCGTTTTGCAAGTCCGACAAGGTTACCAGGGCGGCTCCGGATCGCATAAGCTCTTCCTTGACTCGTCTCTTAAGACCTTGTCGGTACAGCGTCATCAGTGCTTCGTCGTTCCATTTGGTTTGAACGGAATATCGTTGGAACTTGGCGGTGTAGTCGGCGGCCGACTTGGTCTGCTTGAGAACTTGGAGTTGTCGTTCGGCGTGTTTTTCTTCGTTGGCTAGACCGAAGTTGGTCTCGACGTGTTTCTTGAAGCCATCCCAGCTGCCCATGACCGGACAGATGACCTCGACTTCTCCTTTCTTCAACTCTCTCAAGTCCTCCTCCACGTAGGGTTTAACCCATTCGAATGCGTCGCCCCTCATGTAGCAGGCTGCGTACGCGGGTTTGTCGCTATCATCCATATCTTCCTCGTGATACTTGAAGTGTAACTCCATGCGTAGGAGCCATACTCTAGTTTCCTTCCGGTCCCCATAGAAGAGGTCGGGCTTATCGAGTCGCTTCATGTTGCTGCTGTCAGACATCTTGAGGGTGTTCAAAATGTTAAGATCGAGGATCTACTGGTTGGTTCTCGGGGATAATCTGAAGAGTAACGTGAAGCGGTTGCGAGGCAAGAAGGATAATAGCGGTAGAACAGTAGAGTGTATTGTCCGATACTAACTTAGGTTGAACACAGAAGACCATAAGGGTATTCTGAGTTCTTTATATACTTGAGGTGATCATAGTTCCATGATCACCGGGAATTATGATCATGATCGTTTTGCTCACAGTGATCATAGCGATCATTGATCATAGTGATCATAGTGATCATGGTCACGTGAATGGTGGTGTCCCGTGGTGTGCGGCGGAGCGGCCCCCTTCTTATAGCGGGTCTTCCTAGGTTGGATCGTAACACTATCTAGTTATATAACCTCTACCCTCTATAATAGTTTATAGCCTAGATAGAGAATATACTATCTTTCTATACCTATACTACCTAACTAGCTACTTAGCTAATAACCCTAGAAGATAACTATCCTGCATCCCTATTAGATAACTTGCTGATATCTTTACACCTAGCCCGATCCAGAATCATTGCTCTAGTGCCCTGGCAAAATGTTACGATACCGGAACCTATAAGAGCCAGAAGGTGGGATGGAAGTCGGAGATCGGACTCAAGGAGCCTGATGACACCCAGAGAAAAGTCACGTGATGGAACATCACATGACGTGCTCAGCCTGATCAGTTGCCAAGGGGAACTGAGCAGACCAAGCAGTGCTCAGTTCGATCAGTTGCCAAGGGGAACTGAGCAAACCGAGCAAGGACTAGGAAGGACGGATATATAAGATTGCCAGATTTCATATGTAGGAGTTCTTTGTATCTGATCTTTTGGAATTACCCTACCAGTACAACAAGTAGCTTATCCCCTTGGATAAGTCAGAGTTATTATCGTGTCATGATACTCGCTTTACCCTATACAAACCTCTGCGACATCCCTTCACTTACCTTGTGTAGTAAGTCGAACCTGTCGTTACACAAAACCATCGTTATCATCATCATCATCATCATCATCATCATCATCATCATCATCATCATCATCATTATCGCGACATCCATCGTCATCAACAGCCCAGCATCCAACCATCAGACTGCGCACTTGATCTATCCAGCCATCCACTCTCTGCTACCGGTGAAACTCTCCCTCCTACCGTACTATCTGTTCTTCCTCGGTCAGACCAACCCCCAACATTGCAGGGAGATGAGGATGACTTCATACCCGTCATCGGCCCCTTTCGACTCGTTTTGTTTGATGATCGATCCAATGTATCATCAGGCTGCGTGATGCGAGGGAGCCCTCATCTACATGAGCTGTAGTTGATTGAATGGCCCATTTCGGCCCGCAGTTTACCAGCACCAGGCTCTTTGGCCCCCGTCTGCGTGGGTGGGTGTGCCACTCAATGTGTGTCATCAATACTGTACTATGTAGTGCCCTCGTACCCGGCTGTTATGACTGGTACTGCGTCCACGGCACTGGCGGCATCCTTGCAGCCCCCAAATCCTAATGCAGTCGCTCTGGGTGTAACATCACTTCGATCGGATAGACGTGAGAATCTGGCGAATGACGGGCAATGAGAAGTTGAGAGGCCAATATGCATTCCAATATCTAGGGGTCGACAATCTTTCTCACGAATCATGGACTATCTTCGTCTATTAATCGCCCTTGATTGATCTTTCCCAGATATACTGCGCTTCTCAGCCTTTTCAGCATTTTGGGTGTTTAAGATTGCTTTAGAATACCATCAGGTACGCTGCGTTTGTAGGGCAGCTTAGCACTTTTTTATAGGTGTTAGGTAGATTAAATGAACCTAATTACTTAACCGTTATACTTGCTTATTGCGATTAAGAAAAGTAAGTCCCATGTACGCTAGCACTCGGTAGATTGTTCCAATGATGAAAAGCATTCTGACATTCATATGAGTTTCATAGATAACAGGTAAGCAGAGATAAAGTAGCTAATACTGACCCGAAATCCAAATCGATTTGACCTAAAGTGTAACCTGTCCACTTGGCAGCGGCTTCAATATCATAGAGATATGAGAAAGGAGTCACATGGGCGTGAAAGTACGCTTCAGAAAACCAGGTCTGGTACCAAGTAAGTAGGTTGATACAGAATGCTGCGATAAGCTTACACCAGGACACATTCGCCATATCCATTCAAGATGCCACGATTTCACTGTAGAGAGAGATGGCCCGTATCCCCCAAAGATTCCTATGATGAGGCTCACAATCATAGCAAGCAATGGTCCATCCTTTCGTGACACGACCATCGACACGGCACACGCCAGGCCATATATGCCTTATGAGCAATGTCAGTATCTACTGAAGAAGAGTTAGAATTCGTCAGACAACTCACAGTAGAAGTACAGCAGATGAGAGAGGTAGAGCTGCCCGAAAGGCATTATTGGTGTCGCTAACAACGCGTAGAAAACCGTGAAATGGAGCGACGATAGCCCTATGCGAAAGAATGTGGACAAAATTTTGCCTATGAAATAAGCTGATCGACTGTGTCCAGAGGCAGTCTCCCGCCAGTATAGCGTCTCTTTTGTTTTCGTAAGCCAAAGGTCTGCTCGCAATGGGAAGCCCAAAACTTACTCTCTTCACCAAAGGTCTTGACTCCTGGTGCTGCCGCTGCCAGCCCTGCTCTCGCTTAGCTTAATTACTGTATGTGCGTAGTGTATCTCACCTATAGCTAGACTATTCAACAAACCTAACTCAGAGACTAATGTGTAATTTGTAGAGCTTGAAAGAAGTTCGAAAGGAGAGAGATAGACTCCTTGAAACAAAAGACCGTCCAATTGGTACACTGCAAGCCCGATCATAAGTCCTGATATTGCACCAACTACAATTTCTAGTATGAAACCCACTTTCTGTCTAGATTGTTGAGTCCAGGCCCGTAATAGACAGTAGAATATTTGTCGGATTTGTGGGGCGCCTCTTTGTGCAGCTGCAGCCGCAAGAGCGTCAGTCTGAAATTTTTGACGTGTGTTCTGGATTGTCGCATTTTGAGTTGATGCCCTCTCTCCGCCTTCATGCCCTTTCCAGATATCAGCCAAAGAATGAATGGAATGGGGTTCATGTTGAGGTAGCAATGGAGACGCGTATCGTTGGGTATCCCCAGAGACTATATCTATGATCGCGTCGGCCGGATTGCATTCGTCCGAGATGGAATACCCTAGATCTCTGAAATAAGACACTGAGTCTTTCGTGTTTCCGAGATAAATCTGCCGACCACCCGCTAATAATAACACTCGATCCAATGACAGGAAGATCTCTCGTCGAGGTTGATGAATTATACATATAACGTTCACTCCTAGATCAGAAAGTGACTTGAGAAGCTTGATAATGGAGAGAGCCGACGTTGCGTCCAGGCCAGATGTAGGTTCATCCAATATGAGCATCATAGGTGCGGCAGCGAGCTCAATACCGATGCTCACCCGCTTTCTTTGACCCCCTGAAAGGACAGGGTTTATCACGTCTCCAACAAGACTATTTTCGACATGTGAAAGGTCGAGGCAATGTATCAACGTATCTACATGCTCCTCAATTTCTCGTCTTGTCCATCCTTTTGGAAGGCGTATAAGGGCCGAGTGGAGTATATTTTCGCGAACGGTTAATTCCGGAAGTACGATATCATCTTGTGGAACGTATCCAATCAATTTCCTAAAACTTTATGACATATTGTTAGATACAAGTGTCTTCTTGGATGAGGGATAGGAAAGTGATCCAATACGTTGTCATACTCGTCGGGGTTCCATTTATAGATGTGATACCAGACGTTGCCCTGGCCTTGCCAGTAAGAACTTTGACGAAGGTTGCTATTTCACGTCAGCCAAATGTACAATTGTAGGAAGAAACATAGTCATACATTTACCAGCGCCTGAAGCTCCCATGACGGCAAGCAAAGAACCGGGACTGGCAGACCCTGTAACATCCTTCAGCACCTCATTCACCATTCCTTGTTTCCCTTTAAGTGTAAATCCTAATTTCTCAAACTCGATTTGTATTCTTGCGGCGTCTGTACCGATCCCTCGTTTTGAAGACTCTACAAACTTCTGCAAGCCGTCATAGGTCTCAAGTATTTCGGAATTGCGTTGGGACGATCTTTTTCGACTCAACGGAGTGCAGATAATGGCATCTTTGACATGCAGGGGAAGTTTCATGTGTCGTTTGACGCGAGTTGGAAGCCATGGAAATAGAATAAAAAGTAAGATCAGAACATCTATAAGAACGACAATTGTGAGCCCAGTGATTGGCATTTGCTTCGAACTTCCAGCCGGACATATGTGGATTCCACTGCATAGTCGAGGTCGTTCACTTCCTGTAGGACAAAAATGCCCTTTCGGGCATTGTAATTTTTGTCTCCCGCCCAATGGACAGTAGTAACCTGGAGCACAGATATGTGGCTCATACAATCCTTGAGGCTCTGGACATATGTTTTTTATCATGAGTAAGCGTCTGGCCTGGCATTGTTTTGTAGGTGGGCAATATTGGGGAGGGTGGTCTCCGTCGTTGTTGGGACCTGAAATGATTAGAATATTGTGAGTCAAAACAGACCTAATGAAACGTTCTCACAAAAAAAACCTGGACTACAATTGTCGGAGGTAGTGAGGTTGGTGGGAGTATCACCGGTCAGACAAGGCGAGTTGGCTGATGACATTATCCGTAAGATGGAAGGGTGGGCATGCCAGCAGACCCTGAAAAAAGGGAATGAGAGGACGGTTCTCTGATGATGAAATATACTTAGCTGCAAGGCTGGTAAACGGTTTGAGAGGGGGGTTAATAAGCGAGACGGGATACCAACTCGTAAGATTGCATCGCACAGCATCATTCAATAATGCGTGGGAAGAAATATAAGATGGTCAAACATTCCTGGCAGCTTACTAGCGATCCATCATCGTTCTCATTCTGCAAATCTATGTTCGTTTGCCTAGTCGGGGATCAATATCTATGTTCGTTTGCCTAGTCGGGGATCAATATCTATATTCGTTTGCCTAGTCGGGGATCAATATCTATGTTCGTTTGCCTAGTCGGCATCAATCAGCAATGGCCGCACCACCGGAGAAGACTGTACGCGATATCAACGGCAGTTGGCTTTTGGTTTGTAATATTGTATTGCCCATTCAACGTGCAGCTAATAAAAAGTATAGAACAAGGCATTATCGGGTAGTACAGAGAAATTAATGGCGCTCCAAGGTGTTTCTTGGCTCATGCGCAAGGCAATCTTACTTGCTGAAATCACCATCTGCATCGACCAACACGGCTCAGGACCGGACACCACAATAATTCTCGAGAACAAAGCCAATTTCGGTATCAAGGCAACTACTGAAACGAGGAAGCTCGACTGGGTCACTGCATACCACAAGGATTCTATTTGGGGAGAAGTGTATGGTCGCAGTAAATTCGTATCAGCAGCGGAAGTATCTCAAGACGCTACACTCATGGGACTATTTCAGCACTTCGAGATGGAGGTGCAAGACATAGTATACAGCGAGGCAGGTGCTACCAGTGGAACGTGGAATAGTCAGATGGTAAGACGCGAATAATTCAGATGTAAATGTCGCTGATCGTCAGGTTTGGGCATTTGAAACTATCTCTGAAACCCGGTATTTTGTTCGCAACACTCGCGTCAGTAAAGCTGCCGACGAAGAATTCGCTCGGATTGTATACGATTATCTGCAGTAAAGAGAGGTTCGTTGGATTTGTACAACCCAATAGATCCTTTAACCATCAGGATTAGGGAATTTTGTATGAACCTGGTTGTTTTGAAAGCATGCTCATGTGCATCACGGAACCTATTTGTTTATGAATTGGTTATGTAGAGATCCAAATCAATGGTCAGCAGTGACCGCTCAAGATCAGACCCTTCTTTAGTATTTGAAAAGTTGTCGTTAGGCAGAAGGTAGCTTGTTCTTACCTATTAACTATCAATACACTTAACTCCCAACTTGCATACACATATACAGATATGCATTATGAACACTCATTACTAACGTAGACCGCTTTAGGCGACAACGAGTGTCATACTTTTGTCACTAGAACAAATCTTTTCCAAGTTACCGCTAAGGCTTGTTATTTTTCCATTTTTGAAAGACGACGCAGTGTAACATAGTCTACCGTATTCGTTCACTAGCCTAAAACATGGCTTATCATGTAGGCGATTGCCTTCTGCTGTATTTATCTATGATAAGCCCCCCCTTGCAGCTTCGAGCATCCGCCTCACCTCAGTCAAATCCTAAAAGTGATAAGATCGTACTATGGTTTCGTTATCATTCTCCAAAATCACCATAGAGGAGATTAACTATCAAATCTTACACTACAATGAGAATCGAGGGCATGTTGTTATAGTTGTGACATCAATTTTCTTTACACTTGCACTTCTAAGTGTGGTCTTTCGCTTTGTCACAAAGAAATTGCGAGGGATCAAATGCCACACGGAGGATGTCCTCATCTTATTTGCTTTGGTATGTGGGTAAAATGTAATGTTAGACTCCAACTGACAAAATAGATATTGGCCATTGGACTTTGGGCAGAAGCACTTCTGTGTATGCTTTGTAGTAGATGATACATTTTTTGAGCTAACGAAGTCGTAGCTGTTAAATTCGGCGCAGGCAAGCACAGCATGCGTGTGGTTCAAGAGGGTGGAGTTGATTACATCTCGAAGAATCTTCAGGTAAGAAAGTCAAGTTAACGAAACAAGAAACGTTGGAAATCTTAGGTCTTTTTTTAACAACAACTAGATTCTACTGGCTCTCCAGATCACCTACAATGTGGCCCACCTTTCTGTGAAGGCCTCAATACTCTTTTTCTACAAAAGGATCTTTACATTCGTGGTTATAACTTTTAAACGAGCGTGGTTTGCCATTTTTGGCTACATAATTATCACCACGCTTGTTGGAGTTATTCTCGTCTTTACCCAATGCCGTCCACTTCGATACGCCTGGGATGAGCCGAAAGGTATAGAAGGGGAATGCATCAACTTGACCGCTCTTGAGATTTCCACTGGAGTTCTTATTGCCTCTGCGGATCTAATGCTCCTAGTTCTTCCAATGCCGGTACTTTGGTCGCTGCGTGTGTCCACTAAAGAGAAACTGTTACTCTGTGGTCTGTTCGCGCTTGGGCTTCTGCGAGTATCCATATATCATCCTCAAGATTCATCAGCTAATCTATCGCAGTGCTTTGCTCGCCAGTATAATTCGCATAACTGTCCTCGGACAGGTTGTCAGTAGCGTCGATTTTACTTGTAAGGATTTCCCTGCCTTTTTATCTATTCTTTTGATGCATGACAAGGTTCTGACACAAGTAAATGTAGATGTGATGGTGAACGCCCTGGTTTGGTACGTATTAGATTCGCTATTTTCCTAATGACCTGTACTAAACTTCGTATTCTTTTCTCTCAAAAATTAGGCCACTAACCACTCCAGCAATCTTGAGCAGGTCCCTGGTGGAAGTTAACATCGGTATCATATGTGCATGCATTCCGACCATCAAACCACTGTTCAATCGCAATGCCAAGATACAGTCAACAATAGCAGTGGATTCAGACAACTCCAGGACCAGGTCTAAAACGAGGTCGAAGAGAAGTGAAACAGACAACGACACATTAGCAATATCACTCGATGAATATCCGCTGACAAGGAACTCCAGTATACCGGAGCCATCCATATAGAATGTAACGGCCAATTCAGGCTTGAGACAAAGTGCACCGGTTTCCTTTTTGGATCTCTTTACGTACAACGGATATTGAAGTGGGCAGTAAATTTTTTCATATGTGAATGCATGATAAAGGTCGTAAAAGGCTCACTGTTTGCATTCATGGAATTGTATTTTAGGCATAAATTGAAGAGATTGCTAGGTGTTAACCTATAATGAACGTAGATGATACAGTGATTAGAGAAATAGATTTGGAGATCGTCTAGAGGGTGTTGTAGGATTCTTAGATTTCTACCTACAGATGTATTTTCTATGATCGCGATGCCTTATCGTCATGTGCCATCTTACTACAGATTCAAATACGCCTCTAGTCTTGGCCAAGTTCAAAGTAAGGGATGCCTAGTTCAAAAAGGCAAATCACATGCAAGGTTCGCAGACTCATTGATGGGGAAGACTGACTCAATTATGAGCCGAAGCCTTATCTACAGAATGGGGTTGGTCTTACAGTTGCCTCCCAGCAACCACCAACATTCTGGGGTTTCTCAAACCTAAGACCGGTCGTCTGATAGGACGGTTCGTTACGAATAAGGAATTAATATTGTAATACTGCGTATTCCATCAATATCAGTGCGGCGAAGCAGTAATCCGCGCATAATTAAATGCGGCCATCATCCGATGCGACCATCGCCGATTGTAAGCCTGGGAGATGTAGATTATGTCGATGCCTTAATCAACAACTTTGACCCCGAGTTCTGGTCAGTCTTTTAACATTTATTTTGTCTCAACAACCCAGCGAAAGGTTTAGAATTTACCCAGCCTGATTCATTACTGCCGGGCAAGTCAAAATTTTTTCAAGACGTATCTTACATCTGAGAAGGCCTTTGACATGAATACCGTGGGACTCATCTTCGGTGTCAGCGTAGCCTGTGCTTGGGCTTTCAGTCTTTTAGTGTTTCGAAGTGGCATTAAAAGTTCCGCTACCAGCTCATCCAAGGCGAAGAAAAAGAATTCCATTACACCAAGCTATCCTCCCGGACCTACTCCATGCCCGCTGATAGGAAATGTTGTATCTTTCATTCAGCTGATGACCAAGTCTGAGAAGACGCTCATTCGCCTTGCATCTGAATACGGACAGACGTGTATGCTCTGGCTTGCAAGGAATCCAGTCCTTATCATTAATTCGCCTATCGTCGCAAAAGACCTCTTAGACAAGGTAAGTGATTATTTTGAATTTACCACCTTGTAGGAACATCACTTAGGCAAAAGCAAAACAGAGAGGAACATTATATTCTTCACGTCCTACTTTCAACGACTTCCGTGCAAAAGCATGGCCGTATAGACTTGTCACTACACCGGCAGGTGACACCTTTCGATTACTTCGGAGGATATATCATAGCCTGCTAGGACCCCAACAATCTGCTGGTTTACGTATCTACCAAGATCACGAATCTATCGTCCTGATTAATGCCCTAATAGAGCGCCCCGAGGGATTCTTGAACGAAGTAGAGCGCTTTGGCATGAGTGTCATTTTCAGCGCATCTTGGGGTGTTCGTCTAGCAAAACTTGACCACCCTATCATGACAGAGTATTACGCAATATGGGAGGCCATGCTGAAATGTAAGAAATCAATTAGCCATGTATGAAGGAAGAAAAAACTAAAATGGCAGACTTCCAACCTGGTTCACTTGCGATCGACTTTTTCCCCTTCCTTGCACATTTACCTGAGTTCCTGCAGCCAGCGCGAAGATTGGCCTTATCTCTCCGGAGACGAGAGATGAGACTAAACCGGGCCTTTCTTCGTACAGTACATCAGCAAGTGAAGAAAGGCGCGGCTCCGAACTGTTTTGGATCACTGTTGATCAAGGTAAGTCTATGCAACCAAGCACTGGCGTAACAAGTACTGAGAGATTAGCTGCAAGAAGATGAGGGGCTAGACGATGAGAGTGCATGTGATATCATCGCTATGTTGATTGGTGCTGGTTCGGATACAACATCTTCATACTTGCAATCTTTTTTTAAAGTCATTGCGTTGCATCCACATACGATGCAGAAAGCTCAAGCAGGTATGCGACAGGTCCAACGAAATTGAAGCCAAAACCTGCAAACTTACATCTTCTAGAACTTGACCAAGTTGTGGGCTTATCTCGCATACCTACATGGAGCGATGAAATGTCTCTCCCTTATGTCCGGGCACTTATAAAGGAGGTACACCGGTGGTCGCCGATAGGAAGTCTAGGCATTCCACACGCCACAACAAAGGACGATAATTATGAAGGAAAAAGCATACCCAAAGGTACTATAGTCTTCCCAAATCTTACAGTACTTAGTCGAAGCCCGGAGCGCTACGAGAATCCTGATGCGTTTGATCCTGCTCGGTTCCTAGGGGACGATCTGGATGCGTCCTCCTCGGCACTAGACCCCGACTACAAGAAAAGAGATCATTTCCACTACGGGTTTGGGAGACGTCTGTGTCAAGGTATCTTCGTTGCGGAAGCTAGTTTGTTCATTGCGGTGTCGAGGGTGCTTTGGGCGTTTGAGATTAGTCCGGACCCAGCAGCGGCCCCGCTAGATATGGATGCGAAGATAGGTAAGTTAACAAGCCAAATCCAATCGTTGCTGTATGTATTAATATTTCATAGATGGACTAGTTACCAAACCTAAGCCTTACCGTGTGTCGATCAAGGTTCGCAGTGCAGTTCATGACCGCACAATCAGGGAAGCCTTTCGTCAGTCAAAGACAGATATCTTAAACTTTGATGACATTGTCTTGGATGGGTAGAGTGAAACTCCTGGCTAGTTTTTGGTATCAGCAATGAGTTCTCGTAGGTGTTTAGGTGACATTTTATTATAGGGCTGCAGGTGTCCAGTCGCCGAGTTCCTTTGGTCATAGCTGGAGGGTCAGGCCAAGGCCAGGGCGCTCCCGTTGCTGCAACAAGGGGAGGACGGCACGACGGGTAAGCAAGAGCTTGTAAATTGTACAAACCAATCGGATGGTCAAATTTGTTTGTTGTCTTTGCGCCCCTCATGTTGTGTTACCCGCATTAGATAGACTGCACATACAAGGCAATTAAGACCCGAGTACCTAATAAAGCCAGGCACCTTCTTATTTAAGGTACCCACGCCCCAATATCCACGCCGCATTCTTGCAACTTTCTCGCCAACTCTGATTGCGTTGAATTGACTATAATCTCACTACAGCCATTATTCTCCATTCGACATCCCCACAACTGCCTTGCTCTCTGCGATTGTGGCCATGGAGAAGGGCCACTGGCTACCCAAAACTGATCCCACCCGCTGGCGACTTCGAACAAACGAAGGAGTCCATCTGTGGGCTTACATCTCCGACAAAGAATTTGAAATCGAGGACCCCCAAACCTTTGCAGAAAGATACTTTCTGGGCCTTTCACGGGTAGTACATTCTCACTTCAATGTTCCACATCAATATGCATTCAACTAATAGAAAAAACAGGAAAGCCACTCTTTATCTAAGCCTAAGACCTATTCCGACGCTGCACACAACGGTTTGCAATTTTACAAGAACCTCCAACTCACCGATGGTCACTGGGGCGGCAGCTACGCGGGCCCCAGCTTCCTACTCCCTGGAGTTGTCTTCGCCTTGTACATAACGGGAGGTGAGATACTGCGAGAATGGGCGATCGAAATGACGCGATGGATCTGCCACTACCAGAATGAGGATGGAGGATGGGGCCTGCATAACCATGGCCCGTCGACAATCTTCGCGACAGTCTTGTACTATGTGACACTTCGCATTCTCGGCATGGACACGGGCCATGGCATTATCGTGAAGGCCAGGGAATGTCTCCATGAGCTTGGTAGGCTGGTTACGTACCATACTACTACGTCATTATTCTAACTCGATCAGGTGGTGCGCTGTTGGCGCCGCAATGGGGCAGATACTGGCTCGCGTGCCTGAATCTTTTCAAGTGGGAAGGCGTACAGCCCGTACCCTCTGAGATCTGGTATGTGTGCATGAACAGGAGATACAATCTGTCTGACAAAGCTACGCAGGGCGCTCCCAGAATGGATCCCGTTCCATCCATGGAGGTGGTGGGTGCAATGCCGCGCCGTCTACCTCCCCGTTTCTTACCTGTATTCTAATAAATGCCAAATGGAACCCAACAAACTCATCCATGAGCTCCGCGACGAAATATTCTGCCAAAAATACGAAACTATCAACTTCGCGGCATACATGCACGACGTCGGTCCTCAAGACAGGAAGAAACCGCTCAATAGGTTTCTATCTATAGTCAACCATGGAATGAGGGTTTGGGAATGGTATTTTCGGCCACAATGGATACATAACCAGGCGAATAGTGTGGTGCGCGATCTGATTAGACGCGAAGACGAGAACACATCATACAACGATATAGCTCCTGTGAACAAAGCGTTTCACACGGTGGTAGTGTTTTTAAGTGATGGGCCAAATAGCGAGGCTATCAAAAAGCACCATGAGAAATTTCTCCCGTATCTCTGGAAGGATGAAAATGGAATAAATTGTGGTGGTACAAACGGCGACCAGCTATGGGATACCGCATTATCGATCATCGCCGTTGCTGAAGCCGGGCTAGGACGACGGCCTGAGTTTCGCGCCATGTTGGAAAATGCACATAGGTTTCTCGAGATTTCGCAGTTTCGTGACGATTTGGAGGACCCGTTTAGGCAACAGAGGAAAGGCGGGTGGCCGTTCAGTACAAAGGATCAAAGCTATGTCGTGTCTGACTGCTCGGCCGAGGGCTTAAAGGCAACTTTGTTACTTCAGGAAGAGCTGTAAGTTGCATTTATCACGATCTGGTTTGAATGTTACGTACAATTACTGACATTACCAAGCGGCTTCGACAAGATCATTGATACAGACAGACTTTATGATTGCGTTAACACCCTTCTGACCATGCAAAATCCCGACGGCGGGTTTGGAAGTTATGAAAAAGCTCGCACCAGCGCGTACATCGAACTGCTTAATCCCGCCGAGGTATTTGATCGCTGCATGGTCGAATACTCGTATCCGGAATGCACAACAGCCGTAGTGGGCGGATTGTCCATGTTTCGAAATTTCTATCCAATCTATCGCCGGAAAGACATAGATAGAACCATCGAGTTGGCTATGAAATATTTGGAGGCTTCTCAGCTCCCAGATGGCTCCTGGTACGGATCTTGGGGCATCTGTTTCACATACGGTACAATGTTTGCACTTGAAGCATATTCCGCTATAGGTCAGACTTACGAGACGTCGAGAGCCGTCCAAAGGGGTTGTGACTTTCTTGTGAGCAAGCAGAAGGACGACGGTGGATGGGGTGAGCATTGGGACAGTTGCGAATACCAGACATACGTTGAGCATGAGGAGAGCCAGGTGGTGAATACAGCGTGGGCTGTGCTAGGGTTGATAGCTGCTCAATATCCAGATAGAATGGTTGTTGTGCGGGGACTTGAGGTATGTTTCTTAACCAAGTAAAAATATCCCTCGTGCTGACATTCTGGGTTTGTAGTTGATAAAAAGTCGTCAGTTACCGAACGGCGAATGGTTGCAGGAGGCCGTTGAAGGTATCTTCAACGGTACTTGGTAAGGAAACAGTGCATGCTCTACTGCAATGCAATAGCAAAGCTAACCACGTTTAGCACAATTGAATATCCAAACTATAAGTTTCACTTCTCGATTCGGGCTTTGGGTCGGTATGACCATTATTACATTCCTGCATTGAAGGAAGTATCACGCAATACTTGAAGCTTGTAATATTATTATTATTATTATTATTAAGTTACAAGGCGATTATCTATCTAGCTGACTCTGGGCTTACCGACCCTTCTCGGATAGACTGACTATCATGAATTGTCCTGCGATGTTTTGAGAAAGGAAAACTGTGGGCGCCTTTCAACGAGCGGAACAGCTCTACCAGGTGCCTAGATTAAAAACCTCTCGCTTCATTTTCTTTCAGTATTAGTGCTTATCATAGGTAACTACTCTTGTTATAGTTTCGAGAAGAAAGAATGAAATAGTGAGACCCTTCACTACAAATATTATTACTTACACTCCAAGATTGCAGTGTGGAAGACTCCTATTAGTCCCGGGGACATTTACTGAACAAGGCGACGTCAAGCACCAGGCGACGTACAGCTCAATATAAACCGTATTTCTGTTGTTGCCTAGCGAATCATAGATGTCGTAGATATATTACTCCACATGACATCACTCCATCCTACATACTTACATAACCAATCAAGAAAGACAACTCTCATGCATTCTGCCTGAACGATAATTCGTTCCTTACCACTTTGGTCTCTTCCTCTACGCTAGAAATTGCAGTGCAAATCCCAAAGTGGACGGCTTTGAGACTCTTCAGCTAGCCTCTGGGAATATCATGGGTCTAAGGCTAGATATCTTACGAGTAGGTTTTACCCGACACGGCCCATAATCTACTAATTACGTCAGCTGTAATTTTAACCTTAACCTAAGCTTGACTCCCCTGTGCATTAGATTCTCCAACAATTACTGGTTGTATATTTTTGGGTAGCAGAATAAATACATCTGTGAACGTCAAAGATATGCACACGCAACGCCAGCGATTGCGCATTGCTTGCGAACCCTGCCGGACCCGCAAAAGGAAATGCGATGGAAGTCGCCCATGTAACGTATGCGTCGGATACGGGTACGACTGTTCATATCGCTCGAAACCTCGTAGTCGACATCCACAAAGAAATACACGTCAGACTCAGGCGGTAGACACGCAAGAGACGAGCAATCAACAACAGCAACCATTGAGTCGTCAACCATGCACCCGATTGCTGGGACAGCATCAGCGCCAGTGCCAGCGACAAAGCCAAGAGGACCAGAGCCCAGGAGAACAGAGTCAAGAGCGACAGGGCCACGATCAGGACGACCAAGAGCAACAAAGACGGGGGCAACAAGAAGAGCCACAACACAAAGAGCCTCAAGGACCATCCGGATACCTGCGCTCTGCTGAGAGCAACTCTGGTGCAGCTTTCGCACGGCTGCTTACGATGACCCTAGAATCGTCTGATCGAAACGTCTCGCCAATGCAAATGTTGGCATGGAATCTGTTCCTTGGAGAGAGGCAAAAAGCGACTCCCATACATGAGGAGTCGCTCACAGCTATCTTGACGGAACCAAAGATGCAACAACTGGCTATGATCTACTTTGAAAAGGTCCATCCTTGTTATGGATTTATTGATAAAGACATATTGCAGCAAACCATTTGGAATACTTGGATAAACCAGAGACCATCTAACGTGCAGGATGCAGTTTTATGTGGCGTTGCCGCCCTTGCTTGCCTCTTCTCCGGTACCCAGGATGTAGCGGTTGAACTGAGTCTCGTCGCACTTGCTAAGCGCCGGCTAGACCCATCAATTGCAGATCCTCCGTCGCTGTATAGCGCTACTGCTTGGTTACTGCGTACGGTCTATCTACGAATCACCGCAAAACCGGAAGAGGCATGGTTAGCAAGCTGCAATACCTTGCACATCATGGATGCAGCAAAGTTAACGACTAATGTCAGCCCCGGCAGTGCTTTCTCTTTACCTCAAGACTCTCGAGATCCTCATCTCCCTAAGATGGCTTTGCTTGGTGTAGCGCAACATCTGAACACATGGATGTCGTATGACCTTGGTCGAAATCGTGTTGTATTATCAAACATCGACGATGTTCGGATACCTGCGCAGCCAGGAGTTTATACAGCAGAGTTACTGGATCTCTTGCCGTACTCGCAGGACCTGGACCCCGCGAACAGACTAAGCGAAGGCAGCCTTGTTGCAGCTCTAAGGAAAGTCTTGGGTCGAGTACATACACAGCCGCCATCTGTGCTAGCACAATGTAACTTGATGCTATGTATTCACCGCAGACTTTATGCATCAAAATCAGAGATACCAGGAGATCTTATGGAGAAGATTCTGGAACTAATTCATGCTAGCATTCAGGCTGTCCACGCGAGCATTACTACAGGACTTCCCTGGCATCACGTAGCCAATATTCCCTTCCAGGCGGTGTGCACGCTGCTGGTGATGGACACCTTACAGTCATTTGCAATACTGGGCGATTGTCTGGATTGCGTCGTTGCTGTCCACGAGGCATACCAGACAACAGCGACCCGAGAAGCAGCCACTGCGGCACGAACTCTGATCCAACTACATCGAAGGCGTCGAGAAGCTGATATGAGGAGGCATTCCGAGATGCTTGACCTTTACCCGTCGGCTGCATTTTTGTCGCAGGAGAGCCATGGCGATGTTCTGAATGGGGATACTCTGCAAGACCTTTGGTGGTTCAACGAGTTTGTGGCGCATTCAGATCTGATATTATAGAAGCTTGTCGTCGTGCTCATACTTGTACTTAACAACAAGTACCTGGATCAGACAGCAATAATTAGGGCGTGTTTCGCTAGGTCAAAGTACGCTCGCTACTACAAAATTTACATTATAGTATTATAAATACTTAATAAATTGTATATAAGTTTGCTATGCAGTTTCCGTAGATAACCACGCGAAGGCGCGATCGTAGAATCACCCACCGTCATCACGATCTTGCAACAGGAGGACACTGCACACCCAGTACATAAAGATGCGGCACAAATAATTTTTCCGTTGGAGACGAAACGGACTGCACGAGCTAATATATAAATGGATGGCCGTGCGTCCTATCTCGGCACTGTGAGGGTTGCGAGATAGATTCGCAAATGCAGAGGTTTTTGGACCGGGATGATATCAATTAGGAAGTCGTTATTGAACGTACATTGAACGGCTGAAAACCCATCTCAAAGCTAAGATACAAACCAGTCACACCTGTTCGACATCTGTCGAAACTTAGGTAGTCGAACCTGTTTCCCTACAACGTTGCTGCCCTTCTCCGCAACCTCCTCGTCCCCAACATCTTTCCCCCCTTCTACCCTTCCCCACCCCCATCCCTCTCAGCAACACATTTCCTCCCTTGCACCGACGTGTTATGATGCGTCCTCAACACATCCAACCTCGCAAACCTCTCACCACATCCCCACTCCCTCCCATCCGGCAAAATCCCTCCACACTTCACGGCGCTATCCGGATCGTGCGTTTTCTCATGCCGCCTCATGTCGCTGGGCCGCCGAAACGTCTTCTCACAGTAGGCACACGTAGAGATGGGGCCACCGTGCGTCGCGAGGTGAGACTCCCAGTTGAATTTCTTGCCAAAGTTCTTTCCGCAGTGCTCGCAGGTGTATGATACTTTTATTCGAGGGCGTTTTGTGGGTGGGGGCTTGGGTGGTCTCGGAGGGCGAGACGAGGAAATCGGGTTCGGGACTGAGGGGATAGTGTCAGATTGGAGGTCGGGCAGCAGCGCAGGCTCAATGTCGAGTGAAGGCTCGGGGTCTGGCTCCCAGGATTCTGGTTCAAGTTCTGGCTCGGACTCTGGTATGCGCTCTACGGACAGAGTTATACTATTTTCCCGCACGCTCTCCTCGATTTCCTCGTCTGTCGGGAATGTATTTTGGCGCTCCAGTCCATCTGGGTGAGTTCCTCGCAGATGTTTACCTAATTGAGCTTTTGTCGGGAATCCAATCTTAGAACCTCTGCAGTGCTCGTCGGTGCAGCGATGTGGCCGCTCATGTCGTTCAATGTGTTTCTCACGTTCTTCTGGAGTAGAGAACCCTTCCGTGAAGTACTTGCAGCTGAACCTCGAGCATTTGAATAGATTGATGCCGTATTTGGGTTCCAGATCCTCAGCAAGGCGTTCTTGAGAATAGTTCCTTGCGAAGGATTCGAGCTGGCGGCGAACCGCAGATATTATCCTCGGAAAATCCAGCGCGGATTGTTCTGGTTTGACGTCACTGAAGTGTTTCATTTCTTTGTCCGTTAGGAACACCGCGTTCTCGATATCCAGATAATTTTCGCACTCGGCGAATATCTGGAGCATATCGCGAGTGCGCTTGGGAACTGCAATGTTGTTAATGGGCGGTTCGTTCCAATGCTGGTCGACAAAGAGCTCCAGTGATTCAGCAAGCTCCCTATGAAGCTGGTCTTGCATAGCTGGGGGCGGCGTTAAGCCGGCTTCCAGGTGTGGAATCCAATAACTGACTGCATACTCCATGAAGCCATACTCTCCATCCAACACAGCTTGCTCCGAGATTGGTAGCCTGAAAGATGGCAGGTTCAGGTAGTCCACGCAGAGCGTTGCCATATGGAGCTCCTGGGCTAGCACATCTAGATAACCACTTTTTGCGAGATAGCTGGTGATGGTCAGCATATCATGACTTTCCGTCTCAACTGTATTCGGCGCTTACGTTCTCACGGTCATGTGAACCAGCTCCACGGTCTTGTTGGCACGTACGTCCACCAGCGATTCGCAAAGGTCTTTAAGATGAACTCGGAAATGCCGCCGTGAATATTGGACGCTTCTTGTTTCGAGATCGATTGATTTCATGGTCTGCACCTCGTGCATCTTCAGCGATCGTTTGGAAGATACAAGCCATCCGAGGACCATTAATGCTTCCTCGCGTTGAGCGCGGACTGGCTTTTCCATGATCGTTCGCATTATCCGAGCATACCTAAAATCTGGTCAAACAATGGCACACGCGTACAAGGGTCCTTTCAATTACATCTCATCCAGCTTGCCAAGATCGGTTGGGAAGGATTTCAACTCGTGCTCCAGGCTATCGATCGAACTTTGACCACGCAGGTTTACCCAAAACAGGCGAGCAAAGAGGAACATACCTTCAGCGCATGTAGCGTTAGCGTATTGTTCGATATTGCTTGAGGCAGACGTACCATTTGCCAGGTCAGAAACGCGACGGGCTGTTTTACTCGCCAGCTCGTTGGAAATGCGTAACTCTTCTACAAGCGCGCGAGACTGCAGTTGACTGAAAACCTCGATATCCGCTTTATTGTTCCCAGCATCCATCGCAATAGTCGCAAGGTCGCGAAAATCCTTTCGAGCACTGTCAATCTGGCTTATGAACAAGCAACGGATTTGGTCGCATATGTCAGGGGAAAGATTTTCGATGAGCTCGCGAAACCAGCTTACAATATCTCCTCTCTCTTTTCTGTTGTGACACTCGTCCAAGCCGTCGAGCACAATGTACACCGAATTGCAATTTTTCAGCGCCAATTCGAGGAGCTCCTTAGCAGCGAGCGATGTAATGGGGACACCTCCGCTATTACAGCATTTACTGTAGAAGTAATCCAGAGCGTGTCGATTCTGCCGAAGGACTTGCATGAGAAGAGATCGCGCCATGGAGAGGAAGGTGTTGCGTTCCTTGTCTCTATGCTTGAAGTAGAAGAATACGACCGTACAAGCAGGTTGAATCTGCTTTGCTTCCTCTATAACAAGAGATGCAAGCACCGTTTTCCCTATAGCCAGCTCCAGTTATTAACATGCCACACCCTCGCTAAATGCGTGAACTTACCAGCGCCAGGCTTGCCATTCAACCATAGTAGTTTCGGCAACGAGGTTCGCGAAGACAGTGGGTCAAACCATTCCTGAAACGTGTCATCTCTTAACACCCATCGACAGGTGTCTGGGAAGTCTCTACGGATTCGATTTAGGTGGTCCTGTTCGCTTTCCATGTCCACAGGCTTCAGCCATGCGTAGACTGCTTGGCTTCGAGTCAAATTCTCGCTTTCTGAGGTAGCAGAACCTTCTTCATCTTCAAGACTGGCTGCGTTGTCGAAGGCTTCAAATTGAGCAACAGTAGCGCGTCTTTTGATAAGTTCAAAGCGAGATTGCATACGATCTATGATACCTTGAAATCTTGCTTTATATCGCCTCCAGGTCGTCGTAAACAAATCCCCCCAGACTGATTCATGTTAGGTTATGAAGGACTTGATCCTAGACCGAGGTAGATGACTTACGATGCTGCTGGAAGTAGATCATAAGCCATGTATTTATTTGAATCACATCGTGATAGGTCGTAGAGATCGTCCGTGTCAGCTCGGGGTCAATGCTGAACAGCTCTCGAAACATTGACAACGAAGGTAGACTCCTTCCGACTTGGCCATAGATGTCAACAAGGTCTCTGAAAGCCTCTTCACGGTGATCTGTTTCCTAGATTATACATTCAGCTACAACCAGGGAGACTCCGTATATGACATACTTCGAGCAGGAATTTGGCAGGGCCCTAGCTTTATGTCAACGTGGAAGCGATCGAACTGGTGTCGACCTACCCAAATAAACCCCATCAGCTCTTTGGAATCAGGAAGCGTCTTGATGGCTTCCATGAAGTGTCCAGAGTTGTCGAGAAACTGTTTGATTCGCTTGAGGCCCCTTTGCCGCCTTTCTGCCATGTGCTTTCCCTGAAGATTGATGGTAGACTGTTTTAGATGGACTAGCCTGGTCGTGGCGAATTTTGAAATGTTCCTCTGGGTCAGAACCTGCTTGAACTTTTCGAGTTGTTTCATCAACGAGAAGTTCATTGATATGAGGTCCGGTAGATGTTGGGCTAAGTTGAGCTCTTCGATCCGAGTTTCTAGCTCTGATGCTGGGACTGCTGCCTCGCGCAGCCGCTCGATCGTTTCAGCAACCTGGCCGGCATCTGGAACGGCAACCTCGCTCGGCACTGTATATCCTGGCCCACATTTGAACATGCTGTTCAAGAGTGCAAAGAAATCCTGTGTGAAGAATTTTCTTTGGAACTGCTCAGATCTGGAGTCCGTGTTGGTCGGTGCTCGCAATTGCATATACTCGTTCAGAGTCTTGTGCTGATTGAGTACTGCATTCTTAATAACTTGCCCACTACAGAAGCGTGGAATGTCTCTCCTGCCTGAGACACCATCGACAATGCGAGCTTCTTTGTATTGCTTGACCTCGTCTCGACCTCGTATATCGCAGGTTGCCAATTCAGAAATGATGCAACCTAGTGACCATACATCCGAGTCGCGAGTATATTTGCCTTGCTGAGGAGCAGCATAGTAGCCGGTGTTGTGGGCGTTCGGGATACCTGTTGAGCAAGTATCGCCAGCCAATGTGGGTGGCTTGAATTCGAGCAAACCAAAGTCTGCAATCTTGAAGACTCCCTTCACGATCAGAATGTTTGCAGGTTTCAGATCTCGATGATACGCGATCTTGGTTCCTTCGTAAAGCCTGTGTAGCGTCGCCAGGCCATCCGCAACTCCCTTGATCTGCTTCCACAGCTCTTCAGACCCAAATTCCGCACCTTCTCCCCTAAAGAGATAATCGTGGAGCGAAAAATCTGCCTCCTCTTGCAAGATGAAGAACTGCTTACCGTGCCGGTATGCACCTAGTGCTACCATTAGATTTGCATGATTCTCTCCCTTCGAGAGATTCTGCAGGTTGTTCCATTCCTTTGCCTCGAACACGGCCAAATCCTGCTTGAAGAGCTTCCGGGCAAATCTCTTAACGTTCTGCAGAAGTCAGATCGCAAAACGACGAAACAAAGGAAGCCCTACTTCTCCAAAATTACGACATCGATATTCATCGTCTTGAAGTTCGAAACACCGGACTTCTGCGAACGAACCCACCCCCTTGGGCTTTGTATCTTCCTTAATCGGTAGCAGTTCCTGTTTCGAAATGGTCGTAATGTCAGAGTGCGTTGTGAGTTTCCGAATGAGGAAGTTGTACTGAGTGTCCAAGACTCGTGTTTTCATCGTATGAAACCGATCGATCTGTTCATACTTGAATACCTTGAAGCTGGCCTCGTTCAAGTACTCAGTTCCTTGCAGCTTCCTCTCATAGAGCTGGAACTTTCGAATGAGCCCTGGTCGGAGAATGTAGATTAGTAGTGCATATATGAGGGCATAGTCGCCTCGTAGCTCCTCCTCTCTAAGTTTATTGAAGTGGGTCTCGCGTTCCTGCACTGGACCTCCATCTTCCTCACATTGCACGCATGGACAAAGAAAGATCTTTTCGAGCGTGAGCCCATCAATGTTGTTGCCAAATAATGCTCTGATCTTCCGCGCAGGTACGTAGAATGAGGCGCCGCCGGGTTGTAAATGCTCATTGACCGGCTTCACTTGGTTGTCTTCAAGAAAGCGGAAGGCCACAGTACAGGGAGACGTTCTTTCCATTGGTATTGGTGTCTACCGTGTCGCGGAATGTCAACCCAGAGCTGGAGGAAAGATTACACTTCCCGCTTGCAATGCGCACTCAACAACTGCGCCCACTGGTTGTGCTCACCGGTGAGCGAAACCGGTGATCTCAGGCGAACACGAAGGTGTGCCAAATCAGCCGCGTTGCAAGGGTTTCTGCAGAGCCTGATGCACACCCCGCCCTTCACGTCGTGCAGGGAAAAACAAATATGGTCCATGGTAAGGCGCTCAAGACAAAGCTTGCAGTTCGAGGCATGACCCCCGTGAGCGTGTGCCGATATCCGCGATCTACAATATCTTGGGAGGGCGAGACACGGGTTCAATTGTGGAGGAGAGGAGAGCGACTGGTGAAAGGGTCGAATGTGGCGCTGCGCTGATTTTCAGCGGCCAAGGTTGGAACAGCCCTCAACGGCTAGGCTTTGTTGCCAGTCCTAGCGTTGCTGCGTACCGCCACTCAGTAAGTATTTTGATCATCCCTGCGGGCTGGTCCCCAGCTATTGTTTGAGAAGCCCGCTCTGGGTGTTGATATTCCCTTCTGGTATACTTTCGATGCGGCTAACAGCCGAACTTGAACGATCGGATAGAGACTTTTTTCTTCTCTGAGCATCCGCTTGCTGTTCCTACATTATGGATTGTGGTGCGCCGTTTCTTGTAGGTTCAAAGGTAGATCGTTGCGCAAGTAGTTTGCCATCATCCATCAAACGAAGTAACAGTAGCACGCATGACTTTGAGCGGCTCAATCACAGTGCAAGCCTCACGCGGCAAGTCTTTACCCGCGAGCGAGACATTTCCCCCAGCAAGCCTTGGTACCAAATGCTGCACTCGAGGTCGCGCCCGTAAGAGGGCTCCAGAAATAGGAGTGCACATAGTTGATCAAACTGAGAATTCACGATGTTACAGTGCTTCCACGTCGTTCTCTTTATCTTGCTGTAGCCTGCGTTGCCTCCAGGTATACCAGAGAAGAACAGTCGCCCCTGAAAAAGCGGCGGTGAAGATAATGTAGACCCAGAAATTGGAGGCTACGGTAAGACTGTTCTCCGGTTGCGAGTAGACGAAGAAGTTCGATCCGAACAATGTCTATAGTGGGTGTCAATTTCTTCATTCATCATGTGAAAAAACCTCGGGACGCTCACTGCAAGAAATGTGGCGGGTAGAAAGACGGCAGATATTAAAGCGATTGTCATCATGGATCTCGTGTCTCTAGTGGATTGCTCGGTGAGTCTCTTCATCAGTTTGTTCTCATTCACACCCTGCTCTGTCAAGGTCTGCATTTCATGATTGATTTGTTGGCTTGCTTCCGCTGATCGAGTGTCCTGTATACTTTGTACCTGTGCGAAGCGCCATCAGACACAGTTTCTGAAGTGCATACAGAGAACTTACGAGTTGAATGATGCCACTAGATCGAGCAATCAGCGTTTCCAGCCTATCGAAATGCGTCTCTTGGTCGAGCACATATTTGTCCAGGTTACGTTGGATTGCATCAAAATTCGTGCCCAAATCTGAGGAAGAAGACGCTTCAATTCTTGCCATGTCCTTTTTGAGCAGATTGCCAAGGCGAATATTCAATTTCAATACGTGAACTAGGCGCCGCAGCTTGTCAGTCAGGATCTGAAGCTTCCTAAGGTCAGAAAAGTCCGCGATTAGATCCCCTTTCTGCAGCGCGCCCTTCAAATTAGTAAAGAAGCCCTTGTCGACCTACCCACACCTGTCAGTGAATTATGAATGATTGCAATTTGCTACTTACCAGTTTGGTGAACGCATCTTCCAAAAAGATCATATACTCGCGCCAGTCCTCAGAACCATCTAGGAGAATGATCGAATGAAATAGAAATTGCATCTTTGGCAGGCTATCGTCACAAGATTGAAAAGCGCACCGCAGCCGATCTTTGATTCGATCCGAGGCCTGTATAAGGACCCAATTGCTTTGCTGAGTGTCTGACGAAAAGTATTGGTATACACCAACTTCTCGAATAGAGAATGGATCGTTAGGAAGGGCTCGACCGTGTCTCGCGACGTACTTGATGTTATAGCCAATGTCTGCGCTTTGCTTTAGCTTCTATTATCATGGCATAAATGGGAGTACTACGGTAGCTGCGGCCTTGCGTTGTCCTCGCTTGAATGTCGTGGACCGCTGGAGGGATGATATCTACAAAAGCAGAGCTGAAACCTTCTTCGACAGGTCCCAGCTTTTCGCGGAACAGGAAAACGACATCCAGAAAGCCCGGATGCACTCCAAGCCGCGTAAAAAGGCGACGAAAATGCTCCTCACTAATGCAGAGGCGACTCCATGTGTAGCTCTGATGAATGGAACTATCCGATCGGTCAATCTACACACACTCTATCGCTCCTTAAAGCAGATTGACTCACAAGACCGAGGTGGCCTGTCCTAACTCCATGAGTGCATCCAATTTCTCAAAGGATTGGATAATCTCCCATGATGCATCGCGGCAGCTATCTGTTGACATGTCAATTGAGAATTGGCGAGCATGTGCTGAAGATACTTGCCATCCCTGGGTAGGTCCATAGTCAGAAAATCAAATGAGGATTCATGATTCGCGACAAACAGCTCCTTACTTAGACGGTCTATTTGATGACTGCTACAATAGGCATCTACCCCTAATGGGCTCACCTGGAGATTCTGAGGGTACATTTCCCAATTTGCATACTCATCTCGCTCAGTAGGAGAATATATCTGTCTGGGTTGGTATGAATTTTGATGCATGCTTCTGTTCTGTGACCAGCTCCGTGGAATTGTTGATAGGCAAACTTTGGCAGGTGCAGGTATTAACATTTGAATCTACGTATGAAGGCAGTGAATAGTAGATACACGCTAGTAACAGGTGAGACGGACTCAGGCCTGTGGTAAAGGACGGTTCATCAGACTAGGCGTCTCCATCCAGCGAAAATTGACCGGTCGGCACTAATTGGGCAGCTTCGCCCCCACGAATCTGGGCAGTGGCTAACACATGCAGGCGGCTACGCAGCCTTAAGCGCCTGCCTGAACTTTCTTTGCAGATCTATTAGCTGATCCTGCTCATACGAGTATTAGCAGGCCTCTTAGATACGGTTGGGTTCCGAAAGATCGGGATGAACCTACGCGAGTTAATTCTCGTGGAACCTTGATCTTCCATTTCTCTCCTTCATCAGGTGGCTACGTTGCTTTGGTCAGAAACACCCTCTTGTTCATTGTTGCATGAGCTGTGAAATACATACGATCACCTCGAAAGGTTCGGGGTCGTAAATAGATTTGAGATGAGCAGTTAATACGTCAAAGTCGACAGTGTAGCGACTCTCAATGACTTGAACGACCATGGCAGCTTGCTAACTTCGGACGGGCGCTGTGGTTGAAAAGCTGTTCGCCTGGTCAGGCACGTTTGGGGACCAGGAGGAAATTGATATTGATGCTGGCCTGGTATGAAAAGCGGGCAGCCTCTTGATCTATGCATGTTTTGCGCCTGGTGCTCATGGACGAGTTGCAGGTGGCAGCTGAAAGACGGCAATGTTGCGCTCAGACCAGGCGCTGCCACATTGCGTCAACCGGAACGGCGCTGCCCGTCTGCCTTGCGACATGCCCAACTGCATCTGTCCACCTACATAGCACCGGTGAGTCGTCTGTGATCCGTGATAGGCGAGAGACCGGCTGCTGGACAAAGGTGACTTTCAATCCGATCTTGCGGCGGCAGCATTGCTTTCAGTCGGGCGGTCTTGGATTTGGCCTGGAAAACAGAGTACCATCCTGACATTTCACGCATCCATGATATGAGCGACGTGAGAGACATTGCGAGCGAAGCATATACCTCTCGCATGGAGCACGACTACAGCATGGAGTACACTGACGGTAGACACCACAGTCAAACCCTGGCCTACTATCCTTGGATGGACCATGGATACGGCATGAACCACTACTACGCTCAGAACACCTTGAAACGAACATATCCATTCGGAGAAGAAGAGCAAGTGCCGCTGGAGGAAAGCCTGTTGGGTCTTAGCCCGGTACCGGCCAACGAACCATTATGCTTGCTTGGCTCGGTAAGGCTGGAACAGAGTAGATTGACCGAACTCGTCTAACAACTTTTGTCAGGTTGTCAACGTGAACGCGCAATTGCGAAGGCAAACCTCGGGGCATCTTGCACCTCAGACTATTCTTGGAGGACTGGGACCCAATGACCTGCTCACTGTTTCGTTAGTAGGCGATTACTTCGAACTATCGCATGCCAACTACGCATTTGCACGACTGGACAAAAGCTTCTGCGGTGAAGCCCGGCGTCTTGTTGATCTCGGGGTCACTTTCCAGGCACGAGTAGACCTAGCCCAATGGGAGACAATACGGAAAGAGTGGGCATGCTTCTCAGGCCAAGCTATTAGCAATACCTTTGCTGTAGATGTGAGCGTATACAGCCGCAGGAATCACGCCGACAGAGTTGGTGATATCCTGCTGCGATCCAATCTTTTCCTACAGCATCCTGCCCACCACTTTGATATCGAATACTACTATAATCCTCAGATCTTGGAGCTGGAGGGTTTCGAGGAGAATCCTGACGACGTGGCAACTGAGCCGATGGAGGACGAAGTATCGACCGGGGTCGAAGACACTTATATTCGAAGCGATGAGCAGCCATCTGGAGCCTCCACTGACCACGTGGAGCTTATATTGGACTCTCTATCGCATAAAAATATTCTACACGAAATTCGCACTGATACCAACTTGATCAAGAGCGAGCTCATGAAGTACGAACATTGAATTGTGCACAGGCTGGTTTTCGACTGACATGATCTATAGACATCAGATGACGGCCCTGGATTTCGTTGTCCAGCGAGAGAGTGACCGACCTCCGGAGCAATTGACATTCTGGCGTGGAAGACGAGTGGCTGGGGAGACAGAGTATGCTGATATCAACGCTAGTGTCTCTAACAGCTCAATTGACTGTGTGGCAGATTTATTCATATCTTAACCAGAATGAAAGCTCCCAAACCGCACGAAGCCCGAGGTGGTATTATTGCGGATGACATGGGACTCGGTAAATCCTTGACGATACTGTCTGCTATTGCTAGATCCCTCGGTGAAGCAGCCGAGTTTGCTTCATCCCACCAAGCGAGCTCAACAGAGCCACTTCACACCCAGAACCGATCTCGGGCCACCTTGATTATGGTCCCATCCACTGGTAAGCGTGTTATCCTATGGAAAGAATCCTGTCAGAGCGAAAGCAATTAACCTTCACAAAGTCCTGATTGACAATTGGATTGATGAAATCCGTATGCAAGTTGAACGTCCTGGCCTTGCTCTCCAGCCCGTTCTGACATTCATAGGCACACTCATCCGCATAAAATTTCGTTTCACAAGCATCTTGGTGGGGACAGACAATCTGAAGCGAAGCTTTTGGGAGAAAGAGACATCGTCTTTACTACGTTTGCGACAGCCTGGAAAGATTTCAAGAAGGGTTCATCGCCTTTGGCGAGAGTTCATTGGTTCCGCATTGTTTTAGACGAAGGTAATTGAGATCTAGACTTTGACAGATGATTCTCTGATAAGCGTTGAACAGCGCATAAGATTCGAAACCGCACAACCCAACAATTCAAGGCAGTTCACGAGTTACGAGCACAACGTCGGTGGTGCCTCACTGGAACGCCAATACAGAACCGTCTTGAAGACCTTGGCAGCCTGATCGCATTTCTCAGAGTACCCGACATGGAAAACGCGCCGGTCTTCCGGAAGCATATCATTGCCCCTACATCGCTGGAACGAGGAAGCCAATTTCAAAATCTTCGGATCCTTCTCAGGACCGTCTGTCTAAGGCGCACAAGGGAGGTCCTTGCTTTACCTGAGCCCATAGTGCAACAGCGGCTCCTTGACTTTTCGACACAGGAGCGGTATCGGTATGATGAGCTGTATGAGCACTACAAGAAGTATATTCAGATGGCAGTGAGTGGGGTTCGGGGGAAAGTCGTTTCCACGACACTTCAGTCGATCCATGAATTGCGCCTGTTTTGTAACAATGGTCCAAAAAAGATGCAAAACGAATTGCAAGCGTCAGAAGAGGAAGTTTTGTCGTATTTGCAGCAGCTCGGACAGAATGAGTGCTCCAATTGCACTCAATCCATCAATTGCATTGACAAATTTGGAGAGCAAGAGGGCGGTGTGCTTATCTCGCCATGCAAGCACCTTGTATGCCGCAGTTGCTTGCCGCAGTGCTTGGATAAACGGAAAAATTGTCGACTTTGCGCATCTGGCAAAAGCCCACTAGAATTCGCGACCCACATCGGAGCAGATGCTCCCGTTCTGGCGGTGGAGGAGATTCCGGACGAATACCCCTCGAAATTACTGGCTCTATTAGAGGACATACAAAAAGAACCCCTGCACAAATGGTATTGTCTCATTGCTTTGATTTTTTAGTCTGTAGCTAACCAGGCATCAGCATCGTATTTTCATCTTGGAAGAAGACTCTCGATCTTGCGTCTGGGCTACTCCAGCGAGCTGGACTAAAGCACAGCATCATTCACGGCAGCTTGAGCCTCAAACAGAGACTGAAGGTTCTGAAAGAGTACAAGTCCTTTTTCGGGCCCAACATCTTATTAATGACACTGGGGACAGGGGCAGAAGGGTTTGTGCACGCATTTGAAACCAGCGATCATAGCTATGCTAACGAATATAGCTTGAACTTGACAATCGCGTCACGCATCTATCTTCTTGAGCCTCAGTGGAATCCATTCACCGAAATGCAAGCCATGGCACGAGCGCAGCGCATAGGACAGACGAAGCAAGTCGTCTGCAAGCGATATCTCATGAAAGACTCAATTGAGCAGGTAGGGCATGATCAGACTTGTCCTTTTTGCGCTACAATTGGCTGACATAGGGATGATAGAGTGATGTTCTCAACCGGCAGAATATGAAAAGAGCACTTGCCGGTGGGGGATTTCAAAAGAATAAGATGCACGACTCCTTGGTAGGACAAATTCTTCGGCAAGATGAAACTTGAGCTGATCATGCAACAGCAATACTTCGGCGTACATTCAGCGCACATCCAAGGTTGTTGATCTACGGGCTAGATCACCACCGCGTTGCACGCCGCAGATGTATTTCTCGCTCACGGCATGCGATGAGCCATGCGAAAAAAACCAGCGAATTAAGAGAGCGGTCAGCGTCGTTGCCTAATTTGCGCAGTCCAAGTGCGCTGATATCCCTGCCCGATCGACAAGTAAGAGAGCTCAGAATTGTTTTTCGGCCATGATGAAGAAGCGGCGTACTGCCATCAAGAATCATCACATTTGCAATAGATTCGAACAAGAGTCATCAACGTCAACCCAACGCCGCTACGACGGAGTACTGTACATAGGTATGGTATGTCATCGTTTTGATCTACCTACTCCCCCACGGCGGCACCGCCTCTCATCCCGGATCCGGGTTGTCCCCTTCAGCCTTAATTTTGCTTTTTGGTGGAAGTTTGCCAATCAGACGAATTTTTTTGTCTCATCTGCATTTTCGCACTTGCAATTAAGATTGCAATGTCTTTACTTTTTCTTGTGCTGAGCCGTAACAGAGTTAAACTCGATCTAAAGATCTTCGGGGTTGACACCGGCCACCAGGTAGCGGGGAAACGGGAATGGGGAATAGGGAACGTGGGGCTGAACTATCTTTGAGCCTCCGCTCACCTGTTCGTGCCTTTGGCCTGCCAATGAGAAACCGATCTACTTACCGCTCTGCACTTTTGCGTGCCTGGAGAACAGGCCAATAATTGGGGCGCACATCCCTGGTTGAATGCTGAGCCGTAATGGCTCTTCGCCCCTCTCCGATTGCTCAATGCTGAACATCTTGATGGCGCTGCCCCAAAGCTCCATGGTCGGCCTCGGTAAGATTGTGCCAATGACAAGCCGTCCTTGTTTACCACGTCGCAGTTTTTCCTTCCTAAACATTGGTAGCCTGGTTGATTCGAAGATCACATCTTAGTTGGGTTAGTCCGATACCCCGCCTTTTGCTGAGCCATGATGGACCCTGACCCGGCAGAATAATCAAACGAACAAAGTCAGGTGGCTGGTGCTGAGCTCTACTTTGTACTGTGTATGACAGGGCGAATATATATCGCCTGAAGCCTCATGCTTCATTTCGTGGTCAGTTCTGCCAACCGGAACCTCATATACTCGCTGCGTCTGTAGTTTAAACCTTCATGCAATACATGCGGTCTGCTTCAACTGCCCGGACATGAGAATCTCAAGTGCTTCCCGCTGCAAACATTTTCAACTACCTCTCGATGAAGGATCTCTGGGGTTGCTGCCAGCGCAAAAGGCGACTCGTGGAGAAGTCACCCCTTTGCTGAGTCGTTAACAATGTGAATAGGGCTGAATGTTCTCCAGCAGCTAATTACAGGAGGGTTACCCAACCGTCCCCTAAGGCAGGTTCTAGGCAAGGCTGGGATCGGTCTCACCCCTCACCTCAACCTTCGTCCGTGTCGGAACCTGCCAAGCAGAGTGTCATGTGCCTCCTGTTTCTTGCGTTGAATTAAAGGTCTGTATCACATATTTAGTCCTTGTCGAATCGTGATGGCGCTTCCCCCGATTAAACAATCCTGAATTGAGGTAGAGCAGACTGGCGACAGTAATCGGATCTCAAGCTCTGCTTCATCGTCCTCGTCCTCTTTCCGCGTCAGAGGCTGCTAGGGAAAGGTCGATGTAAGTAGGGCGTACGGCTGCTGGGTCGTCTTTGGTCGAAAAATGCCTCACATTACACGTTAGAACTCGGGTCTCGGGATCCCGCCTCACTCTACGTCAAAGGCTGCCAATAAGAACGCGATGTCGGTGCTGCCTCCACGGTTCTTGCCCTTCCTGTTGTTTTTGAAAATTGGACAAGTGAGGCGAATCACTCGATTGGATCTGGGAGTAACTCCGTCATTGCTGAGCCTGCTGAGCCGTGATGGCATTCAACTCGAACCAACGCTCTTCAGCAGTTTATTAGTAATGCATTGGACCCTAATTGTTACCGAGGAGGCATGAATGCTTCGTTATCGTCAATGTGGGAATCGGTTCACTTGTTTCATTGTCCCAATAGTGTGTGCAGAAGGAAGGTACGGAGAATGTTGCCAGCGATGGGCATTCTGTACGTGTATGCAGTCTCGTTACAACACTGCAGTCCTCTGTGACTAAATTGGACGCGGCCACTATTCTAAGCTGCGAGGATGCATTTTTTGTCGTTGTCAAGAGGCCTGCCAATAAGGATATAATTTGCTGACCCTACGCGACCACTTGTGTGCATCTGCCTCTCAAAGTCGGAATCCATCGACCGCTGTTGCAGATCTCAATGGGTCTTTGTTCCATCTCTGCCAAGCCATGATAGCCTCCCTCGGGAACTTCGGGTCGGCCCGTGATGCTCGAATTGGGATACATTTATAGGTAGGCAAAGGGCTGCGCAAGACTGCTGCGCGGCGTCGCCGCGTGTTGCGAAGTGGTCAAGTGCGACTCGGACCCAATGTACCCAATCACGCAGCTTCAACAACTACGGGTTGCTCTTTTGTGAGTTTCTGCTTGGGTCTGTTTTTGGAGGCTGTGCCATAATTCGGGTGCTGAGCCGTAATGCTGCCTCCCCAAGCTCGCCTCTTGAGGTCCTTCTTTCGCACATCCAATCATACGTCTTTGAGAAATTCGGGGTCATTCTTTATGAGTCTTCATCTGGGGCTGTGTTGCGCTTGCACACTCAGGTAATGCAGACGAGTTCGAGTTGCTGAGCCGTAATGCTGCCTCCCCAAGCTCGCTACTTGAGGTTCTTCTTTCACATATCCAATCATACGTCTTTGAGAAATTCGGGGTCATTCTTCATGAATCTTCATCTGGGGCTGTGCTATAGCCTGACCTCGAACGGGGCCAGGCAGTGCATCGAGTTGCTGAGCCGTAATGCTGTCTTCTAAGTTCACTACGTGAGGTCCTTCTTCCAGACGTCCAATCGTACATCTTCAAGACTTTTGGGGTGCTCTTTCAAGAGCTCTTTGTAGAGGCTGAGTCGAAAGCTGAGTATTGAGGCTAAGTTGAGGCTATGCAACGAGTTCGAGCTGCTGAGCCGTAATGTCGTTGCTCTCAATTGCGCTGCCAGGGCTTCACCCTGAATCCTCGATCACACATCTCGAAGAACTTCAGCGCGCTATCTTGTGGAGTCTGATATAGGTCTTTGCAGAGGGCTTTGCATTGGTACATAGTTGCCAATCGCATTCATTCACTGAACGGCTGAGCCATAGTGACACCTTCTCAGGCATAGTACCCTAGGATAGATTGCAACCGCCCAGAAGACTAATCTGCCAGGTTATTATGCAACATGAGAAGGATGAGGTTGTATGTGAAGACACAAATCCCGGCTTTGCAAGGAACGATGATTTGGTTGTTATTGAAAGAAGAGCCATTACGGCTCAGCAATTCAACACTGTGGCCGCCATCGAGCTCAACGTTTCTCCGGGCATGCAAAAGTGCAGAGCGGTAGGTAGATCGGCTTCTTATTAGCGTTTCGGACGATTTTGCGCAGCCTAAGGCTTTGGGGATGTTCTGGGCCCTGAGCAGCTAGACCCCAGGATCGATCTATTGGGCGAACAGCTATTATGGCTTAGCAAGCCACTATGAGTAGTATTACGGCCACCCACCGCCCTTTCTCTAGGTACGCAAAGTGCAGAGCGGTAAGTAGATCAACTTCTCATTGGCAGCCCACGATTTTGCGCAACCTGAGGCTTCGGGAATGTTCTGGGCCCTCGAGCAGCTAGACCCCAGGATCGATCCATTGGGCGTTTCCAGTAGAGCCAGACTGATAAAGATAAGCCAATCATGTTTGCAGCTCTCGCGAGTGATCTACCGGCTTCATATGGTCTAGCTGATACTGACTTAATAGGCTCTTATGCCAAGAATAAGCTGAGAATTGGAGTTTCGGGTGGGGGGAAGCGCAATTCCTGAATGGGAGATTGTAAAATATTCAATGAAATGTATGATGCTGAAGTTGAACTGTGCATATGGGTCATAAAAAAAGAATCTGCCTCCGTAAGAGATATTACGACCAGAGATTAGCCAGCCTGGATAGCCTGCAACATTATGTCTTCCCTGTATCAACATACTTGACATTGACAATCATTCGAACCGATGTTGCTACAGATGGAATTAATTATAATGATCAGAGATGACCGTATTCTACCAAATTCTCGCCATAGATGTATACACCAGCACGAAATGCAGCATATGCGGCTAGTTCTTGTTCTACATTACATATTTTAACGCCTCACAGACATACGGCTTGGTTACATGCCCTGTTGACCATACAGAGTCTGCAGTAGTCCCAATATTCGTGCCGGATCATGTACACGGGAGTTGCCATTGGCTGCAGCAATGGCATTGGGTATAGTCGATACAAGCCCAATATCACCTACAACTCCTGCGTCAGCTCTTACTCGGGCCTACGCAAATAACGTAGCACATAAGAAATTGGGCATTGTACCACAGATGGGCCGAGCTGAAGCATTTATAGTAATTTCTGGTTCTGGTTTTTGACCTCGACCAAGGTCATCTTTTCCGGCATGCACGACCAGCGTCCGCTACTTCTTGTCAAATATCGAGCCAGCTTCTCCAGCAATCATATTCAACCCACTAACACCCAAGATACTATAGGACCCGGACAATTTGACCAAAATATCACTGAAAGACCCGATTGAGATGCTTTTGAAATTTCCGAGATACCAACGTTGCGTTCGGCATATCCGCGGTCGACATGTTCTCTACAGAAAGGGTTGACCGCAGTGTCAGCTTGCGCACAGCGGCATATGTGTTGTGGTGCCCATGGAATAACGTGGCCCAGCTGAAGTGCACCCATTGGTGTTGTCGCCATACTTGTGAATGTGGAACGCATGCTCCACATTTGCATCGTGACCCCGGATGTTCCAGGTAATTAGGGTTGAGGCAACTTCGTGTTCTTGTTCGAGAACGACCAAGTCACCTATCATTAGGTCTCCGTGGAGAATGGCAACTGGATAAAGTCAATCCCATCCTTTAGCGATACTGCCTGTTAGCTCTGCCACACTGTAATCGCTGTTTGATTTCTTGGAACAAATGTTTAAAAAGCTAGGGCAGCATGTCGTGCTGGAACGGACCAGCTCTTGTCATGACTGGGACGCCTGCCCGTGAGTGTTGAGTTACTGAAGCGAAGAAGTATAGTGACACGGAAACGAAGAAATTCTATGCCACTGCGAGCTACGGGTGTAATGTATGTTCATGGTGTCTTCTTTTATTCCTCGAACAATGCGCATTAGGAGCAAACCAAAGTTGACTATCATCTATGCGAAAAACTGCGGATGTTGCGGGCTTTTAGTAGTTAGCAGGGATCATCGATTGGAATCTCTTATTTGAACTCGCGCAATGCTTGCGTAGCTACAATGCTGCAGCATCCTTGAGCCAGATGGAAGTCAGCCTGTTGCATATTGCACCTGACCGGCCTTATCGATAAGATGCAGTGCAGCACGCTGTTCACCGGACGCAGCTGTTCAGCCTTGCTGCAGCACCCTCAGCCTTGGGCTTGCGATTTCGTTGCCTACACAATGCGTCTCTCTTCTCTAACAGCTCTGCCTTACACACCCGTCTCGTCTGTCGATTTGTATAGGTATGGAACCGCTCAGCGTCACAGCCAGCATCATCGCTGTTCTCCAGCTCTCGACCAAGGTCCTCGGATACCTCAACGACGTCAAAGGTGCGTCGAAAGATCGCGCAAAGTGTGCAGTTGAGGCCTCAAATGTACACAGTCTCCTTACCAATTTGAGATTCCGTCTTGAGGAGGGAAGCGCCGATACACCATGGTACACCGCTGTCCGAAACCTTGGAATCGAGAATGGACCGCTTGACCAGTTCAAGCAAGCGCTGGAATGTTTGCAGACTCATATGAAAGGTGGAGGTCGATTACGGCAGGCAGGCAAAGCGCTGGTGTGGAAGTTTAAGAAAGAAGAAATTGCTGGCATATTACAACGAATCGAGCGCTTGAAAACGCTTGTGGAGATCGCACTACAGATGGACCACTTGTAAGTCGTTATAGTAGAACCACGAACTTGTGTTGCTAACAGTAAGAAGCAAATTACTTCAAGCCATCCGAACCGATACCAGCGCCCTCCAAACAGGCGTCCTTGCAATGCAACCTCAAGTAGACGAGATCTACCAAGATCACGTTGATACAAAGCACAGCAAGATTCTAGAATGGATCTCGCCTTCTGACTTCCCTGCTCAGCAATCAGACATTATAGGTCGCAGACAGGAGGGAACAGGCCAGTGGTTTCTTGATGCACCCGAGTTTACAACGTGGCTTAGTGAGCCAAGGGGCACTCTCTTCTGCCCAGGGATTCCAGGGGCCGGCAAGACAATGGTAGCAGCAATTATAATTGACTACCTCCTGAAGTCTGCGCAGAGCAGCCAGATTGGAGTTGCGTATATATACTGCAACTATAAAGCGCAAGAAGAGCAGGATACCTCTAGTATACTTGCAGCTATCGTTAAGCAGCTAGTGCAGAGTCGACCATCGCTGGCAGAGCCTATAGCACGACTGTACAAGCAGCATGCTGATAAAGGCACGAAACCATCACTGGAGGAGATCTTTGGCGTCCTTCAAGAAGTAGTCGCAAAGTATCCCACTGTCTATATTGTGGTCGATGCTCTGGATGAGTGTCGAGGCAACGACGGCACTCGTAGTCGGCTTCTGGCCAGGCTCCAAGACCTGCAAGTAGGAGAAGATGTCCGCATGATGGCCACTTCGCGGTCCATACCAGAGATTGAAGATAAGTTTCAAACAGCAACAAAGCTAGAAATACAAGCAAGCAATGAGGACGTAAGGCAATATGTAGCTGGCCAGATGTACCGACTGCCTAGATGCATCCAGCGTGACTCTGCACTGCAGGTCATAGTACTAGACAAGCTTGTGGACGCGGTAGACGGCATGTATGCAATTTGTGTCACATTGGCGAAATAGCGTCAGCTTACCCAGTCCCTAGGTTTCTTCTTGCCCGCCTGCACACGGACTCGCTTCAAGACGCAGGATCCGTGAAAGAAGTCAAATCGACATTAGACAAACTCTTGAAAAACCAGGGTACACTCAACAAGGCATATGACGAGGCTATTCAACGTATAGACAGCCAAATGGATAGACAAAAGAAACGGGCCAAGAGAGTACTGTCGTGGATCACGTACGCAAGGAGACAGCTAACCACAACGGAGTTGTGCTGTGCCCTTGCGGTGGAACGCGATGAAGCAAAGCTCGATCCAGACAATGTGCCAGACGTTGAGGACTTGCTATCCGTGTGCGCCGGCCTAGTGATTGTTGATCCGAAAAGCTCTGTCATTCACTTAGTGCACCAAACTACGCAAGAGTACTTCGAAGGCGTTGGGAATGCTTGGTTCACAGACGCTCGACAGGACGTTGCCTCAACATGCCTCACCTACCTGTCGTTCGATGTGTTCAAGACTGGTAGCTGTTCCTCTGATGAGGAGTTCAAGAAAAGACTCCAAGACAGTAGATTCCTAGATTATGCTGCAAAGCACTGGGCACATCATGCTGCGACGGTAGAAAGCGACGTGCTTACGCTAGCCTGTTCGTTTCTTTCCGACAGTCAATTAGTTTCGAGCGCTACGCAGGTGTACTTAGTTCATGCCGACATGTACGCAATGTATAGCCAGTTCTATCCTAAGGATAGGACAGGATTCCATCTTACAGCACAATTTGGTTTGTCTGTTACCCTTGAGGCTATGCTTCAATCTGAAGGACACAAGGGAGCGACATTACTCAGAGAGAGAGATAGCTATGGCGACTCTCCATTATCTCTTGCCGCAGAAAATGGACATGTTGCGATGGTGAAACTACTGCTTAGGTATCACGTTCACATCGACACGCAGGGCGGCGGACTGGGCAAAGAACTTTGGGCGGCTTCGTGGACAGGCCACGAGACGATTGTGAATTTACTGCTTGAAGCGGGCGCTAATGTCAATGCACAGGGTGGACCTTTTAAAACCAGCAAGAGCAACGCACTTTGCGCAGCTTCAGAGAGAGGCCATGAGACAATTGTCGAGTTGCTGCTCCGGGAGGGTGCCGACGTCAACGCGCAAAATGGCAAATTAACCCCACTCTATTTGGCCTCAGTGTGGGGCTATAAGGCAACTGTGGAGCTGCTGCTCAAGGCGGGCGCCAATGTCAATGCGCAGAATGGAAAAACCTACGGCAACGCACTTTTTGCAGCTTCAGAGAGTGGCCATGAGACAATTGTCAAGTTGCTGCTCCAGGCGGGCGCCAATGCCAATGCACACAGTGGAAAAGCCAGCGATAACGCACTACGCGCAGCTTCAGAGAATGGCCACGAGGCGATTGTGGATTTACTGCTTAAAGCGGGCGCTACTGTTGATGTGCAGAGACCACATAGAGACAATAACCGCAGCGCACTACGCGCAGCTTCATCAAATGGCCATGAGGCAATTGTGAAGCTGCTGCTAGACAACGGCGCCAATGTCAATGCGCAGACTGAATTCAGCAGCGCACTCTGCGCAGCTTCAGATAAAGGCCACGAGGCCATTGTGAAGCTGCTGCTGGACAACGGTGCCGACATCAACGCGCAGACTGCATGGAGCAACGCACTCTGCGCAGCTTCACGGAGTGGCCATGAGGCCATTGTGAAGCTGCTGCTGGACAACGGCGCCGACGTTAACTTGCAGGGTGGATCTAATAGTATATTTGGTCACACCACTGCGCTTCAGGAGGCTGTCGATCAAGGCCACGAGGCGATTGTGAAGCTGTTGCTCAACAAAGGCGCCGACATTAACGTGCAGAGAAGAGATTCTAAAACCGCACTCCAGGCAGCTTCATCCAGAGGCCACGAGGCAATTGTAAAGCTGCTACTTAAGGGCGCCGACATCAACGCGATAGATGATATACGAACCTAGTAGATAGCCAGCCAGGCATGCCAACCCTCTGTAGATGTCCAGGTACCAAGAGGTATTGAGCATGGCCATGTCACAAATTTATTTTGTGGTGCAAAGGGCCGGGCTGGCCTGATGTTCAAAGCATTTGCGTTGGTTCTACATCATTGGACCACATGCCTGACGATTTGCTGATATTGTACCTGAGCTAGCTCCTCAAAAGCTAGAGGCAGCTCAAGCCTAAAAAGTGTGACCATGAACCGTCACGTACCAATAAATCCTTTGTTGTGTGGAGCTGCTTTGTGCTAAGAGAATATCCACCATCGTTGCTAGCAATTCTGTCTCGATACTGTCGGAGGACAACTTGATTGTAAGATACCGGGATGGCCGGCAATTATTAGTGAAGGACAGGTAACTTAGCATACACCCTCGACCTTACAATACGTTTCCTTGAAGGCTACACTCCTAGCACACGCGGAGCTGGTCGTGGTGAGTGTGATGTTCTTGATGCAATAAGAGGTTTAGATCGTAGCCCAGTGACTGGCGGGATATTCCTGGGCCAGTACTATCTATGCAGGTATCATGTCTAACAGCCAATGGGGTCGCATAATTAAGACCGACATAGAGACTAGAATAGCCAGTACTGCTTCTATGATAGACAAATTTATGACCTCTATTCTTCATGAGAGTTCCATCCCCTGTTCGACCTGATCGTGGTGTCATAGGTGATTACCAGTTTCTAGAACCGGCAGTTGGGTTGTCTGCTTCAACTCCCCTCCTCGAATTAACCACAACAGTGTGCAAGACTATGTAAATGTACGATGCCCTCAGTAGATGTTTCCTCCTACAAGGTAGATATCAGCGGCGATACTGTTAATACCTAGCTGCTGTCAGAGGAATAGAGCTGGGCTAGTGCATCCGTATGTGCTTGAGTGACCTTTCAAGGTTTCCGGTGCAAGATTTGCAAGTCATAGCCACTGCAGAAATAGTCTTGAGATGAAAAACACCAGTAACTAAAACAGGAAGGGCGGAAAACTCGGAAATCTTGTGTTGGTAGCACTCAAGCTCTGATCGCGATTGCTGTAGTTGGCTTCCCTCTTCCTCCTATTAGAACCACCAATCGAACAACGATTGATTTAATTACAATCACCAGGACCTTCAGGGAACCATCTACCGATGCAGAGCCTGGAGCATCAATGTGCGTAGAAAGTTGACGGGTCCGCCCGCACTTGAAAGCGGATATAGCGGAGTAGCGGCAAACATATATTGCCAAATCACTGTATATCCGCCGCCGTTCCTCGTTTGCCACTTAAGTCAACCCCATGGTTTACAACTAGTTAAGTGTATCGTCGTTACCTGCCGCTATTTCCGCATAGCCTCTGGAATTACCAGAGCCGAGGCTTTGGATAGAATTCATGGAGTGTACCTGATAAATTAAAATATACTTGATCGCATGTACGCAGCTCATTGATTGATTACATGCTCTTGTGACGACCGTGACCTTTCGAGTCAAGCTACCACAAAGATGCAAACAAACCCAGCAGGGAGTCACAAAACCTACGAAGGGGTTTCAGAGGATGACTGGCTACCAATGGGAGGAGGGAGGCGACACCCTCAACGATGTCCAGATCGTAGAGAGTTTGTGGTTACATTTGAAGAACCACACGATTGGTGGAACCCTCAGAACTGGAGATCATGGAAAAAGTACACAGCCCTCTAACGAGCACAAGATATGATGATGAGTTGACGAATGCTTCCAGGCTTTGCATATCCACCGTCGCGTGCTGCGGAACGTTTGTTGTCTCGTTCAATAGTGCCATCTTCGCCGCAGGCGCTGCCGAAGCAAGCAAGGAATTCAGGGTCGGGAAGGAAGTTACCGCGCTCGGTACGAGCTTGTTCGTGCTCGGTTTCGCTTTTGGGCCTATGTTGTGGGCGCCTGGTTCCGAGCTTATCGGGCGGCGCTGGCCACTCTCTATCGGCATGTTTGGGTCTTCGATCTTCACCATCGGGTGTGCCACATCGAAAGACATTCAAACGCTCGTCATATGCCGCTTTTTTGCTGGCTTGTTTGGGGCCAGTCCATTATGTGTGGTACCCGCGGTGCTAGCCGACCTTTACAACAGTACCTATCGAGGCATGGCAATATCGATCTATGCACTGACAGTGTTTGGTGGACCGTTTCTTGCACCATGCATTGGCGAATTCATCACAATAAGCTACCTCGGCTGGCGGTGGACACTCTATTTGCCCGCTATTCTGGGACTGTGCAACTTCTGCTTCTTACTGTTTCTTTTAAGAGAAACATTCGCTCCAGTCGTCCTTGTGGAGAAAGCAATACAATTGCGGCGGCAAACAGGCAACTGGGCAATCCACGCGGAAAAGGAGAGACTTGAGCTTAACATCGATGCTGTTATTCGAAACTACCTGACCCGGCCGCTGCAAATGCTTGTGACAGAGCCCATCATACTCCTGGTCACTATGTATATGTCGTTTATCTATGGATTGGTTTATGCACTTCTGGGAGCATATCCGTACGTCTTTAGCCATGTATATGGGATGCCCACAGGAGTGAACGCTCTGCCTTTCCTGGGACTATTTCTGGGTGTCTTACTGGCTCTAATCTTCATCCTCTGCCAACATCGTTCTTATACTCGGAAGCTGAAGGCAAATAATGACAAGATCGTACCAGAATGGCGACTTGGCCCCGCTATCTTCGGTGCTTTTATATTCGCCATCGGCCTGTTTTGGTGAGTTGCTTTTCAGATATACTCCAAGGAAAATATACTTAACTTATTTCCTGCCGTAGGTTCTCATGGACGGCCTTCACTCATTCCGTACACTGGATGGCACCGAGTGCGGCCGGAGTTCTCATTGGATTTGGAGTTCTTTGCATCTTCCTACCATGCTTCAACTACCTAGTTGACGCTTTTGTACCTCTGCAAGTGACCACACATGTCTTGACGCCTGTCTCCCTTGGATGTGTCAACTAACGGTTTAATTCTCCATAGGGCGGCCTCTACAGTCGCAGCCAATATAATGCTTCGCTCGGCAGTTGCAGCCGGCTTCCCTTTATTCTCTACAAAGATGTTTGAGAACCTTGGGGTACAATGGGCAGGGACACTCCTTGCCTGCCTCGCTACAGTTATGATACCAATACCTGTTGTTTTCAGGGCATACGGTCCGATGTTGAGAGGCCGCAGTAAGATGTTGCAACAACCTTCGAGTGCATTGGAAACTCCAGAGTCTTCGGACACGGAAGGACGATCACAGTGACGTTTCAAGGCCGCGGAAGCCGCACAGAGAGATAGACTTACGATATCGTGTAGTGGTCTGCACGTGGATATAGGTTTTAAGTCGAGTATGCGGTAGGTGTATTGGAGTCATCCTGCACTTGGAGGGGTGGTCTTTAGAACCCTGGGAAAAAACAAACGTATCAACTCCAATCTTCAGAGACATAGACATCGATAAGACAGGTTTGACCTCGCTCTTGGGACGCCGCTGTTGAGTAGAAGATAACAATCTCTGTTGGCGCTTCCTCGTCGTAACTGATAAATGTCTCCTCTCACGGGCAGCGGATATGTCTTTTCTCAATCGACCGTAAATCAAACCTTGGAAAGGTTCAAATTTTCTCTCTTTGGTAAAATTTGGACAATCTTCCTTCAATTCATTTATGCCATAAACCATCTTGTCCCTAATAGAAACTCTTATGTCCGCTCCTAACAAACAATCACGTTGCCATCGTGAAAGATTTGTACGTGCTCTTTAAGTTGTTAGTACGATATTTAGATTCATTCTTCTGACAAGTTGATTTCGAACTATCTAATACCCTTACTTGAATACAAAAGGTACCGATCTAGCATCTAACAATTATGCAAAACCCATGTACCATATTGTCAATATAATTACGGCCCAAGAAGGCCGTTAAATGTATATTCTTGAGTGCCTATTGAACAGCCTGAGGTGAAAGTGCAGCCTTCATAACCTCATCCAATGTGTGGCAGGTATTGCATCCAATCTATGCTCTCATACACTCCGCTTGGCTGCGATCGAAACGCTAGTCCATCCTCGACGAAAATGTACAACCGACAGACCACGTAAAGCAACATTAGCGGGAGGCCCGGTAACAGAATCCTCAATGGTACATCTAGATCCGGATCATCGTTCGGCGAGTTATTGCGCAACCGCACTGCCAGCTTCGTCCACCACGATTTCTTCTCCGCAGCGCGCTGCTGTCTTGCCTCGGCCTGAGCCTTTTCGATTGGATGCCAGAGGTAGCACAGGAAGTGCGCTAGGCACCCCAGCCCAAATGTGAAGCATAGAGCGAGCGATGAAATGCGCCATAGCCACTGCTCAACTGGTGTGGGGAAATGCCAGAACCAGGCAACGAAGTTGATGCCCAGAAATGGAACCGAAAACGCGGCTTCAACGAACTCGAGACCTAGTGATAGAGGCGGTAGAGCCATGTCTGACATTGAAATGATCGGCTTTGCTGATCCATCTGCGCCTAGAAACATTTTTCTGCCGAAAGCAAAAAGCGGGGTGTTCAACCAGTACGTGTATATCAGTGAGCCGTGCCATTCATCTCGAGCGACGAAATCAAGTGGTGTTTCAAACCAGGGTTCAGATGTGCGGATATGGCCTTGTGCAAGAGCAATCTGGCGGAGTTCTTCTACGGTCGAGCTCAGTCGCAAGGTCCTTGTCGTATGAATATCGCTTGGTTTGTCTTTCCAAAAGAATACGATTCCCAGCGCGGGTACGAAGAAGGCTAGGACAGTCAATTCGAGCGTAGTGATGGGTAGCCCCTGTGCAAAACGCGCAAGGCAATTTATGGTGAACCAAGCGGACTGAGCCTGGGCGAGCGTGCGCGCGAAGCCATCGTACTTGTTCAAATCATCAATGGCCTCTTTACTAATGTGGAGCTCTCGTCGCGAATTTGGATCAATGTGCTCGTTCTCCATCAGATAGACGAGTGCTTTGCCGTTCAATGGCCACCGTACATTGTCTCTTGTCTCGGCCCACCAGAATCCCATCTCCGCACAAAATGCATGTCGCAAAGACCAAGGTTCCAAGCCTTTCCGATTGAAAGCACGAAGAGTTCTGCGTGCTGAATGCCACTGACCCATGGCTGCTACTAATGTAAACTCCGGACCAAGCAAGCAGATCAGAGTAAGCCACACTTTGCGGAATATGTTCATGTAGTAGGACGTATGCGGCGGTGGGATGTTAACGCAGATTACTGACCAGCTACACAGACCGAATGTCGCGAGAGAAGAGAAGATAATGTCCATGGAACCTCGGCCGTCCGGACTAGAAGTCCAGCCTTGTGCATTATCTGCCATGCCTAGCGACGCAGACTACACAAGAAAGAGCACAACAAGAAAATCAGACATAAGGATGGCTAGTGATGCAGTTGAAGAGGAGTACTTATATGTGGAACCAACACCCTTAAGACTCTGGGCGCTTGGCGACGGAGTTGGGGGCCATTATATTTCTGTTTTGAGTCTGAACAGCGTCCGCTCGCGTAGTGGATTGGTTGCTGGCTTGCTCTGCAAGTGTTCCATCGCGCGCGGCGGAGTTGTTGTTTCATCTCATGTCACTGATTACGTTCGTCCATTGTTCGGCCATTCTCCAACAAGAATGGACATTACTCTAATAATCAAGGACAAGTCAGAGAGCAGGTGGAATCGCATGACACCTAGTGGTATGACTAGATGGCCGCATTTCTTGGCCAAGATTAGATGGTGGATGGTTCACGTACCCCAGATCATGCGGTTCCATGGGGTGGTGTTTACTTTGTACATCATTGAAAAGAAGATGATGCCATCGGCATCCTCAAGAACATTCGGAAGGCTCCGGGGTAGGGTCATGAAAGCAGACTAGTCGTACCAGAGACAATTCTCGAAGATGGAGTCGACTGTGTCATAATGCAGGCATCAACATGATAAATACTGCAATTGAGTAGGAAAGAACAAGCGCGCAATAGTGCGAATTGGCTGGACTGTCAGGGTCCAAGGTTGAGTGAGTCTGCAATTTACGATGCGCTCGGGTTACAACTATGAATTCCTCTACGTCAATGTAAAACGAAACCCACATAGATGCGCATTCAAGAGTAGTCTCTATGTGGCCACTTGCGCATAATAAATTATCATCTAACCATATCGATCATGCAGCATTGGAGACGGTTATCAATTCCTAATACCTCGCCTCTTCCGGAGTGGCACAGCAGTAGTCTGTATAGTGATTACATCCTGCCGGTTTGGGGCGAATAAGTTTGTGATATCAGGCAACGACCCCCCCCAACAATGACACTACTTCCTATCCAAGCAACTCCTCCCACACGGCCAAAGTAATCGATCCTCACCTTCTCTACACAATGACTTCCTTTACCCCTAAACAGGCGATACCGCGCGACGATAAACTATTCGGCATCATTGGCGCGAATTCGACACTTACAGTCGCGCACCACGAATTAGCGGTCATCAAAGGCACTTCAGAATATGCCATCGAGAATGGAGCCGTAATCCATGATGCAGCGTGTGGCTTGGGCCCAGTCACAGAAGCGATTTCAGCAGCCTACCCGGACACATCAATCAAGCTTCACGCGACAGACCTTGCGCCTCCAATGGCTGGGATCTACAATATGTTCGCCGAGAACAAGGGCTGGCCATCGAGGGCCGTGATCATGGACTGCGAGAAGCTCGAATTTCCTGACGAAACCTTCACACATACATTCTTGTCCTTCGGTTTGCCTATCATTGACGACCCTATTGCTGCGACTAAAGAAATGTACCGCACATTAAAGCCCGGGGGTACAGCCATAACCGCATTTTGGTTGAGTATCCCACACGGGGAGTCAGCTGGAGAAACACGGCGCGAGGTTTGGGGAAAGGATGCAGAAACTCAGGTCAAGCCGAATGAGAGACACAAGGACCCTGCATATAATCCGGAACTACTCCGACAAGGTGGCTTCACGGGAGAGGTCTTCACGAAGAATGTACCTGTGACTCTAGCCGTTAAAGACATTGACGAGTTTGCTACCGCAATTTGGAGCGCCATTGGAGAACCGAAAGGCGGTTGGATACAGGAGGATGAAGATCGGTGGGAGGAAGCTATTGCTGCTTATAAGAAGGTATTGAGTCAAAAGCCCGGTTATAAGGTTGATGCGCATGGCAAGATTTCTCTCGAATCCGTTGCCCAGATTGCGATCGTGAAGAAGGCATAGGATACTCAAGATAGTGGGCTAGTTAACCTATGAGAAGTTCAGAAACACTCAATTGAGCGCTGTGTTGTACTTTGTAAGCAACGCTTCACTTGACTTTTCTTCCAGTAAGATATCAAGTGTAGCATACCCGAATCAAAATGCATGAATAGTTATCCGTATGTGGCATTGATTAGCATAATCTACACCCAACCTTTGCCAGTTTCTATTCCTGGTTGCTAACCTTACGCTGTGCCTTAGTGGCATAAGAGCATGAGAATATGTGTTGCAAAAAGTCCGATCCAGCACACCAGATTGTGGCATCCCCAAACGTCCGAAGACCTTGAAATATGGCTACCAAGGATAATATTTCTACTCAAGAGTCAGACTCTGACTATTTCCTCCCCGCTAGTCATGCAAAATACGAACGCCTTACGATGTAGCACTGTGTATGGAATGGCAGTGAAAAGGAAGATTGCACAGAAATTCCATAAAAGATACTATCAAATAGCGGAAAGTGCTTCGTATCTACGCATCCAACAATGACAATAGTACGATTTGAATAGAAAACTGAATACTAAGTTGGAACATCAGGTTTGCAAAGAAGAGTTTGACTACAAATTCGCTTCACTTTCTCTTAAGAAATGAACCTTCTTCCGTAGCTTGGCTTTGTGTACAATCTTGACTTGATGGTCCCAACCCGCCCCTCGTTGATTGAGGACCAACATAATGGCCCAATCCAGCTTGCGGATGCTGAAGGGAGAATATACTAATGCTTCTTTCACCCCATAATCAGGCCTAAGTCGAGATCATTGATAAAGTGTGAATTGCTTAGAATTTCGCCATACAGAGCCAGAAAGATGCAGTTGAACAGAAATCATCGTTCTGTGAAATATCGAGACCGAAGCCCCAGAATATGAAACATGTATATGGAACTCGTGGGCTCATTATACCTGCCATTGGCACGGGAGGTGTAGAGCAAGGTAATGTTTTCGTGCATACTGGAAGAAGAGCTGGTAAACTGAGATCTGGGATATATCTGCCCCCTTTCTAATCACTACAAAAGTTATCTAACTTTAAGATGACTGCATTTATGAAAGCATAAGTCTACAAAACCTTGTCTATTTCGATGATTCAATCATTAAGAAAGTCATTTTGTCTGGACTGCTTCCGGATCCTCTTACTCCCATCGCTGTTCTCGAATGCTACCTCACAGGGCATTGGTGGCACGGTCCTTGTCCGGATTGTAACTATATCTCGCACCTGTTTACAAAGATTTGACAGTTCTCACTGCCGCTGAATGTGTCCCAATTAAGTTTCATTTCCTCTCCTTGTACCGTATGCCGGCCATGCTCTTACTCTTTTTCCGTTATCTTGCCAACATAGCAAGTGTTGAAGCCGGTACCAAGATAGAGTTGTCCAAGGCTGTATCACACACAGAGCCTTGCAAGTGAGGCAAACAAAACATTAATATCTACCTACTGTAGCAGAACCATGTGATCCGTTGAAAATCATTCCAGGAACTTGGTAGACCCGAAAAGCACCTATCTTCGCCCAATTAGCGAAGAATATGAGTCCAATCGTCGTCGGAGCCGGAACGTGATCTACATGGTCAAGACAGGGCTGAAGGGAAAAAGCAAGTCAACATCCCCCACACTCCCGGACATCCACACGTCCTCCAAGTTTTTGTACCTGCGCCGGGATCTTTCCAATAAAACCCCTTCCAATCAAAACACTAGATCCTCCCACAAGGCTTCGGAACATATAACGCCTCATTCTGCACCATTACCTATCTCACGGACATCCACCCTTGACGACGCAACACCAACGACCACCACCACCCATCAACATCTCTCAGCTCTTATCGCAAACAAAGAGACGGAGCTGTCACATACGACCACTGGACTCTGAAAACAGGGCTTCCCGTTCGCTCAGCCGGACTTAAGCAGAGTACTGGCGGATTAGTAGCCAAGTGGGTGACTATTGGCGAATCCCCGCTGTTGTATGTTTTTTTGCCGCTTTGATGTGCTGATCGCAGATTGGGTTGGGAAGGAGCACTAGGTGTTGACCGGAATAGATTGTTGTTGTTGTTGGGTGACGATGTTCATATTTGTTAGAGAAATGGTCGTTGGAAAAGAATTGCCCAATCTCTCGGAGCAGTACTTTTTGGGGAGCAGCCTGGCAACTCCTGTCAGAGAACCAGGTTGGATTGTAGGTTTGATAGGCAGGAAGTTAGTTCTTCAAAGCACACAAATCCATCGGGAAAATGTAAGTTATCATAGTTGGCAATACTATTTGATTGTATAGCATGCTGCCCGCCAAAAGTCCGAATTAGGAAGATTGTTATAATCAATTGCCTATTTGATTCTAGTTTACACATTGTAAATTGCCCAGAAATTGTTCAGACATACTATCTGCTCGTTATTTGGAATTCAGACATCACTTCTCCCACAGTTGGTTGTGTTAGCTCCCACGGCTCCATAGATGATTGTGAAATCCAAACGCATTATGACGTGACGCAGATATACGAAGACGTAGAACAGCTGCTAAGCTCCGTACAGCCTCGGCTTTTTTACTATTTTACTTTTCCTTTTCCAGTTTCATCGAATCAAACGAAGAATAGACAGCGAATTTAATAATTCCAGGGTCCATCTATTAATTAATCAATCAATTGACCAAGCAGGTACCTACCTAGTTGGTCAACCCTCCGCCCCTCCATTGAAGCTTCCCCGCCAAACAAACACCCGCAACCGTCCATCCATCCATCATCCATCCTACAACTACAACAATCATTCCACGCAACACCCACGATACCCAATACTTAATCTCCAACCTACACACAACACTCGGAAGCCTCTAATCGCTTTCCACCTACATGCCCACCACGCGCAGCCAAAAGAAAGAAGCCCAAATGTCCGAAGCCCTCCGCATCTTCTTCTCCTCCCCGCGCTTCGCCGTCGCGGGCGCAAGTTCCGACACCGCAAAGTTCGGCCACAAAGGTACGCTCGTTCCCCTCCCCTCCTCTCTCTCCACCTTTCCTTATATCCTTCTACTCTACCTACCCACGAGACTCCCTTCTCGCCCGGCCGAAAGAAAGCAAGAGTGAACTAACATGTGAGTGCGGAACAAATAGTGTTCGCATGGTACCTCCAACACTCGCTCCCCGTCACGCCCTTGAACCCACGCGCACCCACCATCACCGCGCTCTCCGCGGACCACGAGACCGTCGCCTCGCCGTCGAAGCTCGCGGACCCGTCCTCGTACTCCTTATCCGTCATCACGCCCCCCGCGGTCACCAAGAACCTACTCAAGGAGGCGAAGGAGGCGGGCGTGCCGGCGGTGTGGCTGCAGCCGGGGACGTTCGACGACGAGGTGTTGGAGTATGCGAGGAGGGAGTTTAAGGCGGCGATTGCGGGGGAGGGCGGGAACGGCGGGGAGGGGTGGTGTGTGCTTGTGGATGGGGAGGAGGGGTTGAAGATCGCGGGGAGGGAGTGGAGTCGGTTGTGATAGGGGAGGGCATGAATGTGTGTGTCGGTGGGTCTTGGTGGATTGATGGAGATATAAAGTCTGCAGCAAGAGGTGGTGATTTTGTCTGCCATTAGTAGTGGATTTTCAATGGAGTATGAGCGAGCTGGAGACTCTGCCTGGAGTGTATTTTGAATATTAAGGTCTTCGGTTTGCCCGCTTCTACAGATCCAGCGGTTTCGTGTCTTCGATGGCTTCTTCACGAAAGGACTTATTCAGGGAGGACTCTACATCATCATTTGTCTGGGACATAAATGGGTACCTAGGTAGGTAACATAAAGATAGTAACAAGCAGGCACTCACACACACATGAACACGCATTCTCTGCAAGACACACATCGAATTGGAAAAAGTCTAAGTATCAAGATATCATTATGGTAGTGACAGAATTTGACGTAAAGAGAAGAAGAAGAAGCTACGAAAAGGAAGAGAGAGAAACAAAACAGATACGCGCCCACACGACGGAACCACACGAACTTACCAAACCGACACTCACTCCTACCTTCGATGCCAGCACACCAGCGGCCCAACCAGCCATCACCTTACCGCGCCGGGGCTTCGTTCCACTCCCGTTACATAAGGTTATTCAGACCACCATATCGAGAGCAGAAAGACAATACCCCCAAGGCTTTTCGTCGATGAAGGAGAGAGCGCGAGAGCCGGCAAAATTACACACAGTGAGTGGTCGCGTGGCTCTCACTGATTGGAGGCGCGCGCCGACAAGTCGATATGGCGAGACATATGAGAGGATAGATCGTAAGCGAAGCCTGCCACGACCCCTAAGGTATCGATTGGTGTAGGGAGAAAGGAAGGAAGAAACCCCCGCCCGCCGTTGAAGGAATCTTGGGGTTTCTGGCCCCCCTTTCCTCTGGAGGGTATGTCGTGGAGTGAAGGTTTTCCAATTTGAGTTTGCAGTCATCGGTAAGCTGTATGCGTGCGTGCGTTGTTGCTGCAGAAAAAGGCTGACGGTGTGCTACGTTGAACAGGCAAAGCAGAACAACACACGCACGCGCGTCAGAAAGGAGAAGAGGGGAAAACCCGACGCCCGGATCCGACATGTGACCGTGAGCGAACGGGCCGAAAGAAAACAATATAGAATACGGAGTACTCAAGTTGGGGGTGAGGAAGATGCAAGTAGAGGATGAGGAGGAGGAGAATAAGAACGAGAAGAAGGACGGGTATGTTGAATCCCGCCACGATACTGCGAACCAATTCCTGTTGGTGCAGAAGATGTTATTTATTGTCCACCCGAGATCCTTTCTCCCCCTGACTCGTCGTCACAGACTCAAGCCAGTTGGAGAGCTTCAAAGGTAACCTGTATCCCTTGACTTTCAGAGAGCAAGTGTGTTGAAAACACCCCCTCTATCCCATGTTTCTTTCCATGATCAGTAGAAGACCCGGATCACCTCGTCGTTCTCGGCCTCCTCGGCCAGATTCCAGAGCTCCTCGACCCGTGCTACGGGGCCGATGCGGTCTTCGAATGACTCTCCCAGCCTGAAGACGCAGGAGAAGACGACGTGCGATCCGAGACTCGCATAGTGGAATGCTTGTGTGGCCGCCGCCTCGCGACTTCCACATCTCGCCATCATGTACATCTTCCTTCCCGGATGGGGGCATCCGGGAGCGTGACCTTGGAGCGCTGACATCACCACGCAATACTCGAGGTCAGTAGATTCGAGCGCCTCGGACTTCTCATCCGTACAGGTTTGGCATCTCCCGGAGAAGTCGTCGCAGCCCGAGTGGTCTTCGCCGCAATCGTAAATGTCGTCGTCGGGAGGAGTCGTCAGCGCAGCAGATGCCCACAAGATGGGTTGCTCGAAAGTGATAGGCATGACCTCCTCTACCGCCGGAATCTCGTCTGCTTTCCGGCCCGAGAGCTCTTGTCTTGCCCAGTGATGGCGCTGCGACTTGGTCGGTTTGAAGTACCATTTGTCCGAGTCGCCGTACTGGAAGAGCCACTTGTACTCCTCGAAATCGGCGGCTTGGGCTGCGTGTACCTGCCTCAGAATGTGCCTTCGAGGATACCTGATCTCGAAGATGGTGTCTTTCCCGTGGAAGGGCCCAGATAAGTACCGACCCGGTACGACAATGTCAGGGGCGTTCTGAACAGGTGGTGGAGGAGGCGGCGGCAACGGAATTAGCTGTTGCTGTACTGATTAGTCTTTCTTTTATACTCTAGCAACATCAGATCAAACTACTTACTGGCGACATTGGAGGGGGAGGGGGAGGAGGAGGTGGTGGTGGTGGTGGCGGCGGCGGCGGCGGCGGCTGTTGTAGCAGTTAGTCAAAGTCTCCTATTCTCTCTTTCGAGAATGAATCTTACTGGCGGCGGAGGTGGAGGAGGAGGGGGAGGAGGAGGAGCCTTGGAATCAGCATTAGCAGCATCACCACATCATAGACTGCAAGACATACCATCATCGGGGGCGGAGGGGGAGGCGGAGGCGGAGGAATAGGCGATACCTGCAAGTAAGTTAGCTACGGCACAACCTCTAGGGAGAATCGTCGTTACATTCGAATACCTGGAAGCAGGGTAGCCTCGATACGGCAGAGATGGCCCTTTGAAAGGTGTAAAACTGGGCAGGTCTGGTTCCATCTGATGCAGAAAGCTATCATAGCTGGGCTCCACCTTACGACCGGGGCAGCCATCCAAGGGACAGTTCACGCTCGAGCAGTGAGGAAACTTCTCGGGATCCCGAAGATGCATGTGCATGGCCATGTGTAGAGGCATACGGGGCATGCTATCGGCCACTGGAGGGGGTCTCGGCCTGACGACACGGTCTGTTGTCAAACAGTTTGAACAACATTTCGATGGGGGGTGATCTGGAAAGCTCATTTCCGATGGGTGCTTCCCATCTTCGCGGGCAGACTTCGTTTTGGAGATCACCTTTTTGGCTTCTGATGGAGTGGAGCGTCCGGAAGCCTGAGAATCCTTTGGCGACGTTACGGACTCATCGCCGATGAGAACAATGTCCTCGTCGTCCATAATGTCCTGAGCAGTACCAGGTTGGTGCTGGGATAATTTCAGGATTGAGGGCGAGGTGGAGGACGAAATTGTCAATGATAACCTGATCTAGGAGGACGACACGAATTATATATAAACGGCCGTCAAGCTTGCAAGCTTGCAGTGACGGGCATTAGGCAATTGAGCTAATGCCCGGAATGAGGCATGTGCAGCTTCAAAGAAGTGGTAACCTGTAGAAGCGGGGACAGACCCAGCCGTACGTCTATAGGAAAATAGGGCGATCGTGGTCCAATGGTAAAGACAAACGCAGGCTGTGATACCCAAGGAATTTGGGTCGACGTGGATGCCAGCTGGATGTTATCTAAAGATCGCAGGGGTCCTCGCACATGGTAGTTCGAGAACAGGGCAGGCGTCATCCTTCAATGGGCACTAGCAGCCCCAAGTGAAAGCCATGCTTCACTGGCTTTTGAAACGTAGGTGTATCGGTCCTGCTCGTCATCAAGTTATGGAGTACGCCATATATGGTGCTGAAACATCATAAGCGCTTCGCTTCACTTCAACTCCAGCCAGCAAACAAACTATCCCTCACCAGATTCAAGCCATGTTCAGCATCTGGTGAGCTGTGGTTTTGCACATCGGTTTCATCCATCTCTGAGTAACCTGCAGTACGACCATGTGCGTCGCCTGGGCGAGTTGACAGACAATTCAAGTGATTTGTTTCTATGGGCACCTGGTGTCAATGAGTCAAAGAAACTCGGTAACACGGATGTTCCACCGATTTTGATCTCATGCTCTCCATTCCAGGCATCTCTTTCAGACATTGTTCAATGAGTAACCGTTGGCTACGGTATCCACTGATCTGGTACAAGGTCTTACGAGTTCCCCGCGAGTTTGGGTTCGTCGTATTGTGGGAATTAGTGCCGCCATCTCTGGTTCCCCCCAGGAGTAGGCGAGCAGGCAACTGGAGAAAATGCATCTGATTCGACATAGTTGCCTGAATGGGTGACTACTGGTGTTCTACTATGTAAAGCCTGCAGATTGGCGGTGAAGATTGAGATGCAGCATTGTGACACAAAATGGCCCATACATGATCAAAAGCTTGGTCGGACCAAGTTATAGATCGATTGCTCTTCGCCAGGGAGTAGTTTCCCGCATATTTTGGATGGTTGCCTTGATAAGCTGGATGCTTGTGGAAAGAAGGCGATACAACAGGATTCAGTGCCAAGAACAGTGAGTCGATGAAATCTGCTGAGGGTGCACGGAATGCAAGGCACAAGGCGATAGAAATCCAATTGGTTACACGGAGTGTTGGATCAATGACGAGATGTGAAGATCAGATAATAATGAATGACGAACTTATAGTGATGCGACGAAAGGGGACATGGCTTGAGATTGTAATTTGGAAAAGCAAAGCATTCAGCCAATAAATAATACCCTAATCCGTAAATATTCCTTAAAGCTCTGCGCCACCAAGGCGACGAGGCTAATTGCCCGACTGGTGCGTTCCGAGCATACTCGTGCAAAAAAGCAAAGAAGCCGGGCCAGGAGGAAGGAAACCAAACTAAGTCTGTGTATCTCTTGCCACTGGAAAATGAGGTAAATGCAGGGCAACAAACATGGGCAACCTTGGAATTTTGTAGTTTCTGGGGTATTCCCATCGATGACCTGGAGGACGACCAACGTCCACTGAACTAGCCGGTGATTGGAATAAAGACTCAGAATAGGCGCCGCTATATCTCATGGGTTATTTCGAGCCATGTTTCAGGAAGATGGATTGAAACTCAATCGTGGCATAGGGTCGAGTTCATAATTGTCCAAGCAGTGCGTTGCGCCATCTCATACTGCAAGTTCACTACGAGATGGTAGTTATGAAAAGGAGATGCAATGAACCACACCTCATACGAAGCTCCAGTATAGTTCTTCATGATATATTAGTAATGACTGTAACTACGAGTTCTATAAGCAATTGGGAGTTTATAATACTTTGATCTATTAGTAGCAGTACCTACCCAGGTAGATTTGGGATTGGACATAGACATCTTGGATGATTTATTAATTCATGCTGAAATACTATAGTACTAGAGGATAAGTGAAAGTTCAAAGCAAATAAATAATTCAAATGATTGCCTTGATTAATCCTAAGTATGATGAATTGTCATTGTATTCAATATGGACGGAGGTAATATCTCTTCATAGTCGGTTCACCCATCTCCACGACTATGTAAACGCGCTAACCCCATAATGGACTAGCGGTACATCATTGCTCAAGCGTCATTCGAAGCTGGCAACCTTGACAGCCAAAGCCAGCGCTTGCCATCAGTGTACTGACGAGAAGTCCGAAGCTACAACGACACCTCACAACGACACATCCATCTCTATCTCCACCAGTATCCTCTACCGCTTTACCGACAATCCACATCCATTCATCATGGCGAACGGGTAATGTTCCCGCCCTCCACTCCCTCCTTCCCCGACCGCAAACACGACAGACGATAGCTAACACCCACCCACAGCTGGGCACCTTTCATCGGACTCATTGTCCTCGCAATCTTCTGCGCCGGAGCATGGTTCGGCTCACCAAAAGGCGAGAACCAAACGTACGTTCCAACTCCACCCACCATCCCTCCACACATCCCAGCACCACCACGCGCATAAGCTCCCCGTGTTCCCTCATCATCAATCACCCTACCTACCCTCAATTCACATGCGCTCCCCTCGCCCTCTAACGCACAAACCCCCCTCCTCCCACGGAAACAACCGTACTAACAGCGTCGTCTTCGCGCGCACAACAGCATCTGGCGCTCGACGCTCCTCCTCTCCGCCGTCTCCATGTACCTCATGTGGGCGATCACCTTCCTCGCGCAACTCCACCCTCTCATCTCGCCGATCAGAGAGGACATCCGGAATCTGGGGCATTAGGATTGGGGTCCGTTGCGTGTGCCCGTGTAACAGCATTGTACGAGCTTGGTTTGAGAAGTGGGCGAGGAATTGAAGAGTTGGGTGGTGGTGGTGGAGGGAGTATGGTATGTCATGCGGTAGTTGGGCTTTTGCAGGCATGTGGATGAAGAAGCTGGAGAAGCTGGTTACGGGATTGGACAGCGTAATTCTGAGCGAGTGCTCGAGGAAGAATGAGTACGATTCAATTGAGAGAGAAAGAGAGGATGGTCCGGTCAGCATGGAATTGGGAAACGTCCCGCCTTTTGAAAGAAGGGAGTGTACGCGGGGTCTTCAGCAATGGGTCATTTGGCGTTTTTATTTGTCTTATCTTTTTCTTTTCTAATTGACCGGCCACGAGAAAAGAGTAGCCTGGTGTGTTATAGCGCGATTTTGTACATGTACTACCAACGCTTTTGGGACCAGCAATTGATTGAGGAGGAGGGATATCATGTCCTTGAGGGGGAGGGATATCATGTTCGAGAGACACATCGAAACATTTGCATAGATTCATTGCCATTGCGTCTCCAACCCATGCTTCTCCTGTACATGAAGTCTAGCCTCCACAACCTCAAGGATTACGTGGGCCCAACTGTCTTCAACTCTAATCGCCTCTATGATACAACTCCCCCCGGTGGTCGCTATGGGTCTGACGTGGACCTTCTATCGGTGGAGCAGCCCTCTACGTCGAGTCTATCCTCGAGAGTGCCCTCTCTGCCACCTCTGGTATTTCAGTGCCTCCTCTGGTATCTCAGCGCCGCCTCTGGTATTTCGTGCCTCCTCCGGCATTTCGTCGCCTCCTCTGGTATTTCGCACATCCTCTGCCACTTCGCACCCCATTCCCTTCCTCTTGATCCCATACGCCAGACAGACAATCGTACAATGCAGTCATACATCACATCACATCACATTCCCACCCAATTGATCAAACCCCTCACCCCCTCCAGCAACCCCCCAACCTCATCCCCCAACCCAACACCCCTAACCACCAACCCACCGACCACACTCCTCAACCCTGCCCCGACGCCCACCAGCACCCCTGCTCTGACGTACCCACACCCCATTAGGATTTCCATGGCTGCCACGTTATTCACGATGACGGCCCAGCTGACGGCCGTCGCGCTCCACTTGAGGTCGTAGTCCCAAATGATGAGCAGGATCGGGAACAGTTTCGTGCAGGATGAGACGAGGAGCGCAGTGCTGAGGGGTGTCGGGTGCGGGTAGTGTGGTATTAGGCGTGTGAAGGGTTTGCGGAGGGGGGACGGGATGCGTGTGGGAGGGAGGGAGCACAGGAGGCGGATGGGGAGGTGGAAGGAGAGGGTGGAGAGGGTGACGAGAAGGAGGAAGAAGAGGTATTGGAGGATTAGGGGTTGTGCTTGGAGGATTGCGGCGTTGGTGTTTAGGTCTGGGGAGAGGTGCGCGGGTGTGGTTGTGTTTGCGAGGGTTGAGGGGGTTGCGACGCGGTAGGGGGAGCTGGGTGGGAGGGAGAGCTTCTCGATTCGCGCCCAGGTTAGGTAGACGTCGAAGAGGAGGAGGAGGACTCCAAGACGGAAGATGGAGCGCTGGAGAGGTGGCGGTTGTGGTTAGTTCCAGGTGGTAGAGGGAAGATGTTGAGATGGGAGGGAACGTACGTCGAATTTGTCGTCTTCGCGTCCCAGGCGGTTGAAGAGAAGGTGTCTGTAGACCTGGTAGGTTGTTTAGTATCTTGATCTTATATGAACTATATGAATTCGGGCGTAGAACAATACCTGTGGTTTAATCAACACAAGGTCGATAAACAGCACTACGAAATCGTGCTCGACATATTTGTCGGCGAAACGCTTGCAGCGCGGGCATTGCGTGAGCTGCACTCCTTTGCCTAGGGATCGATCATCGGCCTTGCTGTATTCTGTGTAGAGTGTCTTGACAGGCCATCGACATTCTATGCATATAGGCATGAAGATGTGCAACTGTGGGGTATAGAGTGTGTAATGCGAATGTGGGGTGTAGAAGACTACGAGTTAATCTGATAGATGCAGGTACTCTTGCATATCCGGAGATTGGGCTCGCCAAGCATGTTAATTCCGTCTGGTCGTCTCATTATAACAGCTATGCGGAGAAAAATAAAAAGACCTTTGCATAATAGTGGAAATCATTTGATATTTAAACATTTCGTCATAGTCATTAGTTACATATCTCGTTACTGTGACACAATTTCCTCTCAAAATGGAGAGGTCCCTGCAAATCCCCGTTTGTATAAATGCGCCAATCCAGTCCCAGTCCCCATAACCATTATCACAAAGTTGAAAATGATGCTGCCAGAGCTGAGAGAAACATATCGTAGAAACCGTGAAGGCCATATCGTCCCTTCGTAATCTAGTAGAACATAGGTGTTGCCAAATCAGGTGGAAAGTCTTCGGAGACTGCTTCGGGTCGAGGTTTATGTGAGTGTAGCCATCATCGCAGCAACAAGCTCTGGCCGGGGCCCCCTTCGTACTGTCCAGAATATCAACTCCATTCTCTAGTGGGCCGAGCGGACAAGGGCTAACCTACCCTTTCTGTCTTTCTCCACGCGGATGATCTCCCGTTTAGGCTCTCGTCGCTCAATGATCTCGTAATCGCCTTCACGCTCATACTTGAGCATTCTTCGCTCCGCCTCTAGGGCGCGGATCTCGTCCTTGATTTCCCTTTCGGTGCGGTAGTCGCGTTCAGTGCGAACGATCCTGCGCTCCTCGGGGACGAGAACGGTCAGTGGACCTCCGATGTGGTTGGATTCCTCGATCCGCTCTTCGTAGATCTCATGGCGAGGCGGCGAGGCACTGCGGACGGACTGTGCATAGTGCACGCTCTGCGGTGGTGGGGGCGGCGGTGGAGGAGCCACTGAGTGGTGCACAGAAGGAGGCGGCGGAGGATGATGGTGATGGTGAATGACCGATGGAGGCGGTGGTGGAGCGATGTATTCCTCCTGTGGTGGTGGCGGTGGTGGCGGGGGAAGGGCTTCGAATTCCTCTTTCCTTTCTTCATACACGTAGGTTGTTTTCTCTGTCGTCATAGTTAGTAAAATGAAATGTATCGCTGCATGTCGACTCCGCACCTTCTTTGTAGCTTTCGCTTCTCTTTATTATCTCATCAATATGCTCCTTCTCGAGAGCTCGACGTACGATGATGAAGTCCTCCTGTTCGGGGTTAGCTTAGAAAGCAGAAAATGGTAACGATACCTACTTCTTCCTCGTACGGGTAACCAAGGTCGATGATGGCCTGCTTCTTCACCAATCGCTTTGGCATCCTGGTCTTGCCCTTTCGTCCGGCTAGCTTGACGGGAGCTTCGACTTCCTCAAAGCTAGAGGATGACGAGCTGCGCACAGAGTGGGCAGCGATGCTTCGCGCGGCTCGACTCCGGCTTCGTGCACGACGGGTGCTCTTTTCCCTTCGAACCTTAAACTCTCGGAACTCTTCTCTGTCGTCCCTTCGGGGTTGTCGTTCATAAGCGAGATCTTCATAATCGTCTTCTTCGTAGCGGCGACCGGGGCGAGAGGGTGAACGTCTACGCTCACGGATGGGAAGCGGGATTGGAACATTGGCTGGAGCCCTCCATTCGTCGCGGTGATCGATTTCTCGTCGATCATGCTCACTATAACGTGGAAGCGGCCGGCGGTCGAACGTGTCCAAAGACGATTGTCGACGGATGTACTGAGGGCGGGCTGGACGGCGGACGGCAAGATCAACATCTCTCTCGACAACGCTCTTGCGTCGATAGGGAGCAAGTGCTCGATTGGCCACCTCGGAGGGAGTCGGGTCTTCGAAAAGTTCGTTTCGGCGTGGCCGGCTGAAGCGCTCATCCTCTCGGAAGCGATCACGTTCCATGACCGGGGCACCGCGGCCGCCTCGACGGTCGATGTCTTCATGAATGTCGACGTCTCGACGGCCTCCAGGGAAGCGGTCGTGCTCTTGAAAGCGGTAATGGTCAAATTCGTCACCACCACGTCCTGGAGGTCCTGGAGGTCCTCGGCTCCTCATGCGTTCGAACCTATCACGATCCCATCGTTCCGCGCCACCACCTCGGATGGGTGGATCATCATGGTAGCTCAAATCTCCGGTAGAAGCACGATACATGATTGCTTTCGTTTATAGAGCTCAGGGGTTGCAAACCCAATAGTAAATAAGTGTTGATACCAAATGATGTGGGTGGATGCGGGGGAGGGCGGGTCAACAGAATATAGTGCGAGAGCTACTACTGTGTAAGGGGGGTATTATGAATTGACAGAACGAGAGAATGATGGAGAGAGAGAGGGAAGATGAATTTGGAGTGAGCGGGTGGCTTTATCTTGCAAGCGAATGCTAGGACTCAGGAGAGACGCGGAAGGTCTTGGGCTTTTTGGGATTGTGCCAGGGAGGAAGGGAGGGAGACGTCGAGATAAAAGTTGGTGGAGTGGATGATGCGGCCAACTTGAGGGTTGGAGGGTAGGGAAGTGCCATGTCGTGCGTCATCGGGCGCCATCCCACCTCCACCTCCCACAGCAACACCTCAATCACACACCACACACTATGTACACACACTACACACTATGAGTACATAATTACACCGTACAGAGCACACAATCACACATTTTAACACTTACGAGTGTCGACCCCTGCATGAGGGAACGGTTACGAAGACGGACATCGGTCTGCTACTGGCGGATCTACCATCCATCCATAACCTACTTCGACATGTGCTCAACAAGCACCATACGCAATCAAGAATACCTTATATATTTTGCAAATCACATCTCGTCCTCACTATGCACTCGTACTCTGACTTGAAACAGACCATCGCCTTTCCGCTGTTCGTTTGGGCACTCATTAGTACGAGTGTTCGACCCATTCAATTAACAAAGGCGCACAATGCTGAACAAGCATAAGCTCTTTCACACTCTATGGATGGGCCATGGACCACCGGTGTCTCTAGTCCGGAGGGATTATCCCTCCCTTCGATGATAGGAATAAGAAAAGAAAATGTCTTCTGACCTGGGACGGAAGAGATGGAGATTTGCTGGACATGGAGATGCATGGAGGTTTCTTGTCAAGCACAATGACGTAGCGGCTGCATTGGTTGCATCCGTTGCACTGGTGGCATTGGTGGTGGGAAACTGGGGGGCTGGGCTGGGCTGCGACATTCGAGACTCCAAAGACAGGGGGACGAGGCGAGGGACCGGAGGGTGAGGCCGCAGTGAGGCGGTCGGTATCTACTGTACACAGTAGCACTCTCTCTCTGGGTCTGGTGTCTGGGTAGCTCATTAGTGGGATATCTGAAACCCGCCATACTTACGTCTACACCTTCGCCTATGTCTATGCCTATGCCTATGCCTATGCCTCCAGTGTACACAGAGTACTGCCGTTCGTTGTCGCCATACCTTCCGATTGAACGGACAGCTCTAATTTCTGGTACAAGTTTCCAATGTCATCTAAAAACTTCCACTTGAACGAACAGTATCTGGGACTGTCGAAGAGACAAACCTGCATATCAGATGGCCTGTAGAATTGCAAAGGCCATAGAGCGCTGATCATATTACCAAAGGGATACTTCAATCTTAGATGTTTGTGGATAGTCACTACATCCTATTCGCAAGCCTGTCCTTCCGACTATGATATTCTCCGCATTATCCAGACAGAATACCACTACTCACATAAACAATGAGCTCAGCACAGTCTCAGGCGCAGATTCGGCACAACCTACCATCTTGCCAATTGTTGATCTATATTGGCCTACAATGCTAGCTTACAGGAATTGAGATTACATACGTTAAGTATAGGCTATCATACAATCATTCCAACGTTATCACCAACTCGTCAACCAGTCGCCCTTTTCCCTTACGAAGTGAGCTCCTTAACCTTCTCAGAGATGTATTTCGAATCGTGCACTTTGCCAGCAACCTCAGCAAAGATTGCCTTCATGACTGCTCCACGGTTGAACGCTGTAGGGTCGCTCTTGGCCTTATTCACTACCTCTTGGATCACTCTATCCATCTCCTCCTGACTGAGCTGAGGAATCTCTTCCTGGTATCCCTTCATGACTTCAATCTGGCCCTGCTCCTTTTGTACCAAATCGTCCCTCTTCGCCTTCTGGAATTCCTCCACCGACTTCTCGGATCCTGCAATCTGTTTGTTCAGAAGCCCGTACAGCAGAACGTCGGATTCGATGGGCTTGTTCGTTTTGGAGGCATTCGTTATCTCGGCGAGAAGCGCACGCAGAACATTGAGCCGCGGGGTATCTTTCGAGCGCATCGCAGTCTTCAGGTCACTTCTGAGGCGGGACAGGACCGGCGAGTCTGAGTTCAATCGCGGGCTTGTGACGAATGTGCGTGCACATGTGAATTGAATGGAAGGCCGCGCAAAGCGGAGTCCAGCGGATCGGAAAAGAGACATTGCTTTGTTCTATTTAAGGCAATTCGTTGTGGTAGTTGTTTGTGTGGTTGAGGTGCAATCGTGGGTCGTATGAGGGTTGATCTTAAAATAGGGTATCGTGCCCAATGATTCAGGACGATATCAGGGAATCCTCAGATATACTTGAAAATGCTCGTAGGAAAGGAAATATATTGTTTTTGTAGTTTGTATGCCTATTTCATGAGGCATACTCTCACATACCATTGTATCTTCTTGACAAGAAAATTGCATGACTAACACGCGCGCGCGCGTCCAAGCTCAGATCCCTGCGCTCTCTTGGCACAGCTTTTGTTGTTCGACTACAGCTTTCACAGCTTCATTTGCGCCTCCATTCACTTCAACGGCGCAATTGGACTTGTCGTTCCCTTTGTTTCCATCGCTTGCGCTCTCGCATTTTCCTCTCGGTCAGTGTGCGCAACATCTAATGTCCATGTCGGCCAACAGCGCGTAACTTCGCCTTCATCCTAACCCTCCTTCTCACTACGCGGGTTCCATCACCACGACAGAGACCCTCCACTTCCAAATAGAGCCATCGCGATGAATCCACCTGCGACACCTCAACGCCCTGGGCCGGGGGTCTTCCCCATCACTCCTGCGCCCGCCCGGCCAGAGCTACGAAGAGCACCAACGGCGCAGCCTACACCTGCATCTACAGCCATAGAACGGGCTGCGAAAACAGTCAATGAAATGTTGGAGAAGGATCGACGATATCGCGACCTAGAGTCATATGTTGGACGTGAGTGGTAATCTGGATCAGTTGTGGAGTTGGGGAAGTGCTAATATCTGTTTGTGTAGAGGGCATATCCGGCGACTATGAACCCGCCGAACACATTGCGTTGACACCGTTCCAGAAGCTCAGGACATACGAGATCCCGGAGCGCATATTCGAGCAGGTCAATGAAACCCAGATCAACACCAACATGGGCTTGTTCGCGGAGATCAATCACGCCTGGGTCTCAGTTGACAATCAGCTCTACCTCTGGGACTACACACATCCCAACCCAGAACTCGTTGGATACGAAGAACAACCCCATCTCATTACAAGTGTTAAGCTTGTGAAGCCACGGGCGCGTGTATTCGTTCCCACTATCTCACACCTGCTAGTAGTCGCGACTGTAGAGACCATCTTCCTCATCGCTGTCGAGACTAACAGGGGCCCGGAAGGCGTGCTTGGAATAACACTCTACCGGACTGGATTCTCCGTCTCTGTGAGAGGTACTTCGGTCTCTGCTATTGCTGGTTCGGCAAAGACAGGGCGGATTTTCTTTGGCGACGGCCGAGATTCAGAGGATGTCTACGAACTCTACTACCAGCAGGAGGAGAAGTGGTTCGCTAGCAAATGCAGCAAGACAAACCACGTGAAAAAGTCGATCGGTTTCCCATCGCTAGGCTGGTACTCGGCCGCCAAATCTCCGTATGTTGTACAAATGGAAGTGGACGATACGCGCAATGTGCTATACACCTTATCCTCGAATGGAAACATCCGCGTGTTCCATATGCGAACAATCACATCGCTCGACCTGGCCATTACGATGCCACTTACAAGATTAAGGACAATGTGTAGCCACATCATTCGTCAATCCGAGTTGCTGGACCCGAACATGAAGATCGCTGGAATCGACCCAATCGCGGCACCCGAGGCCGGTCAGCTATCGCTGGTTGCGACGACAACCTCTGGAGTCAGGATATACCTTAGCACAACTACTGGCGGCTATTACAGCGATGCAATGGCTGCACCCAATAGTATGCAAGTACGACATATTCGACTCCCTCCAGCGGACGGCAATCCCCCTCCCCAGGCAACTTCTTCGCAGCTACAGCCATATCAAGCAGCTGCGCCCCTAGGCTACGACTCCAAGGTTTTGACAACCACCATAAAAGCAGCTAGATTTGCTCCAGGATCGTTCTTTTGCTTCGTGGCCAAGCCAAGCGACCCAAATCAACACTTCCTCTTTGCATCAGCACCACACACCGGAAAGATTGGAAATGACCCTTCTCCAAATGTGAGATTCACGGAAACATCTCAACAACACCCTCTCGGAGGTCTCGTCCAGGATATTGGATTGGTTTCAGACCCATTCTCTGCTGCGGAGCGGCCGATTGGTTTTGGAAATGAGCTTGCAGTACAATTCGACAGGAAGCAGACTGAGTTTGCCATCATGACGCACAATGGTATCGAGACCATCCGGAGACGGCGTCTAGTGGATATTCTGGCTTCTATCATCAAATCTCCAGGTGGCTCGGAAGGCATTGAGGGTGATATCCGATCTTTGTTATCACAATACGGCGTGCGAGAGCTTGCTTCGGCGGCTCTTGCTGTTGCATGTGGCCAGGGTTCAGACGTTGGCCCTGACTCTCGCGTGGCCAAGGTCAGCGACCCAGAGGTTTTGGAGTTTGCTCGAAAGGTCTTCATTGAGCACGGCGGCCGTGCAAGCTTGGACGACAACACGCGACCTGACGACTTGACTGTCGATAGCGTCCGACCATCCCCTAGACACGATGGAATCGCCATGTACGTCTCTCGATTGGTTCGTTCGATCTGGCAATCGCCAATCATCAAGGAAAAGAAGATCCCGACCGGGTCGATCTTTGAGCCTGTTCACAGTATTGGGAAGCTCCAGGAGATTCAAGGCGCTTTGGTGCAACTTCAAGAGTTCTTGGATACAAACAAACAGCATATTGATGGCCTATCCGGACCCGAAGCAATGGGTCGCGTGACCTCGCGCAAAGACGAAATCGAGCTTCAAGGCGAGAACCGCGCTTTGAGTAGCTTGCTTCAACTCATCAATAACATTATTGAAGGCATTGCCTTCGTCTTGGTCTTGTTCGATGAGCGACTGGAAGACATTCTCGTTCTGCTTCCAGCAGACTCGAGGGCAAGCGTTCTGCAGCTCACTTTCCAAGGACTCTTTAGCGTCAGTCAGGGCAAAGTGCTCGCGAAGGAGCTTGTGAAAGCCATTGTCAATCGCAACATCACCAAGGGTTCGAACGTCGAGACAGTTGCGGAAGCACTTCGAAGGAAGTGTGGAAGCTTCTGCAGCTCTGACGATGTTGTCATCTTCAAAGCGCAAGAAAACCTGAAGAAGGCCAGTGACCTTGGTGCCAATGCGGAGCAAGGTCGAATTCTTCTGAACGACAGCTTGAGGCTGTTTGAGCAAGTGGGCAAGAGTTTGAGCAATGAGCACCTTACTGCTGCTGTGAATAAGTTTGTGGAGTTGCAATTCTATGCTGGTAAGTCTAGCGGAGATGATGGTCAAAGAGCATTTGTACTGATAAAGTCACAGGTGCAATCAAATTAGCATTGAAGGTGGCACAAGACAGTGATCGAGGTAACAAGGCTTTGTCTTGGATAAAGGATGGTCGACCAGCACAGGATGTGCGAGAAGAGGTGTACATCAAACGTACAGAATGCTACGACCTCATTTTCCGCGTCATTGAAGCCGTTGACCAAGTTGCAAACACTCAACCTCCCACACAGGACGGTGTCATCTCGGTTATTGACCGCCGGAAGCACGAAGCTTACGAGCAAATCAACAACTCGGAGGACGAGGTATTCCAGAACTACCTCTATGATTGGTATCTCTCCCGAGGCTGGGCAGACCGCCTCCTTGAGATCAGCTCATCCTATGTGGTGGACTACCTTCGACGAAGCTCGGCCACAAACATGTCTCATGCCGATCTACTGTGGCGCTACTATGCTCACTACAGCGACTTCCTGAGCGCAGCCGAGGTACAATTCGAGTTGGCAAAGGGTGATTTCGATCTATCGTTGGAGAAGCGTATTGAGTATCTTTCCCGTGCGAAAGCAAACGCTTCGACACGAGTGACGGGATTCTCCGAGATGGGTGCACGAAACCGCCAGTCACGACAGGAGTTGCTTAGGAACATCAGCGATCACCTCGATATCGCTAACATCCAAGATGACATCCTACAAAAGATCAAGAACGATCCTCGCCTGCAAGGAGAACGAAGGCAAGGGGTGCTCCAGCTACTCGATAGCAAGATCCTTACCCTCGATGAAGTAAGTTTTTGTTCACGGCATCCAGTGGATCCTTGGACTGTTTTGCTAACTGTAGTTTCTTAGCTTTATCACCAATATGCCGACCAGGCAGGCTACTACGACATCTCCCTGCTTATCTACCACGCAGCCGACCACCGGAGCATTCCAGATGTGCGCTCAACCTGGACGAATCTGATTGAGAGGGTTCACACGCAAGCTGTGGAGAACCAGCAACAAGCACCGTGGGAGACTGTGTCCCTCGAAGTTGAAAATGTCGGTCGCCGCGTCAATCTGAACGAGAACGTCTTCCCGGTCAACATCCTCCTCCAACTCCTTCTCCAGTACGATGTGCAAAACTACAACCACGACTCCACCCCGAGCCGCGGTGCCGCAGAGCTCATTCCTTGCTCTAACCTGACCTGGCCTATCGACGTGTTCATCAAGCTCGATGCGCCTTTCGAAGCGCTCGTCGCTACTCTCGAGTCACTCTGGTACGCACAGGAACCGCCATTCACCGGTCCTAAGAGGAAATTGATCGTCAAATGGATCATCTACACAATCAACCAATGGAAAGAGACAAGCAGGAGGCAAGGGGTTCCCTTCGGAGCGGAGGAGAACGCCCTTGGACTCGCAGACTGCCTTCGTGTGGTCCTTCAGAGCGACAACGGATTGAGGAGGGATAGCGCGGACGACAAGGAGTGGATAGAAAGAGGAAGGGAGCTCAAGGAATTCGTCGATAGCTGTGCACGATGAACATGAAGCCACCTACCCCCAAAAGAGAAAGGCATGACCCTTGGTTTCTATACAATCACGTATGTCATTATCTTTCCGCGTACAAAACACGAACCTACCTACCAACCTCTTTAATCAAACCCGAAACCCAAAAGCCGAGAGAAAGCATTTTGCAAGAAGGAAATCGAAAGGGATCGTGTGGATAGGATATATAATGGAACGGCATTGGGCTTTTTTTTTTTATCATCCATCTCTCGGGTTGGGGGGATTTTTGGAGTCCTCTTGTGTGTCTGTGTGGGGGTCCTGTTTTTTGTTCACTATTTTAAATCTGGCTTGTGCCACCTTTTTTCTTGTCTCTCAGAATCTTCTATCCATCAGCGCTTGGCGTTGTGTGTATGTGTATGTCTCTTTTTGAGTCTAAGTGTGTAACTCTGTAAAACTGTTCAATTTTTCTTCTTCGGCCAAAGACTATTCCAGGCAGCATCATCATCATCATCATCAACATCAGGATCATCATTAATTCCGAAAGAGGGTTCACTATCGTGTGTGAGATAATGCATCTTTCGAACATGTAGGTAAGACGGATGTGAAAGATGTAATCATTGATTGAATCCAGCAGGAGTTGAGGTTACAAGAGCGACCTTTGTTTATTCGTAAGTTGTAACAAATGATGGGGAAGATGATGAGTTCACACGTGAATATCATATCAAAAACAACGACGACCGTAGATATGCGCTGTCTGTCGTGAGTCTTGCATGTGTTAATCCAGGAAACCTACCGCCCACTCGAACTTTCTCATTGGGATAAATCGGGACAGAGACCACGCAGTGGAGGGAATTTCGAACCAGACACATTTATCAAATACAAGCAGAGAGATACTCACAAAGGAAGATACGACTAGAACAGTACACCTCCCATGCATGTATACATGACCATGCATATACATACACCTTAACACATCCTCCCCTAATCAGACCATGTAGATCTCGCCCGTCACCCATCTTCCTCTTTCCGGAAAATCCTAATCACCAAAACCCATACTAACCCTCCACCCGGCAAAAAGTGCAAAATACGATAAGTCAAATACGTCTCCCCACCTCCAATCGCCAGCGCGATTTTCTACATACTGCTGAGGAGCAGGTGCCAACTGCATTTTACGATTACGATAAGGACCGTTCAACTAATAACTAGCTAACGTGACATTTTGAGATGGGAAAAGGGGCGGGATGGGGAGACACGCGGTTTATACGATTACGAAGCGCAGGGTTCAGTAATGAAACATAGGTGGGTAGATTCGCATTCGCCTCATTCAGTCAATTTGACTAGATACGGCGGGGAGCGCAGGTAAACGAAAGAGGATATGGACATTATTTAATTGATTATTTCGTGTGGTTTGTTTGGTTAAGCACATGCATTTGTGGTTTTCAGATGGAATAATAGGAAACGAAGTTGGTAGTTAATAATTGTGTAGACCAGGGATAGGCTTCCTGTTACTCTTTTTGGTGGTGGGCGATGCCGGGCCGTCTAACCTAAGAGTTACTGTAAAGTGCACACTGCGCAATAATGGGCTTCTACTATTCAGCGTCGAGTTCGTGTTTTGCATGTCTAAAATCGGGATGCCTTGTGTGTGTAATCTTGCGGGGCAGAGGGGAGATGAGGGTGGGAGAGATTGTCGTTCCTTCGCGAATGCTTGATTTGAGCATGCCGGTATTTACATGGTGTCAGGATGTATGAGTAAGTGTACTCATCGCGTGGCTGGTGCTGTGCAAAGGAGAATGTCTCATTCGATTGCACTCTATTGGTCGTACGTTGGGAGTTTACTGTTCTGTTTTGACATCGATTTTGCCTGGGCGCATGTTCAAACACAAGAAAATCACGTCTACATTTAGACGCTGTTGATTTGAAGGACGTAACCTACCTATTCAAGATCGCAATGCCTCGAACACCTACATACCAAGCCCTGGGCGACAGCCGTGAACCATTCAACGCCGCCCGTGCAAATTTGTGTAACGCGTTTTGTTCAATTGCGATCTGCGGATAGATCTACGGTTCTGCGGAGGCGAGATGAGGCGAGGCGGCGGGACGGGACGGGTGGTTGGTCAGTTGTCTCACCTGCTCTTGTGTCGAAGCCAAGGTGTGGTTACACAGTGGTAACGGCTCTTGTTGTTCGTTTCTATCTTATTTTGACGGCGCGTGTATCTTTGGAGAGATGGTCGTGTGTCGTGTGGAGTGCGATTTCAAGATGAACATGGTTTGGTAGTGTTGGAAAGAAGCATTGGTATGTTTGCATCTCCACTCATGCTCTTTCTCCAATCTTACGAACGCTGATATATCGAAAAGCATTGACGAGCTACGCCGTCGTGATGGTCATTCCAAATAGTGACACCTAGAATCTATTATCAGCATCAATAGTCTGCCAGGCTCGCCTCTACCATTATCGCCACCGAAGTACAGGACCTCTCTCCGTACGAGCGCACGTACGACTGCAATAGAAATTATCTCAGACAACCAAATACGTTCTGACCACTAACGAAGCACTAATTTGACAATAGTTGGAATCGAACAATCTAAATCCGTCTTCTCACACGACGGATTATCCTTGCGGTCCGTCTTTCGGATATGGCACGATTACTTTGATAACAGTTGGAATTGCGGGTCTGCAATCCATGTAGGCGAGCAAGCCAAACGGATGGATGGCATTTCCTTAGTCCCAACTTTCAACAAACTGTGGACAACACTTCACATGAATGATATCATCTCTTTGCCTTCTTTCCGCGAGCTTGATCCTCGGGAGTTTGCTGGATTGGAGAGAAAGGCAAGATACTTCGCTCAACACCATCGGTTAACGAAGAAAGGCATACGGATACGGGCACCGAGTAACACTCTGCCCAAGTGCCGCAAGACCCGAATTAGGTACTTGTATTGTATGCGATCAAGTTTCTCCACGTCTCCGTCGCGCCCAAAACAGGAAATATTCGAGGAAGAATGACTTGTATCGGAAGTATGGGTTCCGTTCGTCGCGAGTGTAGTGTTGCTTTAGTGTTCTCCGGCGACAATGTTGCTACTTGGCCGGTATTAGAACCGAGGTGTATGGGAGGTGGGTTTGGTATGTGGAGTTGTATGATGACATGATGCAGCACCGATCTGAGTAGCTACAGATGGTTTTCTTAGTACTCCGTACCTACACGAGGGATCAACTGTAGACAAGAAGGATAATAAATTGGAAGTCAGCAATGCTGAGAATGCCTCAGGCAATGGTGCTGAATCGAGTTGACTCAGTTACGTGTCTCCCCTCCTTTGCTTTCCTCAATTCGCTCTGCTGACGTACTCCGTACAGACTACAGAGTCAGGCAATTGAGAGAATCAGCATGGCTGGCTGGCTGGCTGGACAAGGCGGAGAGGGAGGAGAGGAGTGGAGTGGAGTGGAAATTATTTCCTCCTGTTCGGCAGTTCTTATTCGTGGTTGCACCGTCGGATTACGTAGCACAGCATCTACTGGACATGGTAGAGTTCATATTATCGATTTACCCAAATTCGCGGCTATACAGAATACAAGCGTATAGTATATACTGCACGACAGACAGCATGAGGGACGAAAGTACTATATGGAGGGGTATTTTCTTCTTGCATCGGATTGAATTTGGTCCTTCAATGAATTGATTGAAATCCGAGAAGGCATAAATGTGCAATATACTGTTTTCCTGCACTTTCAGCGCGGCGGTTTCAGCTCTCCCCCCTGAGTGGGCGGGTGGTTTGCGCCCTACGAGCCACGCTGGCGGTAAAGGTACAACCACAAGTACCGCCGACGAATGGGCGGAAACGGGGAGCACGGTACGGTGCGGTGCGGTACTGTGTACGTGCGGTGCAACGATTCAATAGAACGCCTTCATGGCAACAATAATAGCACCGATGGGAAAAAGAATCAAGTGGAGGAAGTGGATCTGTACTTTACTGGATCAGGTACCTTTTGAGCGAAGGAGGCCTACTACAATGGTCGGGTTTATACCTCAATTGTCCGGTTACAAGTCGGTCTTGCGATGCGATTCGATGCCTGTGCCATGTGTACGTATTTCCACACTACGGATTTTGTGTAACCACTTTATGACTTTATGAGACACAACACAGAGAAGGCGTTGCCTTGTGTGTTGTTGTGTTGTGTTGTGTTGTGTTGGTGAATATATTTAGAGAAACCCCGAGGTATAGGGGCGCACGTGGAGACATGCAATCGGACCCCATAGGTATAATACATATCGTACTCAACCATTCTCAGATCAGTTAGTTATCCTTCCCTTGAAGACATCAATCTTCAAAGTAACGTTATTCCCGCCAGATGATACCGCGTGATAAAAGAAGATACGAAAGGGTTCCCTAGTATTAATTGGCTACTCGTATCGCAATGTGGAGTGATGATGATGGGGATGTATCGGCAATGGAATCAGCATCAGCGTCATTGTCATCTTCTACAGCGAAACTCCACATTTCATCGAGGCATCTCCGAATCTGTTGTACGGATTCCTAGTGGTTTACCCCTGTTGAGAAGACGCTTGTTATGTGTGTACGATACCTAGGCATGGTGTGTACGGGAACCCAAGCCGGGCCAGGGACCTGCCTCGTGCGTTGCATCCATTCGCTCAGTAAGCTCCACCTACCAATGACCAAGTCCAGTTTAACTCTTTCGACTCCTCCAGCGTTGCGGTATTACCTAGGTAGTCTCTCAGTCTTGAGTCTTTCAGCCCAGGGCGCCAGGCGTGCACACTCCAAGCAGTCCCATTTCCACATGGTGGAGTTCTCCAATGCCCCTCTCGCGCTTCGCTTCATTCTTTTCCTTTTTCTCCATTCATTCTTCTCCCTAGAACCCTTAACCATGTCTTTCCTTTTTTAACTCTCGCTTCTCGCTCTCTCGCTCTGAAAGTGGAGTGGTGGTGGATCCAAAGGTGCACAGCGTCTGCAAATCCGATAGCATCAAGCTTTTGCCAACACTGTGGAGAAGCACTTTTTCGGGCAATAATCCACCCAAACGAAGGCATCGCTACAGGGGTGGAATTGCGCCGTTCGGTTTGGTATGGGCGTGGCACGGATGTCAAGTGACGGTGACAGTGACAGTACATACAGTAGTTTCGACGGTATGCACTACATCGCGATATGGCTGCATACCATGCACTCTATCGTAACTTGTATGGATAAAAAGTAGTCTATTGTGTGATAGTGCACATACAGAACGCTTCCGCGGTCCTGTAAGAAAGAAGAAGAAGAGCGGGGGTTCTGTCAAGAGAAAGGGAAAAAAAAGGTGTTCAGGGACCCCCTGCCACCCGTCTCGCCTTACGGCTGATAATGATGGCTGTGCAGCGCTGCTGGCCTTAGGCTGGCGCGCGCGCCCACCCGCAAAGAGAAATTCAATATTGGATGGCGGAAAGCCACCGTCGATCTGATCCAGCACTGGAGCCATGTAGCGAAAGACGAAAGCAGGGTGATGGGCATGGCACCGCCAGACGCTGCACAATAACGGTGGACGGGTCTGGATCAGATCAGCTGATGGGGTAATAGGGAAGACAGCTCAGCGCAGCGCAACGCGGTTACAGCACGTACACAGACAACATTGGGGGAGAGATATTTGCACGAATTATGCGCTATTAATACAAAGCACTCCGTACACGGGGCGACAAGAGTGCGCGTAGGAACGTACTGTAGGTACATACAACTCCGTGCGATGAGGCCGAAGAGCCTCTCAATGAATTTGGTCGCCGACACGCTGTGGTGGAAAAGAATGGATTGGCTGACCAGCACAGGAACAAACCCCCTGTACAAGCTGGCGACAAACCTGGCGACAAAAAGATGCCGGCGACAAAAGCTAGACTTGTCGCTCTACAGCGCTATTCCATCCATCCATGGCATTCTTCAGCACCGCTACCATCTGTTGCTGCTGCAGAACACACACCCACACGATGGACACCGGAATGCTTTCACCATTCCGTAATAGGTATATCATGACGCCAAATCCCCGCTCTTGGGCAATGCCTGCCCATGTGCGAGGAAAATCCCCCGAGGCTGACCAAGAGAACAACAACGAGAAATCAGCAACAAACTTGAAAGCTGTACGATATCTGTTGACCTCGTGCCAGGCCGCCTCGTCTTGGGACGCACTTGGTTTGCATATACGTGCTATTGCATCTGTTCGCCTGCAGGAAAACAAGGTTGTTCTTGACATCGTGTGGTTGTTACTACATCCACCATGTGTGAATTCTATCGTCATCACGACAGTAGTCAACTTCTGCCATGATCACTAGTAACTGCCGTCAATTGTCGTTCGTACCAGTATGTCCGCTCAAAATGGAGAACGGCATTTGCTCGGCATGGGAAGGGTGGGTACCTGGCGTGGGGCTCCTCTCGTCTTGAAGGAATGATGGCAACGGGTGTCAGATCATAGGTGAAACAGAAGGGGAAATGAGCATTTCGCGATGTGATGCATTATGCGATGCGATACGTACGAAGCGGAGCAAAAGCGGGCTTGCTCAGCGAGTGTTCGGTGATGAAAAAGGATTGCGCGCGCGCCTCCACCAGCGGACTTTTTGTTCTTTTGTGAGACATTATGGAATCAATTCGCGAAATTGCAGTAAGAGCGTCAACTACAGTGGGCGCATCGTTATTGCTGAAGAATGGGCTTCAATAGCGATTGATCGAAAGAGGAAAAAAAAAACTAAGCAAAACTACGACGGTTCAAAGGTAACATCACAGATACGCCTACGCCTAGAGGAAGCGAGCGCTACGACGAGGAGGGCACTGATCGGTCGTCTTGTAATCCAATATTGGAAGACTGACATGCTACAACAACTTACAAAATGGATTGCCAATCCGATGAATGTTGTGGAGGATCGCCACGACCGCTGAGCTGTCAAGTCGAGTCGAGTCACATCGAGATCGATTGAATGCGGTAATGGAGCGAGCGAGTGCGAGGTTGCGCGCGCCTTATGGGATGGAAGACTGACTGGTCGAATGTTCGTTGGTTTAGAAGCATCCATTTTGGGGTAAGAGAGCGACTAACGATGGAATGACTGGCTGGACTGGGGTTTTATTATTAGATACGAAGAGGCAACGGGATGGAAGTTTGTTCTCGTGCTTGTGCTTGTGCTTGTTCTTATTGCTCTTGTCCTTTACAAGCAAGTTCTGTGTAAGTACACCGTAGATACTACACAGTATTAGTGTTACTGTTTGCCTTGACCACCCCCTTCATGGGTGAGCTGCAATGTCATCAGCAAATGGAAGGGAAGGGAGAAGAGGAGGGGAAACTATCGATAAGGCCAGGAGAGGAGAGGATGAACCTGGCCTGGATGAGCTTGGGATGAACTTGGGATGAGCCCGTCTCAGCACTAAGAAAACTCGGCGCCTCGTATTCACGAGTGACTTTGGGAGGGGAGACCCAGCCCGTCCCCGACTGAGGTGTGGTGTCTCCAGTCCACATCGAGTAATAGCAAAGAGAGAAGTGGAGAGAGCAAGAGAGACAGTAATAATAAAATCATAATGGTGGAAGGATGCTCGGCCGTATGAGGTGAGTCGACAAATAAACAATACCTACATTAAGGCAATTAGACGACTTGGCCGTGACTGTGCAGTGTGAATTGGCACCTGTCATCCACAACATTGTAGGTAATAATGCAACTTGGACTTCAGCTGCAGCTTCATCAAGCTTCAGGCCGGTCAGGCCAAAATCTTCCTTTCTTGGGGGCCATTCATCCGTCTCACGCCTCTGCAGCCTGCCCGTACGGTCGCTATGGTATGCACCCAAGATTGATACCAGTAGATACACTTTGTTTTTGCGCTGTGTTACGTACCTCTCCTGAGGGCCCTACCTAAAGGCTAAAGCACGTGGAGACATGTTTGTTAGAGCAATGCTAAGTCGTTGTTCTAGTCCAGGGGTGGTGGCGCGAATCCTTCAACAACTGTCATCTACGGAGTACCTATCATCAAATCCCTAGGTAATTCTTACAGTAAAGTAGGTACATTATTATCGCACTCTCGTACCGCGTTGATTTGCATTGTCTCCAGTGCGTACTGTCATCAGTCCAGGGTCGTCCCATCGTGAACCCACTGCTGCTCACGGGCAATGAGAAAGCATCGAAAGAGAAATGATTGCTACCAGGGTCCGTTGAAAGGCATTCCCCTCCTTGTGCGTGTTATGTGGACAGTAATAGTGGAAATAAACTGTAACTACTGTACAAATCACTGACCGAGTCCCACATTGCCTGCTGGCTTGTGCGGTGGCTTCGCATAGTTCGAGAACAAGGATAGGGGTTGACCACCACTGACCACCACACTGCGCAATACATCCATCCTACGAGTTACCCATCCATTCACATCCCATCCCATGCCATCCCGTTAATGGGATGGGGTAGGTTCACTCGGACCCCAGTCCGTTCAGTGCAAGCCCATATCCTTCCAATTTCGATACTGCAAGCTCTAAACCCCTTTTTGTCGGCACCGACCCGGCTACCGGCCTCGCGTCCCAACCTAGCACACCGGACAGCTGATCAAGGTCGTATTCAAATCGGTGGACTCGTTGGCACTGGGCAGTATTACTGTACCTAGCAGATAGAGGGTTGCCGTACATATATCTACGGCTCGGCTTCCCTTTGCAATTGTTTTTGAGTTTCTCCAAGCAGAGCATCCTGCCCACACTCGTTTACACCAAAACCATTTCCATAGGACTCTCTTCCCCAGGAACATAACTTTATATATTCCTTTTAATAATTAATTACTCGCGACAAATACAGCAATCATGCTTTTCTCCTACTCCACCGTTCTCCTCGCCGGAGCCTCCATGGTTTCCGCTGCGACCATCCCAATCCCATCCGACATCCCCATTCCCTCTGGAGCCCCGGCCATCAACCTCGAGGCCTTCAAGACCCAGCCTTTCAAGGGATGGCCCGTCAATGAGATTCTCACCGGAGGAAACCGAACTGCCGACCCCAAGATGAAGGCCGAGCAGGGTATCATGGCTACCTGCGGCAACCCTCGCTACCGCCGCGAGTGGCACAGCCTCGACGACAACTCCAAGCAGAACTTCGTCAACTCCGTCAAGTGCTTGTTGAGCCGCCCTGCCTCTGGCCAATTCGGCCAGGCCAGGAACCGTTACGAGGACCTTGTTGCTCTCCACCAGCAGCTCAAGAACAACGTCCACGAGAACCGCAAGTTCTTGCTGTGGCACAGGTACTTCCTCTGGACCTTCGAGCAGCTCCTCCGCTCCGAGTGCGGCTTCACTGCCGACCTCCCCTGGTTCGATGAGACCAGGTACGCCGGACGCTTCTCCCAGTCCGACATCTTCTCCAGCCGATGGCTCGGTGGAATTGCCCTCGGAGGACGCTGCGTCACTGATGGCGTAAGTCTTGACATTGAGTCTCCCCTCGTTCAATTGATACTGACATGATTCTTGTAGCAATTCGCCAACCTCGCCCTCAACATTGGCCCCGGTACCTCCAACACCCGCCACTGCCTCGCCCGTAACGGTGATGCTGGCCAGACCGCCAACACCAACGCCAACGTAGTCAACGGTTGCAACGCCCGTACCAACTACGCCGAGATGTCTGAGTGCTCCGAGTACTCTGCTCACGCTTACGGACACAACGGTATCGGTGCCGTCATGCAGGACGTCTGGGCCTCCCCCTCCGACCCCGTCTTCTGGCTCCACCACGCTTTCATTGACCGCAACTTCCGCGTCTGGCAAAACGCCAACATGCCCGCCCGTGTCTCCACCATCAACGGCAACGACGCCTTCGGCCGTCCTCTCACCATGGGCATGTCCGTCTCCGTCAATGGCATCCGCCCCGACACCACCATCGGAAACATCATGAACACCCTCGACACCACCCTCTGCTACCGCTACGACTACTAAGCGGGGCGTCTGCCTCCCCCTTCGTCTCTCCTGTTACTCGTTTTTCCCGGTATCGGGAGCGAAGTAGCGTGAGGAGGTGACAAGGGACCTGTTCATACCTATAGAATCCTAAAAAAACAGGGCATTGTTCCAATTCGAATCGTCTCTTATATATATTGAACCTTTCTTCTTGTACATAGCGGATGAAATGAATAATGCCAACAAAACTCTTTCTTTTTCTCTCTCCATCTCTTCTATCATATTTTCTGTGCTATCATCTTGAGTGTTCGACTTTCTGTCTCTTGGGATTTCATGATTGATAAAACCCCTCGAATGGGGGGATTCAAACGTTGCGCTGTCCTCCGTGAGATATCCACTGATTGCTCATTATAAATACCTACTTAATCTATTTCAGCCATAATGTAATCTAATTTGCAAATACTGTTAGTACACCAAAATGCAATGCTGCAGGAACATCTCTACGTGAATGCCATAATCTGCGCTGTTTCTCTTCTCTACTAAAATGCTTCTCGCAACATCTACGGCGTTTGTCAATCGTCGGCGACATACCACATGCCTTTTCAACCAAGTTTATCAACCATTTTTGCTGCAATCTTTGAACATTTCCTTGGCTTGGAGATCAATATTTATAGGCACAGGGTATTTTCGTTGACATAACGGTAGCAGAAGCAGTAACTTAACCTAAGAGTAGTACATTGTTTCTCAGCCCTACTGTTGAAAAGATAAGTAAACTTAAGTTTGATAGAAGAAGTGATGAATATTGTCGTTTTATTGATCGTCCTAGTAAAGCAATTCGCAACTTACGTTCATATTTGAAATCTAAGTAAGATTTCGCAATATAGCTATAAGAAAAACTAAAAATTATCACGCACTCATTAATCGACATATCGACGAGCCTACAATCTTCTCGATGTTTTATACTAGGTGGCAATTGTAAAATAATAATAATTATAATAGTACCTTCTTTGGAAGGGGATACGCGCCCCGTGGGCGACAAGTGGTGTCTATGGATGCAGCGTCATTGCCACCACTGATAAGACCTACAGATATGTCACGAAAGAAAGATAAGAGTATGGCAGATGGTATACTGAACAATGACAATATAGGATTCTATGCTATTGCAGATGAAGAACTCGGTGGTGCGGCTTTGCATATATGTCTTGCTGACAATCTACTCCATCTCAATGGAGCTGGGAATTGGGAACGTACGAAGAGGCCAACATGGAATATTAACCGATTACTAGAAAGAGCGCCATGCATAAAAGCATCGAAAAGAATTAATGAATGGTTGAATTGGGCACTCAAGCCTTTTTGTACACACTTAAGCATAGAAGGTTTATCGTATGAAGGACAAGGCAAGAACTTACCTTCATGAATGTAATTAGGCCTTTTTGGTCATTGCTAGTACGCGCATTGATTTTTATTGTTGTTGAACGGATTATGGTAGTTTACCGTACCATCCACGGTTGTAGAGATTTTGAGTGAAGTTATGTGTTGTTGGTTCTTCACTTTGCGATATCAGTCTTGTGGCTTTTATAGGCCTTATATAACTACAATGGTAATAGTGTTCATAAAATGTGTAATTTGAAACCTTCCACTTTAAAACAAATGATACTGTGGTACAGGAGGACAGGATAAGCCTATGCAAAGGAAATGTGTGGCGGGAGGGTAGGAATTGGTAGTGGAACAGAGAAAGATAGATCAGAGCGTACGAGAGTTTAAGGCATCATCCAACAACCTCCCGAGGAGTGTCAACCAAAGCTATTTGCTGTAAAGCCTTCAGACTATGCTATTACTGCAGCCGGAAACTATCGCTGGTATCCTTGCCTTCCAAAGGAGCATTACAGCGTTGCCGTCCATTCTTCCATGCACATAACTAATAGTGCAATTATTGATTAACATGGTACTCAACGATGTAGCACCTCATCATTCTCCCACTATCGTATCAGAATCTTAACTTTAGTCATCGGCACGTCTCATCATGTACGACTCGTCTCCTCCGAGCAAATAGGCGATCGACTCCGAAGTGACCCTTCTGACTTACACAAAATCTCTGTCTACTGAGGCTCTGCCCTCGAGTCTCCACACCTTGCTGCAACCCTTGCTCCTCTTTCGCCTTTTTGGGGGAACGTGGTTTGACAAGAGAAGCTGTGTCGGTATCCACCCAGCATTTTCCCTGATTTATTTGTCAATACGCGAAAAGTATACTTCGGATTTTGTATTCATTGCCACAGTCTTCCACTCAGAAAATCGGGGTTGGTTTGCAACCAGCAAAAGAGATATGATCAGGCAACGGTATAGTACTTCCGCATTGAATGGCCAAATCAATCAAATGACCCTGGACAACGAGCGTATGACTGTTATCTTCAAATCGAGTATCAGACCAGGACCTTGACCGTGGTCCAGCTGCTGAGGGTGATCGCTCTGACTCTCCTTGAGCTGGAAAGGATGAGACTGGTCTCATAGCTCTCGAAATGGGACGAGATGGTCTGTACTAATTATATTCGCTCCTGGTTAACACGAGCTGTAAAGATCACTGCTTACAGCAGGGCTGTCTAGTCCTATAGTCCTACCGTATATAATGCCTCCTATTCCTACCTATATCATGTGGGCAAATCCGAAAAAAAACAACGCAAGGATTTGCAACGATGGTAAGATAGAACAGATTTTTATCTCCTAAAGGATAAATAAGTTGCTCCGATAATTCTCTCCGTCCAGTATAAGAAAATAAATTACTCCGATTAATCTCTCCGTCTAGCAAAAGAATAGACAATGCTGAGTGGTTTAAATTTCTAGCCCAAACCCTAAAAGGTAATAGGATCCCTCTTTCCAGAGCGACATCTGACACCAATCAGATTCTTACGTAACTAGTAGATTGTCGTATTTTGCGTATAACTATTGCCACTGGCTTTTACAGGATCTTTGGTACGATACAGGTAAAGAATAATCAAAGTAAAGTCTGTAGTATTTCTCGCAGTGAAATTCTTCTCAGGCCATGTCGGCAAGCCAAGCATATATAAACAAAAGTACGAGCATCAAGCATTAGATTTATAATTCTGCCTTTCACACCTGCCTACACGTATGTAGATACATACGAAGTAGATACATCCATATCCATCAAAATGCCGGACCGCGTTCAAACTAGTCGAGGCGACGTCACGGAATCTACCCATCTCGTCCACGCAGCAGTGGTTCACTCTTCTGGCCGTTTACTCTATTCCGTGGGCACTCCCACACGAACAACGCTTCTCCGTTCTGCCGCCAAGCCCGCCCAAACCGTTGCCATTCTGGAGGCTTGCAATGATACCTTTGCTTTCACTGCTGCCGATCTTGCCCTCATGAGCGCGTCTCACAGTTCCGAGCCTAGGCATATGCAGCGTGCTGCCGCTATGTTGAATGCAATTGGTTCAAGCGAATCTGACATGAGGTGCGGCGGGCACCCTCCCCTCAGTATGGCCGTGAACAGAGATTGGATCAAACGCGATTTTACGCCTGGACCGATATGCAACAACTGCTCAGGGAAACATGCGGGGATGCTAGGTGGTGCCAAAGCGTTGGGTGCTGGATTTGCTGACTACCATCTTCAACAACATCCAATGCAAATAGTCGTAAAGAGGGTGGTGGAGGACATATCGGGAGTGGATGCAGGGAATATGGAGTGGGCGGTCGATGGATGCAATCTTCCTGCACCAGCAATGCCATTGATCGGAATGGCGACAATGTATGCTCGTTTTGCGGACGCAACTGGGAATGCGAGAAGCGGGCAAGAGCAGCGTATGAAGCGTGTTTTCGAGGCTATGTGCGCGCATCCTGAGATGGTCGGCGGTGAAAAGAGGTTCTGCACCGAATTGATGAGTACCTATGGAAACTTACTGATCGGGAAGCTGGGTGCTGATGGGTGTTATGGCGTAGGGATTAGAGAATCCGAATGCACAAGGAGTCTAGGGCTACCTACTGGCGGAATTGGTATTGCGGTAAAGATCGAGGATGGAAATATTGATATCTTGTACGCTGCAGTCATGGAAATCCTGACACAGTTGAAGATTGGCTCAGAGGAAACAAGGAAGAGTTTGCAGAACTGGCATACCCCTTTGATCCGAAATACAGTAGGAATCATTACAGGAGTAACCTCTCACATGTTTTCTGTAAGGAAAATGTAGGGAAGATCGCAGTCTCCTAACTGTAACAATTCGTTACTAGTTCCCTTTAGAAGAAATACTCAGATAGAATAGACCAAAATTAGATAAGACCAAAGATAGTAGTATGTCCTTCATTTATGCCTTAAATTAAGTAAGCGGGTAACAGTATGAGAGGTAGATTATGAAACTTGGATTCCATCCACACGATAAAAAGGCAACGCGTTGAAATTAATCTCTTTTAGCGACAACATATCAACGACGAACTTAGGCAAGGAATTAGTCTCATTTCATTATTTGGAGCGATTTATACAGCCTGTCATCCGCAGCGCATGGAATTCCAGAGACGCCGTGATATGATCCCAAGGCGAGTCCGGGACTGTAGTTCTTCTAGGGCATCATGCTCAGATATCAAAAGCTGAGCTAGTCGTCTGAGTTCTGATGAGAAGAGGTGTCGGAATCACCAGTATCAAATCTGCGGAAGAAAATCCAGAAAGGTATCATTGTCAAGGTCATAGTTCCCGCGAGGCACGAGAATAAAACAACTAGAAAAGGGTTTTTCGATACTGGCCCTAACGCCATTCCCAACGCAGACCCGGCAGCGGCGGATAATACTTGAAAAGCTTGAAGAACTGACTTGGTATCCTTTGGAGCTTCAGAATAGGTGAACTCATTCAAAGCCACTAAAGCAAGTATCTCTCCGATGGCTAGCAGAGCATGCAAAGGTGTTTGGAGCCATACGCTGATGTTGTTCGGCAATTTGCGGCTTTCTTCTGTAGCAGCAGGGCATTCCAAAGCGTATCGAAAGCACGGGCCTTTGTCATATATCAGTTGCTGTATACCAGCAGCATATGCAATGCCTGAGGCAATGAAGAAGAACCCCAGAGTTATGCGCATGATGGGACCGAGAGGAATCCTATGGCGTCGCAAGAAAGGGAATACTACACTTTGAATGATAGGGCCCATGATTATGCAGGCTAGTGGATTGAAAGCTTGGATAGTATCATTTGAGACACCTCGTTGTACCATTTGACCAGCTTGGGATACGATGTTGTTCGTGGTCTGATTGTAACAAAGCCAGAATATCACAAAACACGTAAGCACACGGCAAGCCCCTAATCCACGACGGATTTCTCCCACAAATGAAGATGTCCATGGAACAACTTTGTTGTGGCGGAAAGCTTGTTCCTCAGGATCTGCAGCGGACAATCGGAAACGTGATTTGCAAGCAATCAGAAGGATCTGCGCTGCCTGAGGGAGGGCATTACCCTGGGGCGGGAGTTTAACTGTATCAATTTAGTATCTGCTTCATACAATCGCCAGAATTCCATTACCTAGGCGTTTGTTAAAAAAGATGACGGGGATGATCGATGTAGCGAAGATGCACGTAGGTAAGAGGTACGCGGCCCAGAAGTCAATGTGCTTCTCCATCAATGTCGACGGAATGGAGGACAAGGCAGCGATATTAACCATCCTGTCGCATCATGTCGGTTTCAACACATTATTCAACCGACCTATGTGTTTACTCACCAATAGTATCCATTAAACACATACTGTATAGCCAGCTTTCGATCGATGACCACGAGCTCTCCATTTTTGTTCCGCTTTACTCGCGGAGTTGTATCAGGTATCTGATCCGCTGATAATATTTAGCACCACAACGAGAGCTGGAATCCCCACTCACTAATGAAAGGGTATATGACGGCCGAGATCCCCCCTCCGCCCATTCCTATGAGAGCCATAGTGGTAATGAGGCCACCAAGGCCGGCTCCATGGTCCAACGCAGTTGGTAGGGAGGTCAACACTAGTACTACATAACCAACTACAAGAAATCTATTAAAGGTCAGTATCCTTCTATCACTAATTGTCTTAAAATTCAATACTCACCCCATGCTAAGAAGCATAGCTTTGTAGCGACCAATCCACAAGTCAGATACTACCGCGAAAGGTAGCGGGGTCAGGTATTGATAGAAAAGGAAGGCATTTTGAATAATAGTTGCTCTTGCTTGTCCCAAGCCTAAAGCACCTGGAAGCTGTGCATCCCCCCGCGGGTTTTGAAGATAGTTTTCTGTCTCGATGTCAAGATGTTTTCATGTATCCCTTACGTCTCCAGTACTTACGCCATACGATCGTGATGCTGTATCGAGCCAACTGCGCAGCTGCACCAGTGAATGCCAAGAGCCATGCTGTTATAGGTATTTCGCTCGGCTCATGAAGAAGCTCACGGATTTCTTCTATCGTTGCCACCCTGAGCTCAGGGCCAAGATTGTCACTCTTTTCCATCATGGAGTGCGAATTTTAGAATCAAATGTTGTCCTCGAGAGTAGTGTGTTTCTGAAGCTTGGAGCAGTTGTAATAGAGCGCTGTACTCTTCTCACAAAGTTCATACATAGATTATGTGAAAACGTTCAATATCCGGCTCTCCCACCTTCGGCTCATCGTGATCAGTTTGAATCAAGGGTGGAGAATGGCCCATAAGTTCGGCATAACCATAAACTCCCAAATGGTCCGCTCCTTTCAAGGAGTGGGGCGGTCGTTCGGGTGATACCAATGTTTGCCTTCTTACGTGCGTTATTAATTAAGATGCGTGACTACTTGGCAATATTAGCAGTATTCACAAATTTGGAAGGTTCTGAACTGCATGATGTATCTTAGTGGCACAGCTTCCGTACAATCAAGCCATTTTATGGTATGGGTTGGTAGGGGTTTTGAACTGCATGATGTATCTTAGTGGCACAACTTCCGTACATCCCAACCATTTCCCCAGGGTCATCTGAAAATTCCACCTCTAGCCATCAAGGAATGATCTCATCAATCTCATATACTTTTCCCGCTGATCAACATGGGAGAAGTGTGCGGCGTTGTCGAGTGTAACCCATTTGACTTGGTTGATATGGTCAAAGAAGGGCTGCATCGCGACATCCTGAGCTTCATCCTCCACGCCATTGATCAAAAGAGTGGGAACCTTGATTTTATCCAGCAATGGGACGCTCGTCCAGTTTCGAAGTGACCCAGAGATGTACAGCTCACTTGGGCCGTACCTATTCAATAGTTGATTAGCTGAATGCATATTGGTAGTATAGAAACTTTACGCACATAGTCCCATACGTTGTGGGATCCTTCGCAAACCAGTCAAGTGCTTCTTGGACTTCCTTCGCTGGCCATGGTCTGCTTAGACTAAGATGTCGTTTGTAGAATACCTCGATGGCAGCCTCGTACTCTGGCGTCTCAAACATCTGCGTCTCGTCTGCATGGTCTAAGACTTGCTGCACATCTTGCGGAAGTTGCTTTCTTAATACAGAGATGCCAATTCGCCATGCGTCCATGCTGGCCAGGCTGTTTGAAAGAACTAAACGCCGAAGATTAGCTGCGCTGGGAGTGGCTGCCCATTCCACTGCCAGCATACCGCCCCAGGAATGTCCGTACACGTCCACTTGACGCTCTCGAAGACCGAGGTGAGAGAGAAGGTTGTCTAGTTCATCCTTGAAGAGTTTGATAGACCAAAATTCCTCGTCACCGGCTTTGCTGGTAAGATGCGTAGATCGTCCGTTACCAAGCTGATCATAGAAAACGATAGGCCTGTGAGATGCAAGATCGGCCAAGGGGAGTAGATAGTCGTGACAAGCACCAGGTCCTCCATGGAGGATAATCAACGGTGGGACAGTTGTGTTCAAATCGCCAAAAACTTTGTACCACGTCTGACACGGATCTGACAACCCTGCGACGATGAATGATATTGTGCCTTCAGACATGCTGATATGAGGGGAGAGATATGCGCAACAGGAATGAATTAGAAAGGCAACAGCGAGATCAATGAAGAAAACTTCGGCAGCATTGCTTGAAATATGCAAATGCGCTCATGTGGCACAGTGTCCGGCACAGAGGCAAAGTGTTAGGTTATAGGCCATTTGACGGCTGCGTAGGCCTCATAGCGTTGCTCCTTCCTATTTCAACCTAGACTGGATATCTAATCCACCATATATTGTCTGACAGAGGGTTGAGACTCCTCGGCAGCGATTCGTCTCTATCTTAAGGGGACATAGGATTCTACTGTATCTCACTATTGCTAATTACCACCTTCTAAGTGTCTTACCAACCTATCCCAACACAGAGTCTAGTATGATTGAATTTTACTGATTGTGATATGCAGTTGCATGTGCACGGAGGCTCCGTTATATAGGAGAGAACCAATGTTTCTACCTGAAGATTCGGGCGGGTGTTTGGATGCCTACATGCGTGCTCACAGGCCGTAGACAGAGTTATGGACACCGCGTTTTCATTGTATTACGCCACAAAGACTCCCACCGCCTTCTTCTTTAGTAGTTGTACCTTCGGTAATTGTATTGACTATGAACATGTCGTGGGGGAAGCGACTCGCAGTATTAAGTGGATGTTGGACTCGGGTGTTGTAAGTTCAACCTGTGATCTGTTGTTTCAATATGACTCAAAATTTGACTGTGCTCATGACAGAATTATAGCATTTGCCGCTACACAAATGATCTTTAGTCATTGGCTTTAGTACGACCGGGAGTTGGTAAGTGACGTTTGGAAGACGACAATCTGCAGCGAGATAACTCAGACCATAAGCATTATAACACCAGCTATCACTTTTCTCACACCATTTCTTGTGGACTTGGAGTGTGGATATTCTGGATGGACATCACAATATATCAAGCTGTAAAACCGATCTCAACTTAGCAGGTACTTATCTTCAGCAAGTGCTTAACAGGGTTAAGGGGCATAAACTTTATAATATTCTATTTTATACACATCAGATACCATAAATTAATCCTGGACCTACGCCGTTGTCTCTGTCATCTCGAAACAGGTATCACCCTCCCCGCTCTTGGTCGTCTGGACGGTAACAAATATAGCGCACGTCCTTCTCATATCCAAGCCCTGTGTTGAGTGAAATTTCTGCACACACTCCTCACCTTTCTGTTTGCTTGTGTAGCAAGATAACAAAGGGCACACGAGGCGCTGCCGGCGCCAGGGTTCTCTCTTGTGCCAATGATGCTTGTTCTCGAATGCCTCATGCCCTGGCCGTCTGAGTCGAAGTCAAGGTCCGTGTAATAGATAGTACTTTTGTACCCTATATCCCAAACAGAGCCATCATTAAGGTGCTCGGCAAGATAGCGTTCTTAGACCGGAAGGAGTCCATTTGTGGACAACCCGAGTGCTGTGACGTCTTTCATGGGAAATAGAATGAAAGCCATACCCCTTCACCGTGCTTGGAAATGGGCGAGGTAATCGTCGGGACTACAGGATTGGAATGAAGTCGATTCGATATGTTTTGGCTATGTACCTGAGTACGCGAGCTCTAACATCCATGCCTCTTCCGAAGGACTGCTCACGCCACCAATCATGGTTCTTCGCACGCGCTTTGACGTGATGCATGGTGGACTGGCTGGTGTCTGGGTCGGCGCGGAAGGGCGATCACTTTAGCACCGCAGCAGAAGCACGAAAGCGTGTCGCATCAGTCGTGAGCGGCAAGAATCGAGAAAGTGGCAGTGCCAGAAGCAATTATGTACCCAATGCTTGAACGAGGGCTGACGAAGTCGAAGCGGAAAGGCGCGTATCCCTCGAATAAGACAACGCATTATCTTGTTAATCGACATCCATGGGCTTCAGCTCTGTGTTGTTCATGCACTCAGCCACAAGGTGATTGCTCTGATTCGACGAGGCGCGTTGCACAACCTTAGGCAGCATCTTGCTCTTGGAACGGCTGAAGAAGTATGAAAACCGTTTGTGAGCGCCTCGTTCTTTATCTTTCAACGTCACGTCGCTAGACAAGCTTTAGAGACATCTCGTGCTCGGATCGATGATACAAGGTATCATTGCAATACGAAATTGCACATAATTGTTTCTCAGCCTCGTCCCACGCTTGCTACCCGCAAGCGAAGTGGCGGCTTTCAGGCTACAATGAATTCGTCTAACGTTTTAATCATCTTGTACATTGTCTGCATTGCTCTACACTCTGGCCAAACTCTACGACTAGAGTATTGGCAAAGAAGATCACCGGAAGCATTAAACAAAACCACCAACCACATTTATCTTCGAGCCTTCGCGATTCTCTCCCTAATATTATCTGTACCGCCTATAGTTACATCTGCGAGGCAAAGCCCGCCGTCGATGTGCCAGGATGGTCTCGATGTTAATGCGGATATTGGTGGTATAGGAGTTCTTTTAGGTCTTTTCTGGCCAGCAGCAGCTCTCAAAATCACATTGGTTTTGGGTCACAGAAAGACCGAGACCTCGGGAGCAAAGGAGCTTTGTTTAGCACATATGGCGAGTATGAAATCCTTTTCAGTGTGTTCCTAGGTCTACCCGGACAGCTGCTTTTCCTAATTGAATATTTCTATGCACACGCTTTGATTTAATGCGTGACTTTAGACTGACTTGTCGTAGATCTCATATATCTCGGCGTGAACTTGGCGAAAGCTATGGCCGGACTCAATAGAATGGAATTAATCATCGCATACTCGAGCGTGGATGCAGTCGCTGCATCCATTGCCGTGGCGTTTTCCGACAAAGACGTGGTTGCGGCGCGAATGATACTCATTATCGGGACTCTCCTTCAGTTCGCAGCATTCGGTTTGGAAGCTGCCACCATTGTTTACATGTATCGCTCTCCTCCGATATGCCGCGCCATACACCCAACGTTGTCAGCACCCCAGGGTTTCGCATGGGCTTTCTGGGCTGCACGAATTCTCGCTACCATGTCCATTCTACCAACCATTCAGAGGATTGCGCCACGGATACATGCACTTGAGAATACCAGCTCACAAGGCCCAAATATATTTGACGCCAAGGTCTGGCTTGAATTGCCTGCTACCTTATTCACAAATTACCTGATTCACTTCTCGATAGGATTGATACAAGCCGCCTCTGCTATTGCTTTAACCTGTTCAAACATATCTGAATCGTGGACCTCATTATGGACAGAGTGGGGGCAAAGCGCCCCTTTGATTGTTGCCATAGCTGCTGGCTCCCATGTCTTGTACTCCTTTTCTCGCCTCTTTTGCAACAGGGCTGTCGAAGAGCGTTTCAACCTCTGTGAAGCCAGTATCAACCGGACGGCGCGGTGGCCGGAGAGGTGGAGAACCACTATCTCAGAAGTATCTTGGAAGTCGCTGTCTTTGAGATCTCCGTTCAACAAAATACGGGCGTCTCCTACAGATGAGCTACTCTTTCGTAATACCATACTGTTGACATACAATCAGCGACAGGAATTACTCGATGACATTGGTAAAAGAAGGCTATGGGAGGAACTTCGGTTCTCATTTGAAAATAATGATATTCAGGGTATCAAAGATTGCCTAGAAAGAGGTGCCCCACTCGATATCAAGGACACCCGTGGGGAATATGTTATTCACATGGCCGCACGCTTTGGAGACGTTGACATTCTCAAGCAATATTTCACTGGAGTCCTTTTCACGCAGATGACTGTTGAAAACGACGGCGGAGAAACTCCTTTAATGATCGCGCATCGTAACCATCGTGTTCCAGCTATTCATTGGATTCTCAAACAGAAGCCTGCGGACTGGCCCTCCCAACCACGTTGGCCTGCAGATGAAGACGTACGTCAAATCATTTCCTACGCCATCAACAAGGAAATGGTCGCTCCGGGAGATCTTTTAGACATCATCACAAATCCGTCGCTTTTGCCACATTGGGAAGATGTAAACCCTGATGAAAGTCCCTTCATGGAAGCCGTAAGCAAGGCCAAGCTGGAAGCAGCCAAATGTCTTTTACCTCGCCTAAAACAACCTCTCTACCGTGGACCGAGTAGTGGTCTCATCATGCTCTCACATATCAACAGGAACTTAAACGCCCAAGTTCTTAAGACACTTATAGATAAACCATTCAATTTCTGGACAGATCGGAATATAGCTTCGTCGGCAGCTATGACATGTCTCGATCTCGATATCATGTCCGAATCTATCGCAACTCAGGGAGATTTGGATCAGATCGAAATCCTGATCAATTCGGATCTACCTTTAAAGTATGGAATCATTCACTACATTTATCAGACTCAAGTCCAACTGAGGATAGAAGATGATCAATCCGACAAGCCGTCGAACCGAAAATTAGTTACGCATGTCCCGGGAGAACGTATGGAAATAGAAGAAATTTCTGAGCAACGATTAAAAACGCTTAAGAAAACCCTAGAAAGCAAGGGTGCACTCAATTACGGCCCCTTATGGAGAGCCATTCGGACCAGCCAAGCCAATACTGTCCAAGTGCTCTTGGAAAATGCGAAAGACATGGGCAATTCTACCAGGCTGCTCAACAATATGATGTATAACTACAACGGAATGGGTCTATGGGCAACTCCATTAGATCTTGTACTCCTGGAATGGACATCACGGAAGAAACCAGGCACGACAAGTATCAATAAAACGATCCAGCTCATGATAAAAATGGGCGCAGTCCTATTTCCACCACCTAGTATCTCATCCTACATCGTTCGAAATGACAACGCCATGGATTGCATTTTAATTACAGATTGCCCTAAGACCACATTCTTGGTACTACTAAAGCAGGCAAGGAAAGAAAATGTTCAGCGAGCTTTTGAAGTGGCCGAACAGTCGATGAAGAGATTATTGCCCGACAAATATTCGATGCTGGGGGGGTTTCTGGAGAAAGATCGGATGTGCCGCGATATGATCAAAAATAGCAAAGTAAAATACTATCGCGTTGTACGGAGCTTATATTACCTTTTGTCGCATGGTGCAAAGCCAAATATTGAGCTGTCCTTCTTTCAACCAGCCGCTCAGCAGCGTCTCGAGGCAATGAAAGGACATCGCACTGCTTCGCCGTCCGCATTTAGCAGCGAGCTGGAAGCGATATTCAAAAGTATGATCAACAGATTTGCAGATACGACGTTTTCTGGCGATACGGATTACACCGAGTTGGAATTCCTAAACAGGCCGGACGATTTTGACGAGAATACTCTTACTGGGTGGCTTTGAAGTTCGTTTGGATATGAAGAGAATGGAAGGGAGATGCAAATTGTGCCTTGCACCGATTAGAATCACGATTTTGAGGCTATCCCATAGTAGCGTAAACAGGAGGATCCTAATAGAATCCACGCGGAAGTGAATAGTTACGTTGATTACACCTACAAACTGACACAGCGTCAATTCCAGCAACACCCATCACCCATTTCCCAACCCACCTCACCACGGCACCTGACTCCCATCAAACCGATAAAACTTCCCACTATCCTCCTTCCTCAAGCTCCTAATGACCTGCAGCATGCCCTCGATACTGACCTGCGGCTCCACCATCGCGCCCTTGCCCCCCATCCTCGTCTTCACCCACCCTGGATCCATACAAATCACAATGGCATGATTGCGCCTCAGATCCCTCGACTGATGTAGCGTCAACATGTTCTGCGCCGCCTTGCTGATCGAATACGTGCAGCACTTCGGCGTGTCGAGCGCGACCGTCATGCTCCCGAGCCCGCTGGTCATGTTCATCACCACGGCACCTCTTGCGAGGTACTGTCTCAACGCCTCGACGATCTTTGCGGGGCCAAGCACGTTCGTATCGATGTGGTTTTGCAGGGATACTGGATCGATTGAGAGAGATGTGTCCGAGGATGTTGCGTTGATGCCGGCTACGTTGAAGAGGTAGTTTATGCTTGCTCCGGTCTTAGATAGCACTTCTGCGACGCGGAACTCAAGGCTGGATATCGAGTCGAGTGACGAGACGTCGCATTCGATGATGTGTACGTTGCCCTTGGATGCTAGGCTTTCTAGCTCTGCGATGTCGCCTCTTTTGGATCGCACGGCGGCGATGATGCTGTTGGAGGGTTGGGAGGAGAGCTGGCGGGTGAATTCCAGCCCTATGCCGCGGTTTGCACCCGTGAGGAAGTATGTAGGCATGTTGGATTGGTAAGTTGTACTTCTATTGGGTGGTGTTCTTTGTTCCGTATCCTGTCCCGTTTCGTAGTTGTGACAGATTGAATCGGATGGTATGCGCTTGTAGAATATGACACAAACCAGGCAAACTCATGTATGGATGAATATATGTATACACGTTGAATATATATGGAAATTCCTCACATGCGCACCTATCTTCTCACTTATATACCTACCCATCTTGCGTGATGATACGCTGACGCCCATGAAACCGGGTATATTAAGCGATGTATGTGCATGCGACATTCGCTAGGACCATCGACCCTGTCTTCATGCGCCGCCTCTCCCTTCCTTCCTGATGGGCGGTCTTGCCTTATGCACATCATCGTCGAGGTTTCGGATGCTCGACATAAGGCGTTGGCGTGTGGCTCGTGGGTGGGGAAGGGTTCGTGACAGCGGTTCGCTTGAGGGTTCGTGAACTGTCTGGGAAACGAGGGATGTGTTTCAGGGTATAAAGGACGCTTTAAGTGGACTACTCGCCATATATCGTCCACCCTTCCTAGATGTTCGTATTTGATTTTGACGTGTAAGCCTGTGCCTCAGTCAGAAAACTTTGGACGATTGAGAGTCATAAGTTGGTTCATGGCGCAAATTGTCAGAAGAGGACGGTTTCGGGCACTATGTACCTCGAAATTACTGTGCATTTGCAATTTTTAAGTTCGGTAATCCAAGTATAGATTTAATCTTCTAACCATGCGCCAATTGATGCTATATGTTCTGGATCTAAAATCTTGAGCCTTTTGTTCAGAGATTTAATGCGCTTACTTTGCGTTGATATCGTGACAATATTCAAAACCTTCGTTTCTTCCAGACATTTACATAATAGCATAATAGGACTCATGATATTGGTTGCAAACTCTCTACCAACCATTCCTTTCTCACCCTGCATCTCTCTGACTATCCACTACGCAACACACCACACTGCACGGGTTTTCTATAAATGCATGCCACGAATTACAGTTTATGGACGGTAGTCGGCACAAGGAAAGGCAAGACTTATAGCTAGAAGCGAAGAAACCATCATTATCGTCATTATCATGAATGTTAATCGCAAGCATCTATCTCATCCAAGTCTACCATCCTCTACTTATGCACACCAATCATAGTTGGCCCATCCTTCTCCCCGCCGCCGAACAACCTCACACTCCGTGCAAACTCATCCTCGGGCTCTGTGGCATCGATCCCATCTTCCTCGACTTCACTCTTCACCCAGACCCCATCAATCCACGCACCCCTCTTCGCCCTGACCTCCGTAGCCACGACCACCGTCTCGATGCCCGCAGGTGCCATTTCGTCCTCTCCCCACGGAAGAGCCTCAGTGTCGATCTCCTTCTCTCTGCCAAGCAGACACATGATGACGACCATAGCCCCAGCTTTGCTCATGACGGCATTCGCCTCTTTACATCGCTCATCGCAGCAGCATTCGAGACACCCCTCCAAGCAGTGACAAGTTTGCACCCTCTCGCACGCCTGCTTGAGTAAGTCGTCGATGAATTCGAATGCCTTGGTGCTGATGCCGGACCCCGAGGCGCCGCCCTTGGCGTCGTAGAAGGTAAGCCGTGCCGGCCGTTTCCGCGACGTTTCTTTCTTCGCGAATTCCTTGAGTGCGACTTTGCATTCGGTGCGGACGTCTCCCGGCATGGAGATGACGTAGTTGGGCATGAGGGAGAGGACAGCGTGTTCGGCGGCATGGATCGCTGCGGCGATGTTGAGGTTTCGCGATTGCAGGATTTCTAATGCGGATTTTGGGACGTCGAGCCACATTCCTTTTGAGTGCAGGATGATCGGGGGGTTGTCGACTTGGACGGCATCGAGGATTCGTTTCTTCTTGTCTACTTTGAAGAAGCCGAATACGACCTGTTGGATCTTGATGGAGCCGTAGAAGGCTTTTGATCGAGAGCCCGGTATGCGCCGTATGGCTTCCGTTTCGACAGGGTCAATGTCTGTGAAGTCGCGCTGCTGTGTTGTCCAGTCGACCTTGACGAACTCGACTTTGGCGATCATACGTTCTTGGCTGAACTCCTTGACGAGATACTTGTTGCCCTGATGTAGGAAAATGCCGCCGTCGTAGATTGTGAAGAAGGCTCGTGACGCCTCTAACTCTTCGAGCACGGTGTTCTTGCCGTTTGTGATATCGATGATGGCGAAGTGATCGTTCTCTGTATCCCGTATGGCGACGAAGCGGGACGGTTGAGGGAGGAACCGTTCGTTGGTGTGATAAAAGCCGCCTTCGTCGCTCCTCATCCTTTCTCGAGCAATCTTCGGCAGTAGTGGTCCAAAGTAAGTAGTGTCAGCCTGGGGATTTATCGGCATCTCATAAGCGGCGCACTGTATGTGACCTTCTAGGACGAGTAGATTCTCGAGGTCCACCTGGAGCTCGCAATTGGGTTTTGTGAAGATCTCGTCTGGGTTAGACATGTAGTATTGGTCAGTCGGGAAACAGTCGCCAACCAAGACAGACAATGAATCCTTGTTTCTCCGGCCAGCTCGTCCACTTTGTTGTCGGAGATTGGCTATCGTATATGGGAAACCGCAAGTAATGACGGCATCCAATGATCCGATATCAACACCCAGTTCCAGCGCGCTTGTCGCGACTATGCCAACCAGTTTCCCGTCGAACATTTCTCGCTCAATCTGTCGTCTGTCTTGGGGTGTGTATCCACCTCTATACGACATCACCCGTGCAATGACTTCCGATCTTTCCAAGTTTCCAAGCTCCGTTTTGATGGCTGATAGCAAGGCTTCGCACTGCTTGCGCACGCGACAGAATGCAATCACCCTCACTCCCCGAAGAATCAGCTGGCAAAAGAGCTTTGCAGACTCAGCCATGCTGTCTCCACGTCCAGATGTTGGATCTCCAGGATCCTTGAAAGGTGTGTTCCAGCACAGAAACTCCTTCCGTCCAGATGGAGAGCCATCAAAATCAGTCAATTTGACCTCGTCCACACCAAAAATGGTTCTCATGTGCTCTTCAGGATTGGCCACCGTCGCTGAACAGGAGATGAATTTCACATCCGTGTTTCCGACAGCCGCGCATACCCTTCGTAACCGTCGCATTATAAACGACATGTGGGATCCAAATAGTCCATTGTAGACGTGAAGCTCATCTACTACAACATAACGAAGGTTCTGCAGAAAGCTTCTCCAGGCTTCTTCTTGAGGTAGTATGGTGATGTGTAACATATCCGGGTTTGTGAATATAATCCGCGCTTCATCGCGAATGTAATTACGATCCGCCATTGGGGTATCGCCATCGAATGTTTCTACAACGGTCTCTTCTAGACCGCTCATGAAACGCAGCATTTCCTTGAGACTGCGTCGTTGGTCCTGAGCAAGGGCTTTGGTAGGGAATATATACATTGCGCGGGTATTGAAGTCCTGTTCGAGCTGGTGTAAGACGGGTATCTGGTAAATCAGCGACTTTCCGGAACTCGTTGACGTCGACACAATAACGTTGTGGCCGTCGTGTAGATTGTTGATTGCCTCCGCCTGGTGCGCATAGAGCTGTGTGATGTTGCGAGTGTTGTACAAAGCATTCACCATATTCTGGGAAAGCTGGAACTTGAGATCTCCATAAATCGGAGGTTGAGGATCGAACACCCGGTGTCCGTCAGGTACGATCTGTCCAGTGTACCATTCCAGGCTCTTCATTTCTTCAATGATTTCCGGTATGGCTTTCCGTTCAGTCGGTATAGTCAGGGGCAACCGAGATCGGTCAGGCCCAGGAGAGGTAGGTCTGCTTGAAGGCGCTGGTATAAAAGCGACAGACATGTCCTTGATCTTCTCCACAGCATCATCGCCGTCAGTGGCGCAATCATTGAGGAATGCATTGACTGCCGAGATGAACTTGGTATTGCGCTTCTCGATAAGTCGCATCATCTGTTTCTGACTGTATACTGGCATCTTCAAATCCTCATTCCTCAGCTTTTGCACTGCCTTGGTCGGCTCCCCGGTCTTCGCATGCTGAACTTGACGCTTCAGATCGCCATCGACGAATTCGAACAGCAGGACCTCGGTGTGGCCAGTCTTATCAAGCTCCGGTTCCGCAATGATGAACTCATTTGCTCTCCTACCCCTGGCATTATCCTCCTGCCCCATCAAGTTTATCTGTAGCATGGCCTCGTCCACGTAGGCGAAATTGATCGCCCGCGGAAGCAATGCCGTGATCTGAGCCACATCCTCAATGACGAGTTCTTTCTTTATATTTGCCTCCACCGTCGACTTCAAATTATCGAAGGTGGTCGCAAAGTGCTTCCGCGTGCAACAAAACGTATAGACGAGGTTCAACGCGCGATAGACTCGCGAGAGCTCCGTAAAATGGTCGGGCCACGGGATGGCGGACTCGATGATGGTAGAAGACCCGTGGCGGACCAGCGCGGGCTTCTCTCCACTCTTCTGCGACGGCGTTCTGCGAGGTTTCTTGCCACCATCGTGGGTTTTGGTCGGTACCGTCGTGGTCGTGGTCGTGGTCGTTGTCGTTGTCGTGGTTATTGTCTCGGTTTCTAATGCGTCATTGGTCTGGGTGGCATGATCTGGAGGTTCTTCCGCGGGAGACTGTTGCTCGGATGTCTTTCGCTTGCGCTTTCTAATGACCTGGTCTGAGACCGTTGCTGCTTTCATTCGTGGCATTGTAGCATTGCGACCGAGGGCATATGTAGTTTGCGATGTTGGCGAGAGATGGCGGTGATGTAATGACGTAAAGCGATCTTCTCAGGATCTGCAGTGGAGCCGTCGCATCCAGATTGTCAAGGGGCTTATGATGGTATTCTTATTTACAATTGAAGTTCAAGGAGGTGCATGGAGCTCTTCTTCCATTAAACCTGGGACATGGAGTTGGAACCAGCGTTCCAGGTTTACGGCGTGGCGGAACCAGTCGCGAGAACGCGCTTTCACGTGGTGGCAAATGTTCGTCCCTCAGCGGCTGCTTTTAGGCAGGTCTTAGCTTCTATTCGCATTTAGTGAATCATAGTAACCAAGATTGAGAACGGCCTTTGAATTAAATAATAGCGGTAGGTTCATTGTTATTGCTGTTAATTTTAGCCAAATGTATCAAATTAGATACTCATAAAATTGACAAATTATTGTTTTCGTGGTCTTGAACATGTATGATATCATTGATTAGAGCGGGATTGTAGGTAGAGTAAGGACTATAATACATCATAAGGACGCTGCATATCAGGGCGTGGGTATCATATCGTGAAAAGAGCCTTCAAGGTGCAGCCATTAAATCGAGTAACAGACCATGGGCCTGTAAGCCCGAGGTCGCTGAAGGAAAGAGAAAGAGGAGTACGAGGCATCAAACCACCAGCGCTTCTATGAGTTTCTCCAGCCAAACTTCCCAATTCCTCCAGAATCGTAGTATAGATTTGGTACTCCGGTCTTGGTATACCTTCAATTCTCCAGCTACTTCTCTCTGGAGATCCTTGCCGGTGGTGTTGCCTTGCTTTTCCCACCATGCTGCCGCCGCGACCTCTTTGGCCCTCGCAACAGCTAGATCGTCGTCTTCTACGCGGTAGAGATCGCATTTGTTGCACTCGGCACAGGGTCGACCTGGTGTGTCCCGGAAGTGTTGGCAGAAATGCGTATACCCTTGGCTACCTAGGCCCTCGCGGCAGACATAGCACATGACGTACCCGCACAAGCAGACAAGCTTGTTGCAACCCTCCAGCTTGACGAAGCCTAGGTTGCACTTTGGGCACGTTCGCTTGATGGCATCTGTTGTTGCGCGGTCTAGCGTCGCACGTAGAGATTCTAACTGTGACGAATAGCAGACGTGTGGATCGTGCCATGGCGCAGAGCAGGAAACGCAGGAGTAACGACCACATTGTGGAGAAAGACACTGGAATCGTAAGCCGCGACGCCTTAGATGGATCTGGCGAATGCTCGATTTCAGAGGCCTAAGGAAAGAGAATGGCGTTGGGAGCAGGTAATTCATCAGTACAATCAGGGAAACCAGAAGGATAAGGACCTGGAGAACAACGCGGAAGATTTCGAAACAGAAGAGCTCAAGCAAAGGAACAGCGAGAAGAAGAGGCCTTCGTTTCAAGCGTAGGCCTCGGAGAAGGTTATTGCCCGGAAGAGCCAATTCGTCTACCTCGGCGTAGGAGCAAAAGGGGCAATGCAAGAGTGGTAACTGGGACTTGAGCAGTGCTTCAGATGAGAAGCGTTCGTCGAGCTTGTGCAGCGTATCCTGGCCGTCTGTTTCTTCAAGTAGCGCACGTCTTACGAAAGAAAGAGGCACGCATCCCGTGCAATCATCGGTTCCGTCTGTGATCGGAGCAATGCAGCGAAGTGTACCAAGCTCGGTATTCATATTGCGTGCCCAGCCTTGATCATACAACGCGGCATTGATGGCGAAGCGAATGCAACGGAAGCAGATGTAGTGGCCATCCATGTCACAGGTGGACATCTGATCAAGCGTATTTGGAATGAAACAACATTCGCAATCGTACATCTCTTCCAGCTCTTCTGCGGTTTCTTCGTTCAATTTCAGGGCAAGTTCTCTGTCTAGTGAAATTTGTTCTATCCGTTGCTTCTCGAGTTCTGGTGCTATGAGCGTTTGATAAAGTTCATGGTCCAGTTCTCTGCTCCGCGTCTTCACAAGTAGTGGGATCTTTTGCTGGCCGTTCTTCGCATCCAGGGTTGTCCAGACTACGTGAGGATGATCTTTCGCACTTGGCGCCTTACGCCGCATGAAAAAGTTCGTTATTGACGAGCGCCAGCTGCTAGATGACAGTGTCAATAGAGTAGGCCTTGCCTGGGAATATCCCCAGTTATATTCTGCAAGTACTGCCTTCACGGTAGAATGCCGCAAGCCCTTGAACTCATGGTATAGCGCCTCTTTGGCTGCTTCACGGTAGGCTTTCGACCTAAAGGTATCTTCCAAGGCTAGAGGAATCCCGCGTGTATCCTTCTGCTGATCAGCATCACGGTACTTGTACTGGTGTGCTGCCTCTTGTTGCTCCTCCTGCTCTGCTGGCATCCGGTACCGACCCCGCACCCATTTCTTACGATGCTTCATAAGCGTCTCTGTTACAACCTGCAATCTACTATCCTCACTGAAAGATTGCAACATCTCACGAAAGACCTCAGGCTGTATATCGGGAAAGATTTCGATAAGGGCTTGTAGGGAAGCGTTCAACTCGCGCAGGTCGGGCTCGTCCGCGTCAGCGGCAACGGTCTCGGGGGACGGTGGTTGTAGGATATCAGCGGAGGCATTCGTGTGATTACTATTCGCGCGAGGAGGTCGCCCAGGCCTCACGATGGAGGCAAAGACCGAAGACATCTTCAGCCTTGTGGGGAGCTTCTCCCTTGTCTAGCTAGGGAGGCGGAGGTAGTTATGCGGATGAGATGGTGGGGTTCTGTTGCTCAAATACGAGGGTGCGACCAACTTCACCCCATGTTATGGAGGTGTTAGGAAGATGCGATGTCGATGATATAGGCTAGGAGGGTAGAATTAATAGGAATGTCGGGGACATGATTGAGGACGTGGTTAGGAATGTTGGTATATACTCGTAACTAGGTACTCAAGTCACTCTTACTGAGAACCACAAGACGCGTGGCACTCACATTAGCTGAAGAGCCTAGCCTGATCGGGATCTGAAGATATCACATGTTCACGTGTTGACCATTTTCGATTATATATTCATATTCATTCTTCGTCGGCTTATATTTATGGCTTCTCCTATTTTGTAGGTCTGAATCTTGGAATTTGAACGTAAATTTTCATACTAGTATGCGGCTCGCGTGTCTCTCGCTTTGTCCAACAGCTTCAGAAGGACAATGCCTGGATTTCGCACCACCAATTTGGATGCTTCCGGGGAACTTGTATGATTACCTATTTTGATCACCATAGATCGGTAAACATTGTAAAATAACGTTGCGAGTATTTGGCGTATTGAATGGCAGGCACTGTGAGTAATTCTTTGAGTAGAACTTAGGCGACAGGCTACTACCAGATACATTCTTAATCGTCTCGACGAAGATGATCTCTCATGCCATCGACATTGGCGAATTAGTAAGTGCACTTGACATGTAGCTTCCTGGTCGATATTGATGCATTTATCATATCAGAATCTGGTACCTCCGATTCCAACACTTTAGTAAGCTACTAAAATTCTCCTATTGGCTCGTGCGATATAAATCCAAGAGATTGGAAGAACAGTGCTGCATTCAAGGATTTGACGGAAGATGGCGGTATATGTGTAGAAATAAGTCTCGACGTATGCGTTGCTTTGGGACTATGTAGAATGGGCTTCGAAGCATTTGGTAAAGCATGTAACTGGCAACTAACCACAATGGACCTTTCAGATGTCATTTCCCATAGAGGAAATTCCATTCTTCCAGATCTGGGCAACTATCACGTTCCTGCGCAAGGCCAGCGGGTGACAGAATCCGATCTTAGGGCATGTTGCTGGGATTCGTTTCAAATAGAGAAGATGGCGCTGGCAGAATTAGGCAGAGTAAAAATACCTACCCAAGCTCTTAACAGATACAATTAATACAAAGCTAGGGGATCTGAGCGAGCTATTGTGGGTCTTCTTCTACGATGCAATTCCGACCAAACGGCAAAACCGTGGCATTTCCGTCAAGAGAGCCGCATTGTCCTGGTACGCATGAGTCAGTGTGGAAGCGGCTGCATCATGGGCAGAAGAGTTGCCTCATTGAGGAGCTGAGTAATGAATGGAGTGATGTCGATCCAAGCTTAAGGGCTTGGTATATTCTGCCTACACATTTGCTTGACCAGGCAGATTCCCAAGGCGAAACGCAAGGCAGTTACTGGCGAGGATCTATGGAAGGGTTTTGAAGAGGAATTGTTGGTAAAGTTGTGGTAAGACAGGTTGTTCGATGGATGGATTCAGGGGTCTTTCAATCTTGAAATTCGACTAACCAGCTATGTACATCATATTTTGTAAGCTATATCTTGCTAAAAACGTAATTGTCGAATCTGTAATTGGATCCTTGCCGGGTCGCTTATGCTTTGGACTGTCGGAGTGGATACTCCTACAAGTAGGAATAGCCTAGGTAGATAGGTAGGTAGTTTTCTTTGCATCAGTCAGTGACTCAGTATTCAGAGATCAACAACCGTCATGCGTAGTTACTGCACGTCTAATCACAGCGGTTTCAGGTTCTCGGAAACAGAAACTTGTCAAAAATTTGCATGCCTATCAGCATTTAAACACCCATAGGCAAATGCAAAAGACATAGAACGTGTGAATTGGATATGTGGGGACCTGCAGCAGCGTGCCGTACTTAAACGGTAAAGAGCATAGCATTTCCTACTCCGGTCCAAGTGTATCAACCGCACTAAACCGAATCTAGTATGTAAGAACGCTGGCTTCGACGCGAGATTGCTCAAGCCTCAAGAGAATCCTCGCGTGGATTAGACTCATGTAGACTGCTGTAGGCTCTTGTAGTTCTTGTAGTCCACAGTTCTCCACGTGCTATCCATACCCAAACTCCACTACTAATATTAGGACATCGACAAGACATGAACAGCAGCAGTCTGTTATTAGAGCGCCATTATTGCGAACAGTTGTTGAAAGGCCGAATGGAATTGCCATCCTAGGTAGTTTCTCTCGTGTTTCTGGCGGTTGAAGTTTCCTAATTGTAGTATTCCCTCATCCTGCCAGTTAACGGCAGACTGGGAAAGAAGAAATGGATGAATATATTTACATACCGAGGTTCCTGCTGTGATGCCCTCCTTTCAGAACTGCGTACTCTCCATCTCTCAAAGTGTGTGTTTGAAGTATATTCGAATTATGTAACTACCAGCTTGCACCGAGTAGGTTGCATCGATCCCATCTCCACATGTCTTTTCCTACTAATCGAATTTATCTCAAGTCTCTCGATCTTGGAAAATCTAGCGTCCATGACATAGGAAATTAACATTGTGCCTACGTACTACGTACGCCCTTCAAGAAGAAGAATGGGTTGCTTGATAGACCCTGATGGCTCGGGCAAGGCACAAAGAGCAATAGCATCAAACATTCTACCGCCAAACTCAACGGCGCACCCCCCGAACGGGTGCCGAGGAATCCGTCGGTGTCAGCCCCGGCACATTTCTGATACCTGTGATCAATATTTCCCAGCGGTTTGGACCTCGCTCGGACCCTTCAGCTTGACGTATGGTTGCATTGTCGCACTGCGCTGTCTGCACTGTCTGCACATCAGGGGGTCGCTGGAGGGGTTAGACGCACCTATTTTTGGCTGGAAAAACGACAATCCCACTTGAATAATCCGAAGTCAATTTGGACCGATGCATGCTCTGATCTGTCTGCAGATTCGCCATCAGGGCATTTTCAAAGGTGGTTTGTGAGTCTTGAAGTGCGTTCAACCACCAAGCGGCCACGGAGTATTTGCCTTTCCCCAAAGGTACCCTAATCTCACCTCGAAATGAGGACTCATAGCACCACGGTTGCTCGACGGCCAATTGCAGCATACCTGCTGAGCCACGGAGCCACGCAAGTGTGGCTCCTTCTCGGTGTGCATTTCCGTTTCAGCTAGGTGGTTGGCTCGTATCTTTTTGTCTCCAGTCAAACTACCCTAACTACTTCTCTAATGGGAGCGCCCTTAGACTAGCCTACCATCGACCAAGAATGTACACAACACTAACACTAACACGATATGATATAATATCATCGTGCCTTCAGGTGCATGGCATTTTGTCTCTTCTTACTGTGGATATCAGTCTCTGAGCACAGCGCGATATGTCACGCAACATGTCGAACTCAAATAAACGCACAGTGACTCGCACCCGAACCGGTTGCTGGACCTGTCGTGGACGTCGGAAGAAGTGCGATGAGGTACGGCCCTTCTGCAACACATGTGCCAACCTTGGATTGCGCTGCGAAGGCTATGGGGTGCGATTGAGATGGACAGCTCACAGGAAAGGCTTCGTCGTCACGGACAGCAGGCCAGGCAAGAGAAGTTCACGAAGTCCAAGGAGTCCACAAAGTCCACAGAGTACAACGAATTTTTCCTCACCACGAAGTACAACATCGGCCTCTCTACCAGGGAAGTCGACGAATGCGAATTTTGTGGTGAGCACAGAACGCCTTTTGAAGTACATAGGACAGGAGAGCTTTGATTCACTGACCGAGTACGAAAGAGACGTGATGTGTGATTGTGAGTATGCTCATGTAGCTAATATCTTTGAATGTCTGCCCGAAGACTAATGTATTGACAGTCCTGAACTGGGGAAACCTCACACTTGGATCCAACATGGGCGTTGCCACAGAGGATGATGCAGTTACGTTGTTGCGTGACTGCAGTAATTCGAAGCCACTCTTGATCAACTGTTTAACGTATCAAATTACCCTGGACCCTAAGCATGCCGCATATGTCGATGAATACTACAGCAGAAGCATACAGATGTTCCGAAAAGAGCTTTCAGACCCGACGAGCTTAGACAAGGCCAATACATGCTATGCAGGAGTTCTGCTTTGCTCCATCAGCGTATGCTAGACATAACCCCCTTTATTTGCACATTGTATGAGACTAAGACGCTGCAGATGAATCTAGGCATGCCTTGGACGATACATCTCAATGGACTCGTCTCAATACTTTCAGAACGACAAGTTTTCGCAAGGACTGATGTCGAGACCAAGGAATTCATACACCTCATCAGCACTCTCGATATACCAACCCATACTCTTGGACGCAAAACCCCCCAACTCAATTTATGGAGAGACTACAATCGCTCCCGAGATGGCATCGAAGACATAACCGGTCTGCCTTGTTCGTTAATGGACTTATTTTCCTGCATTATGGAGCCTGATGTTGAGGAACGCTTGCACGCCTGGCCTGTCACTCAAGGCTCTCCAACGCAATGCAAGATCTGGAAGGCAAATCGTGCCGCAGCGATTATTTCGGCAAGGCAGTGGAAAATTCGGCACGCTATGTTGGAAAGCGATGCGCATCAGCGCCCGGAATATCAAGCTGGACCCACAGAGAACGGCCCTGCCATCATCGCAGTTGTACAGGAGATACTCGTCATTGCGCATGAACTCAGGCCTCTACTCGAAGACAAATCTGCTGAAATCAGACGGCCGTTGCTCTATCCTTTGGTCGCTGCTGGATCGCAGCCGTCATGTCTCACCGATTATGACAAGACTTTCATTGGTGACTGCATCATAGCACTCGCCGATGGAGCATTAGACGAAGATCCCTATTACGGCGGACCTGCGACTGTTCTGCGCGAATTATGGGCCAATGGACGGGGCAGATCAATCGAGCAAGTTGCGCACGATCTGGACATGGAGATGGCTCTGTTCTAAATATAGACATCATTCCCTAGCCTGGGACTGACTGAACTAATACTCATTCTCGTCACTCTTCGAGCAGGTGGACGCCACCAATTTTTCCAATATTCCTCTCCCAAGAGTCGAAGCCTAGAAGCAGAGGTATAGGGCTCGCTAACTGGCGTTGGCTCAAAGTAATCCGCGAGTCAGCGACTCTGCGTTACATTCATGTCGAACTTTTCGGGTATTTCTCCGGCGGCACTTCAAACGCTCCAAAGGGTCACGTGCAGGCGACATCACACCACGATCGAAGAAAATATCATCCATCATCCATCATGACCAAATGTGCGCATCCATAGCTAGGAGCTGTTCGCCGTGGAGATTGTTCTAGACTTAGGGTCTCGCTTAAGACGTACGAGGTATGTCACGAATGAGCAGTACGATACGAACCCACTACAATACATAATTCATGAAATCACACGTCAAACTTTCAATCCAATACGCCGCACGCTATGAACCTCATTGAAAGTTTGAAAGCTCGGAGGGACCGTTTCTAAACATAGATCATCACGACGTTTTATCGTCAGAGGATCGTCAAGTGACAAACTTCCGATTGGTACGGACGCAGCAGTCCTCAATGCATACGGCAGGCTATTGCATACCAATATTGCGACTCTACCGACTAGCATCCCTGGTTTACCCTAGCGTGATATACTCGAAGATACCACTACTATTACTCCATTATCCAGATTCAGACATACGGCCTTAAATTCCATCTTCACTCGACCATCAAGGTGTAACCAATTCATGCGAAGTCGTTGCAGCGACGCCACTGGACCGCATTGGGTGACTTGAAACAATAGTAAACACGCATAGAATCGGCAATGGTACTATGCAATTGGTTCGCCGAGAGGAATCCGCCAGACGGGGCTAGTGAATTCATGTATTGACTTGGAGCTTCGACGTCCTTCCAAACTGGTACTATCCGACCATCATTGAGGGACGTATCCGATAGATTGACCGATGATATCGATATTTCCCAGGAACTCGTAATGACAAAGTCGCCGAACCTGTTGCCTAATCACTTTCACAAAGTCTGCCTTGCAATTTAAGAAAGCGAGGATGAGGATTCGATAGAATAAGCTTTGGGAGACTCAATCCTTCTTGGTGCTATGGGCGCGGCACGATCCTGAGGGATGGCAAGCGAAGAACGGAAGGTGTGAAACATGCGTTACTCAATATCAATGACAGAAGATGGGGTTTGATGTAGTATAACTGTGTAACAATATTGAATGAATTGAATATCTAGCCGGGACAAGCGCTCTCGTCTCTATGGAAAATCATAATAGCCCGTCTAGTGATTCGTTACCGTACTGTATTATTTCGTGTTAGGAAAAAGGAAAAACAAATGAACCGAGATAGTAAGAATAGCCGGAGCATGCTGCATGTCCAGCACGCCCTTTAGAACCTGCCAAACAAAGAATGGAATAAGACAACAAAAGCCAAGATCAATGGCAGTGGGAATGGGAATGGGGATGTAGAGAACGCGGCGCCTGCTTGCAAGACTGGCTCTGCGAGTACCGTGACCGTGTTAGTTGAAGTTGGAGTTGGAGTCGCAGAGAGCAAGTTTTTGCACATTGGCGTTGTATGGCCGTGGTGATTGATAATCGACGCACTCGTGACACGCTTGTACATGAACCGCGAGTCTCGTATGGGCGTCGGAGCCACTCCACCAGTCAAGCTCTCACAGTGCGTCCTCACCTCCTCCACCCCATCCGCATCCCCAACCCCCTCCACCGCCCTCACAGCATTAGGCTTGAAGTCCCCAAAATCAAACTTCACGCCCGGAATCCCCTTCAGCCCGCTCGCGAGCTTATCCACAAGCTTCTGCTGCAGTCCGTCGAAGCCCTTGACCAGCACGTCTTTCCCCTCCCGCATCATCTTCTCGACGTACGCCTTCGCCTCCCTCCCCGTGTTCACGATGTCGTCGATCGATTTCTTATACTTGAACACTATGTGTGCGGCGTACGACAAGATGGCTATGAGGGCGAGCAGCACGGCGCCGTAGATCGCGATGAGTACCCACAGACAGGGGCTGATGGCCGTGGAGGCGCCGGCGCTGGTGCTCGGGATGTCGAAGTTGGGGGGCGGGCGGGTTGTCATGGCTGGGGGGAGGTGTAGGTCCGGGATGTCGGTTACGCGGGCGAAAGGGATGCGGACTGTGAGGTCGAGGTTGGGCTTGGGGATGAGGGAGGTGGCTTTGGAGTGGAGAGAGGATATCAGGGCGGAGGGGAGGTTTGGGGTTGGGAAGTGGGTGAGGGGGTTTTTGATGGAGAGGGGGAAGTCGCGGGCGTGGTTTGGGGGTGAGGTTGTCGTTAGGGGAGTCAGAGATGGTGGAGGTGAGTTGGTTATATCGTGAGGGGAGTCAGGGGAGGATATGGACAATGCTGAGGTCTTGATGAATGGAGGCACAGTGGAGGAAGTTTCTGGGACGATGATACTTGGTTCTTCTTCAGAGTACCGATCACGCTGCTGGATCTGATCTTCCACATCGCGTACGTTGATGCTCAATGAGTCCGCTGTTTGTGTTGCCCTTACGTGTACGGGTAACGCTTTCGAGCTGTGCTCCTGACTTGTCGTAGATGTTGGATGTGGTGTTGATTTTGACGGTGCGACTGAAGTCGAGATGGATTTCGATTCGCTCTTTTTAGTCGTCGTCGTTGTTGATGTCGAGGGTGAAGTATAGTTGACGTGCGTTGTTTCACTGCTAGTATCTTTAGTCGTCTTCGATGTTGCAGTTTCCAGTAGAATACTCGTCGATACGCTTGCTGTTTCGGTGGTCAAAGGCAACTTCTCTTTGGCTGGCGGATGGATGTCCAAAAAGCCCAATAGGCCTAACACGGATAGTCCAGTTAAAATCACGACTATAATCCATTGTACGCTCGTCGGCATGCCGCCGCGGTGATTTTCTTGGTGCTCTCTGCGTGTGCCATCGGTGTAGGATAGAGTAGGCATTGTGGGTGATTTCTTGCCGGCGAGCGGAGGAAGGCGGGAGACGATGGGGCGCTCAAAGATTCGAGAAGGGCTATGGTGTCTTTGTGCTTGATTCTCAGTATTGATTGCCCTGGGCTGAGCGAAGAGCCCTTTGGGAGTCAATTTTTTGCGCGATTCCGGCGAAGGAAGATACTCGGGCTGATCTTCAGGGTATATCGATGGCGAATAACTAAGATTACTGCGATTGCTGCTAGTTTGCCGTTTTCGATGCAAGCTGCGTGATACCCTTTCAAGGATATGAGGGGGTGGTCGCACGCCAGGTGTGAAAACTGGAGATGATATCGCGGGACGATCAGTATATGGCACGTTTGGTTCTTCGTGGCTCCGATGGATAAACAATCGCGGAAGGAGGGTACGACTCCCCGATTTACTCTCTGGGCGTTCTTCACGTTGCATGAGAGAGCACGCAAGAATCTTTGCACGTTAACGTAGTTGCATGAAGCTGAAATGGACGAAGATATCCAGGAAGTGGTGCTGGAGGATCCTCGAGAGAAGTATCGATACAAATGGCACTTTGCAAGTGAGTCATAGTTGGATGCATCATACATTTGACTGGAATTAATGACTAGAGTGGTCACGTAATAATAGAATGGTCCAAACTCATAGCCACGCCCAGGTGACTGGTACACGGCCCAAGTCAGGATTTGAAAGTTGATTGAAAACCGCTGGGCTCACGTCAATATCAGTAGGTTGGCAGCCAGTACCTAAACGAAGTCAGTATCGGCATATCATTGATGGCTTTCAGCTTTCGAGTCAAACATACACCTATCCACGACTGTTAGATCGATGCTGACAGTCTTTCCCGTATCTTCATTGACTCTGCGAGCGCGAATTTTCCTCCTACATAGGGGATTCTGGTTCGGATCGCTCCCCTTCTGCGCCGCATCAAAGGTGAAATGCGAAATAGCCACGATATGATCACTCGAGGTGGAATCTATGCCGCAAGCACCGAGGCCCGGGTCGTAGAAAGTAAGATCACCAGTGTATGTTTCAGCGCCATTTGGAAGGGGGATATTCTTTGGACCGCTATATACGGATTAGCATGCTTGGAAGAATGCCGACTGGCAGCGCATGCTCGTACCTTGACTTCTTGCTCAAGCCGACCGCGAGTCCAATTATGAGCCCTAGAAGTAGGAGGAAAACAACGCCAATTCCGATCAGCAAAGTGCGGCGACTGCGACCTAGGTAACGTTTATGCGGAGGAAGAATTCGGTCGAAGCGATCTGATATTGCCCAGCCCGTTGCTGCCCCTCCAATGCGAAAACGCCGCTGTCTCACGGCTCCCTCCTCAGGTATGTCCCAGTTCGGCGCATCGTCTACGTCCGTCTCTTTCTTGAAAGCCGGCAGTGGCTTTTGTGGTTCTTCGTATGTTGCCATTGTATTCGCAAGTATATGTACGGCGCGTCGCGTTGCGCAAACTGGAGGTATTGTATTGTAGTATTAATGAAGGTCTGGGTATCACAAATATCACAATTCAGAACATTATCAAAAGAATGGAAGCCGAGCTGCTATGCGATCTCGGCAAATGTACAATGCGACCAATGTTGGTCGCAAAAAGCGAAGACGTTGAGTCCAAGGGAGTGTTGGTGTGAGATGTGGAGTGTGAACTGGAGGGTCTCACTCTCTCCGGGTCTAGAAGTGAATTAAGGGGCTCGAGCGCTTCGGACAGCCGTTGATATGGCGCTAGGCAGAACAAAGCTCCGGCTCCGTATCATCCAATGACCATCATTCCACTTCACTGTTCACCCATCGGGGATCCGATCCACCAAACACGCCCCATCCTCAGGATTATCTGCTTCGCATTGTTAAGTTTACTACGCCACCCTCTACCTCCGTTCGATCGACCCTTCAGTACCCCATCAACGGTGCAAACACATCCATCAAACAAACCATCGTGGACGCACCATTCCGGACAACCCGTATCCCAACCTAGAAGTAGACGTCCCATCTCGGAACAGTTCCGAACCTTCAAAGCGGGCCTTCTGTAGAAGAAGTCACAAAATGGCAGAACAGACACTCAACATCCCGCAACTGGTCGTCTTCATAATAGTAGCCGTCCTTAGTGTGAGATGGTACCTGGCGAAGCCCCCCGCAGGACGCACGCGAATAGCGCCAGTGCCACATCGAGACTCTAGAATAAACCCCACGCATGTCGACCAACTAGCGCAGATGTTTCCACAGTGCGACAGAAGACAGATCGCATGGGACTTACAGAGGAATGGTGGAAATGTGGCGGCGACGACGGAACGTGTTCTCAGCGGGCGGGGCCTCGATACTGTAAGTCTTTCCTCGGCTTTTCATCAACACGTATGGGAAGAATAGGCAGAGTCTAGATATGCTTGAAGTGTAGTCACTAATCATGTACAGCCTCCCGCATCGTTCAACCCGCCTCTTTCACGCTCAACACCACCCTCCAGGACCCCAACACCAGCCGCAAAGCCTTCGCAACCCGATCTGATCACGCGGTACAACCTTGCCTCCAAGATCAGCAGTAGCGCAGACTCCGCTACGAATACTTCAGAGTCCAAAGGGAAGGCATGGTCCTCGGACAGGGATGAAAGGCAGGCAAACCTGCAGCGACGACGGGAGGAGATGATCCTCGCAGCACGCAGGAAGCTTGAACAGAAGGAGAAGGCTAAGGCTTAATTGTCATGTACTCTAGGGTGTGGGTTCTTTGGTTCAGCATTTGCATAGAGCGCCATTATTACGGCGTTTGGGATTACTGGCTCTGATATTGGTATCACTTTGGAGAGGTTTACTGTTTCAATTGTAGATGACCCCCCACTCTGCGTCAATTTGCTTCCTCGTAACTGACCGGTAGTTACACAACATAAAAATTCTGACTCGCCCACAATACTTAATTCCATGTCTCCAGATATTCCCTTATACCTTCATACTCCCTTTCGATAAGCTCCTTCCTACGCTCATCACGCAAAACGAATCGTACCTCAAACGGCTTCGGACAATGCACCAATCCCTCCTCATAAGCATCCAAATCGCATCCCTCCTTCCCCACCGGCTCAATCTTGAACGCCCAAAGCAACTTCGCAACCACCCTCCACTGCGTCCTTTCCGCAACATGGATACCCGGACATAGCCTTCTCCCAATACCGTACGTGTAATGATCGCGGTTCGCATAGTCTGGAGAAGCTGCATACGCTGCTGCAAGCTTGTTCTGTCCTACGTAGCGGGAAGGGTTGTATTTCCATGATTCCGTGTAGTTTTCAGGGGCGTGGTGGATTCCCCATATGGGAAGGACGAGAATACTGTTAGCTGGGAGGTGGTAGGGGCCGTATGTTGTTGGTTTGGAGAGACGGTGGTTTACGTTGAAGGGGACGCTAAAGAGGGATTCAGTCAGTAAAGGTGATCAAGGATGGATATTGGAAGGGAAGAACGTACAATGGGCGGATACGAAGGCCCTCTTTGATTATGCAATTAACACATGGAAGTGCGTCAAAGTCGGACCAGTTTGGCATCCTGTACTGTCAGTTTCAAGAAGCAATATGTCTGGGAACTTTCCATTCTGACATACCTGCTCCCACACGCCTTGTCAATCTCCTCCCACGCCCTCTCCTGCTCACGCGGATGCATCGCCAAATGCAATACATGCGTCAGAATCATAGTCCCCGTCCCCGCATCCGGCAACGACCCCAGAAAATTAGCAACCTGCTCCCTCGACTGCTCCACATCCAACTCCACCTCCCCACCCAACAAGCTATCTGCAATACTAATCCTCTTATCGCCCACGCACCGTCGATCCTCCACGCGGTCGAGCGCCTCGCTGAAGATGCGTAACACGCGTTTATAGCACTGCTTCGCGCGGCGTTTGGCGGGGACGAGAGCGTCGGGGAGATATCGTAGCGGTGGGAAGAGTCCGACGGGGATGAAGGAGCCGAGCGATATCGTGCGCTCCATGTCGCTCAGGGCGTCGTAGATGAACTTGGCCCAGAAGTCGTCGTGGGTCGCGGCGCGGTGGCCGTACACGACTGCGCTTTGGATGCTCGTGGCCGCGCGGAAGACGTGCGAGCGGAATTGGTCGGGCGTGTGGAGGAGATCGTATAATAGTTGCGTGGCTCTGTATTTGATTAGTCCATAAGCTCGCTCATCAACTTTGTAGATGGGACCAAATTACTCTGCGTCTTGGATATCCACCAAATCTCTGTCCAAGATTGAGGGTGCCAGACTCTGCGTCGCCAGTTTTCTCTGAGCCCGCCACGTCTCGTTTGGGTTCATTTCTGATAGGTTATGTCCGCCGGTGACGAGGTCAGTGTAATACTCTATCGGGCGGTGCGAGGATATCGCACTCTTCTTGACGAGGATGCCGTGGATGCTGTGGCGGTCGTAGAGGACGATGTAGACGTCGCGGCCGATTGTGTAGGAGAAGATGGGACCGTATTTGGCGTGCCATTCGTGTAGTCTATTTGAATGGTGTCAGTGTTCTCCATGGTCGATTTCTTCTAGCTAGATCTTATAGAATGGCCAGTAGGAGGAGATGAGCTATAGAACACTTACAGTAGATGGCTTGCCTTTGATCTGAATTCTAGCATGTTACCGAAAATTGGAACTGTAGGTGGACCAGGAGGCAAATGCTTCGATCGTCGACCAATGCGGAGTACTTGATATCCCACATATGAAAGGGCAATAAGGAGTACCAACATCCATGGAAAGCGCTGGAAGTATTCAAGCACTGGATCAGATATGACCTGATCACGTAGACCGGCAATCGCAGCGTAAAGTGCATCGGAAGTGGTAAACTTATTGGTAGATGCCATTTTGGTTGTCTTCCTTACAGAAACTTTGATTCCAAATCACGGTGTTAATATCAGGGAAAAGCGAAGAGAATTGCACAGCGGATGTGTCTGTAGCACAACCAACCGTGCCCCATATGAGATGTACATTGGGAGCCAGCATGTATTTGAATATTATTTAGCTCAAGTCTAACAGTACATATGGAGCGAGTAACATGGCACTCAATGAGGGCTCCATTGAGAGACTGCTCGGTTGACGACCTAGGTGGTCTGTGGCGTTTGATATGTTTATGAACGATGCGATAGTGTGACTAGCGATACATTGAGGATACGTAAATATCGAATCAGGTTGTTGATTGCCCGTAGAATACACTAGGATGGCGTTCAGGTACGGATGTAACGCAGCAATGGAGAACAAAGAAACTAAGAGTCTATTCTTTTGCTGATAGAACAATGCTAAGACTATACCTCGCTTATCAAAGTACGGAATGCAACAATCAAAGAAATGGCCTGGTGGCGTTTCGTGGACGTTTGTATTGGAGATCTAACCATGAGTAGTAATATCATGAGTTCTTTGCGAATTCCTGCAATAGACATCGGGTGTAATAGTGGGTTGGAAAATGATTCCCAACAATGATAGTCGGACCCAATCAACACAAATTGTACAAAGCTCGGAAGCGCATTGCTTCCCGTCACGGTCAGCTGCCTGCCACCTCCGTACTTAGATTTCATAATCCTACTCCTGACGACTCATAGCCTCTCTGATCTGCTGCCCCGCGATAGGATCCAAAAACTCAATAGATTTCTTCACAGTCTTGCCATCCGGCTCCATGGTCAAAAACCATACAATGTCGTGCTCAATTGGAGTTTCGGTGCCTTTGACGCCCATCGCGTGACTAGCTCTCACAACAACCGAGTTTTGATGCTCGTCGATGAAGATATCGGAAATGGTTGTATCCCAGGAATCGAGTTTGGGGACCATCATCTCTAGATGCTTTATGAACGCATCTGCGTCGTGTGTGCCGGCAAGCTGGGGAGTGGCCTCCACGAATCCTTTGTGTCCGCAGGAATGTTGGAATCCGGATGCTGACCGGATGGCTTTGATTCGTTCTTCGCTGAAGCGTTTTGGAAGGCTTTCGTCTCTATCCGCAGAGTGGATGAATGTTACTGCCGTTGCATGGAGGGTTTTATACTTTGCAGAAGCAGAGGGTGGCATAGAGTCAGCCATGATATTCTGTATGAAGTATTCAACGGAAGTGAGGTATGGAATCTAAAGCAACTGGAGGTAAATTCTATGTATAATATATAAGTATCTGGCAACGTAGTCGGCGTGAGGAGGAAGTAAGCCGGAGGAATTCGCGATGTCCGGGTGGGAGGTGTGGAGCTATGGAGGTCGTGGGTCGGGCGAATCGGATGGGTCGGCGTTGGGGGGGATGGGGGGTTGGAGCCGGGGGTCTTCTCCGCGTGGTGAGCTGAAAGATATCAGTTTATACACGTGTATCAACCACTCGCGCGATAGACAGACCCCTGGTTCAATCTTCAAACCAACCACTAAACAATCAATTTTCCTCCTCACCAACAATCGGTAGCGCATGGGGCCCTTCCATGCACGACGAGCAACTGGCACATATTGCGCGTTCGAGAGGTTATAACAATACAGCAATGTATGAACTCGGCCCTCGAAGGTCCAAGAGTGAAGTGAAGTGGCGGGTGCACTCTCCATATAACACTGCCTGAAGTCGCTTTTGAAGCATCTCGATTTGTTTATTCTGGCACCACGATTTGTCCTAGGGCTGAATGATAGCACAATTGTAAACGACTTTGAAATCAAGTGACTCAAGAGTGTGTACCAGTTGTGAAGCTCTGATCGGTCATCTGAACGCTTAAGTCCATGGATTCCCAGGTGTCAAGTTCGGCTTTTGCTTTGATAGTTAACTCGTGCTTCAATCCAAACGTGTTCCGACTGAGCTGGAGGCAACGCTCCATCAAGTCGCGGGCTTTCTCATCGGCCTTCCAGGATCTGTATAACATTGCAATCTTGAACATGGTATCCAGGGTCAACTCATGATTTTCCCCCAAATGATGTTCTCTAATTTCCAGGTGTGTTTGCACAATTTTCACGGCTATTGCTTTGTCGTCGTGACGTCTGGCCATTTCCTTGGCTATTTCTAATGTCAGTTCCTCATTGCGTTGCAGGGTTTCTATTGGGCCCAAGGTGGAATTTTTCTGCAGGAGGCTTTGCACGCGACGAAGTTCCACATCGTAATTTTTCGGAAGCTGAGAAGACGTTGCTTCGGATTTTTGGAGCCGCAAGATTGGTTTAGCATGGTACGGATCCCGTGATGCCTCCTGATCCTCCAATATCCAAGACATTAACTTCTCACGTTCCCGCCACCTCCCTTCTTTCCGGTACTCTGATGCCAGATTAGTCATGGCAATAAACGTGGGCCCGTCAACATTCCGGCGTGCTTCTTGTCTTATTCTTTGAATAACTGATCTATGGTGCCTGCCAGACTCCCATGGTACATCAATTATATCCTCAACTATTTCAAGATGAACGATCGAGGTCAATGTAGAGCTGTGGTCTTGTCCAAGGAATCGAGTTTTCAACCGCACCAAGTTCAATTCCAGACCATGAAGCTTTTCCCACAAACTAAAATCCACACAGATGTTTGCTATTTGCGATAGCATGAGGAGTACTGGTTCTAAGGCATCCGAGGCGCACCAGCTTTCGCTTCCTGTCCTTGACATTTGGTCAGCCAGGTCTACCGCCTCGTCTGCATAGATGCGAGAGCGTGTTGCCAGCCACATGTCAAAAAGATAATTGAGATGTTTTACATGGTCTGGGTCGGGTTCCCCTGAGACTGGTGGTTGCTGGTATAATCCTATAGTTTGGGGTTGTGCGGCGGGTCTGGTCTCCAACGCTTCTTGCGCGTTGGGAATGTTCTTGATGTTTTGTGTATCTACTCCCAAAAGACTGTGCAGAACAGTCAGATCATCGTCATCTTGAACGCCATTGTCTATGGCAAATAACGCTAGTTGCTCGAGATGAGAAGCAAGATGACGTTTGAAGACAGCCGGAATAACCTTCACTGCTTCCACAGGCATTTTTGAGGACCCTTCTTCGTATGGAACTTGTGATCGCTGTCTAGCTGTCCAGTCCGAGCAGCATGGACAATCTTCAGTCGATATAACGTCAAGAGATTCTTGTCCCAATTTGATGACAGAATCCTCGTCCCCAAGTTGCAAGAGCTCAGTATGGTTCTCACTGATATGCTTCATATAGCTCTTTTGATTGGCAAAGGATTTGTTTTGGCAAAGCTTGCACTTGTATCTAACGAGGTGATTCTGTAACTCGTGCCGGAACCAGTCATCGATGTCACCGAAATAGGGCGCGTCGCAGTCAGGGAAAACACAAACGTAGGTGCAAAGATCGGAAAAGACGTGCTTTTGCCATGCTCTTTCATTCCTGAATTTTTGCCTATTGTAGCAGAAGGGGCACTCTAATTCGTTCATAGAGCCTTTTGTAAGATCCTCCAATTTTGGTATCACAAAGCTGGGTAAGGATTCATAGTCTTCACCAGTTGAATGAGAGAAATTGACGGATGATCCACCATCGCTTTCACTGTCGGACTCCAAGGTCCCAAGAGGAATTGCGGATGGAGTCGTCTCTTTTGCCAAATTCGATTTTGATGCACGATATATGGCCAGTGCAACATCATTAGACACAAACTGCGAGGAAGAGGGACCTGGCACAGATGCAACTGGTGTTCCCATGTCAGGTATCGTAGACCCCCCATGCATGACTTTCGCTTCAAGCTTATTCCGATGGTCTCGAATGTAGCTGAGATATTGTCTGCGGTGGGTGATTGCGCGACCAAGGCGGGTGCGAAGCCATGATGAGTCTTCCGAAGCAAGTTTGGGGTATTTCTCACCGACATGTGCAATATCAAACTGATCGTTGAACCGGTATTTGTCACAACTCAGAGCTTTCGTGAAAGGGTCAGTAGGCGCTGCTTCACGGATCAGTCTAGATACACGGAAGAGGCGTGCAATGCCTGAGCCAATCTCTTCCAGAAGTTCTGTTTCTTCGTTCTGATTTTCGTCGCATGAGCTTTCTCCAGTTGCTTCGACAGCGACGTCTCCCAGGCGTACCCCGTGGATAATATTCGAGACTAAGACATGTCAGCCTGTAGGCGATAGTGCCACAGAAGGAAACTCACACTCTTCAGCAACTTCATTCATGTCATCTAGCAAGTCAAATACATGTTTCAAAACTTCTTGCGCCTCGGCAAGGCGAGATTCAAGGGAGAGAGGTGAGCTCGGAGCGTGGAGTGCGCCGATATTGCCAACCCATAAACTGAAGCGCTCCAACTCATCGCTCACTTGTGCGCTGCTGATTCTGTGACCTTGGTTATCGGGCGAAGAGAGGCCTTCAACGATTGCCTTGAGCGTGACTATCATTTTGTGACATTGTTCTGATATGGGAGACGACGAAGCCAATGTAGCTGGTACATCCGGAATGCACTCCCCCTGGAGCCGCATCTCAGATTCGTAAGTATCACGGTACTCCCTGGGTGGGTAAATCACGCGTTCCCTCTCGGGCTCGTAGCGGTACTCGATGATCTCGCGGCCTGGAGGGGATTGCGAGCGTTCTACATTGCGTTCCAAGTAGTAGTACTCACGCACTTCACGTCGCAGTAGATCGTCCCGCTCGACAGTATGTTCTCTCCTCTCAACACGCTCGCGGGATGGTGAGCGGCCTCGATGGACGGGTCGGGCCTCATCTCCGTAAGTATCTTCTGGGCTCCTGTCTGGAATTTTGTAGCGCCTGACGGTAGTGTAGGCGCGGGAACTACCGTGAGAGGATCCAGCGTCCCAGTCGCGCTCCCGCTCGTGCTCTCGGAATATTCTAGACATGGCGCATTTGTGGTAGATGGCAAAGTAAGTAGACTACAATAAATAGCCGCGGGATCAGAACGTTGATGTCTTGTGTAATGGCGTATATCAGTGACGCTCTGTATACCAGATAGATGTTTTATGTCTTCAGAGACGAACACTATTAGTGAAAGGATCCCCAGACATATTTGGGGGCCGCTTGTGCGGGGTATCGGAGAGGACATCACAACCCAAGGTGCTTCGTTCTCAGCCTTGTCTGCTTTCAAGTAGCATGATGCTTGACAAAGTGTCCACATAGGTCTCGATGAGCGGTCTCGAAGTTGCAGGCGTTGTTCTTGGAGCGTTTCCACTGATCATCTCCGCCCTGGAGGATTGGCGCGAGGTGGCCAACGTTGGGGGCTTCTTCTTGCGAATACGGAAAGAGTTTAAGAAATGCCTCAGAGATGTGCAGTATCATGAGATTCTGTACAAACGAAATCTGAAGGCACTATTGTCCCCGCTGATTCATGACGAGGCCGAAACGAAACGACTAATTGACGACCCGGGGGGTCAAGGTTGGAGTGACGGCAATTTGCAGAAACAGTTACAAGGGCAACTCCAAGAAGCCTATGAAGTCTACTTCGCAATCGTCGTTGAAATGAATGAGACAGCCGAAGAACTCAAGGAAGAGCTAGCAATGGGAAAGTCGGATGTTCAAGCCAAGCTCAAGTCCCCGGAAGCAAAGAACCCACAGCGCCCCTCGACTCAATCGAAGAGCAAGGCAGCTAAAATTGCATCGGTTAAGTCTAAATGGGACTATGAGAGCTATCGAGTCAAGTTCAGTTTCAATGAACCTGTAAGAGATAGGCTTTTTGGGAAGTTGGCGGAGTGCAATAGCCGCCTGGAGAAGCTGCTCAGTACAAGTTTCAAATCGCCTCTACTACAATCACCAACACCTCCCGAAAACAGGAAGGATATTTCAACGCTAGAGATTTCCCTCAAGAAGGCATTCAACAAGGCAGATTGGCTGTTCAAAGCACTGCAGAAAGCGTGGCAGTGCTCGTGCCAACAATATCATTATGCAAATCTACGGCTCGAACATAGAACCCTCCCAGAAACATGTTTTGAGATCATTCTCATGTTCGTAGCCCCGTTATCACGAAACACTACACATTGGTCATGGAAAGAGCTACAATGTGGTCACCAGCCTAGCTGTTCGTTCGGCCAACAACTCAAACCACCACTTGTCCTGCGCCCTGCGCTGCAACCCACGATGAACAACCGCAAAGCCAAGGGGAAAGGGGTTGTCATCTCTCCAAATGTCTGTCCGGTCTCAACGATCCAACTAGATGTCTCCACTGCCCCGAATCCTACTCTTTGCCAGAACCTCGGCGACGAGCAATGCCAGCAGTGTTTGGGGATAGTTGGACACGATGGCGAAACATACCACTTGCACCCATCTACGAAACGAAAGCAACCTGGTGAGAACGGTCCACTTACCCTGGACCAGATTCTTTCGTTCGACTACGAGAAAAAGCTCACCCGACGTCAGCGCTATGCGATCGCATTACTTTTGGCTTCATCCGTTGCACAACTACAATCTACACCCTGGCTCCGGAATGGTCTGAAGAAGGAGGACGTTCAATTCTTCCCTTGCGAACACGATGACTATGACGATGACGTTCTATTTCACGAGCCATTCATCAGCCAGGGCTTTCTTGACCCGCCGAACGATGCATCGATGAGCAGCTCAAACGAGCACAATTTTCAGTCACTCGGGATACTGTTACTGGAGCTCTGTTTTGGAAGAAGGCTGGAGGACCACCCATATCGAAGGAAACTCCCGGAAGAGACTGGCGACGCGAAGCAAGCATTTGACCTGGTGGCAGCATTGCGCTGGTCGAACGAGGTGGGAGATGAGGGCGGTGAGGACTATGCTTCAGCAGTGAAATGGTGCTTTATGAGTGGAAACATCGCAGATAAATCATGGAGGAGCGAGATCATCAAGAATGTTATTAGGCCGTTGGAGTCTTGCCAGGAACATTTCAGGTTGACTGCTAGTATCTGAAGTGCATTCCGATCGGCACGAAGGCCAAGTGGGCTACAAAGCACGATCTTCACGATCGTGAGCGTCTATCGAATGCATCGCACATTGGGTATTCTCAATTCTATTTCCATGTTGATTTAGTTCCAAGTTCAATCTCCATGAGCTTCCGTTGGGCACATCGCATATTGAGCTTTTGTTTTGATTTCAAAATCAAGTCATCAGACAGCGGTGAAGGCATCTAGTCCGTCCTTGATCGTGTCGCATCGATGGGAAATGTGACTAGAGACGTGCGTAACACTCGCATTAGTTCTACAATAGTAAATTTAGTCTACCAAAGTTGAAGCTCTTGGGACGTCCACCTCTCCAATACGAATGCTCTGTCTAGCTGCAGCACATGGCGTATCTACTCCCCAACCGGGAAACCAGAAACCCCACGGCCCGACAAATACAGTCTAGCCTGAGACACTACCATCAAAACAGCAGTATATATCGCAAAGGATAGGACAGAATTGCTCGAGAGCGATTCTCCGGAATTTCGATAACGTCTTTCTAAAGCTCTTGTCCTATTTACCTTATCGAATCCCCACATCCTGATAGCATCATTTCGTCATGGCGTAGCGTAGCCCTTGGTCAAACCGAACCGCGTGATGCGAATAGTAGAGCCGCCTAGGCTATCCTACGCTAACGGTCGATCAGGCGAAAAGGCAACAGAACGTCCAAGGACAACATTCTCCACAGAACTAGGAATTGAGTGTCTGTGCGAGGCGATTCCCCTCTCCCCTACGCGCGACTGTGCCACATATTACAACCGGCAAGGATGGCCGATGTTCAGAGGGACATCGTCTGATATCCTGGCGTTAATGTGTGGGCGCCAGATGTGACGAGTGCGATCATTGGTGGGTTTTCGGATTTCTTTTGGTCCTGCGAGAAGGTTTCTGGGATTCCACAACGCGGTTTGGCAAGTCTTGGGAACGCTTCTGCGGGACGTGGCTCATGGAAGACGGGTTATGGGAATATCCGGTGGTGTTGGGCTTGAAAGAGCGCTTCAAAGTCTTGGGTGTTATTATCGATTGCTGTAATTAGGTCAACCTGCCAGCCTTGTTAGGTCACGAACAGAAAATTCTCGAGCGCTTGCACTGTGCTTGACATTGTATACTAGACCCCAGTGAATTATAACGGAATTCAGGTCAAAGGGTGTAAATGCACCGTTGAGCTCGTTCTCATTCGAATGGTTCGGTGCGATAGGGCTGCTCTGGTACATTGAGGTTTATCGCATGGTGTCCTGCGAATGACTCGTGCGGAGACAAGGGCCGACCCGGCTTTAAGGCGTGCATTCGCAATGGTTCATGAAACCACTCCTGCGACAAGTCTGCTGTCGCTTTTAGTGATATCACAGCACGGACAACGGCTAATTAGTTCGTAGCCTCGTCACGAATCGATATCGTATGGTTCGCCCGAGCTCTAAGCACCGTGAATCATGCTGGGGTGGTGCATGTTTCTCTTATGTCGTTGTATGATATACACAGACGATAGCGGTGTCTAGTCCCTCTTGGAAAGCCATCACAAAATAGTAGCATCGGAAGCTACTTGTGTCGGATCGTCGAAGGCAAGCGGTCAAGAAAGGGATCGTGTTCGTGAACAGAAGCCTGAATCTTTAGGAATAAGCACATCGGTTCACATTCGTTGGGAACATAGCGAGGGTAAATACGCCAATATCACATAACATACGCAATGTGAATCGAATATGTAGTTTCGTGTTCACTTATGCGACCATCAAGTAGTTGCGGGTCACCATCCGACGGCGGATATGGTCGGAGATAGCAACAGCGTGGTCCGGACATCGTCATCTGAGTCCGTCAGAGCATTTGGTCGACACCCTATCTTTACGATCATAATGAATGTGAAGGGAGTCGTGTAAGATAGTTTCGGGGAGTCTAAAAGCTTGTGCAGGCCAAAGTAGACGAAAAAGAATTAGCCGTGACAGTGTGTTTTCCGATAGCGCGATGTTGTTGACAAACACGACGGGAGTAGGTTTGTTAGAAGGACGAACTGCAACGTCAGCGAAATCCGAATCGAATCTTTGATCCAAGGAGCAATGGTCATTAAGTCACTGACAAAGCAAAGCAAAAGCCACAGTATAGGCGCCCAGGCTGCACCCCTCGAGCATCATCGCCGACAAGTCAGGTGGGGTGATCCGAATCGATTGGGCACCGAGGAACATCAGATGAAGAACCTATTCAATACAAACGAACACGGTGGATCAACATGTGTGTTTGGTCTCTTGGATTAACTTTTCCCGTTCGTTCCTCGTTTACAACTGTTTACGTGGAGTCCGTGGACGTGTCGGACGGGCACCTTCCGCGGGCCAGCCTACCTGGAGGCGCAATTGCCGCAAGAATAAAACAAAACATTGCGCTGATTGTCACCACAGGAACCGAGACTGTCTAGCAATCGAGATTAACTTGTGGTTTTAGTAATACACATAATGTGTGGCCTTAAGAGATCATTATGCACCGGCGGGGGGCGGGGGTGCATATCCCCGTAGCCGCCTATGCCTATTATCAGGGGAATTGCTTTTCATTCCAAGTTCGAGGGCGAGTGAAGAGGGGTCACCCATGCAAGGGATGCCCTCCAGGCGTACGGCTGTACCGTTTGCCTTGTTGCCTTCTCGGTCGCAGTAGGCAGACCCGAGTGAGTAAGAGGATCTTTTGGCCTTAGCCGGCAAGTTATAGCTTGGAACGGAGTAGTTCAAGCGAGACCATCGACACATGTTCACATATAGAACGGGGTTCGCTAAGCGTCATTGCTATTTCCAGACCGTAGTTTGTCGACAAGAAACTCGTCATCGCCAGTCATTGCTGGACTAGTTCGTCCCTCGGAGAGCTTGGAGTGAGGCTAAATGGATCATTGGTGGTGAACGGTAGTTGACACCTCAGAGCCGATAGCCAAATGGAATACAGAGATTTGGGGGCAACCGAAAGTTCTCGACCGCACATACGTAGATTGTGGTAATGGGAAGCCCGTAGGGGTCGATGTTATGAGAAAGCCTCCGCTAGACCGATGAGGGATCGTTGAAGCTGGCTGGGAAATATCCCGAGCCTATCTGTCACAACTCATCATCCGATTCAAGGCCTAAAAGCCTTGAACACGTGTAGAGCATTTACAGTGACGGGAACTTGCAGCCCTTTGCAGCCTCGCACCCCATTCCTCAAGGCGTGATCCCGTTGAGAGAACAACAGCCTGACTAGTATCCTCATTCGGTTCTCCCCGAACACGTCACACAAACTTTGCCAGGAACATGGTTCAAATGATCAGTGTGCTACTGCAATATCTGGCAAAGATATTGCCAGCTCATGAACTGTGGAGACATCCTTGACCTTCCATGATGGGACAGTCGGGAGGAAACAAAATATCCACCAGAGGGACATTTGCTTTTGCTGCGTATATGTCGTTGAAGGATATATTAGGCTTGCAGTATGTACGTAAAGTGTGGGTGACCAGATTGGCAAGGAAAGTCGTCCAGTTGCACGCTTTACGCCTATAGGAGTTCCTGCCGCATGCGCAGAATACATCGCCACTGATTGATTAACACCCTCTTGACGTGTCCGATGCTCCCGCTACTGCACCGTGAGATACGGCAGGCTGACCACGTTGCACGCTTGAGCTAAGATGTACCAGAGCATCGAAAGCTACTGGTTAGATATTGCCACTTCTGTCGCAGTGGCGCAAGTGGACGACAGAGGGCGTGAATCCACCCCGTGGAATGATGAAGCCTTCCAGATGTGCGTAGATTTAAAGTGCCTGCCGATTGGAGCGATGTACAGTGATCTTTTGAGTAGGTAGAATGCATTGAAGCCTAATCGCCTGCAGCTGATTACAGTAGTCCCGCGCAAGTATGCAACGACAATAGTAGGGATTGGCTCAATACGGCAGATATGCATAGACATAGCTCGATCCTTGAGTCTTGAGTGTGACACACCTTTTGCACGGTTGGCTGAGAGACGAGTCCCACCTTGAGACAGGAAACAGCGAGCTGAGAGACTTTCCCACACTCGGGTGGTCGCTATTCCTGGGTCGCATATTGGGCGGGTGGCTGGAACCGAGCAGTTGCCACGTACTCGAGAAGCATTTTCGAAGAGGAAGAAAAAATGGACAGTATCTGAAGTGAGCTCTATTCGGCCGGTATCAGTTGAAAACATCGAACATCAGGCATTCAGTTGAATCTATGCTTCGTATGATGCTTGCTGTGAGGTGAATGGGTGAAATGTTGCAGCGGGCCGAGCGCCAGGATATGTCCTCTCCCGAAGCCGAACCCGTCTGGGCGCGGGAGACAGAAGCAGAGTAGGGTTTATGCTTGTACCTGGTAAATACATCATTGGGTTCTACATATCAGGTACGATCTTATTGGGCGCAGTGTTGCATGGGCATGCGGAGGTTTTCAGTTGGATGCCGTTCAACAGAGACGATCAGAAGGTCCGGGTGTGAGATGATCCCCATGGCTATATTCCTGGGAGTAGCGAGAAGTCCCAAGCATGGACGGCGAACAAGAAAATGTCTCTGATGCTTCACACGTACAGCGGAAAGTGATGATGGCCATTTGTGATGTGAGAGTCGTGTGAATTGTGAAGTGACCTCCAGTTAAGAATTGGCCGTCGCTCTTCCAACCAGAGTTCGCAGCCAACGCTAGTCTCCATCAGGCTAGTTTCGTTTAGCATGCCACTTCATGTGCAACATACAACTGCTTGCAACGACACGCGTGAACGTAAGCTTTGGTTTTTCTTTTGCTCGAAAGTGGGTCTAGATCCATGATTCGTGTTGCATTCATAATTCGGATCTTGTTCACATCGTCCTGCACCATAAGGAAGACGCTTGCACAAAGAGTATTATGCAACACGGTGGGGCCCGTATGCCTGCAAGTCAATCTTGGGTGCATGTTCTTCGAAAACCATAAGGCTGAGCTCGACGCAGCTATGTCTGTATATGGAACAACTGAGTAGCACTTGGGCTGCAGGGTGTGCCATCCTGAGTTACAGGAGGGTCGGGTGTAGCTACTGTAACGTGGCGGCTTGCTGTTCGCTTCTCAGAAGAATACGGTTGATGCAGTGGGATAATGTAGGGAAGATAGTCGTGAATGCATTATGAATTCAAAAGTATACGAGTTTGGCTACCCTGGCATCTTAGCATAACAATGGCAAATGGCCAGCGACCTGCCCCCCTCCCCTGCCAACAACCAAGACTCCGCAATCATGTCTTTGGTCCAACTTGGTAAAATCTCGTGCTGATCTCGAACTGCACAGAAGTCGGACATGAAAAAAGAAATGAAATAAAGAAAACAAACCGAAAAACCAATAAACACAGTGTCTCGATTTTCGGATCTTGCAGTCACGGCACTTTGGAAAGCGCACTGTGACAACGCCGTCCCGACGTACATAGGAAATAAGAAATGTTGTCGTCTTTGTGCGCATTATGCTCGAGCATAATACGATGCCGGTGGCGGATCGGTCGCTCTGCTGACAGTCCCAGTAAGGGCGCGAAGTGCAACTTCAGCTGCATCCTCGCGAGCTTGGTCGGCAAATGTCCCGTCATACCAGAAGCGGGCTTGATACTGGCTGCCGTTGATCTGACAGACACTGGACCAGGCAGTTCGTCCGCCTAGTGCCTCATTAGCAACTTTAACTCGAATAGAAGTACGGGAAAAGCCGTCAGCGTAAGTCTTACCGCGGCGATCTGATATTTCTTGCCAGGACGGGTCGCCAATGCCACGAATAGTGCAGTGGTCTTGAATAGTCGATTAGTTTAGTCGTGAGACTTTCACATAGCAGTGGTCGGAGAGTGTCATACCTCGAAGTCTCTGCGACCAGGTATCTTGAGCAGCCATGATATCTGACAGAGGTAGGCTTGTATTGGGCGAGATGGATTGCTTGGAGAGTGGGTAAGCCAATTGAGACCGCAAAGTTTACTATCAAGTGAATTTGCTGTTGGTGCTCGTTGAAGGAGGTATCTTTCCAAGTCAGAGGACGGTCGACGGCGCAATACTTATAGCAAGGTGGCGGCTCGGCAATTGGCGTAGATAATTGTACAACACGAAGAAGTATCCTCCCGAATGGAGGTCATGCCTACCTTCAGATGCAAGACGCCCATCGAAGGCATGTTACTTCCCGGCGGAGCCTACCGTGCTTTGGTTGTAGCTTGCACTCGGTACCGACAGACTGGGTGTGTACGGACGCCATTTTGACTGTCGGAACGAACCTCGTCAGGTAACTAGAGGACTATCAACCAGGGTGAAGCTTGGTGATGATGTTCACTCCCCAGTAGACGCCGCTTGAACCGAACGAACGCGATGTCCTGCATACGAACAGGACCCCGGAAAGAGGGGACAACTGCAAGAACTACGCATGTGGGCGCGAGATAGCCGGTGCAGCCTAAGGACAGGGAGGGGTGGGGTCAAAGGATTTGCATCATTGTTCTTGAATTTGTTTATTCCTTAGAAAGCAAAGGGACTATCGTTGCTAACTTGTTTGACAGCTCATCATTGCGGGGATCTGACGACGTGTACGCCAGCCTTGCCATTTCTGCCGAGATTCATGTTGAAAATCCGTCCTTGACTAGCAAAGCCATATCAAGTCTAGAGCGCCCGGTAGTTCAGTCTAGTAAAGGATGCGTGCATCGGTAGAAGCGCAGACAAGTCTGCATCACTGGCTTGGCAAACGGTCAATGGGGTGGGAGCACCGTTTCTTAGTGCAAGAAGTCTGGATGTAAATTACACGACGGGACGTGATATTCCCGGGTACCTGCTGTATCCTAATGTGACGTCTCGTGCAGTGAATTTGAAAGTTGGGAATCGCTCATTACGGCACTGTTTGCTTCAGCGGGATGTGGAACCATTTTTGGGAGAGTAGTCTTCAAGACAAGCGATTTGCCGTGTCTTATCACAGATGGGATTGATTCATTGATACTGCATGTGCATTCGTAAGGTCGTCAATACGCATCGTGAGCAGATACATGGAGCACCAGATACGCTAGAAGTGCCGGAACTCCTACACAGTGCGAAACTACTCCCACAGTAGTACCCAATCCGGAACGCGCAAGAAACTGCCATCCGTTCCGTTGCTGATTCATACGCTAAACGCCAAAATCTCAATGCAAATGCATATGAGCACTCTGATATGATGAGGCTGAACAAGAAAGGAGAAGAAAAAAAACACAATCGAGTATAAATGTATTCGTGGGAATACCATTCTCGATGGGGGGCCGTTAACGCTTGTGAAAGCAAACCCAAAAGATATGTACTAGAATTGAAATTGAAATGCGGTCTGCCGTTTCAGCAGACACCGAGTTCGCGGTGTTAATATGCCAAGTGGCGGGTCTGTTATGTTACCAAAGGTTAGGATTCCGTAGCAGTGCGACGTAATGTAGGTGGTTGTTTGGCGAGACCGCCATGGCGGTTGGTACGATGGAACACCTCATCAATGAGACGCTTAGGGCCAACATAGTCCATTTTGAATGAGGAGTTCCGAGTGAGGGGTATGTGAATTTGAGTTGTCTGCTTCGAGTGGAACTTGCGCTTGATGCAATCATCCACAAGTGCGATGAGACCAGTTGCAATGACAACGCTGTAGGGACAATGAGTATGTGGTACATGGCTTGTAGAGGTCCAAATAAAAACTTACTCCGAGATATCAGTCGTCGAACTCAATATCTTTTCGTCCGTGATCCGCATGTAGCAGGGGGGAATCCATCCACTTCTGGCTCGTTCCTCGCGGAGCTGGTCCTGTGTCAATTGGATGGGGCTGATGTGGGCGAGAGCGTGCTTGTCGTTATCTGATCGGACCAAATAGTAATGGATGGTTTCCTGGCCGTCTTCCCTCTGGACGAGGCGTTTCCACGAATATTCATAACCCCAATGCTCGAACCCGTAGCGCTTATTGGATGCCGCACCCCTGCGTTTGATGTCCATGTGGGCATAGTTTGAGAATTCTAATTTGATGGTGTTGGTAGGCATCAATGCGCGGCCCTTGGCATATCCAGTCGTCTTTGGACGTGAGTCATCTGCATCATCCTCGAAGTCGAAGGCACCGCCACCGCGTATTGATTCATATCCGGAGTCAGAGCGTTTGAGGCCGGCTGCAGTGGAGGGACGCGAATCGGGCTTGTGCATGAGGTTTGCGAGGGCTGTGCTGGCACGTTGTAGAGCGGGGCGCTCGGGCGGTGGCTTGTGGTATTTACGGATCGAATGACATACCTCGCGACCAGAATCGCGGCAATACCTGCGCAGGGAGAATTCGCGTGTTCGCAGGTCGTGCATGCGGAGATGGAACAGAGTGTAGTTCTGTTTTCTGTGATGTCGTTCCTCAACCTGGGTGTCCACGCGGAGATTCATGTTTCCATCAATGGTAGAGTCATCATGACGGATAGATATGCGCTTTGATGTGGGGAAAAGATCCGCGAAATCGCGGGGCGTTGTGGGAATCGCATCTATTGGTAGTGGTTCGTGATGATATTGTGGAACATGGTATTCGGGGACTTCGTCATAGTCGTCATCAAGCTCCTCTTCGGACGTTGAGGCGTACGTATCGACAGAGACCCGTGCCGAGTTCTTCTCGTCGTACGCAAAATATTTCTGTCCGTTGCCTTCGACGCGGCCGTGACATGTTCCATGCTGAGGAAGAGATGGACGTTGACTGTACTCTGTTGCGGTGGTCTCGTCCGATCGATCGGATGTTGATGCGGATGTTGTTGTTGTGGAGTTAGAATTGCTGGACTCGTGAGGCCAGTGCACATTGCGCGCCATGATGACTGCAACGCTGCAAAACCAAATAATCGAAGGTAATTACAAGATATATGGAGTGTGGTACGATAGGCACCCAGAATATTAGAGGGTATGCTGGGAAGAGCTTGTATAAGTACGGAGGGAGGCACCGATAGACAGGCCGAGGTGCGGTGAGGCAGTGTACGCGAGGCGGAGGAAGGATAGAGGATGCTGGGGTGACCTCGCGCAAAGGACGGGGCGGGGATCAAATAGCAATACAATAAGGCGTTGAAAATCCGATTTACGGTGCACAAAGTGTCTGGTGCCCCGTGTGGCATTTAATGATGAACTGGATTGGCGCGGCGAGGGCGCAAGATGCTGCATAAGACGGATTCGGGGGTGGCATTGGGGGGAGGGTATTAATGGTCTCGCCCGCAACAGGGAGGGAGGCATGAGTATGACAGGCCAGGGCAGGACGAGACAAGACAGGACAGGCAGGGCAGAGCAGAGCAGGGCAGAGCAAGGCGGCCGGCTGTAGACTGGAACTGGACTGGACTGGCCTGGCCTGGCATTATTACACAGGCATCATTGGATTGGATTATTGGCACTGCACTGGACTGGCTGCCTCCCACAGTGGAGTGGAGTGGAGTGGAGTGGCAGTCGTCCCACCAATACTAGGATTTCACGAAGATGTACTCTGACAATAACCTTGTACAGCAGGTCTACACGGGGGGTGGTGGTGGTGGTGGTGGTGGTCACGAAGAAAGTGCCATCCGTCCATCGATCGAGGAATCGATGCCTGCAAGGACAAGCCAGTCAAGTCAGGACCCTTTCCCTATCCCTACCTAGTCACTAGGAAGAGTAGAGAATAAGCGTCCATCCAACGCATCCAACATCTCAATGCTCGTGAGACACTCACTCGATGGCTGCCCAGGTGCCTCCCACGCCTGCGACATTCTCTACGAATGAGCGCCACGCGCGGCCCCCATGGCGCACGAAGGTTACGAAGCTTCCCGAATCACTTGCCCTATACTGAACGGTCTGCTGCACTCCAGCTCCCTACATGGCGAATCATTCAAAGCTGTGCGCCCCCCTTCGAGGAGACCCCAGTTCCCAATTTTCTCTCATGCGCATTTCCTACCGTTGCGCTGGCATGGAGAAGGGAGCACGTTGAATTTTCGACGTCGTCGCGATAACATCATCGCAAAATACCGAGTGGTTACATAGTCGGGAGTCGGTTCGTCGCCGCCGGACTGCAACACATCTTATTATTTTTCAAAGCAATGCGTACGGTGCAGTTCGCGCTCACAGCCTGAACCAGAGCACGCCAACCGCGGGACATGCCCGAATGGTGTCCGCTGCCGCTGCCGATCACCTCCACGTGCTGCTCATCCGTTTTCTATCTCCACATTCAGTTTTGTCTGCTGATGTCGGAACAAGTGTTGAGGATGCTGTGCGGGCAAGTATCAAAATCGAAGGTTGCAATCGTGTCGTGGCCATCTCGATAAAGCTTGCAACATCTGGCATCTCTCCACTTCGACGTCATTAGCTGAATGGGGGCAAGCCACTCCTTGCAGCAGGTAAACCGGAGTTTTATGTTGTGCCTCATAATAGCCTTCGAATTTTCTTCCCAGCCTCCGGCTATGAGTGGCACGAACATCGATTGGCGCTGGCAGCTATGCAACACTCATCGCATCGCCCGCCCCGTCAGCGCAGTCAGCGTTTTGTTCCGCAACATTGCCTGCCGTATTATCGCAAGATGGACGATGTTCCCGTCCGTGATGTTTCGAAAAGGTGACCTTTTTCTTTTTGGTGCGGCAGTGCAAAAGCTTGCATTGATCCAGCGCTGTGGCCATGACTCGCCGGCTTTTTTTCTCGCCGGAGGCCTCACATGACGACGGTTGTCATCTGCGCGAACATCAGAGACATCAATGTTGGCGCCTGCTCCATCTTCGAAGTGTGTATGACATTCCACCTGAGGAACCCTACTGATGAGAGCTGGTAGTTGCGATTCCTACGTGCATGGCACCGGCAATTCAACAGTCACTTAGTGTGCACACTCATCACGTGACTAGCGCTAACTCTTCCGAAGAGTGGCATCCGGAGCTTCGATCGATCATACATGTAAACGAACGATAGACTCGGGTTCCAGACGAGCACTGCCATACCTATGCGCTCAATCTACACATCCTGCTTCGTACTCTTCCAAATGCGCCTCATTAAGGTGATTTCTAGAACTCATATCGATCGAACCACCACCCGCCAATCACATCGCTTAACGTGTTGGTTCTCAGGCTTCTGCAATTATACGACGCCGACGTGTCTGCACATTAACCAGCGCAACCTGCATAATTAGGCTGCCATTCAATGAAGCATCACTCCTATCACATTTCCATTCTGCGAGACAAAATCTCTAGGTCGACTGTGCGAATCACTCTGTACGGAGTACTAACCCGCGTCACCAGAATGCAAACCTTTCTCATCCCACGGGTCCTGATTTGGGTGCCCCAGAAGTCTGCGTAATCCATTATACGTGAGAAAGGATAATGGTTGCCTGTCTAAAGAGGATGTAGTTACATGATTGCACCATCCATCTCTGTTCTCATTGCTCGAATCCAGCCATACATAGGAGGACGATAACCTTACGTTTCGTGGTTGGCAACGACTCCTCACGTACAGTAATATAATCAGATGCAAAGCGTTGAAGCGGGTAGACTTCCCATTCGGCGAGACCACCATACCTGTAGAGGAGAACTACCGATGCATCTTGCTCACTTAAGCGGAGCTCTCTATTACGTTACGTTCGTTAATTCGTGCTCATCGTCCGTTTTGCGGAGCTATGAGATTCGAGAAACGGAGTGAAGCAACGTCGCCTACCATGCTTACACATTCAGCTTTTGTTCTTGTACTTCAATCTATCTTCCATCGGCTTCAGAATGATCGGAAGTCATTTCGGGGAATATGAAATTTCCCCCAAGATTGAATACTTCGTACAGGTAGGTGCAGATCAACAAAATCTCCACGAGCAGTTTCGACACTGCCGCTTGGACATCCTCGCACCCCACTCCGCTTTCCCCCGATCTACGGACGCATCGCTTCCTGGCTTACGACAATCGCTCTTGTCTGCAGAGCATGTCAAGCGGTTTCCCAACATGATGTCCTATGAGAAGTGTTAACGAGGTTTTCGAACGGAAATATGATGTCGACTTGCCTCAATGAAATCATAAAGAGGAGAAATCATATATTTATTCGACTATAAAGTTTCGCGATTATGGATTGTCCGTCGTACAAACCGACTGCATTGCAATCGATCACCCTATTGTATTGCTTGCATTCAGCCATATTGTCGGTCTTGCTACGCCTAGCTGTCATCATTACAGCACAATGCAGCAACGATGATGGCAAACATTGCAGCGGGGTTTCCTCTTGTGCTGTTGAATTTCATATATCGCATGGCCTTTACCATACTTGCGACTGCGAATGGCATTGCCAACAGTCCATCTGAGTAGAATGACATGGTGGTTGCTCACAGGGGCTACCAGGATTAATAATGATCGAAGGCATGGCGATTTTCGAACATTTACGCTTCTAGGAGCAAGTGTTGCATTACTAGGTTTGTTTTCTGTCCGAAATTATGTTTAGAAACCACAATTATTGCGAGGTCAAACAGATGATAGTTCTCCTACTCTTTGACATACAGTAGCGCTAGTTTTGTGTCAAGGCTTTTCCGCTTGAGACAGCCTCCGAAGTGCAGTCCGGGGCATTGTCGCAAAGTCAGCGTGACCTGGAGACAGGGTTTACGACGATCATACACTTCCTCTATTTTCTCTGAATATCAATACCCCGCATCCTGCGACATCGCGCTTCAACATCTTTTGGCGTTGTTGGAACGAGTGCGGTACATCACTTCATCGGTGTATGCTGATTCGGTCGATCGGTTTCTTGTCGTTTCCCAGAAACTGAGTGTATCCAAAACAGGTTCTGCAAAAGATAAATGGAGTCGGAATAGCTATGATGTTTTGTTCTGTTTCAAAAGTAATCAGTAGGACTTATGAGACTTAGACTGAGATGCCAATACATAGCTAGGTCGCTGCCTACAGGGAGACCTAAAGTGGGAATGCTATGTAGATCTCAATACTCTCACACTGCCTCCACCAGTGGTCTCTCCATCATAGTTTCTGTCGAAAGCTATTATTGATCATGAACTGCCGTCTCAGCCGAATTTCTTCAGCCTCGTCCGAAAAATGGTTTCTGAAGAACGGGAACGAAAACGCCTCGAGGTAGCTGGGTTGGTGCAGCCTATGAGCGACGTTCCTTGTGGCCCCAAAAAGCCACCAGCGACAACAGCCTCTTGCACGCAACCATTCGCAAGCAGTCTGCAGCCCGATTTTTCAGCTGGCCCCAAGAAGCAATGAGGCTCAATTCTGTGAAGGTATACTTAAAAACACCTCGGAGATGTCGTGCCTCCGGCAAGCTTTCCTGGTCAACATTTCGCCCAGCAGCACGTATGTGAGGAATTGTAAGTATCGTCAATGGCTACTTCAGAAATCGCAGCAGTAACCCCAAACTATAACGCATTGCGCCAGAGAGTGTACGAGCAGGGAAACGGAAACAGGGTAGCTTCAAATGCCCAACCACTAAGCACACCAAGTGCGCACAGCGCGGCAAGCATTTCGGATCTCTCGATCCAGCAAGAGGAGCCCATTCGGTCTTCATCGAACCAGCATCTGACTTGTAGGCATCATTATATGCTTAATATGCTATGTGCTAACAGATATCTAGTACGCGATGGAGCCTACCACCCGATTGATCGACCTGATGACTACCCAGAACTGTACTTTCGTCCTCTCATCATTCGGGACTGGGCTCTTGTAGTTATATTTATCTTCTTGGGTGGGTGTTTCGGCGGCCTCATCACACTCTTCGTGTTGGACCGCAACTCACCAGAGCGGCTGTTCGCTCGAGCCCGTCGCAATCACCTTGCAACCAAATACCTGCCAACAGTTGTGGGTTCAATAACAACAATATGGTGGAGAGCCGTCTCGCGTGCGTACTTGCGCATTCTTCCATACGTCAGGATGGCTTCTGTGCCTGTGGATTCCACTGGAAATTCTCACGGTAAGGTGGCCGATGTGACAGTGAGCACACTAGCACAATACGACAACGACCCATCGGCGATTCCTGCCATGATAAAGGGAGGCCATTACCTGACACTCTTCGTACACTTGACCACCCTCATCACCTTGTTTCTCATGACGCCGCTCAAGTCTGGTCTTCTTCAGATAACGGAAAGCGAGACTGGTTGGGCAGTTGACGTCTCCGCTGGAGTAGCAGTGATTCTTATTTTCCTTTACCTTCTACTCATTGTATCCACGGTAGGGATGTTTTTCAAACTTTACAATCGACAGACTGGATTGAAGTGGGAGCCTGCGGCACTTGCGTCCCAGATTGCTCTGTTGCAGCATATCAACTGCCGGAAAGCCTTCGCAGGGTCCGAGTTCTTCAATTTCCTACAAGCTCAAAGAGCGGCACGTGGATGGTCTAAGAAGTTTGGCGTGCTGAGGCTGGGGTACTGGAGACAGGGCGAAACTGGCCCAATAGTACATGGAATCCGATTCATCCCAAGTAAGATAAGATTTTGACTGGCGGCGGTGAATAGATCTAACAACATCTAGCTGCACTCACGCCTGCTGAGAATCGCCCCAGTGCTTCAAACTCCAGAAGTAATGATAGGGTCGAAGATTTGGTGGAGACGGACTCTAAGACAATACCTTATCGAACTCACTTAATGCATCGATCACCTAGGGGCTGTCATGAGTCACCGTATAGTGACCGAGGTGCGTCAAGTATTCAATCTGAGAGCTCTTTGGTCCAAAGCTAACGCATCGTTCTGGTAGAGGCCCCACGAGACGCAGAAGGCGACATTGTTTGCTCGCCAGAATATGTTAGATATCGATTTGTCAATGTATGGGGCTCTGATTTCTTCCTCGGCTTCACAGCAATCGCAGCCGCCATCTGTATCGTTGTGGCCAGCGTGCGAATACACGATCGAGGCATACACAACCGCATCGACATCTCTTCAATCGTTATGGAACCTAATAGCCTCGCGGGACGATTCGCGATAAGCGTCATCTTCAGCGTTCTACCAGCACTGCTGTTCGTATTCTTCAGTTCCATATTCTTCGTTGCGGACGTCCGATACAGAACCACGCAAGGCCTGCATGGAATGCGAAAGCCACAATTGGCCGAGCGTAACATATTCCTCGACTACATTTCGCCAAACCCTTTTTCACTCATTCCATCCGCAGTCCTCAACGGTCACTACCGGGTAGCGTGGCACTCATTCCTAGCGCTCACTTCCAATTTCTCAATCCTAGTCGCTGGTCGGATCTTCAATAACTTCCAATCCTTGGATGGAACCTATGGGATGGTGATCGCACCGACGAACTTCTTCGCCTCTTTCGCCATCCTCTGCTTCTACTTGCTCTGTCTACCATACGCGCGTCCGCCTGCTGCGTATCGAACCCCACGACTCGAATGGATGTCGATCCTCGACACCGCAGCCTACGTGTATGACAGTCCAATCCTGAATTGCGAAGAGTTCGACGTCCAGGACAAGACCGACAAGGAACAGCATCTGAACGCAAAGATCCTGCTCGCGAAGCGCAAGTACTGCTTTGGGATGTACCGTGGTTTAGACGGAAGGAGGCACATGGGTGTCAGCCCAGTGGAGATTAGAAATGATGCCGGGGATATGGAGAATGTGGTTGACCGGTTCAAGGTCAAGTGGTCGCTGGATTTGGTGTTTGCGCGCTGGGTCCGATCGAGTATTGTGTCGAGGGAAGAGAAAAGGGATTGAGGTTTTTGCTAATGAATGGTTTTGATTGGTGGGAAGGAGCCTATCATTCATGCCTGTCTTACGTTGATAGTGGGAATCCCAGCAGATGAGGATCTGATACAGTTGTTCTGGGCGCCGTTGATCATGATTGATGATATTACGTTGCTGCAATCTGGTACGAAATGATCGACGAGTCTCTGGGTAGTTCAAGATTTCGTGATGGGTGTTGTCAGCTTTGCGCTCGAAGGAATTGTCTCGGGGGTTGGATCTGATCAGCGCAGGATGACCGGTACTTCGCGGTTAATCATTCTAGAAATGACTGGACAAGCACAATCTTCATTGAAAATCCAGAGAAAATATTTGTCAGAGTAGAAAAAGAACATGGATCAGATGCTGATAGATTTTACTGCTGTGCAGCACGTACGGTCGTCGCAAGTTCCCGCAAGTTCCGTATGGCCTTGTCACGCCGTGAGCAAAGATGACAGAGTGAACGTAAGTCGGAGCGGTCTGCGTTGCGTCATCCTTAACCACACACTTCCGATTTGCTCGCTCACACGACATCAACAAGTAAATGATAATGCACAAGGATTCGACCAGCAGTGCATTTAATCTCATTAGGCTTCGTCATCAACAAATTACAAGCTATACATGTCTAAGGTAATGACACATTGACGAATCAAATCGCGGCGAAGCAAGATCGCTCCATGCGCTACATCAACGTACTATCAAACCCGATCCAAGCCAACATCTCATTGCTGTATAGTCTCCTTTGCTTCAGCAGACTTCAAGAATGCAGCTCTCTCTTCAGCGTCCTTCTTCTCCGCGACTCTCCACAGCTCCTCGACATCTGCCTTGCGCGCGTCGCTGCGAGGCTCGAACGCCATCTCGAATGGATCTGGCTTCACGATGAGAAGGGAATTCGACTTATTCAAAGGAACTTCGATCTCCTTTCCAGTCTTTGGGTTGACCTTCCTCTTCAGGTTGTAAGCCCACAGCAATCCGCCACAGGCGACGAGCATCTCATCCCTAGTGAGGCTCTGCCCAAGACATTGACGCTGCCCCCAACCGAAAGACGTCAAGCCGACCACGGTGGGGAACTTCGTGAGAGGTTCCTGGAACGTCGGCCATCCCGACTCGAGCCATCGCTCAGGCCGAAAGTTCTCTGGGTCTGGGTACTTGACGGGGTTGCGAAGGAATGCCCAGTCCAATGGAAGGATGCGCGTTCCTTTGGGAATGAAGTATCCTCTGTACCAATCATCGGCCTCACTCTCGTGGGCAACACCTATTAATAGTGAGTTAGAAAGGATCAAGTGGGTTTATGGGGAGGGGGCCGTGATACATACCAGTAGGGACATTCGGTTTCCACCTCATGGTCTCTTTAATGCACGCGCGAAGGATCGGCAGCTTGGGCATGTCTTCCAGGGTGGGAATGCGACCTTCACATGCCTCGTCGAGCTCCTTCTGGCACTTAACTTGCCACTCTGGGTGGTGGATCATGCTGACGAGGAAGTAGTAAAGTGGTCCGGCGACAGTGAAGATCCCGACGAGGGCCATCATGCCAATGACGGAAGAGGCCTCGTAGTCTCCGGAGATACTGGACTTCTCCGAGGTCTCGAGATATGTCCGGGTAAAGCATGGCCGTTGCTTGCCTTTCTCCATGAGTTTGCGGGTGACCTGCAGTCGGTTCATCCACCATGCTTGTTGCTCGTCATGTCGCTTGCGCTCTGCGATCTTCCATGGATTGAGAAATTGTGGAAGGTGCCAGAGAGGAGTGAGGACGTTTGTGATGGGGCCGGCTGGGGACATCTGGGTTAGGAGACCCCAAGCACTCTTGGTCAGATAGGGACTGAAAGAGTGGTCGTCCCATGTGAGCTGGCACATGACCTTGGACGCCATATCCTCGAGAGAGAAACAGAAGTTGTCGGGCTCAGTGAGTAGAACATGCAACCATCGCTTGACTTCAAATTCCATGAGGCCATAGTATCTCTGATTAGTGGCTTCTGTGAGGTATGCATGCGTGAACTTCCTTTGTCGTGCCCAGTAAACTACACGATTTGTGAGTATCAGGTGACCATTACACAGATAATGTACATGATATACTTACGGTTCTTGCCCATGAGAGGAAGATATTCCATGGAGCCATGGGTACTCTTTGAATCGAACAGTGACTTGACCTGTGGCCGGTCTGAGTATATCTTGGCACGCTTTACCAGTATCTCCTCTGCTATGCTCTCGTCTGATACGATTACGAAGTTCGCCCCGAGCATTTTCGTTCGATAAATTGGTCCATAGACATCGGCCCACTCCTTGAACTTGAGCCACATGTACTGGATCGGTAAGTCGTGCACGCGCCCGATCCATGGCAGAAGAGTTGGACCAGGCAGTCCTTGGGGATTATACTTTTCATTCCGCCTGGCAATGGCACTGAAGAAGGAGTACAACGCAAAGACAACGACCGCGAGACCCACAGCGTATAACGTGAGGGAATGCATGGTTAGACTTGCTCGTACCAATGTAAGTGAAACGGAAAAGAACGAAATGTACAGGGCTAGGTTAACACGTCCAATGCAGAAACTCACGAGATATCCACTCCGCGGGGATCCACGTATTAATACGCTCCGAGTGTATGGTGTCTATACATCTGCTTCTCGGCTCCCCGAGAATGTCTAGCATGTAGAAGCATGTCGCATAGCGGATAGGACGGCGACCGGCGAGGCCGTCTTGCCTAAAGAGACAGAACGATTGGAGATGTCTTCTTGGGTCTGGATCCCTGCATTGGGCTGGTTTACTGGCGAAGACTATAGTTCTCGGCATGGTAAGACGACTTACTCAGCCCATGTGGTCGATGAATAGGTGCAGGGCGCAATGCAACTGTCTAGCACTAAGCCGACCACGTCGGCCGATCTACGCCCGTCACTGAAAGAATTGATTCGATCTACAATCAATAATGGAGAGTCGGAAGTTCTGGACGCCGACTTGGGATAGGACCATGATCGAGAACTCGACAGTTCACTGAAGAACCAGGTCTTCGGGCACTGATCCAGACTCAGAACGTCGAACGTTCCTGACTACCCGGGATGGGATCATGAGCAAAGATTGCAGAATCCACGAGCTCAAGGGAACACAGTGGACCTTGTGCTACTAGAAACTGGAAACATCATGAAAGGGAGGACGAATTTGGAATGGAAGCTTGTCGAGATCTGATAGTACGGATGACAGACGCTACGTGCCGCTGTATGTACACTATGGTGTGATGGCACAGCATCATTAGTGGTACTTTGTAGGCTTACGATGGCGAATGGTAAGAACAGCCATAGGATACCTTGAGATAGCCTGGTTGCTCTGATCAAATCCATGATGCCATCTAGAAGCAGGTGAATGCTCTCCTATTGGTTGATCAAAGCTCAAGAATGTAATCGTGCTTCGGAGTAACCAGCCTGACCAATCCTGATTAGTCTCGTACAAGCCTCAGCAAGCATCAGATAGATATCTCCGGCTGGGCGAACGATGTAGCTCTCAACTGGCCTCCCATCAATGTACTCGGGGCTTCCCAAAGCATACCAACAACATGAGATCACGATCCATAACAAGATTTGGAAAGCTTCAAGCGCAAGGCTTGCTTTGTTTACCGTTTATTGATTCTTTGTTCAAAAACCGTGGTTGAAATAGACTCAAGTCAGCCCAAAAACGGTCGCCGTCAACGACGAGGACAGGGTTGGTCTAGCGTAACACTGTGTAATCAGCCTCTTCGTGCCCTCTCCATTCCAGCCTCACAACAGAAACGCTCTCACTTATCACTGATCTTACGACTACACCGGAATGGTTTAGTGCCATCTTTCGATCACTTTCCTCCCTAGGCTAGCAATCTGATGTGCATCCTTTTGATCTTGGCTTCACCGGACGAACGTGTGGGGAACCAGACAAGACGCATTAGCCCCCGTCTAAACACACACCTAAGTCCAGCCAACACTGTATCAACGACATCACCATTAAACAGGGGAGAAAAAGTCATGAAGTAGGCCACGGTGCCTGACCACGCACGCGCAACGGTGTAATAGCTGAGACATTAGCCATGCGAAACATATGGTTCCCGCAATGCAGCTGTAGATTCGTTCGCATGGGTCCTTCGCCTACGCCTGTGGCCGACTGTGTGAATGCATCGCATCGAATCGCTGGGGAATGCGCCAGCCCGCGGAATGTCGGAGGTCCGATTGGATGGGCTGATCGTCTGATGGTTTCGGCACCTCTGCATCGCCTCTCCAACAATTATCCCGAAAGCGACGGGGGTTACATTGTAGACTCTTTAAAATGTCCTGAGAGGTCATCGTCGGCGTGCTTATGACCAGCATCGTCTTTGACTTCATCGCAGCGCGCATACGCATCAATACCTCTAACCGCCGTTGACCATTTTCCAATTGAACCAACGCCATGCCTCACGCTCTTACGGGACGCGACTCCACGATGGAGTCGAGGCCGGTCGGAACTTACGATTCGACTGGCATCGACGTCCTCATTGTAGGCACTGGGCTCGCGGGACTTGTAGCTGCGCTTGAATGCGTGCGCAAAGGTCACAACGTCCGAGTATTGGAGAGGAACGAGAGCATCAACACTGCAGGTGAGCGAACCAATTTACAGAATCAAATGTCTTATCATATGATACGATTCACAATTCACAATTCATGATATGCTGATACGTGTTTGATATATGCTTGAAGGTGACATGTACTTCATGGGACTTAGTGCAACGCGCTTCATGAAGCACTGGCCAGAACTACAAGAAGAATACAAGCGCATCTCGCTGCACAACGCCTGGATTGAAACATTCAAGCATTCAGGCGAGGTCATCATCAAGCCTCTCCGCGTTGCGGACAGACTTCGCGACCAGGGCCTTGACCCAGATACGCCTCCGGGAGAGTTCCAGATGCGTCCGCTCGTTTACAAGATGTTTGTCAGTGCCGTGGAGAAGCTTGGCGTTTCTGTCGAGTTCAACCGTCGTGTCGTCGATTACTACGAGGATGAGGAGAAAGGAAAAGGTGGATGTGTCACGGATGACGGGAAGAGGTACGAGGCGGATGTCATCATTGCTGCCGACGGCGTAGGCTCGAAGAGCCAGAAATTGGTTGGAGGACAAGTAAGAGCTAGGCCGAGTGGGCGTGCGATGTGGAGAGCGGCGTTCCCCGTTGAGTACTTGGATCAGAACCCTAAAGTCAAGGAGTTCTTCAAGTTGATGCCGAACAAGGAGTCCATTGTGAGAACCTGGTTGGGGTATGATCGATTCAGCAAAGTCACTGCTCGGAAACAAATGCTAACAATGCGCAGTCCTTCTACCTATGCGCTTACCTTGACTCGCGAGGATGTCATGGTCTGGATCATGAATCACGATGTGAGAATATCGCTATTCGGAGCAAGTAACATACTAACTATGTCCAGGTAACCGGTACTGAGAAAGAGAACTGGAACAACACCATCGATAAAGAGGAGGTATTGGAAGGCATGGACAAGATGCCCGGCATGGAAGTTCACAAGTGGGCACCCATCTTCAGGGAACTTGTTGAATGTACGCCACCGAACACGATCGTCAACTTCGAGCTTCTCTGGAGAGACCCCCAGCCGAGCTGGACCTCGCCAGGCGCGCGCGTCATCCAAATTGGAGACGCAGCCCACTCCTACCTGCCTGCCAGCGGCAATGGTGCCACTCAAGCTATCGAGGATGCCATTTCCATCGCAAGCTGTCTCGAGATTGGCGGCAAGGACAACGTCCCGCAGTCCGTCCGCACGCACATTAGGTTCCGGTACGTTGCACCGCTCACTTCCTTACATACAATTCTATCTTGTCAACCATCTAACTTACCCACTCACATAGTTTTATCCGTAATGCCTGCGCACAGAAACTCGGCTTCTCCAACGCCGAGCTTCTCCAGGACACAGACTGGGACAAGGTCAAGCTCGACCCACGGCGCGCGGCACCCAAGCTCCCGCGATGGGTCTGGTCGCACGATCCTGAAGCCTATGCGTATGAGAACTACCACAAGGCGGTGGAGAGCATGAAGAAGGGCGTGCGAATGGAGGACGAGCAAGGATTTGAGCCAAACTATCCGAGAGGGTACAAGTATGAACCTTGGAGCATCGAAAAGATTATGGAGGATATGAGGGCTGGTGTGCCAATTGAGTTGGGTGCTGGGGATTGGGATTGACTGACGTGGCTGGATGGAGTACTTGATGGAATAATTGACGACCCAGATCCTTTTTTCTGTGCGGAGTAAGGGGGCCAGACATTGTCGTTAGAGTTTGTTTAGCAGCGGAGGCTCAAATTACGATATCAGCATCATCCTTGTTTTGAGATGAATAAACCTTCATCTGTTGAGACTGAAATGTGAGGACAGAATAACCTCCGGCGGATCTCTGTGCAACCTTACAAAACCATGCTAATACCGCACGTCTTGACGTCGATTCCTTGCAGACGAGCACTCAGTCTCTCACATCTTATCTTAAACCCCCCAAAACAAAGCTGAGATGTGTACCACAACTCCAGCCTCGAAAACACATGTCCGATATCGTTTTCACGATCTGCTATCTTTTCATTCGAAATACCACATGATTCATTTTTCATTAATGCACGTTTCGGGATATCCAGAGTACCGGGATCTTTCTTGCCCTTCCCCTCGCAGAATCCCACTTCTCTATCATGTCAATCGGGCAATTAATCAACGTCAGCCTCAGCCGGCAGAAAAGCTATCACAACTTGCAACTCCCAATAACTAATCGAATTTTATACCACAACATAATGTCGCACTACATGAATTGTTCACTCCCATAGTCCCCCAGCTTCTATCAACGATACAGACCAACTAGCGCTCTCGCACCTGTTCCCGTCCATCACACCTGACCACGCTATTCCCAACGCATCACAGCGGTAGCATACCAAGCCTACCAAGCATAATAAGCCTACCAACACACCCACCCTCCGGTACGCTACACTTGTAGACTATCCATGTACCTACCTAGATGAAGCAAAGACACAACCATTCTTTGGATCCCGTTGGAGAGCCGGGTCGGACGTCGGAGCACCGGTGCATTGTATGGTCTGCGTGCGGAGGGGAGGGCGTTGTTAATGATTTGTGGTGTTGGTGATGATGTGAGAAAGTTTTGTATGAATATTTGTTGAGGGGAGGCAAGATGCAAGGCTGCGGTATGCAAGGGAAAAGTCTATGACGGTGCCGAGGGAAGTGGCTGGGGAGGGGGTTTCACGAGGGGGCGTAATACTCCCATGAAAGATAATTGGTGAAGAGGAAGGATATGAATTGGGCGATGTACATGGAGCTTATGGAGGAAGAATTTTTAAGATGCATGTGTTGTGGATATTCACTGTGTGTGATGGAAAATGATGGTATATTGCCTAATTCGGATTGATCGATCTGACTGCATTAGCGACAATGTAAGATTTGAAGGCAGTGGCCAATCCCTCAGTATGTATGGAGTACTCCGTACATACATCCGAGCAGGGGATCTTTGAAGGTCACCGGGTACAGGTCGATTGCAAGCGGACGGAAGGGAGGGGAAGCTCCGATGGATTTGAATTCTAGAGGGACATTGCGACACCGCTTTTGGATAACTCTTTGATTGAAGATCGGATGGGCGAGATGTGATGGCACGTGATAGCGCGTAATCGTACCTCATTGAGAACAATAAGGTATGGGATCAGGTACGATAGAAGTGAATAGTTCATGGGAATTAGTTCGTCCTTTCGTCTCATCTTCCGAGAACCTCATCTGCATTGCTCTCACCGAAACTCTCGTCATCTCAGCACATACAAATTCACAAAGGAGAAGCAAGTCAATTATGACGAACCTCAACTTCACGAATTCAGAGATACGTCTCACCACCGCAGCGCTTGCTTCAGTCGCGGCCCTAGTACCAGCCGCCTACTTCCTCCTACCCAAGCTTAAAACTCTCTACGACAGCCATCAAGAATCAACGCGACAACAACATCTTGAGACCTTTCACTCCCTCCTCAGAGCATACAGCACCCTCCAACCATCCTCCATCTCCGCACTCGCCTCTCCTACCTTCTTCACCCACACCATTCTCCCCTCCTCACTTGAGATACCCTCCCGAGACCTCGCACCTTTCACCCAGCATGCCACGCAGATCTTCTCACTCTTCTCGTCCTTCCAGATGATACCTCAGGGCACAATACATTTCGCACCTGGCTCAGACGCAGTGATCGCACACTGCAAGATGGGAGGAACGGTGAATGGGGAGAGCGAGAGCGGTAAGAAGTTGGTGGGAGGTGGATTGAGGGAGTGGTGGACGGAGTGTGTGTTGATGGTTAGGATGGAGGAAGGGGGGAAGAGGATAACGGAGATCAGGGAGTTCGTGCATAGCGCAAAAGCGGAAGAGTTGAAGAAGAGGATTATGGGAGTTTTTGAGGGATGATAGAGTTGGATAGGAGAGGTTTAATTCAATCGGACTGGGCTGGATTTACCCATCTGTCTATGGAATATTACTATGTCCTATCGCGAAAATTCACATGGCGATTTCTAGCTGATAGAGTGTATAGTCGCTTTACCGATTTCAGAGATCATTGCATACAATACATTAAGATTCAAGTACGGGGTGCAGTTCAATTAAAATCAACTCAATTCGAATAATGTATTCTGTTCAATTGTTCGTTTTGCAAGGCCACCAATCTAAAGATGGATGACGTCTAAGACTCTGTAGTTCGAGTCCATCCCGCAGTCCGCCTACCTACCCGCCTCTAAGAATAGCTTATTCCACCGAACCATGCGTACCTTAACTAATTATTTCTCCTCACCCTACACTGGTTTCTTCCCCACAAGATAACAACCAAAACGGAAGAGCACAGCTCTCCTCCTCAACGGAGAAACCATCCTTCTCCTCTCCCGACAGTTCCACTCGACATGCAGCGCATCACTGTCATCACAATCAATGATTTCGTACATATCATACGAGTAGTTGATTGGCTAATTGCCGTGCAGTTTAAGGTTCTCATTCCTACCCGGGGTACCGTCTTACGTTCGGGAGCGGATTTAGCGCCCGCAGGCGATCCGCACTCTAACTCGTGTCATGTCAGATAGTTACATGGTTCGTTGTTATGCGAACTGACGGGAAGAGGACAGAGCGAGAGGGGACCCCGTACATGATCATTTGTACATTCATGAATGGTCGGTTTCATGTATTTGTTGTTTCAACGGACCAAAGAGAAAGGAAAGATGTTGAATGACGGACATTGGAGTGCAGTGAGCGGAGTCCATGCGGTGATGGTCGACGGATGTCATGTGGAGAGAACGGGGAAGGGGGGAATGTAAACAACCCTTTTAACAGAACTTGTTTTGGTTTGTTATTTTGTTATTCCTCGAGATTCCCATTTGAGATTTCTGTCATCCCTTGACACGTCTAGATACCTACCTACCTACGGAGTAATCTCCCTGGCTCTCTTACTCTGCCTGCCCCCTCTCTCGTCAACCTATAACCAAGACTTCATTTTTAATTACCTGGAATAGTTACCTATTTCATATATTGCTCGCCCCCGCGCCCAGTATTTCGAGTGCTTGTCTTCCCTTGGCGAAATATCCCAAAAGAACAAGCATCAGATCACATTCGTCAATCATCACATACCATTTTCGGCAATTCACGGTGCACGCCTACCTGTCCACATCTCTCATTCGACAACTACCAAGTCACCAATCCCCACCACGACGATGTCCAAAGCCATCCTCATAACCGGCGCGACGGGAAAGCAAGGCGGTGCCGTCCTCTCGCACCTAGCCTCTCACCCCTCAAGCGATCAATTCACGCTCTTAGCCGTGACCCGCAACACCTCGTCCGCCTCAGCCCAGAAGCTGCTCACCAAATACCCCGCCGTCAAGCTAGTCCAAGGCGACCTAAACTCCATCCCCGACCTATTTGCCTCCGCCGTCGACGTACTCCGGCAGTCTAACCACGCAGACCCCAAGATCTGGGGCGTCTACTCGGTGCAAGCCTCCGTCGGCCCAGGGGTGACCCACGACACGGAGATCGCCCAAGGCAAAAACCTCATCGACTACTCCCTTGAACATGGAGTAGCGCACTTCGTCTATTCTTCCGTCGACCGCGGCGGCAACGCCCGTAGTCCCACCACCGAGACCCCAATCCCTCACTTCCAGTCCAAGTACATCATCGAGCAGCACCTGATTTCCCGCGCAGGTGCAAATGGCGAATCCATGCGCTGGACAATCCTGCGGCCCGTTGCTTTCATGGACAACCTTGCCCCGGGATTCCAGACGCGCGTGTTTCTCGCCGCGCTGCGCGACATGCTGGACGGGAAGAAGATGCAGTGGGTTTCGATCTACGACATTGGGATGTTCGGTGCACGTGCGTTCGCGAACAGCGAGGAATGGAACACGAAGGCAGAGAGTCTGGCTGGGGACGAGCTGACTTTTGAGGAGATGAGTGGGTGCTTTGAGAGGGCTACAGGGCAGCCTGCGCCAGTATCGTATGGGGTTTTAGGGAAAGCGTTGTTGTGGGGGGTCACGGAGTTGAGGATTATGATTACGTGGTTCAAGACTGATGGGTATGGGGCTGATGTTGAGAGGTTGAGGAAGGAGGAGGGGGAGGGGATTTGTGGGTTTGAGAGATGGCTGAAGGAGAGGAGTTCTTTTGTTACGAGGTAGGAATAATGATAGACTGGTCAGCACGTCAAAGTACTTGCGAGTAGGTTTGTTGAAACGATGTAGGAGAAGGAGGAGGAGGAGGAGGAGGAGGAGGAGGAGGTGGCGGTGGTGTTTATTATTGTTTAATATTAATTATTCCTTCACGGTCTGCCTGTATACGTTGGCAGACTGAGTACACTTAGCCAATTTATTGAAGTATTTATTTGACTTAGCTGATTTATACATTTGCATCTAACTCCAATCCAGCACGGTGTTCTAGATTCTCCTCACGTCAGTGACTGTTCACATATAAGCAATCATCCAAACGAATGAACAAACGATAATATCCGATCACAGATTTGTGACAACAGCTTAAATTTTGAACTTCATCGCTACTAATAATTTCAATTTTGAATATATCAACGATTGCTACACTCCACCCTCACAGTTCCTGCTGCACAAAACGCCATCCACATTAAACCTCCCCATACACACAACCATCACACCCTGCCATCATTTAAATACTCTGCTGAAACAACGCCAAAGTTCCCGCAACAACTGGCGTAACCAACCTCAGCAAATTCCACCTCGCCCACTTTCTCGCAATCCCCTCCGCTTCCCCGAGCTCCTTGTCCCCGGCCCTCCCAGCGAGCGCCTCGAGCTTATCATTCAACGGCTGCATGTTGATCGCCGAGTGCAGAATCGTCGTGAGATGCAGCGCGGCGGCTGCGGCATAGAACCTCCAGTCGCGCTCTGCGCGGTCGCCCTGGCGATAGGTAGCGTATGCTGCGTAGGCGTAGCCTAGGAAGCCGAGGGTGGAGATTGGGCGGAAGAACTGGTTGCCGACGGTCCAGCAGAGGGGCCATTGACGGCCGAGGAGGCGGGCGCGTTGAGCGTGTAGGGGAGAGCTTGGCTGGGGAAAGTCGACGAGGAGGGCAGGGACAGTCATGAAGGATTGGGTGACCGCATTTCCTGGGAGAGAGAATTAGAATAGGGTAGATGGGGGGAGAGGAGGGAGGTCTACCGGCGAGGATGAAGGAGAAGGTTATGCAGGTTCCTGCGATGCTTTTCACAATTGTGTTGTCCGACATGGTGGTGGTGGTGACAACGATGACAATAGCGTGAGGATGGGATAGTATATTAGATGGAATATGGGAGAATTCAATGTATGAACGAAAATATGTGTGGTCTGTACAGAATGAAGACAGTGAGTGGAAGTCTTTCTATTCAATGCGAAGATAAAAGCCAGTCAACGGGATTGGATGCATGTAAGTACGAATGGAATATACCACCAATTTGGCCAGCATTCTTTTAGAAGAACAATGAAAAGAAAAGTCCGATCTCTCCTCCTACCAGAAACGACTGCAACTGACGCGACCCAACGAAAGATCACACGAGGATCTCACGATTTCATCTTCGGACGGGAAAATCACAGATGCCGTTGTGGTTCTCCTTCTTCTCTCCGAGGAAGAGGTGGGAAAGGAATGCCAAGGTCCTTCGGTTCCCCAACCTCGAAATCCCGGGGTCGGGATAGTTTCTACATACAGCTTATGTATAATTGAGAATGTACGTAGTAGAATAAATCCTCCGTAGATCAGTAGATATCAGTATATCATATCACTCGTACTATGGAATGATGGACGGGTGGCTGTTGGCTGCACTTGGCAACATCCCATGATTCGCATCTCCCAATCCGGCCAACTGCTTGTCTCCATTCCCCTCCTCACCCCTTGCATGCAAGTTTACGCTAACGCGCCCGAAATATATTGATTACATCATGACGTTCCAGTGTTGACTCTATCGACGGTTGACTGCATCTTATGATATCTATCTCAAACATCAGTTTTCGCCGAAGAAGGGGGTCGTCGGGAGGATGCTTATCTTCCTTCGTGTTCGAAGTCAGGGTAGTATTGAGCTGAACCTATATCTCGCCCTGCCTAATCCTCACACTTGGATCTGATTGCCAAGGGGAATAGTGCAGTTTGAAAGTTTCTTCCGAGTAGGACAAAACAATACCCGCTAACTTAGACCGACATACGGGTTGTTTCTTCTCTCCATGCAAACACCCGCCCCATTTGACGAAACACTTCGTAGCACAACCCGCCCATCCTGACAGGTTCCGAATCATGCCCTGTTGTGTACCCACGCGGAGGATTATCGTGAGCACGTGTGCCGTGCTCCCGAAATTGACGTGCTCCGGAGTAACGGTGACAGTGAGCGTGCATCGTGATGTGAAACGTTTGGTTTGTGGGACGACGTGAGGTGAGGTCGTATTGCGTCCGCTGGTGTGCATGCAGGTAGGCGGAAAATGCGGGTGGGTGAGCATAGGATGGGATGGTTGGGACATGGGTTCTTTGTTCAGGGATTTGGACGGCCAGGCTTTTGCTTGGGTTTTGGATACGATGTCGCACGTGAGAATTGTTGATGGCATTTCTATTGGATGTTGGGGAAGACATTGCGGGCGACGAAATCGAACTTTGGAGAGGTGCCTGTGGGCGTTTTGCTGGTAGAGATGAATGCCCGTTTGAAGATGTAAAGAATCAGCACAAGGCCATGGTGAATCTTGACACAATTGCTTTTTGCCATTACTTGGGACATTACATCTTTGATCCAACTTGATCAATGGTTGGCTAGAATGATAAAGAGTTGCTACAGACTCGAACGAGAGTGGCCGGTCTACTCCGTACATTTCATCGCTTGCAGAGACGGATTTTACAGTGAACGAGCCCATCAGTGCAACTACACAGGCACTTTATGCTGCTTAAACCATCATGAAGCTATTCATCAATCCATTCAATTTCAAAAACCAGTCTCCTGTTCGATCGCATTCTAAGGGATCTCTGTATTTAATGAGTTGTCTAGATCATATGCTAGGTACTCGTCGATTGTCCGTGTCGTCAACTTCCCACACGGATGGAAATGTCAGTGTTCGTCACTTCACGCACCTCTACAGGCAAAACCACTACCGAATTTGAACGTCATGGTATTGTGCGAAGCTTTTCACCGCTGAATTAATCGTGCCTGTCATGATCTAGCTAGCAGAATTTATGCCATATGTCTCTCACCTTGACACAACTCAAGTCAACCCCAGAACGCAAGAGTGGCATTCCATACATTGCGTCCGAACATAGCGCATCCCAGTGTTCACACCATGCGCATCGTAAACAATTTCTGGATAGGAAGACGAACAGCTGCTTGATGGTGATGTTAGGGGTAGAGGAACGAGCGGGACGCGAGAGAAGAGAGAAGAGAGAAACACAGGTTTGATCTTTCAAGACGATACATGTATATTAAGCCATATTGCGTTTACGCGAAGAGTGCATGCAAGTTAAAAAGGTTGATCACATACATAGGAAACGATGTCCAACGAAGGATCGATGTATATTCGCATACAATGTATAGGCAGGTAGCCATCCATAACGACTTGGCATTGAAAAAGTGACATGTACGCTTCATGTTCCTCAGCAGTTCACAATATAAATTGTCCAATTTCTGACGAACTATTCTTGTGCGAGCCTAACTCATCGTCCAAGCCTACTACTTCAACAATGCTGTTGCTCTACACAACCCACTCCGTCAGCCATCAATCTCCTCAATTCGCATTCGTCGGTTTCACTTACCACAAGTTGTAAAAGCAGACGACTGACAAGGCGAAACCGGTACCGTCTGATCAGGCAGCGGATCGCCGCAGCCCTCGAGACCCGTCTTGGTCGCGCAGTCGGCCCACGCCATCTCGCTCTTGCAGCCTTCCTTGGGCTGGCATGCAAATGAGGGCGGCTGTTCATATCAAGAGATGGGAGGTTAGTTCTGCAAGATTATGATTAAGGGAATGGATTGTGAGAGGGAGTGTACCTCGCCGCCGCAGACCCAGCGCTTGGTTAGCGGATTCGCGATCGCGATGGTCGTGAAGAGGGTCAGGATGATGGTGGTCTTCATATTGGAAAAGAATTATAAGTTGAAGATATGATATTTACTATAAATCAAGAGCTCGGCGATAACGAAATTCTGGAACAAAACAGTTCTTTTCATCCAATTCCAATGGCACTTTTTATACTTCAACTCTGCTCAAGGATTATTTCAAGAAATCATGGCTCTCCATTCCCCATCGAAGGCGAATCAACGGCTTTCTCCTCCCGATTTACGGCCAAAAGACGTCATTACCGCTCTTGGACATATGGATATATTGTCGAAAAGGGCCCCTCTTATCAATCTCGGTCCCCGTAGCTTTTGTTGCTGGGAATTGGCATTCTCTTTCTTTTCGATTTAGCCGACGACCCAAGGAAAGGGTAAAAAACGCCTGCATGCATATCTGCATCTTTTCGCATGCCGAGTCAGTTCATTCCTGCGAATTACAGCCAGGGGAATATGGAAAATCGATGGAAATATTGAGGCGGGGGATCGACGGGAAATCTATTTGTTTGCCACGAACACTTGATAGATCTCTGTGGATTGTCCCGCTGCAGGCAGATTGTCATAGTCCGGGGGGACCGGGGTTCTCGTGCAGGTGTTGGAACACTCGCGAGTCTTGGTCGGATCGTCGAATGCAAAATCCTCGTATAATACACATTTCGGCAGGTTTTCGGAGGACAGTGGCAAGCATAGAGAAAATGCGCGCGGGCATACAATGAGGCTTGTGGATGGATTTAAGCCGGCTAAACGTGCGCATGTAGTGTGATGGCTATATGATGAACAACGCGATCACCCTTACCAAATGATCAAAGCGAAATGATTAGGTAACAGATGATCTTCCAGAATTTCGACAGAGTAAGAAGGTAGCGGACACGAGGATTTTGACTTAGCCTCAGGTACATAACGTTTGATGGACTGTGAGTGGACATTTGGGGCCATGATGCGAACAAAGCATCCCATTTTCCAGTAGACGACCTTCCATTCTCGGCCCATACGCATCGTCCCTCGATGGGGGACTGGTTCGTGCCATAGAAACTACACTGATAATTATCCATTTGCTAAGCCTCGTTGTTTGGGACTCCAAATCCGTAACTCAGCTACCTCCGTACGCCGTACCGGACAATCTTTCGGCGATCGGAGGAGGGAAACTGTAGAACGCATGAATAACGGGCTCTTTTAAAGAAATTACTGGGTGAAGATACCTACAATGACCAATAACTAATCGTTAGATGATTACTTGCGCCCCATAGAGAGTGGATCTCGAGAGTGGTTAAGCATTCACTATGGTGTAGTCTTGTAGGTTATCAGCCCCCACGTCGGCCTAATTTGGAGATGGCTCATCATGAAACTCGAGGGTTTAACTTCAGCCTCACCTACCCATCTTTCGCCGTTCTTCCCTTTCACCTGCAAATACATCCCATGCTCAAGGTGAATTATTAGTATTGTTTTCTTTCAAGTCAATGATTTTTTTTTGATCGCAATACATATTTAATTTGGGCAGATAGGACTCACTGGTTAGCGCATTAAAGATGGCAATGTTAGTAAGAAACGATCGACTTCGACTATCTACATCGTTCAATGCATCTATCTTCCCCACAGATTGGACAGCAATACCGACCGTATCTATTTCCTTAGAAACGAACATTGTTCGCAATGTACCTAAATGGTTTGAGTTGTCTACCTGAAGCCGTTGCATGATACGCCAAGCTTCGCTTCAGGTTTGATGATACGAAAAAGTCCGAAATCACCACCGACCTGGCGAATACGCGCGCGAAAGCGAGAACCTGAGGCGGATGCGATGCAAGGTACCTTCTAGAGGTCCTCTAATGTTCTAGCACCCACGCCTAGCCATGGATACCTAATGGGAGGGCTTCAGCTCATTCTATGACACAATTGCCATGGGATGCCTTGGGACTGCGGAGTTTCGAAGAATGCGACAATCCTCCAGGTTCACAAACGACTGAACCATTGAGGGACGAACCTCCCATGGAGATTGCGAAATGGACTCATATATGGGGGATCGCTGTCCCCATGAAAATCCACTCCGGATCAACACAATCGACACTCATCCAGCCTGCTTTTGGGGCTATCCACTTTCGCGTTTCTTGCGTTTAGTTAATTCAGTCCATTCACTCGTTGCGCATTCGTGGCGACGTATCCATTCCCTATTCGATTACCATTCTGTCCGTCTACAATCATTGAACGCTTCTGCGGTCTTTCCTATATTTTTTCTAATTGTCAATCATTATTTCTTCACTATGTTGAATAACATCGCCCGTTTTGCGCTTCCTTTGCTCCTGCTTGGAGCATCGCCAGTCTTTGGAAGGGAATTGAAACCCATTCGCCCAAATGGCGCCCGGCATGCCAAGCGACAGCAACAGTCCGACATGGACCGTAGATCTGTTGAAACTTTCCTTTGGGGCGATGATGGTGGTGAGTGAAAATCGTCTTCACTTTCATGAAGGGCCAGACTAACAGAATTACAGTGTCAAGTGTTGCTAATTTGACTGTTTACATGGGCGGTTCCACCGAAGGCATTCTGAACATGGAACGATTCGATGGCATGCTTACAGACATCCAATGCGGAAATGAGAGCATCTCCATGACTTTCCAGGACGATGAAACATTTGCATATGCCCAGAGGACTTGGGACTGGGTGAACGGTGCCGAAAACAACAGTTTCGTGATGATCGCAGGTGTTGGGGACTGCGGCAACAACACTCGTCGTCTACCGTATGTCGTGTCCACAATGCAATATGACGAAGTCGCAAACCGAGCAGTTTTGGCAGCACGCCTGAGCGACTGGCAAGCAGTCGCCCACAGCTACGACTTCGTTGTTGGCTCCGTAGCACAGGACCCCGTCTCCAAGAAAGCTATCTCTCGCCGCGACATCGACAAGACGACTTCCATCGATTTCAACCACAGCTTAAATGGATCTGTAGCTTTCAGTGTCGGCGACGTCGAGGCTCGAGTGGTTTGCCTGGAATGTGGTTCTGCGGGCCAGTTTGACATGGAGTTCAAGATTTCACAAAAGATCGGTATCCCAACCGGTGCAAGCATGAAGATATCCCCAAAGGGCGTCAGTGCCGTCGCAAAGATGAAGCTCATAGGCAGTGTCAGTGTCACTGATGCCCTTGAAAAGTCCATCGATCTACTTGACATTCCCATCAGTGGCCTCAAGATTCCCGGCATCCTCGACCTTGGCCCGTTCCTCACCGTCGCTCTTGCGGCCGAACTGTCCTCGATTACTGTCTCCGCTGCTGTCTCGATGGGTGCTACGGCTAAGTTCAGCGACGAGGCTATTCTTAACGTCGATCTGCTCAATCCTGACGAAAACGAGTTCTCCGGGTGGGAGCCTACCGTCGATGTGGACGATGTTGCTGTGGAGGGTTCGATTAATGGAGGCGTCGCAGCCTTTCTTAAGCCCAGCGTGAACCTCAAAGCTGAGGCCCTTGGTAAGTTTTCTAGTACTATGCCCGTATGGGAATACGAATGCTGACATTGTACTAGGCAAAGGGTTTGAGATTGGAATCAACATGAAGGTACCTACGGTTAGCGCGAGATTATCTGCCGTCGTTTGTAAGTGCGCACAATTCCACCATCACCTTCCAGTGTGCTAACATCTAGGTAGCCCCACAAGGTGTCTGCCCTGCCGAAGGAGACGCGCCTCAGAAGACTACTGGCGTCAAGGCTGTCATCAACCTCGGCGCTTCACTCAATTTCGACGTCAGGAACACTGGAACCGACAAATCCCTCTTTGGAGTTTCGCTTGCTGTAAGTTCCGGCGATTGATACATCGATCCTTGAATCGAAACGCTAGAAGACTAACATTGTAATAGGCTCTGGATAGGCCGCTTGCTGAAACATGCTTCCCCTTTGGTGATGACGTTGCACCTGCTGCTAGATTCCGACCCCGAGGATATCTTATGGGGTGATGTACTCGAGACTGATAAGATCACAGAAGACAGACTGTTTTTGCTTTGATTATTTAGTGGCTATTATTCCTTCTTTTATTCTTTCCTTTGGTCCTGTCAACGCGGTCTTTACCTTGTACCAAGTTTGTTGAAGCTTCTGCTTCTTTTCTTGTTTCTCTTTTCCTTTCAAAACAACTCACGAAAATGTAAACACCATGATACCTGTAATACATAGATGATATAGAATGCTTAATGTTATGTACTTGTAGCGCCATAGCTACCTCCTGCGCTATCTAGTCCAAACTCGCCGCTATCAAAGTCTTCAAAGCATCGATCGCAGGCTTACTCCTCCAATCGCTCCACTGGTGATTCAGCAGTCCCCAAGTCTCCTCATAATCCTGCGTTCCGCTCCTGATATAGTAGCTTCCAGACAGAACCCAGACCGTCCAGCCGGCCTCCCACTGCGGCATCAATTTCCTGATGCAGCTCGCATACACACCGTTATACGAGTTATCCGCCTGGCTGAATCCGAACTCGGTCAGCACGACCGGCATCTTATTCAACGCCTTCTCGCCATGCGCCCTGAATCCCTGATTCCACAGCCCGCCCTCGATATCTCCGCACGCCGTCGCTGAGTTCTGGTAGTTGTGAAGCTCGAGGACCAATTTGTTCGCGTACTTGAAGTCCGTGAGGAGGAACTTCTTGCCGCCGCCGAGGTCGGAGCCGTCGACGATGGGCGACAGCTTGGTATCGTAGTCGAGGCCAGAGAGGAAGACGAGGATGTTGGGGTTCGCGGCGTTAACGATGTTGGCGGCGTCGATGTTGTGCGTGTACCAGGTTGACCAGTCGTAGGGCAGGGACGAGCCGGCGTTGTCGGGCTTGCGGAACTCGTTGCGAAGGCCGATGGAAACGAAGTTTGGCCATTTCTTGCCCTGTGATTGAGAGTTAGCTGGGAGGAAGGATATCTTAAAAGTGAATGGGGAGCTGTACGTAGTCGGCCATATATTGCAGTCCTCGCTTCCAGTTCGCAATGTTGAAGTACTGGTCTCCAAACCACGTGTTGCCGTCACCTCCGCCACAGCACCAAGCTCCTTTACTCATGTGATTGTCAAGATGAACGTAGATCCCCTGTTTGTTTAACTCATTTGCAATCGCATCGTAGACCTGCAGTCTGGTGGTAGCAGCGTTGAACTGCGGATTATTCTTGATGACGCTCTGGTACGCAGTCTCGCCTTTTGCGGCGCCCAAAGCCTTGCTAAATGCCTTTTGGATCGTGACGTCGCCGCCTCGATCCTTGATGTCGTCGATCATTTCGATGGCGAAAGTCAGGCGCACGACATTCATGTTCAGCGATTTGATCTTCGACACGATTGAGGCAATGGATTGGTACTGCAGACCCTCCGGAATCATAACCTCTCCCGCACCTGGCCAATTGACGCCAGCATACGTGATGTTGCTGCCAACAGAGTCGATGATCTTCTTCCCTTGGGTTTTGAATGGAGCATTGGGAAAGGAGGAGACGAGCGCAGGCACAATGGCCAGACTGCTCAGGACGTGTGAGAAACGCATGTTGAATATCGCACAACGGACTGAAAGTCACGTCTGGAAAGTCGAGAAACAACAAATATCGTCCCTCGTTCAGGTTTAAATTGTTTCTTTCCACTACATACCAACCCCCCATCTGGCCTTTCCAATCTAACCCAAATGCCCGCCCAGGAACACTTCTCCACCAAAACCAGGTTCCGATTGATGGAAGGACATTGACCTTCTCTCGTCTTCCGGTATATTCAACACGTCTCCACATAATGTTAATAAACTCCATAGGGGCATCGGTCTATTTCCATTTAAGGGTATATGCCATCGGGGTTCCTGGATGCTGATTGGTGGAGCGGGCTCGGTCGGTTAAAAGGACCGTTTGGTGGATCTACGTGGAGTGTGGAGAAACCCTGCCTCCTGGGGAAGGTGGATTTACGCTTTAGGTGTTGCGTTCTCGTGAAAGTCCATGAGGGGGGTAATTAAGCCGAGGCTTGCATGGTTGACGGCGTCGTGGGGCATTGTGCCGAAGTGCTAAAGTGGCATACGGTCCTCATGTTGGTCGGATGCGTTAACTGGTTTGGCCAAGTTTGACCACATGTTTTCGACTATTTTGTGTCAAATGACGTACGGAATCCGGTTTGTCCAAAGGCTATACATACACGTGAGCTTCTGCTACATATTCGGTGTAGGTGCATCCGGAGTGATGATCATACCTGCGATGGAAGTGGTCAAATTTAGGTTTAGGACAAATGTCTCGGTCAATTGAGACATTAGCCTTGTATGTTGCACCAACAAACAGCGGCCGGGGTGAAAGTCGTACACGATTCAGTTGCACAAAAGCCGATCTTCGATAACAAACGTCCGCCTCAGACCTTCATCCTTCCCCATCCTGGACCTTCCCGTAGATATTCGACGACTTTCCCTGTATCATCTCCTCCAGTTCCGCTACAATCGTCTCCCAGTCCGCTTGCATTTCATCTTCCGCAAGTGAAAGAATTTGAGCCTCGTTATCTGGCGCCTTCTTGTCTGGCTTCAAGTATATCACCACTGATTCTCGCGTGAAGATGATATTTCGCTTCTGTGCGCATAGGCTGAAAGTACTGAAGAAGTCTTTCGGCTTTGCACGTAGATCGAGCCACATTTTGAGCGGTGTCGGTCCCCAGTCGCAATGGAGTCTGACCCTCGAGACGGACTCATCTTGGCCAACACCGTGACTTTGAGGTGCAGGCGCTGGAGCGTGCATCGACTGAGCGTATTCGCTCTGTGAAGCACGACGATCGGGAGTAATTCCAATTGGCGAGTGTTGGGAAAAGCGGCTTTCTTCAACCACTGTGCCAGATCTACGTTGCCTTTCGAGAAGAGTCTCGACAATGTGATGATGCTGCGGCTGAGTGTGCACCGGGGTCGCGGTGGCTGAGGCATCGTACATCAATGTGGAACGGTGGAACGAGTGTGTAGGAGGTGAAGGTGCATGAACCGGTATACTGTAGTCCTTGAAATGGTAATTATGTGGGCGTTGTGGCTGTGGAGCAACGGGTGGTGGGTATTCTGATGAAGAGAAAAGGCTAGTCAGTATTCGACGTATACTGTGGGTGAGCATGAGCACCTGTACATACCCATTGTACCTTCTCCAGAGTCTTCGAGGCCGAGAAGAATATCAATGTCCAGCTCACGCTTAGATACTACATAGAATGTAGTGCTATGCGTGGAGTTGCTCTTTTGTCGACGCCATATTACATCTGTACAGTATAACACCGGGACCGATAAATATGTCTCCGGTATTGAACCTGGTATCTCAACATACTCTTTATCCGAAGGTGTGTGGTTGGAAGTATACTGAAGGCCCTCGCGCATTACACTGGAATTAATACTAGCATTTCTCATGCTCGCGGGTCTCTCTTCAACGCCCCTTTCGCCATGGTTGATAAGAAGAATGTACTCTCTATGAGTGGACTCGCCCCGTGAAGAATGTGATAGCACAGACGATACTGTTCGCGGGGGACTTATGGGTGTGGCGGGTATCGAGATTGAAGAAGGGTATTGGGGTTGTGCCGGTCTATGGCGTGCAGGAGGTGAGTTAGGATACTGTGACTCAATGGATGAAGAACCCAGGCGCGGGGATCCTATCGTTATACTCAGACCCTTTGATGCGCCTGGTGGGTTCACGATCCCCTGCTGCGTGGTCAAGCCTGGTAGAAGAAAACATGCTTGTAGCTCCTCATAGATTCTCGTGTCCTGCTGGCAGCATTTCGTAAGAAGACTCTCCGCCTTTTCTGGCATCTCGCGAAAGAGTCTTTCGACTAGAAACTGCACAGCTAGTATATCCCCCATGTCGTGGGATGTCAGCACTTTCGCGCGATTACGGAGGGGCAAGGCTGAGCGGCAACATTCTCGCTAGCAGTCTTTGTGCATGGTAGTGAGGAGACGATATGCAAGGGGGCGCAGTATGTTGCGATTCGGATCCAAGATACAAGACAATGCTGTTGGGAAAGCAGCTTTGCGATGAATGATGGAGATTGGGGATTGGAGATGAGCGAGACACAAGGCAGAGGCTTGAAGTGGGGCAATCCGAGGTTCGCATAAGATCGACCATTGTGTTTTATACGGTACATGGATGAAGACACCCCAAGCGTTCGCTTGAAGTGACGCTTTGCCTTTCCGAGTTGACCGGTTACAATTTACCAGGTCGTTGGGCAGGGCTATGGAACGCCACGTGATAATATCCCTCTGCCATTCACTTCTCGAGCCAGCCCTCTCGTGGTAGGATGGCAGCTGAACGGTGGCTCCTGGAGCAGCCAAACGGCCCCCAATTTCTGCGTCCATGTATCTCGTCTCGAAGCGGTCCCCCCTCCCCGTAAACTCTAGCACAGCCTGTTCTCCCCTTCGTTTCGTTATCGTTTTTGAGCCTCTTGAGGCGCGCAAAGATGTCCAGCAGCATTATGGCGCCAGAGAGGTCTCGTACAATGACTTGTACCAGCCCTCGGATGTCCTCTACATCCATAGTTTGTGATGGCAAAGACACCGAACTCGGCATGGCAATAACAAATGCTGTTAGTCGGAATGTTTCTAAAGGCAATGCTATCCAGATCAATGGGCACATAGCAGGCAAGATATACAACTTGTGAGACCACTCCTTGTATTAGTCCTTTCAAAGCTGTCGCTAATTCATACATCGAAGCCAAAATCTGATCATCAACTACCAAAGCACCTTGGATCACAATTTCAATTCCCCTGGCACGATACCGCGACCGCTCCAAAGAGTCCTCAAAACCGCACGTTCACGAGACACGGCCGAGGAGGCTTTTATGGATGTAGTGGCAAGTGTTGATTTGGTAGAAAGAAGCAGAATACCATAATGACGCTCGACAGAAGCCCAGTCCGCACCTTATGCCTCTTGATTCACCTTATCTAGCATTTTATTCCGATATCAGTACAACGTCCCAGATGATCCGAGCCACGTTTAATCCTCATGTTCTGGTCAATCTCATTGCGCAGAGAATTGTTCGCCGTCTGAAGCTTACTCCCCTTATTGTTTCAGGGCCAGAAGAGTTGGTTTCGTGGGATCGGAGCTCACTCGTCTCTACAACACAATTGATTGAATTGGCATGCTATGACAAAGAGCGCACTGAATACACCACGTATCAATTTTACGTCGTCAAACATTGCCCATTTGACATACTCTTTAGCACTCGTTCCATTAATCCATTCGACTCTAATCGGCCAAGGATGAAACCAGGCAGATCCTAGCTCGTCTATACTTGACGGACATAAAGGCCCAACAAGAAGTCAGGACATAAAGGCCCAACAAGGAGTCAGAGGATCAACAATCTTCTCTCTCATTGCAGCAAGTTTCCAAACCCAGAACTCAGCTGCTATCAGATTATAGATCACAGTTGCATAGCCCTCAACTACCGCTATTGGTCACTGCACATGCGAACATGGGGGCTTCGCTAGCCTGCATCCACAGCTGCAGGTGGCTTCGCGACAACACATCAGTCGTTGCGAACATTCACTCTGCATGCATACTGCGAGCACCTGACCGGACCAATCTTACACAAGGTTTGAATCTGGATTCTATATTGTGCCGCAAGGTGGGTGTGCGGGGGATCAATTGGTAGATAAATAGTGTTCCACGCCGCTGTCATTGGCGTGCAACCCTCAACAACTTCCACTTTCCATCTTTCATATCACGGAGAAGTACACTCAACCATGGTATGAGTACCACTCTTCTGAGAGGAGATCTTTAGCTAATGTAACGGGATAGGCTGAAGTTCTCACGCTACTTTCTGCAATTCAAGCCACCACTCAGCTCCTAGAGCAGGCATTCCGCGTCCTTGGTCGCCTTCAGAAAGCACATCAGCGTCAAAAAGGACTTCTAGAAGTCCTGAATCGGCATGAGACTGAGCTCAAGAGCGTCAAGACAATCATCGGTATCCTCGACGATGAGGAGGAGTTACACACTGCCACTGTTACCGAGGAGATACTCCGTCTCCAAGACGTTCAGAGTAAATTAAGCAAGTTACTCGATGATCTCGATCCAAAACCGAAGAGCAAAGTCGTCCAATTTGCGCGACAACTTACACAAGGCTCTTCAGATGAGAAGAAACTGTGTAGCCTCATGAATGAGCTAGGGCATGTCAAGACTGCGCTCTTGATCCGCATTGAAGTTGCCAATGTTGGCGTGATGAAGGGTGTGCAGAAGCAGCTTGTAGCCAATGCAGAGGTCATCCAGCGAATCGACACATTTCTCAGGGAAGAGTTTGGGGACTTCTCGGGGCTTCGAATTGCGCGATTGCTCAAGGGCAGGCGTCCCTCAAGTGAGTATACTTCCCAATGAAATATTGGAACAAGGACACTGACGATAGTAGACGATGGCACTGTGCCGCTGACTGCCGCCGATCTGAAATTGCTGAGCGACAATGACGGTCGTAATGCAGATTGCGCCATCGACGACAGCGCCAGCGAAGACCAGACACTTGTCGACGATTCCGAAACACGCAAAGATCCTACCCAACCCATGATTGAACGGATCATACTGCGAAACATAGCGCGACATCAAGCTATTCAGATCAATGCTGCTCTCGGGGAGGACGTATGGAAAGACGTGGATCGTCTAGTCGTTAAGGATAATGTAGCCGAAGATCAGTCGGTGCAGATCAATTACGGCATGACAATAGCAACGTGTCAGTGGCTGTTCGAGCAACGAAAAGGCATAACGACTCCTGCGCCTCAGTGTGCCACGGAGTATCGTCGCGAGTTAAGAGGTGGACGCAATTGATCAATCTTGGCGTGTCTTCCTTTCTTCTATGTCTCTGATATCAATGCTGAACATCATTCCCTGCCGCTCACACTGAGCTTCTTTCCTCCTGGCTATCGATATCCTGAACTCACTTTTCTATTGACCCTTAATTATTTCCTTGTGCGATCCAATTGTTGGATCGATGATTGCCTGGACTAGCGGCAACACTACCCCTCACTCACCATGCCCCCACGGACCTTGATTCAGGGTTAGCCATCCCATAGATAGTGAAAAGTCATCACATTTGAATTCTTGGGTCAAACAAGTATTAGAATGCAAGATCCCCTGACGATCATTCATGGGACGTATGAATGTGAATATATCCTGCTATTTCCTGTATAAGAAGTTGTTTCTTCTCGCTTGCACGGAAAAGGATATCGGTGGATAAATTAAGTCTGTATACAAGACCTGCCAAAACATGAAAACCCGTGGAGCAAATCATGGAAACATGATAGTTTTCGCACACTAACTATCGCTGAGAGTCGCTGTTTGAGAGATATCGCAGGAGCCCAAAGTTGTACAGAGTGGTGTTCATACTGCTGGAAGATTAGCTGCTGGGCACTAGGTAGAAATTCGGTATCGTCTGACCACAATTGCGGCCCAAGCCATGCTTACCGTGAGCATGGAAAGAAAGGTTCAACAATACCCAGCCTGTAATGTAAAGATCGACATAGACTACGCTGGAACTTTTCGACTTTGCTTTTCACTGGGATTATTAGTGTTGTGACAATTGATCGCTACCTTCAGTGGGATATTGTCCGCACTTTCCGCTTAATTGACATCACATAAGATTTAGTTGTATGAAAATGGATTCTATAAATGCATTGAGAGATTGTTGTATCGTAACGCAAAGATTGCAAGGCCATAGTATCTCAAAGTCGCGCCCTGTTCCGCGAGTTGTCTGTTGCCTTGTTATGATTGCTTATGCATAGCCGGAGCAGCTGAACAGTGAAAAGATTTGTACTCAACAGCTTTGTGAGTAATAATTTCAAACCTTATTAAAGGTTATGTGAAAGTTTGAGAAATGTCCAACGAGTGCGATACAGACAAGACCAACTCCACCATACGTTCTTTGTACCAGCGATCCCTCCGTGTAACAGTCTAATTGAGCAGTCGTAAATAGGTCCTTAAATACAATTGAAGGACTGGAGCATCGATGTAGTAAGTTCAAAACATCAATTCGCCGATCAATGCCTGTATTGACAAGAACTGACATTAGGCTAATGGTTCTGGGTGGTACAAGAACGCCTCTTGCAAAGAAGATGACGCATGTCCTGTTGCTCATACCAGTCGATGCGCAGCTAAGTACCAGTATACGAAGAGTAGATAATAACAGACAGAGATGAAAAGCGGAAACTGCACCTGTGGCAACATCCAATACGAATGCTCATCTACCCCTTTGAAAGTAATGACATTATCACGCAGTACTAGATTGCCCGAACACCGCCAATTGTCCAACCCTTGAGCGCCTTCGTTCTTGATATATCCACGCCCGCGGAATACAACAATTCTAAATCCTCCTCCGCGGCCCATTGGCTGTAGACCAGATTCAAGGATATCTTCAAACTGGTGGCTTTCTGGAATGTGCATGTTCCAGACAGCAATATTGACATTTATTCCGGCCTTCCCATAGATCACCCTTGCCGTTTCCTCTATACTGGAGATCTCCCGGTGTCGGCCTATGACGTCTAAATCAAACCCGAACCGATCGAGGACGCCTGTGGTGATATATGTTGCGCCTGGCAGGAACGCTGTTAGGATTGATGCGAGCAGCATTGGTTTCTTCTATTGCGATGCTTCGTTGTTGTTGGGAAAATATGGCGACAGGGGAGTGTTCGGCTCCTGCGGGGTTGCTGTTAGGAATGGTTTATCTCACGACGTTATTCTCACTTCATCACCACGGACCAAGGGGCAACTGAAATGATAGCCGGGAAGGGGAAATATGAACATACAAAACACTGACAGGCCTTTGTGTCTGCCTGTTTTGGACTCGAAACTGGAATACACGAGCGAGTGGTGTTGTTTGAAGTCTCAGCGACAAGAGATAATGAAGCGGGCGCCCAAGTTACACACCAGGCTCCAGTGTTCTACTTGAAGGCAGAATGCACACATCAGGCTCGAACATTTTGCTTGACCCGACTTTGTACAACCAAGACCTGGCATGTAGACTCTGTTTCTTCATATTGAGGGCGACATAGTCTGTACATAAACATCATATCGAAAAAGAAATTCTCTAGCTTATCTAGGTTCAAGAATTCTAGAAGCACATTTTAGCGGCCAAGAAAAATAGGTACCTCAGCGCTGAAAAATCAAAGATTAATGGGAAGTCGAGTAGATGAAGTACACTAGAAAAATGTAATGAGATATGAAGTATGTCATGTCAATTATATCTGCGCCTGCGTAATTTTCTCTACTCTTTTCATAGCCATCATAATCTCACAGCAGTCGAGCCCAATTGGGTCACTATCGCAAGGTATATTGTATATTCCTATTTACCTCAGAATTCGATCGAATAATGTGTGGTCACATTATATCATCCCCCTTCCGACAACAAGTATGTCGCTTTTATATCTCTTAACGCAATCATTGAGAAGAGCTAGAACACATATTCCTAGAAAGCCCAAACCGTAGGAAACCGATGGGACTTACTTAAGACTGTGCATTTATTCCCACCACTACCATGCTTAAGACAGAAGTTGGCAGCAATCTTAGGCATTTCCCAGCTCTTGTTCGAGTCCCTGGGCACAATTATTATGCTCTAAGTGAACACAGACACAAAGTGAACTAATTCAACGTCGTAACATGGCAAAGGTTCTATAGTTGAGAGGGATAACGTTAGAGGTTCCTTGCCCTTGCTAGGTGACGAGTGCTACTTCTCATTCCATGTATGATTGAGAGCACATGTTTTCTTACGAATAGATGCAAAACGGTCTTACTGCGGCCTTATATCTACGGTGTTTGAGCACCCTTAGAGCCGATATTTCCTATGTTCACGGACAGTCTTTTGACTTCGCGCCGGACGGCCGCCATAACAATGATTCCTTAGCATCGGACTATACCAAAGCTAGACATAGCTAATGTACCATGTCCTAAGAAGCTCGTATCTATATCAGTGAACTTTCGATAACATCTTTGCCATCCGCTCGGCGCGCCGGCTCTTGTAACGTTAGTGTGGAGCACATAACGTTATTGTAGAGCATGAGCCTCATTAGATACTCGCGGACTGGCTCCATGTCGATAATTCAATGAAAATCTTCCAATATAGCGATGGGATACAAATTGGACATTTTACGCTTTCTGCGTCTCCCAGCTTTGATCTCAACCTCGACTAGTCTTCCATACCAGCACTCACTCCATTCCATCAATTAACTAAACACCATCATGGCCTTCACAGTAGGAATCGCCGGCGCTACAAGCCAATTGGCCCTCTTAATCGCAGCCAAATTGCTTCAGAATCCCTCCGTCCACATCCGCGCCTTCTGCCGCAACCCCAGCAAACTCCCCCAGCATATCTCCTCCTCCACCCGCGTCACCATCATCCAGGGCGAAGCCACCGACCTCTCCGCCGTCCGCTCCTTCGTCCAAGGCTGCAACGTCGTCGCCTGTTGCTACCTCGGCCCAGACGACATCATGATCGCCGGCCAAAAGCTCCTCATCGACGCCTGCGAGGACGCCAACGTGTCTCGATACATCGCCAGCGACTACACGCTCGACTACACGAAGCTTGCGTACGGCGATCATCCATTGAAAGACCCCATGAAGCACGTGAAGGCGTACTTAGGAACGAAGACGAGTGTGAAGGGGGTGCATGTGCTTGTTGGGGCGTTCATGGAGCATTTCCTCGGGGAGTTCTTCGGTGTGGTCCATGCGGAGGAGGGAAGGTTTACGTACTATGGGACTGGAAATGAGGTGTTTGAGGCGACGACTTCGGTGGATATTGCGGAGTTTGTGGCGGCTGTTGCGCTTGATGAGGGTGCTGTTGGAATGTTGGAATGTGAGTTTAATGTTTATGTTGATCGGTTTGAATGACACTGGCTAACTGTGTAATTGTAGTCCTCGGCGATAGGAAGACACTTCGCCAGCTCGCTGATGAGTTTGAAGAGGTGTACGGTACGAAGCCTGAGCTTGAATGTCTGGGTACATTGGATGATCTCAAGAAGATTATGCAAGAAGCATATCAGAAAGACCCTTCGGATACATTCGCGTGGGTGCCGCAGTATGTACTAACGCAGTACCCTAACCCTTTTCCTGTTCGATATGTTAACGGATGCTAGGTTCTTCCAATACTACTTCGCAAATGGTCAGACGTATCTCAAGGATAAACTCGACAACTCCAGGTATCCTGAGATCAAGCCCGTCACTTTCAGGCAGTTGATGCAGACTCGTGCGCCGGCTGAGCTGTCGAGGCTTCCATAGACAAGTTATAGATTTTCGAACCATTAGATGCATCCTTAGGTTGCAAGCTAGTAGTATTGCTGTATTGTAGCGAATTGGAAGGATCCACTGTGAAAGATTCTTGTCAAAATCGAGAAATACAATAATGCTAGTTCGACAGTTCCATTTCCTGTGTAGTGCCATTAGAAGAGTCATCTATTTACTAGCAGAAACATAACTATCTTCATCATTAACTACAGGTCGTGTATTGGGTATGCCCAATTTACATTGTCTCTCAGAAAATCAATTCCGCTAGAGAAAGAAATCTCATAATCCCTAACATCGAAGTAAAGTTTTCAGAAACAAGTTTAAATGATATCAAAAGAGACTCAACAGCTGAGAATGAGTATTCTCCCTTTTATCGTGAGAAAATTCTGATATACATGATCTAGATTTTATTTTTGCTTGACTGATGCATACGTTATACCCCCCAAAACAACGATAGACATTGCCAGTGAAACCAGAACAACAGCAACAACAAGAACATAACCCCCCAAACCCGACAAAAGGCCTTGTACCAAACTCCCTTATTCCGTAGAAAAAAGGTTAATACCCATAGAGACAATCAAAAACACATGAAAACCGAATCCAATCCCATTCGAGACCACCTTCACCAAACTATACACCTTCGAACAAACCCAACCCAAGCCCACAATACTACAACTCTCTACCATTCCCCCATAGTGAGACTCTCCCACCCACTAATTCCGATATCCATCTCCTTCCCGTGTTGGTCGGGTCCGTAGACCCCTCGAAAACTCCATCTCTGCACAGCGGTGATGGCAAGAGACAGCACTCTCCCTCATCTCTCAGTCTAACCAACGGAAACCCCATCTCGTCTTCAAATATCCCATTCTGGCGAGTCAGCCGGATACGGGGAGTTTCCACTCGTTGTAAAGTGACGGTGTTGCTGGTATATCTTACACATCGACGTGAAATCGTGCATCGGTGTGGACGTTGGCTTCATTATCAACATCAACTTCAATTTCAAAACCACGACGACGACGCTGTACACAATCACTATTTATCACTCAACTCCCCGAATTAGCAAACCAAAAAGGTCATCTCTATAGCTACTACATCAACTCCACACGCCAGCACCCAATCCACGGTAAAACTTCCCGTATCTCTTGACCCCATCACCCCTTTCCCCAACTCCAAAATCTCCCCTCCCCTTTCAATCACACTTTCTGTCTAGAAAGACGAATCAATCTGAATGTTTAGTGATAACTATGTTTTACTATTTTCATAGTACTCATAATCCAAATATTATCTTCTACCAATGCAAACAAGAGACGCAGTTGTACTTTGATCTACACTTGAGGCAAAGGAACGTTTGAAGCCTACAAATGTCGTAAATCTACCTAGGTATATACAATTAAATAAAACCACAACGTTTCCTCCGAGAAGACAAAAGATGTACGTTTTCTACTACTTCTGGCAGGGAGAGTATGAAAGCCAAGGGTATGGGAAGAGTGGGAAGAGGTGAGGGCAGAACATGCCTCTAAACACAGCGATACGTCCTTCTGAAGGGGATGTCAACATTCCGCTTGACTACTGGGGCATCACGAGGAAGGCGAACATACAGCTCACACTCAATCACTCACTCAACCATCCATAACAACACATAGCAGTCAAGCAAACTATTCAATTTCACTATCTCTACAACATAGACAATTAACCCTTCGACTCATATCAAAGCAACATCACTTTCTTCCCCACTTCCCTCCCTCCCTACCCTCCCCAAAAACGACAGGAGCCTAGTATGACATAATCCCCCCCTCACTCTCACTTCCTCCATCCGGAAACACACCAACAAGTGGCAGTGTCCGTCCACCCCAACCTCCGCCCGCCTAACGTTAGAAAGACACGGCGCCGCGACGATGGCCTTCCCAATCCGTCAACCCATCATATGACTCGCTGGCCGGCCACTCACTCACTCACTCGTACGCATGTGGTGCTCCTCAACGAGGAATGCACAAAACAGGCGATCGATCATCGCGGGAAAAACAGGGCGGAGGAGGAGGGGTGGCGAGAAAACGGAAGCAAGCAGCGTAGGTTAGTAGGTAGCGTATCACGTTGTTCATTTCTCTCCTCGCTCTCTCTGTCTGGCTCTCTGTGTGCGTTGTGAACGGTGGGAGAAGGGGGAGGGGCGTACGACATGTGTGATCGGTGCCGTTTTCAGGCTTGATGCTTGATGGGTACGGTTTGCTTTGCTTTGCTTACCTGCTGCCTCTGCGGGGGGGCTTTGTTTGGCTGTCAGGGTAGGCGAGTGGGCAGCGCGGTGTGCTAAATCGGCGGCGCTAGAGAAGCGTGTGCAGGAGGGGGAGGGGAGGGGGGAATGGGTACGTCAGCGCCGCTCGAGTGAGTGCCCTTTTTGCGTTGCGTTCGGTTTGATTTGGTTTGGTGGTCTGCTGCTGCTCGGGTGGTGGAGGTGGTGGGAGGTTGGGGCGGGAGCGCGCTGCATGTCGTGTCAAGGTTGGTGTCGCTGCGGCGGGTAGGACTGTTGTGGCTTGACGTGGTGAATGGGAGGGAGATAGGCATCGCCCATTTGATTCTGTCGAGTAGCAAAATGACAGGATCGTTGACGATGTTTCGAGTGTGCTGCGAGAGAGCATCGATTTGCGTGTACTCAATAGAGCCGAGCCACGTACTCCTCCGTAATGGATCGTCGAACGAGCGGGGGGCGGTCGTGCACGACAGACCATTCGAGGCATATCAGTGATGAGGTAGGCGATTCGTGCAAAGACGTCTGAAACTAAGGCGTCCACAGAGGGTATCCGTGGAGATGGACCCTGGAGGCTGAAGATGATGATCGCCAGATTTGGAGGTCGGTCCAGCAAAGCTCTTGAACAGTTGGCGGGATTCCCGCACACACACGATAAGCCCGGACCTACAGACCATACTTCGGTCGCCAAACTGCGCCCTGATGCCGTCCTTCCTGGCTGAGGGAAGGTTAGGCACGACGCATCTCGACAACTCATCGACCGCGCAATATCTCGTACCAGACGCTGTGTTCAGCTGACACAAGCAATCTGCAGCGTCCAGGGGCAATTGCAACCTCAGTTCTGGACGACGCTAGGCCTCCAGTTCTCCAGTCTAGTGGATGACGTGGGGAAGTGGAGAGTAGGATTGCACCAAGTGCCTTGGCCCTCTGGTGATTGCAATGGGCGTCGGAGGTTTTGTAGATCAGCCGTTGAGGCCTTGCCGTGAGTGGAGAACACGACACAGTCATTCGAGGACACCCGCGGGAGATATCAAAACAATACAGCATCTGGCTGCTGCGGCGGCACCGTGGCGCCATTGTCCCAATCTCCCCGGATTATGGTTTGCATGCCTGTAACAATCGCGATTGTCGTTAGGGCCCTGGGCCCATTACTCGCGCGGCCTAGCTAATGGCGGACCGATACGACATCGAGCATGGGCCCACAATAGGCAAACGCATCCGGCCCAAGCTCGAGACAAAAGGACCATCGAATTGCCTTCCAGAAGAAGCTAGAACGCTGGCAGCTCTCTGGAGTTTGCATCTAAAGCGCTCGCACGGGCCAGTGGTTCGAGAGCTGATCTGGGAGTCACATCGTTATACGGCGGCCTCGTCGTGCTCGCTGCCCTCGGGAACTGGCCGATTGCACCGCTTGGAGTGTTGCGAAACTCCTGCGTAGTATGCCCACAGCGGAATTGGGTTGGAATCCGACCCAAGGGGAGGGTCAGGGTAGGAACCATTATTGCGTTCATTATTCCAAATTCCAAGCGAACATCCGACCGCAGCTGCAGCGTAAGCGGCTCAGATGGAGACTGCGTGATAGCCCCCAATTGTTGGAGCTACTGGAGCTGACATGCTGCTTGGCGGCAAGGAATGCTGCCATTGGAGAGAACGACAATCGCGCCTCCAGGCGCATTGTCTATTGTAGATGTTGGAAACTCTCACTTCTCTCGGACCCGTGGTACGACTCGCGGACGGGTCCAGGAACCGAACCGAACCGCGATATCCAACGAGCGCCATCGGCCGCTCCGTACAACGCCAACAGCCGGCAAGCAGCCTCCCGATTGCAACTTCGCACAATAATCCACCATCTGCTCGAGGAGCTGCCATGAAGCGTGGCCAGGCCAGAAAGGTCGAGACAATTGGTGCATTGTGGCCAGCCGTCAATTGGCTCGCTGAAGGCAGCGTTGGTCGAAGCTGGTTTATGCAGTGGTACATTAGCAGTGACGCCGTCAACCGAAATCCCGCGGATGGTATGGCGCGTCCAGGGCTCGTAAGCATACCACGCTGAATGAAGTCGCTGGAGTCACATTGGAGTGGAGCGCGTGCTCCTGTAATGCGGTCGACTCGTTGCTCGACAAGGTGTGGGGTCAGGCGTTCAACAGTACCACGAGATCCATTGTGCGAGTCTTTTGTTGCAGACGACAGGTAGTGCACGACGTCTGCAATGCAGCTAGTGGGACGTTTGAGCATTAATTCATCCATAACAGATGCCCAATCGAGGACTCGGAAATCCAAAATGGAGAGGGGACGAGCATGTTCCTGAGAGATTGATTGTCTGTGTCTCCATATGCGTGACATTTGCTACGCTGGGTGGCTTGGTGTCCAGCTGACAGCCGCCACAATGGCTCGAGAGCCGTGATAGTCATGAAGGAAGCTATGACGAACGCATAATGGCAGAGAAATAGTTGGTTGGTCGCTGAGGATCGGTGGGAGCATCAGATATCATTTTCAATTGAGTGGTGTATGTGAGCTACGAACGAAATGAAGGGATGAGCATGGCGATGCCGGCGATCGGAATCAGATGATTCCACAAAGCAGATCTAGCGCAGTGCGGAACAGCCGAGACAGAAGCAATATTTGGGTCCATCGAAAGCCTCGTAGCTGCCAATCTATTATCAAATGAGTGGAATCACCTCAGTCCTGAGATTGATTGAGACCGCGGTTCGAGCAGAGCAGACGAATGTCGACGAGAAATTGAGATCAGTGGCGGCCCGTACCGCTGTTGGCAGACGTTGCTGCTCAAACCCCGACTGACCACGACATCACGTCAGTGACTTGTGCCGATTCCGAGGGTGAGACGGAAAATAGGGTTGGTGCGACGGTAACGCAAGGGTCGGGCGGTGGTAGGAGTAGCGTGTTCCAAATACATACAAGGCGAGGTCCATTATCGTTGACGAGTTCGAGTCGCCTGAGACAATGAGTTTTGCATTCAATACGGCTCCTATTCTTCCCGAAGTACCATTCGAGGTAGCTGCAGGTAGCCAGAAGATAGTGGGAAAGGTGAAAAATGCTTGGGCACCGACCAAGGCCGTCACTGGGAATGAGGCGGGAGGCTGCAGGTCGGTGTGTCTCAAAGGTCGAATGCCCTGCAGCGGTCAGTGAGCCTTAGAGGAGGGAAGATCTAGCGCGGATTGCCGGTAGCCAGGAGCAGCCGTGATCTCCAGTGCGGCAATCCCAGCCACCATCGCCCATCTGCGACTCAACGGGCTGTTGTGCTTGTAAGCTGTGAAATGATGGGTCTGGCAGGTGCCGAAGGAGATTTGGTGGGCAGGGAGAGGTGGGGGATTAGGGAGGCTGTGGGAAGGGGACTTGAAGCGCCGGCTGGACGTTGTACACCGTGAGGCACTCGGTAGCAGGGACAGTAGCCCTGGTCCCCCAATCTCCATGGGAGCCGCGTTGGACGAAGTGGATACGACATTGATGGACTGGAGGGTGATGGAAAAGCGTTTCACGCAAGATGATGGGCCTGATGTGCGAAGGATGTGCTCCCAGGCTTCCACTGAACCCGCCATGCCTTCAGATATCGGTAGGCTGCGTTCTTTGGCAATAATGGACGAGAAAGATGCATATGTCTATTGCGCGTCGGTTGGGGGCTGATTGGAGGGAACGACGGCTGGCTGCGCATGCTGGACGTAAGGAATGCAACGCGTAGAGATACGGGATTGGACATGACCAGTCGACTACGTAGGAGGACGAGACGAGAAGAGAAGAGAATGGAAGAGAACCAGAGTACTCGGTAGCCTTCGTCGCCGGTCAGCCCCGAGGGGTGGGATTAGGATTAGGACTGGTATTGGGAGTGGGAGTGAGCGGCCGCAACGTGCGAAACACGCCGGCGCTGGGACTGAGATGTCACCTCGGGCGCGTGGAGGAGGAGGAATGTGAAAGCATAGCTACGATTAGTGGGATGGAAGGCCGGCGCGCAGGAGAAATCAGTAAGGGATGATGAATGACGAGAAAAGAGAAGGAAGAAGAGACGAAGAAGAAGAAATAAACGTTTGGGGCTAAACTAGATGGATATATGGTGATGATGGTTTAGGATTGGTGTGGATGGAGAATGAGGACGAGGAGTAGGAGGGTGTAGTGTTGTGGTGTACTCGGTGAGGTGGTGTGTTCAGTGTGTATGGAAGAGAGTGAATGAGTGGTGAATGGTGAATGGTGAATGGTGAATGTGTGTGTGACCTGTCGCGGCTCGAGGTGGAGAGATAGGAAATCGACTAAGCCGAAAAGGGATCGAGGCGAGGCGAGGCTGTGGGTATTGTTATGTCTTGATAGAGAGGAAGGGCAACGAGCGGTGTAGCAATGGTGATCATTTTTGAAGGGTGCAATGTGATGCAATGTAATGCGATGCTATGCGATGGCAGATAGACATAGATGCTGATGGGGGGATGGAGTGGTATGTTCAATGATGAGTGAGTGAATAGAAGGAAGAGTGAAGGTGAATGTTTTGAGCCGTGATTCATGCAACTGCGGGCGCTAGTGACGGATTGGGAAAGGCGTGAGTGTCCTTGGCGCTTGGCCACACATCTGCACGTCACCGAATATTTGAAACCTCTCACTTTCACCATCACCATCACCGTTCACTGTTCATCATCATCATCATCATCATCATCATTCATCTTCACTATTCCTTGCCATTCATCACTTCACTCACCGACAGACACGGAGAAACAAATATCAACGCTCATCAGCAATTTATTCATTCGCTCACCGTCAGTCATCTCATCTCCATCGATCTTTTACCAGGGGGTTCCGTCATCTTTCCAGGGTCTGTCTCTCAATTTATTCTCCCTCTCGCCTGGGTACCTGGGGAGTTGGTACCTACCAGTACGGTACTAGGTACGAGGGTACTTCCCGTACTATTAGGTACTAAGTATACCACCCCCTACCTTTGCTACCCGTATATATACAGTACAATACAGTACGACTCAGTAACCATAGGAATACCTACCACACCCACCCCTCCTCCTTCTCCCTCTTCCTATCCCGACTCGCTTCCCCCCCTCAACATCATCTTCCCACCCCCCGCCATCCCCCAATAATCATAACAAATCTCAAGATGCACACCCTTCTCAACATTACCAGCATCATCATTCTGATTGTCATCATCACTGTCATCATCCGTGATCGTCAATAGACCAACTCTGCACTACTACTTACATTCCCTCTTTACCGGACATGCTCACTTGTGACAGACGACCCCAACGACAACGACATTCGCGACTATCAGAATACTAATAATATTACCACATCGACTACGGAGTACAACCACTAGTCTAATCCATCATCTGCGTCTATCCTTTTCTTCGTTGCATTGCAATAATCCTTCGTCCGCACCAGCCGTTATCCCAGTCGACTCGCTTCTTCAAGATAATAGCAGTGCAATCCAATACAGAGTACATCCCTACTCCCTACCAATCGCTGGTCCCGTGCTCCAATCACACCCACCCACACACGCATTCGATCAACTCTTTCATCTCGTCGTGCCTACCTAGCCTTCCACTCCGTACCGAGTACTATCTTCTGCTACTTCTCTGTGTCTGTCAAGCAAGGGAGGCGGGCGGCTGGACGATTTGGCAGTGGGGCACGTAATCCTCCTCTGCCTTGCCCTGCTTCTATTCTCTCTGTTTCTTTTTTTTTTTCAACTCTTGTCCACCGTCACCGTTCAGGGCCCGCTTGCTGTCATCAATCCTCGGCCATTGTTTATCACTGACCTATGACCTGCACACCTGGTCCACTCGCATAGGTACCCTGCAACAGCTCCAAAACGACCCTACGCTAGTACCCATATTGGTCCTCTTGTGTACGCCTACCTGCATCATTCACCACTCTCCTCACCTGCACTAACCCATCTTGACCTAAACCAAACCAACCTTTATCCCATCTCAAACCCCATCATCACAACTGCTCAGCAACTCTGCTTCTTTCCACACCCACCCACTCCCTCTCCCACCCGGAGCGTTGCGCAGAACCACTGCCCCGGGTCGCGGTGTGCTGGATACAGAGATGCCCGGATCATGGCGCAGCGATCCAACCTGCTCTGCTAACCTCATTGTGACTTGGTGCTTGGAGGTCTCTAGGCGAGGGTTGCATTCGCTCGCGCATCACCTGCCCGCTGCTCTATCTGGTTCCATACGGTGAAGTTTATGCTCATCTGCAGCCTGCCCGCCTGCCTCTACTACCGCCTCAACAGGACGTTCTGGCAGCCGTACTGGATGTGGTGGTTGTTTCGGTGGGCGTGGTAGTAATGGTGGCGCTTCCTCTACGGGCGCTTTGCTTGTCTGCTCATAGCGTCCGACCCATCTTAACCACCTTACCTCACGTAGCTTATCCCCCATGCCCCCCTCCGCTCGCTCTAGAGATACCGTTGCTCTGATGGGCGCTCGGCCTGTGACAGCTAACGGCCCCCTCGAACCAGGGCGCGCCGTCTCTGCTCTATCCTCTTCCTCCCCTCAGTCGCTTTCTGTCATCACTGTTCGCGCTGTCCGCTCACTTTCCATGATTTCCATTCTCTCTCGCGGCCGCCCCGATGCTAAACTCGAGCGGCTACCGGGCCGTGGCGTCAGGACCACCGCCACCGACCGCCTACCGCTTTCTGGGGCGGCCGTAGATGCCGTGCTGACTGGATGACCCCCCCGTTGCCCGTCTGGTCGTGAGTCCTGCAGCTACTAAACCTCCCTGGGTGAGCCAATCTGCGCGGAGCCGGGCACTGCTAGCAAACCTATGATCATCTGTTCGCTGCATGGGTTTATTTACGGAGTGGACCTCTGGGAAGTAGATGAAACATCGCGGTCCCAGCCAGGCGGGCGCGAGCTGCTGTGTCGAGGTTGTCCCCATTCAGCGTCGTGTCGTGGCCAATGTTCCTGCGTCGATGCACGGGACTGTGATGCCTCACCAGACGAGCCAACCATTCCTCGCATCGCCTTCTTCTCAAGGGCCCCGTGGGCAGCAGAGGCCATACATCCGGTGCAAGGAATGCGAGCGCATCGTGGGCCAGAGACAATTCGAGAAAGGATGTGAGCCTGGGCCCTGGGGCAAATCACTCCTCCCTGGCATCGGAGATATAGAGGACGCCGCTTTGGGAAATGGTCGCTGCTGCAGCTTGCCAATGCTACGGTGGTGCTAGAGAATGGCCATGGTCTGAGCCGAGCAATACGCATCACTCGCTTTTGGGGCTGAAATCTTGATCCATCATCGCGAAGGTGCGAGGAAGCTACCTGCTTGGTGGGCATTGCTCCTTTCAGCCAAACAACCCGAACTCGATGGCCCCAAGCCCACCACTCCCCTGTATCCAAAACTATAGCCCTTTCTGTCAGTCTTCACCCATTGTACTTCTACCTCCCGGCCTCGTATTCTTGTTTCCACTCGACCCTCTCTATCTTTCATGATCTCTCTCTGTCCCTTCTCCCTGCCTACTTCCTCCTCCCATTGGCCTCTCGATCGCTGATATCACCCTCCCAATCGTCCTCCTCGTCTAGGGTCTGAACAAGGGGAGAAAGGCCGTTCCAACTTTCACCATTCGGAGAATTCTTTTTGGTACACTACCACCTCATTTCCACACCCCCAAGGACAAAGATCACGGGATACGCGACCCCTAGCGAGCTTGTGCAACAAGTGACCAGAAGGGGGAAAGGGTCCATCTGGATATCAACAACAAAACGATCATTGCCCTTTATCTATATATGCTTTACGATCTCGGCGTGGTTGGTGTAAATACTTTCCAATCCTCTCCACCATTCAACAGAGTCGGTGGCCTGATTCCTATTTGTTACCCTCTCGCGGATCGCATCCCTCTTCACCGATCTGAGCAGGCTTCGAAACCTGCGGCGGAAGCAGACCTGACGCCAGAGTATCGGTGTAGACGACATCCATCTTCCTTTCCAGATCCGCGAACCCGGCCTCCACGCGCAGATCGCTAGAGTCTTGTCGACAAGTAAGAGCCCCCGCCGAAACAGCCACTTTCGACGCATTCGGCGCCACATCAATTATTCCTGGCGGCCTGCAGAAATAACCTGGTACGTTTGAGAATAATTGCGATGCAGACCGCACCCTCCCATCGCAAGTGGCAGGAGACTGACAGCTCACAGCAAAGCAAAAAGAATAAGTCCTGCGCACCCATCACCCCAACGTTGCAGCCGACCAGTAGCCAGGGTCGGGACCTGTACTCTGTCTGTGCGCGACTCACCCTCCTCGAGATTCGAGATTTGAGATCTGTGTGGGGACGACGGGAAGAAGCAAAGTGCACCATTCGGTCTGGCAGTTCCGCGCTTCCTGTCAAGCGTTGTAGCCTTAAGGTTTAAGGCGCCGTGGGGCCACCTGCTAGTGCGTCAACACCAGGAACAAGATCCTATTCGATAATTGATAAATTATTGACACCACCCTCTCAGTAGAAGCAAGCGAGCGCATAATCCTCCCGACGACGATAACGACGACGACCGCGACGACGAAAGCGACCATAGAATCATTCCGATCGCATTGGCAGGCGCAGTTTGTCACCGCCATTCGAGCCGCTCCGCGATAACGCCCGCAAGTGCATCGCGAATCGTCGTGTCGGTGTGTGAGCAAAGCTCAAGACTCGCGCGCATCAACAAAACCAATCTGCTGGATAAAGTGCGCATTACTTTGCGTGTCCTGTCGACCCAGGCCCGCGCTTCTCCAAGCAGCCTACGCCCAGCTTAGTAGCATTGACGGACTAGCAGCCACCGGACACTCGCAGCGGCAGCGGCAGCTAGTTGAGGATCAAAGCCCTGCCCTTGTATTGTACCGGCTAAACCGCCCCAGATTTCCCTTGAAGCGAGCCAACAACGGCAATCAGTTACCCTCCACGGCGAAGGCCAAACCCTTTTTCGACCATCGCTCGCGCAGCTTGGACCTGTCCCGTTGCGAAGAGCGACTTGATCGGATTTGCCAGCGGCCCCTTCGACGGATCATCCAGGATCGGACTGGGCAAGTGAGTGAGGTCAGCGACGGCAGCTTCATCCAACTCTCTATTCAGCAGCCAAATTATTTTCCTCCCGTCAGCAACAACAAGGACGTTCGCCACTGCCGGCGCCGTTGAACTGCGGATCCAGTGCGTCGGTGTCGAGGGCAAAGCAAGTGCTCACCTTGCGGCGTGAGACTCGCGCTCCATTCGTCTCGCTACCCTCCCGCAGTGCGGTCGAGGGAATTACGTTTACCAGGGCCGTTACAGGAAGAATCATAAGAGTGCTGCTGCGGCTGCAATAATGAATCAAGGTAAGTCAGCCTTAAGCAACAACATATGCCAACCCATGTCCTCCTGCTGCGAAGGAGCACAAACCCTTTTCTTCTCATTGCGCACACACCTCGCACACACATACACACACACACCACTCTTCTCTCACCCATAAACCGGCGCCCTTCTCCGCATTCCCACCATCCCCATCGTTCCCGCATTCCTCTCGCATACCTGTCTTTATATTGGCTCGCATCGCTTACGCGCGACTGCCTTTCTTTCCTCTCTCCATCGCCCATTGCTACACACTGTGGATCCCGCCGGTCCACCGATTCTGCCCGTCGTCTGCTCATGTAGTGCACTCTTGCAAGCCCTTCCCTCCAAACACCCGATCGCGGTGCACCTTGTACGACAACACCTCCACGCGCGCTTTTCTTGCGGGCATTCCCTCTATCGACGGGTGCACGTTGTCCGTTCTTGTCCCACGCCTGCTCAACGCACGCAGGTCTGGCTCGGATTGATTGGCTGACGCAGAAGCATAAGCAGTGCTCCAACCGCCTCCTCTGCCATTGGCACCGGAAAACCCCTTCTCGTCGGACCCAGAATGCATCGACCATATTGGTGCACATGCACATCATCATAGTTCTTTCGTTCCCGAGCTACGGCGCGACGGGACTCTCGGCCACTCATCAACCGGCATTGCCAGTGCGCAGCCTGTGAGTTCTCATCTAGGCCGTTACAACCACCGTCCCGATTCACTGTGAGTACCTCCACTTTCATTGGCCCCTTGTGTTCCGGCCTGGCATGGGCATACTTCCGCAGTGTTGCCTTGCCCGGCGGCCTCCCCCCCTCCCTCCTTAAGCCCAGATCGCTGCTGGCTGTCGACGCCTCTTTGCCTGGGTGCTGCCCAAGCTTTGAGATTCCACAGCCGCCGAAACAAACACGTCGTCGTCGTCATGCCCTTCATCGGTGTTGTCGTACACGTCCCAGATGCATGGCGTACCTAGCTCTCCCAGCGAGTCGGTCTGTCACATTGATCACACGACAAGCCTACTGGTAGTGGCATATCGTCCCTGTCCGAGTGAACAACATACACCGTGCCACCCATTCCTCACGTTACACATCGCCATCGTTGGCACCAGTCTGCACGATTTGCATTTGCTTCTCTGTTGTCGGGCCCACTGACCTCCACTCGATAGGTATTCTGGACAAGCCCTCTCTGACAACGGCTCCGGGTCCATTTCCACTTCCCCCAGCTCCAACGCCTCTTCGGCCCTAGCCTACTCCACCTTCTCTACTCCTGCCTACTCTGGCAACATCGGGCTGGGAAACACTTCATTCAACGTCCCTGTGCCCTTCCAGTACGGCAGTCTGTCTTCAGTCCGAAGGAACTCAACCATGTAGGTATCCTCTTTGTGGCGCGTTCGTGCCTGTATTCCCTCAGATCAATGCATGACAGCTGACCGCGTTACGATAGGACAGATCAATCGTCGTCGGCTATGCTGCCGCCAACACGATCACCAGGGATGAGCAACCACCCCGTGTCACCGTCGGTTCTAGGCGGATCCGCCAGAGATAATTATACCACATCAACGCCAGGCTTGCATCGCCATCCTCACACCTTGTCCCCTCGCTCCGATCTTTCTCGATACAGCACACTGCCACCAGAGACACCGAGGAGTGTACTGCCGACCACCATGCCGCTGTCCAACACCCCCGGCTATGGAGCCGGCCCAGTGCTAGCCTACGGCGCCCAGCCTCAGCAGTCGGAAAGTCCACCGTTTGGTGCACAGGAAACCTTCCACGAGATGACATGTGAGGGAACGACCGTCACTCCTTCCATCGAAGCCAAAGTCGACAAGGGCTTCTTTTATTCCCCGGATCGCGTCTGGACGTGCTATCGGAGGAACTACTTCGCAGTCTCAGTGTCATTCACCTTGACCCCCTGGGTGCAGAATGGCCGACTATATATCAATCGAGGAGGCAAGACCGAACAGGTCCAATCTCTTGCCGTCTTTCTGGCTGCTGCCGTCGATGGAAACCAAGGGAAGCCCATCGAGCTCATCCAACATACACCCAAACGCGACAAGGGACCACAATTGCAAATGAAGAAGGAGCTTCTGTCACCGACACCACCAGGCAAGGCTCACGAACACAGCGGCTACAGCCTCAGCTCCTTCCATCACACGGCTCTTCCCGGCCCGAGCCTTCCTCTGCAGAACGAGGCCGAGGCGGCACATCAGTACTCCCCGACCAGCCACGCCAACAGCAACTTTCAACACAACTTCGAGCGCATACAATTCAAGTGCGCCACAGCAAACAACGGGAAGAGACGGGCCCAGCAACAGTACTACCACTTGATCGTGGAGCTTTGGGCAAATGTTCAAAATCCCCGCGACGAAGAACCGATCTGGGTCAAGATCGCTGCGCGCTCTTCACAACCCGTCGTCGTCCGAGGCCGTTCCCCAAGCCATTACTCGGGAGAGGGACCTCACAATGCCAGCAATGCTCGAGGCGGCGGAGGTTCCAACATTGGTGGACCAGGCTATCCGGGTCTTGGCGCCAATGGATCAGGGTATGGGCCGCCCTACAAGAATGGCCTTTCCGGTGGCGGCAACAGTGCAATGGGCGGCGGTATGTATCGTGGCAATACATATTCTCTCGATCCGAGCCCCGTGGCCAGCCATGTTGGGAGTCATTCGGTCAGCTCTGCCAGCTCCCTCAGCGGAGGGCCCGTCGATGGCCTTGTTGGCGACCACCACATGCACGAGGAGGAAGACACCAAGATGATGGAAAGCCAGCAAAGTTACCAATACTATCCGTCCACGATCTACGAGAACACACCCATGAAGATGGACACCACCGGACTTCCCCTTCCAGAGCGGAGGATCAAGGAAGAATACCCCGGTCCCGCCGCACTCGCTTCTGGCTGGTCGGTGGGTAGTTGCGGACGCTTTCAGGGCATGGAGACCAGCCGTGGATACTACCCACCCGACGTCCACGCCCACGTAGGCTACTGAAGCCGAGCATAGCAAGTGCTGTTGACGAACCTCCGGGCATTGAAGCATGCTGTCGACTGGAACAGACGCATTGCCTGGACGCACGATGACTTCTCTATTCACGAGCGGCATCATGCCCACCACTACCAACAGATGAGCGACGCCACACCATGCATTATTACCCCACCCGACTCCCCTTCCCAACGAGTATATCTTACGAGGCCTATATCTTAGTTCGACCGAGTATCATCATCGGATCCAATCACAGGTTCGCTTGGGCCGGACAGTGCACAGACGTGATTGCTTGCAGCGCATAAGGGCAATGGCGCAAGGATCAATCCTCAATCGACCGGGATGTTGGCTAAGGCGTCTTAACAGAGGACAACTATTGCGATCCTCTACTACTATCACGACCGACACGATGAAACGCTCGCCGCCTTACTGGATTTGGAATCCCACTCTCTCCTCGCCAGTGACGCGAACCCCGACCAAACTCAATCCTCCTCGACCGCACACCCTCACAACCGACCATACACCATCTCGTAACGAACCCACCCTCGATCCTCACGATCCTATAAATTCGACAGCGCACACACATAATGCATATTGTATCTGACAGATCCGAAACATACCCTTTCGTTGTCGTCGTGCACACTCAGCGTGCATTACCTTTGCCATCTTCCATACCCCCGCCGTGCTTGATCGAGCAATTGTCATGTATTCCAGTTGGTCGATGAGCGTATTGTCCCTTGATGATTGTCCTGGTCTATTTCTCTTTTCTCCTGTCTGTCCTGTTCAACATCTTTTATCTTGTTTTCAACATTATCTTAATATACCTATTTCCCTTTTCTGCTTCTCTTTTCCTTTGAAAGCCCCTTGTCACGATCATCTGTTCCCGCGTCGGCGTCGCCATCTCATCAATCAATCAATCAATCAATCCATGTAACTTCACCTCCTTTCCCCTTACGGCCCTTGATATCTTATCCTCCACCACATCTCCCTCTCCTTTTCTCTTTTTATTTCCTCTTTTCTCTTTCCTTTTCTGTAGTCCAAAAATTTCTGTAGGTAGTTAGGCAAAACACATTCCAAACCCGGACATGGGCTGGGCTGGGCTGGGCTGGGCTGGAGCATCCATGCATGCAACAGCGGTATGAACCAAACACAAAACGATTAAAACCTCTTATGACATGACGGTACGGAACGGTACGGGATGGGCGGGCGGGAAACAAAAAGGTGTAGGCTATTCTAGGCTAGGTAGGCTAGGTTTATCAAACAATGGGTTCTTCTTTTCTCTTCTCTTTGCATGGGTATTTTTTGTTTTTTTTTTTGAGATGATAAAATGATAGTGCTGTTAATCTTTTTGGACATTGTTAGGTATCGGGCTATGGGTTCATGGGTTGGGGTTACGGAAACGGCGTGCTATGGTAAAGGATATGGGATTTGTGTTTTCATCCATTTTCTTATTTTCACTTTTCTGTTTTGCCTGGTTGTTGTCATGCGAGGGTAAGGGGGGTGAAAGGGGAGAGGGAGAGAGGGAGGGAGGGGTGGATTATATAGTTCTACTTTTAATAAAACTTGATGCTGTGCTTTTTACATTTCACCCTTTCCTCCCTCTCAGTCCCTTTGATGAGCTGTGATAACGTCTTTTCGTTCTACGCGCCCTTAGTCCTTTGGCTTCTAATATGAGAATGCTGAGGATACAAATCCACACTTGTCACTTTTTCACTTCCGAATGAAAAGGATCCCAGGCACGAGCAGCAAGCATTACGACCACTGGAAACCTCTCGAGTGTTTGTCCTTCGTACACGCCAACAGTGATCTGCGTTCGTAGTCCCGGCTTTGGACTAGCAAGAAAGGAAAGGTTAAAGGGGAAGAGTGGAAGAGTGGAAGGGGGGTGAGGAGATACGATATGCCTGGTCTTCTGATGAGGCTTACGGCACTACAAGGGGGTGTGGATGGGTGTGCGGAAGTGGGCGTGAGGGTGGTATATGTCCCACTCAAAAACTTCATATGTAGTCCATGAAATGCAAATGAAAAAGAAGACCCAGCAGGGATGAGACACTGGTGGTGAAGAGTCGTCAAGTGTGATATTGTGTTGGTTCTGCTCGTGAGTGGAGGAAGGAAGTTATTGTGTGAGGTTCGCGGTGAAGTTGGGGACGGGTCGGTGTGGAGTGTGGGTGAAGTTCAGAAGTGGAGTTGAATTAAGGGTGCAGATTCTTAGGGGCTAGAAGAAGCATAGAAATAGATAATAGGGGAGTAGTTAGTAATTAGAAGTAAGTTCTGATATTTATCTAAATGGTATGGTAAAGAGGGAGTTGTAGATAGGTCAGATTTAGGGGGAGAATTACCTTTTAATGTCTTGGTATAGGGTTTATGGTTCTGCTGCTCATAGGTGCCTAGGTAGATCTCGTTGGAATGGTAGGGAAGGGGTGTAGTGGAAGGAAGTTATTACATAAGGTTTGTAGGTACAGTAGTATTATTAGGGATATTCTAGTATAGAGTAGGTAAAGTTTAGAAGTAGAATTAAATTAAGGGTAGGTATTCTTGGGGGTTAGGAGAGGTGTGGGAATAGTGGGGGAGTAATTGGTGATGGAAAGTAAGTTCTGATATTTGTTTGTAACGTCTGGCAAAGAGGGAGTCGTAGATGGGTGACTACTACGCATGCTGGGTTCTCGAATTGATGGAGGGGAAATGCGTCGGCGAGGGAAGAATGGCGCTTGGACCTCTATTCTAAAGTTTCAAATGGGATGGGAAAAGGAGATAGTGGGATGTATTTGTTGTGATTTCTAAATTGCGGTGATTCAGGGTCCGTTGGAGAGTTATAGTATGACTGATTATGGGCTGCTCACTCCTATGGTATTCTCTCCTCGGCGATGTAACGGTAGTACCCAATATTAAAAGAAAATCCAAAATTAAATCACTTTGTCAGTAAAGGCGATGCAGCTAACTGCAATATGTACACCTGTAATCAAGCAAGTGTGTTCTGTCTGGGCTTTCTCTTTTTGATCTCACATGTGGGCGTAATTGGCGTCGAGCAAAAATCACATCTTCTATTTGCAAAGCATGCGTCTATTTTTTGCTGAGCCACTAGACTGCTTCCTGTGTCTTGTTGCTATTTGATGATGGACATCGGGTGTCGTGAAGGATCGGTATTTGATATTGTGGTATAGCAGATCACATGTTAGGGGAAAGGCACTAGGCACAATTCACCTACATACGGAGGTCTATCGACAGAGAGAAATATCTACTTATTCGACCTATCCATCGATCCTGGGTCATGCCTGTGATGCTCCCTACTTCAGAGGCGTCTATACACGACAATATGGCTGGTCGATTTGTAATAAAGTCCACCAAAGGTTGAAGAGACGGTGGCGCGATAGGCCTGGTAGAGGACATCAGAGGACGAGATTGCTCTTTGAAATGATTACTGGCTAGGCACGCAGGTGCACGGTGCTGGGATACTTTGAAGCTTGGTAGCATCTATAATTCACCTTACAGTAAGTGCTATGAACCCTAGTGAATAATGTGCACACCATTTTCACTAGAGATCTCTTTCTATTCAGAGTGATAGTCTTTCACTGTCCTTGACATGCGCACTGTTAATCAGGCGACGGCCAATCGTGGCAGACGTCCTAAAGCTTGGTCAACTGAAATTTCACTCTGATCTACGATATGAAAGCACGACCGTAGGTCTGTAAAAGCCCCAACTACTGCAAGTATTCAACCAACTTACAACCAACTTAGCGACCACTGTCATCGAAGGGATCTACCAATTCCACAACCTATCCCCCTTTCATGATCTCGACTTTGATAGGTGTCAAGAACGGAAGTATATATTCCAATAGGAGCGAAGATAGATCCGGCAAGAGACAGCGAGCAGTATCTGCCCTTCTAGCAATTACTAAATCCTGCACTCAGCAGACATGACCGACCAGGAAGTCACCGCGTGTCGCAATGCCCTCTTCGTTTCCGATCCCGAAGTCGAACGCAGGAGGGCAATCAGTGCCACAGGAGCGAGGGCTAGGGGCACCTGTGAGTGGATCAAACTCAACGAGCACTACCGTACTTGGCTGGGTGGCAACAACAAGGATGGCTCACGTCTACTGTCGATATCGGGCGGTCTAGGAACGGGCAAGACGATGCTTTCCATCTTCCTGACATACGAGCTGGAGAGGCACACGGCAAATATGGATAACGCTAATCTAATCTTCTTTTTCTGCCGTTCCCACGACGAGGCGCGCGACACGGGGACCAGCCTTTTACGTAGTCTGGTGCACCAGATTATCACTAAGCGGCCACAGTTGATCAAGCATGTGTTGCGGTACTTCAAAACACCGAAATCGGCACAGGAGACACTGTCTTCCCGGTTCCATCTGTGGAATATCTTCAGTCATCTGGTTGCAGACGAGGGGCTTGGTATGATGTTCTGTGTGCTCGACCAACTGGACCAATGTAAAGACGGAGACTTAAGCTCGCAATTGGCCGCTATTCCTGGCCATCCGTCAATAAAAGGGTCTTTCAGACTGTTGCTTGTCGGCCGAGACTTCCCCGAACTCGAATGGTTCCCAAGGATAATAGTGAACAAGAAGAGTATTTTCAACGATATCACGCTGTTCGCGTCGGCCCGAGTCAAGGAGTTAGTAAGCGTCCAAGGGTTCAACAATGACTTTCGAGGGTTCAACGAAAAGTTTCGACATCTCATGGAGGCGGCTCTCATTCAACGCGCGGGCGGGAAGTTCCTGTGGGTGAGCGTTGCCATGAAGGTACTGTCACAGAAGCAAACCCGCACTGAGGTCTGGGAAGCTCTGCAGCACCTACCAACGAGTCTCCCTGCGATGTACAAGTACATTTTGCAGAGCATACCGACTGAACAGAAGACTATCAGCCGTACAATCCTGCTCTGGGTGAGTATGGCACAGCGTCCTCTGGGTTGGCTAGAGCTGGCGGAAGCTGCAGACACTAAACCCCTGGGCCCAGCATTCTGCGACGCAATCAGTTACTTGAAACCGCTACTGGAAATAAAGAACGATGAGGTTTGGCCGACTCACCGTTCGGTGCGAGATTTTATCTTGCAAGATTTCCCGAGGGTACATCCAAAGCTGTTTCGCTGTGACCCGTTTCGCTTTGACCCAGAACAAGCTCATTTAGAGATACTGCAGGCGTGTCTCGACTGCGTCGCCAGGAATACCTTAGGAGACGGACCTCGGACTGCCAACGGGACATCCAATTTGCAAGAGTCCCCATTGATGAGATATGCAATGGCACACTGGGCTGCACACGTTGAGGGCTGCTCGCCGATAGGTGACAAACTCGTTCACAGGTTCCGGTCCTTTTTCGAACCGCATTACTTTACGCGGAGGGGATGGTGGACAACTTACAGCAATTGGGGATGCACGGAATCATCTGAAGCACTACCGCTCCTACACATTCTATGCTACCTAGGCTACGAGGTATTATTTCTAGATGCACTTCAATGGGACGAGTCGAGGTCGGGATCTCTCGAGCGTGTAAATCGCGAAGACAGCAATGGAAGGACGGCGCTACATGTGGCTGCTGAGAATGGAAAAGTGGCAATAGTCAACGCGCTGATTGACAACAAGGCATACGTTGACGCAAGGGACAAAAGTGGTCAGACAGCGCTGCACATAGCATCTTGGAGAGGAGACGAGGCAATAGCAGCGCTACTAGTGAAGAACGGAGCGGACGTCAACGCAAAGGACAACAATGGGGAGACCCCGTTGCATCGCACAATTGCGGGGGCGGCACACGTCCGTGATAGGTTGGCTCTTGAACAGGCACGCAAAGATGCCCTGATGGGAGTAAGCCAAAATGACAACCCTTAGTAGGGCAGCTGGGGACTAAGCTAACGCGACAGTTCAGTTGCTCAAAAGTTCTTAGGCGTATTGACTGAATGTAGATTCATGTCATCGGCTGCCAGAGAACGTGAGCATATCTTCGCGCCTACCTAATGTATGAGAACTTCTTAGAACTCTACACACAAGCACTTGGCATTATTGATCTACGGTGTCAAGTGCTGGGAGCCTAGATAGCAGTTGTGATATTAGGTGTGACTCGATGGCTTGTTACAGAACAAAGAATGAAATCATGTACACTAATTCATATAAACCTTAATCAATGATGCTTTCAAAAACATTCAGTCTTTCCTCAGCAATCGTTGCTTCACCCTTTTATGTCAGCCTGATTCTTTTCATGTAGGGTGTGTCAAGCTTACGAGTAATGTTGAAATAAGCTCACTCCCAATTCACACTAACCATAAGCTTAGCGAAGCACGGTCCGCGTGCATAAGTACAAAGCGGCAATGAACAGTACACATGTTACTTGAGATAAATTGTGCAAATCAGTGTACTTGAGCGCATTTAGAAACAATTGTGACTGGTTTGGCGCAGGGTCATCCTAGCAACATGAGCGCCCCAGATGAAGCTTGAAGTGATTTTAGCTCTCTTACTTGATTGAACTTATGGAGAGGACTTGTAATTGGCTGTGTGAAAGGGAGACAATAAAGAGGCTTGCTACAAATATTACTAGAAAACTTGGTCGAAATTGGCATGATATTGGCATGATACATTATACACTGTAGGTACATTCATCCTTTTCTGCTATCCGGTGTTCGAAAAGACTGGGAGCGCTACCACAGTGTGACATCATTTGTACTCAGTATCTGTATTGATTTTCTAACTCATAGGACATTTATTCAGGGTAGTTGGGGGATGCTAGTTCCTGGACTGGAGATGTCTGATTATAGGAACCTTTGTATTCCAATGTTCCCAACTGAGTCAAAAACAAGATAAATAATCCTTGGTGGTCTCAAGCCACTATCTTTCATAATCATAATAACGCTTTTTGTTATTATCCTCTTGCATCCGCAATACCTAAATAAGGGAACAGTGCAAGTTGATTAGGATTTCAGGCCTTGGATGAAAACATCGGCGGGAATATATGTGTTCCTCATTTCTACTAGATGTGAATAGCTTGTCACTTCACGTTAGTTATCGAAGTTGGTGTATTTTCACGCACGAGATATGTCATCAGTCTCCAAATAATAATTCAATTGGATGCATGCATGATTCCATCAATCAGCTCGTCAAATATGGTGCAGGCAATATTCCAACACTTTAGCCTTTAGCTTACGACTTTTCGTTGGTTTTCATAAGTCTTACCACACCCATACTCAATGCCAATATAAAGTGTGGTAAACGGTTGATCTTGTATGTTGGAGCAATATGGGTGTAGGTTTTTGATGTCGAACTGCGAGCAAGTTTTTGAATAGATTGCAGGACAGTATGTAGAGTTGCGAGGAGACCTGGGGTAATTTCGCAAAGTGACTGAACTTTTAGTGACGAGCACGAGTAATGGTATTGTGGCGTCGTTCCGAGATGTGGCTGATGTGTGGTCGGAACCGGAAAGACGTTTGGGAAAATGATCAGATAATGTAACGATCGGATCAGATAAAAAGGGGCCGGCTGATCTTTAATCCGACATCCCGGTACTTTCATCCCTCCCCAGCTCTCCGACCTTTATTCTGTTGTCGGATACAGCTTCGCATTGTTGGCAATTTTCCAAATAAATTACGCCCTCTGGCTTTTCGCATCTTTTTGGACTGCTGAAGATGGCCTGGCACGACAAGGACAGCTGGCTCACTGCAGCATTCGCCCCCAACATCTCCACCATTTTGATCTCCTTCCTCGTTGCTATCACGCTTCCGATACTCTTGCACCGTTGGATTTACAGGAGAGCCACACCTACTACACTACCCACTTTCCTCTTGATTGGACCCAGCGGTGCCGGAAAGACTGCTCTCGCTACTCTCGTACGTCTACCCGTTCTCTGGCACCTCCGCCCGCCACGTTGCGAGTACCAGACTAACTTGCCTCTCAGATCGAGCGCAGCTCCGTCGTTCCCACCCACACGTCCACGGCTCCCCTCTCGATCGAAACCCTCCTCCCAGAACCATACGTACCCGCCTCTGCGCACTACCGCTCCGCCGGCGACCCCGCCTACGAACGAGCCCGCCGCTTCCTCCTCCTCGACACCCCCGGTCATGGCAAGCTCCGCCACTTCGCCACCAAAGAGCTTTCCAACCCCGAAAATGTGCGCGGTATCATCTTCGTTGTCGATGCTGCCGCCGTAGCTGACTCGGCTGGTCTCACTGAGTCGGCGGAGTACCTTCACGATGTGTTGCTCTCGCTGCAGAAGCGATACACGGGTGCGAAGACGAGCAAGGGCCCCAAGGAGATTCCCGTTCTGATCGCAGCCAACAAATTGGATCTATTCACTGCGTTACCCGCGCACCTTGTCAAATCACACCTCGAGAAAGCGGTTTCCGCCGTGAGGAAGAGCAGAGCGAAGGGACTGAAGGACAGTGCCATTGCGTTGGGCGGTGGTGACGAAAACGCGATTGAGGACGATAGGGAGAACGAGTGGCTCGGTGAGGGTGGAGAAGGCGAGTTCGAATTCAGGCAGATGGAAGAGGTGGGAACTGGCGTTGTGGTCAGGGGAGGTAACGTACTGGGTGACGGGGGTGCGGATGTCAAGGCCTGGTTTGAGTGGGTTGGTGAGCAATTGTGATGGCTTACAATCTGCACGAAGACATTTTGTTTATTCGGGGGTTCCAATCCGCCGGCCGGCGACACTTCCCGTGCTGCCCTAGGCTGGGGATATGTCAGTGAAAACGCAGGTGCACCACATCCACACTCTCCCATACTCTGTACAGTAGATCACACCGAAACAATCTCACACCACACGAGCACCAAGATACCCGTACCATTACATAGACATAATACAAAACAAGATTTAAACACCACGGTCCCAAGCTGATTCATTGTTGGCAACATTCGATTACTTGCCAACCCCATTCATGAGACGTAGTTAGCCCAAATGACTGAGCGGAGGAGTCGGGGCTGCGTGATCATGTCATAAATCGAATGATGAAAGACGGTAGACAGAGAGTAATCGCATGGCTACTCATGTAATTGTGATACCTAAAAGAAATCAACTATAAGCTGTACGTAAATTCCTGGTTCGACGATAGACAGATGTGCCTAAAATATATTTCCCCAAACCAAAACTTCGTACCTGGCATTGATATCTACATGTTCCTCCTTTAAGTTAAGTGCAAGCTAAAGCCCCTAAAGCATCATGTCAATATTCTGTTCTCGCTTCCTTTAGATAAAATGCGGACACAAATTCCAACCTCCTCAAAGAATGACTATACAATTATGAATTCCAAAAAGGTACTCCACCTCCCCATCTCAATATCCAGTAACGACGTGATGCCGCCTTCTTTGTCCCCATTAGCCCGCCCTTCCACCAGTCCCCACGTGGTGAATTTGCGGGGAACGCAAGGGCCCTCCCTGTCTATCTTTAGCCCACTAGCCTCTTCCGTAGTTGCTCCACTCGCCGCGCTTTACTGCTTTGAGGATGGAATGGGATGGGATGAGTTCTGGGTTGTGATTAGATGTACGCTTGGACATCGAATGGGTTTGAACATTGAGGACATAGAGAAATGTGACTCTTTCATTCATTCCCCAGACACTTTAACCAAAGGCTCCTAATTTCTTGAATGGATTAAACTGCAGAACCAGTACTTGTCGAGGAAGCCAGACCGCCAACCCATTCCATGCCATCTGTACCTTCGTTTGTGCCGTGTGATTGTCTGATCTGTGAGAAGAGTACATGGGCGTTATTTAAGCTACACCAGAAGCCTGAATGTAGGACTCCTCATCTACCACTTTCCCACGAGGAAACATCACACGAGTCACTTCGGCATCGAAACCAGAGAAGTTTAAGAACGATACGCAGGGTATATTGAACACAAAGAAAAAGCCTTTACATAGACCTAAATGACACTCCACACGCATGTGGCTCTCACCCCAACCCCCAGTAATGAGAAGTTTATGTTTGGGTATAGAAAGAAAAGATTAAAGTATATACACAACCACCCCTAAAACCTCCCACTTTCCCGCCTACCCACACCGAGACCGGAGTACCCCTTATTAAACCGATCCGCGAGATTCGTGCCCGAACTCCTCGCATCCACGCCGCTGGCCCCCGTGAAACCAGCGGGCGTGCTGATGCGCTTCAACGGGGAGCCTTCGCGCTTCGTGGGGCTGCCGGCTCGTCGTTCGCCGGCGCCGCCGAGGCTGTGGCGGGAGCGGCTGTCGTCGCGGAGGTGGTTGGCGCTTGCGGATTTGCGGAGGGGGGACGCGGCGTGTGAGAAGACGCCTAGGGAGCCGCCGTCGCCGCTGCCGCTGCCGACTTGCGATTGGCGGAACTGGGGTTGGCGGAAGGGGTTCGGGGTGTGGGATGGGCGGATGGGGGAGGAGAAGTCGGCGCCGGCGGTGCCGGTGGAGGTGCTGACGTAGTTTGAGCTGGTGGACGGGCGGAAGGAGGGTGTGTTTTGGGCGAGGCGAGGTTGGAAGCTTGGTTGTGATGAGAGGTTGTCTGGATCGTACTGGGAAGCGTAGGCTTGATTTGGGTTCGTGTGGAAGCCTCGCTTGATGATTGTTGTAGGCGTATATGTGACGACCTCCGAGGCCAACTCCCCACTGCCTCTGACGCCGACGCTGGAGTCCCGGCTCTTGTGGTCCTTGCTGATGGTTTGGATCCCAACATCTCGTGATGGCCTCTGGAATGCAGGGTGTACAAACTTCGTGTCGTACTCGTGTAGGACCTCCCGGTGAATGATGGCGGAATCCTTAATCTGCTGCTTGAATGCGCGCTGGAGGAACGTGAGTTGCACGGTCAACACCGCCGCAACCAATATAGTCGTAACCACTCGTACGCTGGGTCGGGGGTCTAGCTTCTCAACAGGGAGGTTGGAATAGTAGAGCACGACGTGAAGAGGACTAAATAGGCAGAACAGTTGTAGGCACAGCGGATTCGGGTCCCAGACCGCGATCTCCCAGACATCACGCTCAGCATCCGGGTGAGCCCGAGACTCGGCGGAGCCTGCAGACACCATGTTCTTCAAGAAACGGAGAGGCGATGCGGTCGAGGGTGAAGAGTCGACACGGACGCGCTGGGCGGAAGGGGTCGCGGGGTTCATCTCGATCGGCTGCTCGAACAGTCGGTAGTGTCGCTTGCGATAGAATGTGTAGAAGCCGTTGAGGAACGACAGCGTAGCCAGAATGAACACCAGCATGCCCGCCTGGATCTCATTAGCGTTGTACACACGATACAAATCAGTTATTTATACATACAAACCACTTCAGCCATCCGGCTCCCCTAGCCTCATCGTGGAACACATCGTCCTCGATGCTGGTGTTGCTTCCGCCTGTATTCGCCTTCGCCACCACGAACACCAGGTTCATGCCCACGCCAATAGACGTCGCATAGTCCTTCGCGAATTCATCCCAGTCGCTGCTGTTCAGTTCCTCAGACGCCCACATCAGCCAGTCCCATGGGTCGAGGTAAGCCTTGATGCGCTCAGAGAGCGGCGCGCGGCGGACGAGTCGGGGCATCGTTGTATTTGATCGTCCTGAAAACGACCCGTACAGCAAGAAAAAAAATCCGAGAAATCCGATACTTCGTGGTTAGTTTGGCGCTTCAGACGACCCGATTACTCCATCACTCGGCGATGAATATTATCGTCGCTAAGGAACAAAGGCGAGAATGACAACGGGGCAACGAGTGTATACAAACAACAAAAGAAAGCCTAGCTGGCCGCGGCGGACCGACATTTAGCCGGAGTTGGCAGCCGCCGCATGACGAGTGAAGCTCCGCCCACCCCATGCACACCCACCTCGATACCAGGTAGCTCTCGTTGCCATTCATCAACAATTGCAATGGCTACAGCGGCGCAATACAAGGACCGCCAGTTCCTCGCGGTCATCGGTGATGAGGTACATCCCTTACATACTCTCTTGTCATGTCGATGCGTTGCTAACGTTGTTGTAGGACACGGTAACTGGCCTGCTACTCGCAGGTGTCGGTGTAAGCCACGCAAGCTTCGATTCGCATATGTACCTCGTAATGACAGTTTGAACCAGCACGTCACGCAGCCGCCGGACTCGCAGAAGAATTTCCTCGTCGTAGACGCAAAGACGGAGAACTCAGCCATCGAAGCTGCGTTCGATAGGTTCACGACCGAGCGCAAGGATATCGCGATCTTGCTCATAAACCAACATGTACGTTCTGCCGGTGGGAAGATCAGATGCATTGTGTAGCTGGGTTTTCCCTTAGGATTGGGGAGCTTGAGTGTTAATGAGGGACAATAGCTTGCCGAGAGGATAAGACATCGAGTCGAGACCTACACCGCCGCCTTCCCTTCCCTCCTTGAGATACCGTCGAAGGACCACCCGTACGATCCTGATAAGGATAGTGTGCTTAAGCGTGTGAGGAGGCTGTTTGGAGAGTAAATTATGGGATTAGCAAAGACTCATGCGAAGAGTGCGGTGTGATGCCCGAAAGATATTAAGTTAACATATGCGATTACAGAGATAGCAAAAGATACCAGTCACAAGCAAGCACTTAGTTGGCACATATCGTCCATTCCGTCATGATTTCATTGCTATTGCGTCTTCCTCCGTATGCTTCCATGGATTTGTAAATATGAATGCCGATGACATCGAACAAAGAAGAACGCTGGGTATCGATTTCCAGCGCGAAAGAGAGATTTGAAATGCAGAATAAAGCTTCCCCCACAGAGTCCATCATTACATTGCTTGCAGTCTCATCCACTTGCACATGCATCCCCACCACGAAAGCAACCCCCCCTACAGCTCGTTATGAATAGGTATATGGTGGCCCAACACGTTTACAGCAGCACCCGCCAGTTTGAATTTCCGCTTGACGTTGACGTTCTTGAAAGCATTCCCAAGTTGTACAGGCTGAACAGGTTGTACAGGTTGTGCAGTTTGGCTAGATCTACAGACTTCTCTCAGAACCGGTTATCCTGTCGTCACTTGGAGCCCTTTGCGATACCGTGGAGTGTTTACCGGTGGAACTCGACGTGTGCAGTCAAGCAGGTGATCTTATCGCCATCCTTGGTGTAGACATCGGCCAACACGGAGTACTTGCCCTGTTACGACGTTAGCGCCACCGCCTCTTCAATCGAGGATTAGAACGACATACCGGAGGGATTTGGCTGGGAAGCTCGACATCCTTGGACAGAGTCATCTCGCCCTTCTCGAGCGGGCACTTGAGGTCGACATTGGTAATGGTGTCGCAGAGGTCGGCTTCCTGGTTGATCAAGGTGATGAGGCCGTACTTGACCTGGACATGGACCTTGGCGCCCTCGTCAATCTTCTCCTTGAAGTCTCCAGTAGCCTTGATAGTAAGGGTCTTTCCGCTGTAAGTGCATGTTAGCAATTATCCGGGCAAGCTTGTTAGACAACTATAATCTCCCAACTACACCGTTCACGGTGTAACGAGTCGAACGTAGTGGTTGCAGCGGAACGGAAAAAACGTACGCCTCAGGAGGGTTCGGTGAAAGGTCGACCTTCTCGATCTCGAGGAGATTGTCCTTGGGGTCGGCGCAGAAGAAGAGAGGGTTGCTGCCAGGGACCTTGAAGTCCTCGTTGATTCGGATCTGGCTAGGACCCCAAGAGGGCGAAGCGGAGACGGAGACCGCGCAGACGGCGGAGAGGAGGAGAGTGGTGAGCTGCATGGCGGCGAGGGTGTAGTATGTGTGGGGAAGCGGATTTGGAGTGTGGAGAGAGGAAGAGAGAGACGACAAGTGAGCGAACGATAACAGACGGTCAAGGTCGATGAGGCTGGGGCTGTAGTGGATGGGGCGAGCGAGGCCTGGCCCGTGCATACGTGCGATGACGCCGATTTAAAGGTCACGGGGCGAGCGAAGTTCCTCCGATGTCCAACTTGGAACGACAACTCAAGACTCAACCTCATCCGTGAGGGAATTACTATTTTCAATAATACACCCAACAATGCATTCCAGCTTTTGAAATTGCATATTCTCGGCTTACAAAATTCCCATTGCGATATCTCGTTGTACACTAAATGGAAGTCATTACTGCCGCACGGAGTTGTAGTTCGGGATTGTTGCCGTGTTCTCTACGAACTAATCGAAACGGGTTGATGTGCAGACACCGTTGAATGCAGCGTCTCTCTACTCAGGTTTTGTTCTCACTACTGTCCATATGGTGTGTGATTCGTCTGCTGTCGCAGCTCAGCAAAGCTCACTCGTGGCTTGCATCTGGCTGGCCTGAACCAGGAACCATACGTGGCGGAGTCCTGATTTAAGGCTCCACCCGGGCGTTGCAGAACGCGTAAGGTCTACGAATGAAAGATGAGATCCAATAAGGTGGTTCCATAGCCACCAGATCTCACGTTCCTTTCCCAAGATCTAGAAATCCTGTTGTCGATCATGGAATCTCTCGCCTCGCTTTCATCGCATCACGACCTTTGCCAAGACGCCGTCTCTCGTGAACAGCCAATAGTACCTGATAGAAACCACGATCAACAACTTCCAATCTTTGATATCAATTTCTTTCGCTATATACTTTGACATTTACACCCACTTTGTTAACCGGTAATGCAGTGCTCTAATGACGCGTATGCAGTCATGCGATTCAACCTTGCATCACTGGCGTTTGGTAGCGTAGTTCATTCTGTTCTGAAAGCGTCATCTCTACTGAGAGCAAAAGTATCAATATGAGCTATATAAGGGGATGGATACCCGCTTTGAAGATGCAGTGGTTACAAATTTCCTATGATTACCTCTCCAACCATGTTCTATCTTTGTATTCTACTTTTGGCTCTTTGCAACAGTTCAAGTGCTGCTCCGTATCCAGGATGTCCACCAGACGGACCACTTCTGCCTCGCCCGACCAACATAGCCAATTCTGAAATAGTCAAAGCAGCTACTGGCACATTGCAAGACTCCCTTGACCGAGCCATCGAAGGGCAAATTCGCAGCGGGTTCATTGTGGAGAACACATCATTCTCGATTGGCCTCATTTCCCATGACGACCCTTCAAATGTGCCAATATGGGAGTACCATCATCGAGGCTCTGCCAACACAAACGGTACTAGTCACATAGATGGCGATACTCAATATCTTGTGGGATCAATCTCGAAACTCATCTCTGATCTCGCTTTCCTCCGAACGGAAATCGACCTCCAAGCACCAGTCACTGAGTATCTCCCACAACTCGCCAGTAACTCATCAGTCATATCTTGGGAGAACATCACCCTGGCCTCGCTCACAGACCATCTGTCAGGCATTCCACCCAATGGTGGATTTTCAGAATGGTACTTTCTTCAACCTTTGCTGGAACAGCTTGGGTTTCCATCACTGCCCATCGATGCTTATCCATCCTGTGGTGTTGATGGTTTGAACAAGCCGTGCTCTAAAGAGCGTAGGTATATGTCCTGAATATCTTTGTCATCTCACTAATCCTTTGCAGAGTTATTCGAGCAGCTCCTTACAGCTCGTCCTGTGACCATGCCATATCAGCGTCCTGTGTATTCGCAACTTTCCTTCACACTGCTGAGCTACGCCCTCGGTGCCCACTTGAACAAATCGTACGAACAGCTCCTCGACGACTACGTTATCCAACCATTCAATCTCAACAACACAGGCGTCTCACCAGGCATCACCTCCCTCGCTGCCATTCCCCCTGGGCCCAACAACTGGGGCGCACATTACGGCGATGGCACCCCCGGCGGCGGCCTCTACTCCAGCCTCCACGACCTCACTCGCATCATCCAATCCATCCTCGACAAGACCGCTCTCCGCACCGCAACTCATGACCGCCAATGGCTCCAACCCCACTCACACACCTCCTCCCCCTCCACCTCCGTCGGCCAACCCTGGGAAATCTTCAGATCCACAAACCTCACGCCCTCGCACCACCACACCATCGACATCTACTCCAAAAACGGCGGCGCATACGGCTACACCGCACAGCTAGCCGTAATCGACCACTACGGCATCGGCCTCGCCATCCTGACCGCCGGTCCCGCAGACGCCTACCGCATCCTCTACGACGCCATGCTCTCCGTCATCCTCCCCGCCGTCGAACAAGAAACGCGACTCCAAGCCCAGGGGCACGCAGGAAACTTCACCAGCCGCGACGGCCTCGTAACGCTGAACACCAGCATGGACGATGGCCCGGGCATCAAACTCGACGCGCTCACGCGCAACGGGTCGGATATCCTCGCTGCGATGTCGAGTTTCTACTCCCAAGCTCTACCACAGTTCGGCGCGCTGTCTACCGATTTCCGCATCTTCCCCTCCGATCCTACCCAGGAAGGCATCAGTAACGCAACTGGCACCAACGTCAGCGTGATAAGAGAAGACTGGCGCATCAACCTCGACTTCCTGCCCAACTCTGCCGAGACGAGCGGAAGCGATCTCCCCGGGCAAGGCGCGTGGCAGGGTTTTTGCACCGCGTGGCAGACGGCGGATTGGTTCCACTACGGCGGCGAGGCGGTGGATAGGATTGTATTCTTGAGGGATCGGGGGAGTGGGGAGGTTGTCGGGGTTGAGGTGCCGTTTTTGAGGGCGGCGTTGGGGCGCGATGGTGTGTAGTACGGGGTGATGTAGGTGGAAGGTTGTTTGTAGTAGATTTGGCTGGAAACAGTGTATCGGTCATGCAGACTTGATATGTGGTGATTTATGTTGATCGTTGAATATGAAACCATAAAGTCTGTTTTGTCGCTCTCGCTTTAACTTAACCCTTTCTAAAAGAAAAAAAAAAGACTCTTGTTAGATCAAAATATGTCATTTCTATAAATCATCAATCAACCTCTCTCACCGGACTAAACAAATACAAAGAACGCATGAACTGCATATCTGTTGTTGTTGTCGTTAGCATACACCGTACCGTACCGACTAAACTTCGTATGGTAATTCAACGGAACACCTCCTCGCTGTTCCTCGAACTAGTCGTAGGCATTACTATTACAACACACAGAAACAGTTTCTCCCATTATCTCTCATACACACTCCCTTCGTTTCCATTCCCCAATTATCTCTATTTTATCTCTCCACTAGCGTATTTCCCGATCGGGTAATTAATGACGTCATATTGGACGTCTGTAGTGAATACACCATACTTACCACTAACTACCTCAACCACCTGAAGATACAATTCTCCGATATGTACCACAAACCTTTCCCTCTCGCTCTTTTCATCAACCATTCCTCCCCCTGAAAGTCTGTTCCTGGACGGTCACAATTAGTCTACCCCAGGTTTCCCCTTTCGCTTACGATTGTATGACGTAGCACAGTACATCCATACATCGATGACCACACGAAGCCTCACGTCCCTCCGCATCTCCATCCCCATCTTCACAGCCCTAAAACCAGCACCGACTCGCTCTTTTCTATCCCCCTACAACCAATTCCACATCCACCCTTTTCAACACCCAACCCAACCCCAATTCCGCACACAATTTTCCAAAATGTCATGGATGGACACCTGGTCCCGCCCCTCAAAACGCGCCGCCGTCCCCGCGCCCTTGTACCTCCTGCCCACAGGCCCCGGGACGGGCGACAACGCGCGGTACTGTCGGTATTGCGGGAGAGTTATAAGTACGTTCCCCGCCCCCTATTTATCCCCCTTCCTTCCATTCCTTTCCCAAGTTTTCAAAGTGTGTAGGGAGGTTTTGGGTTATAGGGATGTATAATTGACGACTCTAGGCGAGCGCAAGTCCCGCGCGACAAGCGCCACGCAGACGCCAGCGAAGTACTGCTCTAGCCGGTGTCGACACCATCGGTTCGACGGTGTGGATCGCGGGATCGAGGATGCGTTCGTTTTGTTTCTGACTGGTGGTGGTGCTGAGGCTTTAGCTCGTGTTAGTTCTGGTGAGGCGGAGAATCCGCGGCATAGAGAGACGGAGAAGGAGAAGGAGAAGGGGGTGAGGATGAGGAGGAAGGGCAAGGGGGATGGGAGGGTGCTTGTGCCGTGTGGTGTTGTTGAGGAGTTTGTGTTTGGGTGCAGGAAGGATCCGGAGAAGGATTGGGGGAGGAGGAAGAATAAGGCGAGGAGGGGGGTGAAGGAGGAGGGGGAGTGGAGGTCCGTGGATATGGTTGATCATGATGTTGTGGAGAGGACGGGGAGTAGTGATGGGAGTGCGAATGGCGACGAAGTCGTTGATGGCGATCGGTTGGCGAGCCTGGCGGTGAGGAGTGGGACACGGGTGAGGCCTGGGCAGGATGTTTCGGAGGTGAATGGCAGTGTGGGCGGGGAAAAGGGGCGAAAGGAGAAGATTGAGGAGACGGAGGAGATGGCGCAGAAGAGGAGAGATGGGGAGAAGAAGGCGGAGGAGCGAGAACGAGTGCGGTGTGCTGCAAGGAGGGGAGTGGTGTTTGGGTTTGTTCTGGACAGAGATGCGGCGGATCCAGAGACGAGGAAATGCGAAGCCATCATGCAGGGGCAGGTCGTTGAGCCAAGTTTCGCGAAAGGAGAATGGGCAGTGAGGTGGAGAGAGGAGTAACTTGGGAATGTTCTATATTGGACATTCATTGTTTCATTGTAGACTAGGTATGTAACAGTTATAATATGGCATCGAGCAAGATTATCTACTTCGATAGAGCAATACAGAGCCTCTTGAAATAAGGAAAATTTATCAAACACTTAGAAGATTTCACCCACAAACGTGACATATTCGATGGTGCTAAACTAACCCGAACCTTTGGCTACAAATAAATCTGGACCATGGATTCCAACAGAAAAAAAAGGGACAATAGAAATGTGTCATTCCAGAGAAGCCCGGATCTACCACAGAGCTCTTCCTGCCACTTGCCATACCCAAGTTCAAAGCAAGACCCCAAAAGCCAATGGTTGAATAACAAGTATTGACAAATACTTCTATCGTCTTTAGGAGAATGGTGCAAGCAATACTTGATTGTATTGACTAGAAGTAAGTTCAATCAAGTCAAAGAACCGTGAATGATTCCCCTCCGGTGAGGACTAAACAGGTAATAGAGAAGCTCCCGGTAAATAGGTATGTTTCCTCTTCCAGCTTCCTTCAATAATGGCATTCAACCAGCAGTATTACGGAATCACAAACTTGTTGAGCTCCCCCTTTTGGAGAGCACAATCCCATGTATTATTGCTTTGGCATAAGTACTTAATAGAACCCGTACGGCCCTCAGTGGCATCTCAGCGGATTGCACGACGTTAAAGCAGCTACAGCATTGTCTCTTTCTCTGCGAAGACGACAACCATGTTTGCGTAGGTCATTGCGTACTTGAGAGGAGTATGTTGTCCGCTCCCCGCTGATGACGACTATCCATGTCTGAAGTACGGAAAGGTGACTTCTGCTGTCTCCATCCCATCATGCATGCGTTGATCATTACCGTGTATGTTGTTGGGCAGGCAACATCGATGGACGATTGGACGAAACCGTGGTTGCGGGGCTTGGCGTGCTGGGGCTCCTTCCGTCTTGGTACTTATTAGAGCCCGCTCCCTCACTGCTGTGACTTCGGTATGGTAACTGACGTTAAAGCAGCTACAGCTATGCCGCCTACAACTTTCCCTGTAGAAAAGGCAGATTGGTTGCGTAGATCAACGCTTGATGAGGAGCAGCATTCTTGTCTACTTTCCTGCTAATGATGACTACCTAATTCATGTCTGAAGTACGGAACTGTGACTTTTGCTCTCTCCATCTCGCGTTGCGTATTACTTTTTTGTGGACAGCCATTAGGTAATAGTGGCCAATACGATCCGATACCATGGTCGCTAGGGTTGGACTCATGATACCAGTAGGTACCTACTTAAAGGAGCCCGCTCCGCCATCCGTCCTGTCTACTTCGGTAGATTGCACTACGTTAAGCAGCTGCAGCCATTCATCTTTCCTGTCAAAGATGATGGCCTTTTTGCGTAGGGACGGATACCTAGAAGCAGCGCCTGTCCACTGCGTTCTAGATATCATACATCGCAAGGCGTGTGGGCAGTGATGAGTCGCATATATAAGCAAAATCTGAGCCCAGAACACCGCCGTCTCGTCTTCAACATTTCGTCTCGAGCATGTATCCGTTTCAGCTAGAGGAGAGGACCCTCGAAACGGTGCTGGCACAAGAAGAAGTGGCGAAAGGAGGCAGTCACGAGAAAGGCATGATGAAAAGGCATAGGAACGGGAGATGATGAGAACAAGTGAGTCAATTGTCAATTAGCCATGCTAACTACTAGACAAACTCTGTTCAAAACGAGAACCATGATTTGCTCTTCATGAAGAAGGAAGCAGGAGAAATGTGAGCTGCTTGCATAGGTTGATTGCACTACGTGGCTTGCAGTCATCTCATGGAAACGAGAAGCCTGTGTACCAGCAGCTGCTTTGATCTGGGAGGCTTTGGGAGCAGAAGGCGTCCTGGGAGCACCTAATGCGGGCCCTCGGCTTGCAATTCAAAAGTGGGGTTAGGTTTGCTACAGAGTGTATGAGCTTTGGTGAGAGATATAGGTCATTCCTGAGCTATCTTTAACTACTAGTGAAAGCTGGAACACATTGAATCAATCACGACGCTGGGCTTCGCGTACAACTTTACATACACGTGTGATTGAGCATTGGAAAGAGGGGAGTATAGGTTGATTATCCTGTGAGATGTATGGACGCTGATACAATTGTTTCATTGGAAAGATTGTAATGACTGAGGGCACGAGTTGGAACGCACGGGATCACGGGTTCGGGCTTCACGTGGAACTTTCTTGCACGTAGAGGGGTGATGAGGTTGCGAAGGGCCTTATACTCCGTAGAGTGAGGAAAGATACATTGATGGGTTACGTTCTCTTCCCAATGTGCATCTAGCCAGCAATTTTATCTGAAGAGGAGAATGTGGAAGATGTTATGGTTGGGGATAGGGGGATGGACGACGATTCTTGGGCATTGAAACATCAGTTTCTGTAGAAAAAGGAAATAAATGTAAAAATATTCTAAGTATGATAAAGCAGTGAGAAATCAATAACACTAAATTAGAGGAAGGTTATTGTATTTCAAATTTTAACTTGGAAGGACATAAAGTTCTTGATGATTGACGAGATACATCGAACTGTCTGAGGCGCCTTGTTGTGACGCCGTTGATTTCCCAAAGTCGAAGTGTGGTCGTCAACTGACGAGCGTTGGCTCCTGGACAAACTCCGCTATCGTCATCGGGTTTAACATTTTTATATTTCAAGCTTCCATAAATACAAGTTTCACACATCAGACGGTCAGAAATGCATGATGGTAGCGGCATGGCATGTGGCACCTTCGGCACTTAGCAGAAATCCCGACTCGCGAAATAAATGAAACAAAATTGCACCCACGATCCCAACCTATCGCGGAGCGCTCCATTTCAAGGCCATGTCCATTACTTTCGCAACCGACCTATCAAACCAACAACAGAAGCAGCGGATGAAGCTCTCGGGAACTGCATATTGCCCCACAACATAAACCCCATGCCTTGATTATGCATCTATGTCATGTCTCGACCCCGACCGTCTGCCTTTTTAAGAGACCTGAATATCTCCTGATGCCGAGCGTTTTTCGCACCTTTTCCAATCTGCACGACCGATTCGGAGAAAAATTCACACCATGTTTTGGAACACCATCGCGACTGGTGCGCTATTGGCGCAGTCTGCCTCGGCGCAGAACATGCTTCGATTCGGATGCTCGCAGTTGACAATCGAGCGAGCGGATCCTCTTGTCAATCCTGGGATGGGACCTTCGCCCCATACTCATCAGATTATCGGAGGAAACTCGTTCAATCTTTCGGTAATGTGGATGGAAGTGACTTGATGGACGAGAGCTGACGATTGCCTAGATGGAACCTGGTGTCTTTGACCCTGTTACGAGGTCTACCTGCACTACTTGCACAGTGAGTCTTTACAAGAGCAAATACGTTTGATACCTTCTGACAGTGATCTAGTACTCTGAAGGTTGTCCACCACCACCACTTCCATAACAACCTGCCCTGATACAAAATCTAACACTGATCTTAGATTTCTCCAACTACTGGACCGCAGCTCTGTACTTCAAGTCCCCAGAGAACGGCACCTACCAACGCGTCCCCCAATACGCCAACGTCGGCATCCAGCAAGACGGCGGCATGACCGTCTACTACATGCCGTACAGCGCAAAGAACAACAAAATGACGGCCTTCAAGCCGGGCTTCCGCATGATCGCCGGCGATCCGACCACCAAGAAGAACAACCGCATCTCCATCTGCCACCGCTGCCTCGGAAACGGCGAGGGCTTCGCGCCGTGCGACAACAAGGACTTCGGCGAGCTGCCCACCAAGTACTGCCCCAAGGGCATCCGCGCTACTGTTATCTTCCCGTCCTGCTGGGATGGAAAGAATCTCGACTCTCCCGATCATAAGAGTCACGTGGCGTACTCGAACAGCGGCGGTCTTGGGAGCCCGAACTGCCCGAGCTCTCACCCCGTTGCTATTCCTCAGGTCATGTAAGTGCATAGAACCGTCGTTGTTGAGAGTGCTACAGCGGTACTGATGCGTTACTGCAGGTACGAGATTATGTGGGACACTGGCCGATACAAGAACGACGCCTGGTACGGCAACGGCAAGCAACCCTTCGTCTACAGCTTCGGCGACGGGTGAGTCCCCCCCAAAACCTGCACCCTGACTGACCACATCACTAATCACGCATCCAGCGTCGGCTACGGCCAGCACGGCGACTACCTCTTCGGCTGGAAGGACGACTCCCTGCAGAAAGCCATGGACGCGCTCCCGAGCGGCAAGTGCGCAAACGCAAACTGCAGCGTCCTCAAGATCCAATCCGCCAAGGACGCGATGGCCTGCAAGAAGAAGCAGCAGGTGGTCGAAGACGTCGGCAAGGATGGCGCGTGGATCAAGGAGCTCCCGGGGGGTGTCCAAGTGACGACGAAGTAAACGGGGGCTGGGCTGGCTGCGTGCGATATAGAGGAGGTGCAAGGGGGGGTTTGGGGGGGCGAGGGTGTATTGTTGATTTGCGGGGTGAATAGATGGGACCATTCGTTTCTGTAGGAGGTAGTAATATGAGAGGATTCCATGGTAATCTGGAAGCGCAATATAGGACGTGCGATTAAGCATTGCAAGCGTCACGCAGGGACCGTGTCATCCGGTACTCTTCTCGATTGGTTCGACCACGGCGATCAGCGTTCGGCAAGTCGAAATAAGCTCTGGCGGAATCTGCCGGGCCCCACAACCTTAATTTACGAGTGTAATTGCTATGGCTCCAGCTATTGGAACGCGGGGTCGCTTCTCGATTCGTTGAGGTTGATTCGGTTTGCCTTCGTGTTACGGGCAAAAACAGGGTAGCTTCGATGAGCTGACCGTGAATGGTGGAAGCGTGGGCGCAGAACATTCGAAGCAGAAGGTAAGCATATCAGTGTCATCGGTGCCTCGAGATCGTGAGTACTGTATTCAGCTCGCTATTCATAGGTTGGAACTTAGTCCTAGCTGCCTCTCAGGGACCCAACGTCTCTTTAGCCTGTAATTGTAGCATGGTCCCTACCCTAGAATCGCAACCGAAGCATTACCGTAGGAGCTTTCGTTCTGTGAGACACGGTACGACGTTACACGTGATATGTCATTGTGTATATGTAGAATTCATGCAACTAAGCCATTCTGTAAAGACTCTAAACGTCAACTTACTATGCGAAGATTCCCGGCCCATATATGTTTTATCTTATCGATCACGTAATGGCTGCTACTCCATAGCGTGCACTTGTCCTGGGCGATTTCTCGTCTTCATTCCGCTGCGATGCCCTCATGAACCAGACGGGACTGTGCGGCATTTGGTTCTTGACAGACAAAGTCTGTATAGAGAAGTATAACATTTGAACCACGATCTGACCATTTGAGGGAGCCATGATAGAGTAAACAGTTTCACGACTCACATGTTTGCGCGCTTGCGGCAAGGAAGATACTGCTATCGTTGCCTCCAGACATCTTCATGCATGTTCCGTCCACATGTACAGACCAATAGATTAGAACATTTCAAGCGGACTTTTAAAGAGCATTTGAAACAGACTCAACACTTTATTAGCAAGTGACGATGAGATCTCAGGACGATGTATGCCAGGCGGCAAAACCGGGCACCTGAAGCTGACCCATTTCAAAAGAAAAAAATCATTATTTCATCAGCTAAAAGTTTAACTAGAGTTAATGTACTTAAACAGTGAGTTTCTATTATAAGTTTAGCAGCACAAGATAATACATTCGACGTTTTTGTGAGTTTTGTGTAATCCTCATGAAATATAGTATGCATCGTTCAAGTATGTTTGAAAGAGAACACTGATTGCAATTGTTCTTGGAAAGGCCCTCGGGCTAAAGCGCGGGAAAGAATATGCGCCACGCCCTACGCCTTATGGGACACGCCTTACGCCTAATGAGACACACCTTTTCATTCTTGGCCAGTCAAAATAATTACACATAAGCATTTCATGTCAAAATCCACACGCAGTATCGGCCACGCCCTTCGAATGATGCCTTGTAAATTACATTATGACTTCGAGAGTCATACTCGATTCAAAATCTAGCCTCTACAGGATCATGAAGAGTACTTAAAATAAGTGCATTCCAGTATGTTGGCTCTACAGGTCTCCGGCGGGTAACATCACCATGAAAGACCCACTGAAAATCCGCTGGGGCATACTCGCTACTGGAGGAATCGCATCTGCATTGTAGGGACACCACAACATTTCACAAGTGCCTCCCCATACTGATCTAAGAAAGCGCCAAAGATCTCTCCATCGATCCCCGCACGCGAGGGGTCGAAGATATCGAACATGAGTTGATTGCAGTAGCATCCTCTACATCGAAAACCAAAGCAACTGCCTTCCTGCAAAGTTGCGATGCACCAAGCCGGGCAAAAGCCTATGGCAATTACGCTGATCTTCTTGAAGATCCCGAAGTCGACATTGTGTACATAGCAACACCTCACTCGCACCATTATCGCAATGCAATGCAATGCCTACGCGCTGGCAAGAACGTATTGTGCGAGAAGGCGTTCACAGTCAATGCGCTGCAAGCCCAGATCCTTGTCAAGGAAGCTAGATCAAGAGATCTCCTCCTAATGGAGGGTATGTGGACACGATACTTCCCGCTGTCAGGGTATGTTCGAGAGAATATCTCGAGAGGCCGCATTGGGGATGTGGACAGGGTCATTGCTGAGCATAGTCTATCATATGCCGGGCTATTTTCCGATGACAAGCATATCATGATCAACCCGGATCTTGCGGGTGGGATTTTGCTTGACGGAGGTATATACAGCTTGACCTGGGTTTTCCAGGCTCTTTGGCGGAAGGACTCACATCATCCCAAGCAACAGCCAATCGTCAAGTCAGAAATGGCGAAATACGGCCCAACTGGCGTCGATGGCATGACAACAGTACTACTTGAGTTTCCCAGAGCCTCGCCATTCGGGAATGCGCACGCGGTGGCCGCAACTTCGCTTGGCTTGTCAAATGATGCGGTGGCTATCGCCAACGATGTAGCAGTACCATGCATTCGAATCCAGGGCCAGCTTGGCGAAATACAGATATTTCCACCCGCGTATCGACCCACACGTACGAGGATCGTCTTGAAAGACGGGACCGTCGAAGATAAGAATTGGCCCCAACCCGGTCCAGGCGTGGGTAGTGGATGGTTCAACGGATATGGTGGTGTTCACTCAGAGGGTGAAGGTCATGGCTTGTTTTGGGAGGCTGATGATGCTGGTAGGGCGCTAAAAGAGGGAAGGAAAGAGGGCTCACAACTGGGCCTCGACGAGAGCGTCCTGATCATGGAGATCATGGATGAAATTCGAGCTGCTGCGGGCCTTCGATACCCGGACGCAGTGGAGACAACGGACCTCTAGGACCGATCTACTGAAAGGACGTTGTTACCAGGCGGAATTGAGTTTGACTTGGTGGCTTAACTTGTTTATTTGCAGGCTTAGCTTGAGGAACCGAATGTACAGAGTACGTAGATCAAAATGAGATTCTGATCGCAAATCAGGTACACAGTGTCCAAAACGGGAGGAAGACGTGTAGATATAGAAATGCTGTGAGACCACGCCATAGTCGCTTTGAAGTTTCATGCCAGAGGATCATTCATGTAGTTTGCTGTAAAGTCCGTACTGCCTCATTCTATTGTTCATGGTACAGTATAGAAGTATCAATTAGCAACAGGGTACTAATCGAAACACAATTGAATTACTTGTGATCGATACAGCTCCTTTAAGCGCGTATAGCAGCAGGCACTCAGAGCGCAGATCCTTGCGACTAAGCCTCGAAGCCATCCTAACCCTCTTTCTCATCGATAATCTGTGTCCATCCACTCTCTTCAGCGCCGTACATGATGTCGGATAACCACTGGCGAAGTAGAGCAGCATGTGGCACAGCGTTCGGATCAATGTTAATGCTATGATCTACAGTATCAATCTGAGACACAGGATTAACGAAAAATGCAGTGCCAACCGCAAACAGGCCCATCAACCTGTCCTCCTTCGCAGCGTTCAAGATTTCTGAGATGGTGATCTCTCTTTCAATGACAGTCAACTCCTGTGTCTCTACGGTCTTGCCATCCAAAACCCAGGCGCTCTGTCGAGAGAACCTTTCTCGTGCGAGTTCAAGGACACTCCGTCTGGTTATCCCCGGCAATATCAAACCGCCATCTAGAGAAGGAGTAACGAGCTCTACTTTGCCCGCTGGGGCTTTCCAAACAATAAAAATGTTGGTTGAGCCAGCCTCTGTCACAATTCCATCCGGACCGAACAGCCATAGTATTTGATCGAAGCCTCTGCGTTTTGCTTCGGCGTGAGCCGGTAGTCCTGGCCCGTAGTTTGCTGCGGCCTTTGCCGCGCCTGTTCCTCCCGGCCATGCTCTGACCCACTGTTGAGTATTGGCTAGCAATTTAAGAGGCGTTGCAGCGGTTGCTGATGGCCAGTATGTAATAACCACATATAGTAAGGCCTCTTGTGGTACATGGTATCCCAAGTCTGCGTCGGTACCAATGATTGTTGGCCTGATGTAGAGACATGATCCTCTGCTGGTATCCTTCGGCAGCCAACGTGAGCCTTCTATCTGACACAGCTTTTTGATGAGCGTACAAAGCTCTTCTGGCTGGAATGCAGGCAAAGATACTCTTGTAGCACTGTCTAGCAAGCGACGACAGTTCTCGAGTGGGCGAAATAAACGAAGCTTCCCATCGTAACCACGGTATAACTTCATACCCTCAAAACATGATGATGCGTACTGTAGCACGTTCGTGGTAGGAGAAAGCGAGAGATTTGCGTAAGGGGAGATGCGCGGAGCGAGCCACCCATCTTTTGCTGTCCATGCCACGGTAAGGAAATGGTCGGTATGTGTCTTCGTTGAAATGGTCGACGTTGGTGGGATTTCTTGGGGGTTATTCGTCAAACATATCTCCAGATTTGATGTTTCAAAAAAAGATGAGCTCCTGACGTTTGGGGCAGTGGTCTTGGATAGTACGTGGCCGTTCGATACAGGAGCCGACCTCACGTTTGTCACCACCGTCATTGCGGTACGAATGATGAAGACAAGCAAGCTGAAATCCTGGAAATTTTCATGTAATTGCAAGCAAGTCCGCTATATCAATTTCCCTTAAAGAAAAGATTTGAAGGCAGATGTACACGACTCATATGTGTGGAGCATGTTTCTTAGGCGTAAGGCGTGATGCGCAGGCGCAAGGCGTAAGGTGCGGTACCATCAGCAACCATCGACCTCGATTGAATCGTCTTGTGTACTGACACCCACTCTGAGTTACAGAGTTCACTCCGTTAACGATCAAATATTACCTTACACGCAGCGATTCCAGATTTAGCTGTAGGAACATGCGCTAGACCACATAGCTGTCTCCTTATGCAGATGGGCGCTACTACTCAAACGAACACAAAGTAATCATCACAGATCTACAAATTCTGAGCTCCTCCAACAATCCTTGATGGTATATGCCACCGATCATGCAAGTAGACGATACCAACCACCCTTTCAACTTTTCCACAGTAAGACATTCCACGCCCACAGCGGACTGCGATTAGGATCGACTAATATTTTTAGACGCGAAAACGACTGATTTTTGTGGCCGGATTGTTATGTGCTTTTAATAGTACTCTGGGTTCATCCCTTCCATCAGGTGCCACAGTCTCTCTGTCACTCTATTTTGGCATCGCAAAAGATTCCATCTCGATTGTGCTACTGAACTCTCTTTACATGGTAGGCTTTGCAATCTCACCTCTTTTCTTTGGTCCACTGAGCGAAGCAATTGGTCGTCGCCCTGTGTTGATTGGCAATTACACTTTGTACACCATCTTCACTCTTTGCTGCGCTGTTTCTTGGTCATACAATGCCCTCCTTGTCTTCCGCCTCCTCGCTGGCATGAGTGCTGCCGTACCAAACGCCGTGATTGCCGGCTTGTACGCCGATATTTTTGCCGGGCACAAGGAGAGGGGACGAGCAATGGCTGCCTTCATGGTGGTCTCGGCCCAGGGACCACTGATAGGGCCACTTGTCTCAGGGTTTCTATCAGTGAACCTTGGGTGGAGATGGACATTCTGGATCGGCTTGATGATCGCCGGCGTTGGATTACCTGTCGTATGGTTACTCCCAGAAACATATGTCCCCGTTCTAGAAGAAAGAATGAAAGAAAGGCGCAAAGGAAATGGGCTGTTGCATGCCATATCGTGCGAAGATTTCGTACATGTTTTTACGACCCTGAAGAGGCCCGGACTTATGATAGTTACAGAGCCGATCCTTCTGCTATCCTCGCTCTATCTGTCACTTATCTATGCAATGATGTATCTGTTTTTTCAGGTTTATCCTATCGTATTTGGAGGTATATATGGACTCTCGCAAGACAAAGTAGGTCTCGCATACATCCCTAGTAAGCGAAGTCATCTCTCTGTTCAAAGCCAAAGAGGATTTGCTTACAATTTCCAGTCATGGCAGGTGTACTCATAGCATTTGCAGCTTTCTATGTATTTGGCGAAATTTGTGTAAAAGCGGAAAGGCGCCAACGTTCCTGGACGCAAGTGCAAGAATTCCGTCGCCTACCACTTGCATGTTTTGGAGCCCTTTGGTAAGTATTTCTAGCCCGTTGTACATGGCTATGAATTGAAGCAAAGTGCTGATGACGTCAGTATTCCAATTGCACTTCTCTTCATGGCATTTACAGCCAATATCAACATCCCTCCGGCGGTGCCTATGGTGTTTTGCGGGATCTTTTTCGGCACAGGGTATTCCTCGATCTTTCTTGCAATGCTCATCTATCTATCGGATATATACAAGCGCTATGCGGCGTCTGCGCAGGCCGCTGCCAGCACCACACGCTCCATTTTTGCTGTCTGCCTGCCTTTCGCTGCGCCAGTAATGTACCACAATCTTGGCGTCAAATTCGCTAGCATCACGTTAGCTTGCATATCAGGAGTTATGGCGTTTATTCCCTTTCTCTTTCTGTTTTATAGAGGCAAGCTTCATGCGTCCAGTATATACGCCGGGTAATTAGTGTCGTGTTTGTTGTATATATGACCCTACAGAGTCTCGGATCACTCTGTATATCACGTTGAGAAATTCAGTTAGCTCATGTTATCCCTAAAAGTCCACGTAGCTTAGAAGCAAATCACAGTCTCATAAACCCTTCCCAGCGGCTGCCGACAGAAAATGGGCCTCAATACTAAAGGAGGCGGTGGCTCGAATCCCTAGCTCAAGTTGGTGCAACTGCGCCTTACGCCCTAACGGAGAGGAAAAGCGTTCTGTACATGGGTCACTAATCAATTTATCAATGAATTGCTAACTTCCGTTGTTATAATACATTCATGGGGCTATAAATTATGACTTGGTATGTGCCGCTGACAATACGCAGCGAGGCTGTCCACCTCATAAATGCCTCACCATTCGACAGCCCTGCAAGGTTTACACTCCAGTCAACCAACCCTCGGCCATTGTCCCACCTCGAAGATACACTCCGTCCCATCCGATGATGGCTATTGCACAAGGCTCACCTCGTGTACATGTGCTTGGTTTGGGGAGTATCGGCACCTTCGCAGCACACTGCCTCGCTGAGGTGCCCGGCAAACCATCTATAACATTAATGTTTCACCGCAAATCTCTCCTGAATGAATACATCCGGAACGACAGGAGGATAACACTAAAGACTCATGAGGGCAGCACGATCTCAAATGGAAATTACGCTTTGGAGGTGTTAGACGAAGGTGCATGGTACCCAACAACAGACTCCGTCCAGTCAGCGACCAGTCGATGCGCACCCGCAACGGACACAATAAAACACCTCATTGTATGCGTCAAAGCTACTCATACAGTCACTGCCCTGCGTCCCCTCTTGCCGCGGCTCGCACCATATTCCACTATTATGTTTCTCCAAAATGGTGGCGGTATGATTGAGGATGTGAATCGGCATCTTTTTCCAGACCCCGGCTCCAGGCCAAATTACATTTCTGGGGTTATCTCGCACGGCGTCACCACGAATTCCCCATTCGATATTACTCATACCGGCTTCGCAGCAACGTCGATCGGCCTGGTGCCCCGTAGCATGCCGCCCCGTAGCATGGCGCTCGTGCCAGGGAGTGCAAATTCAGATTTGCTTCTTCAGACATCATATCTACTTCAGGAGCTGCCTACAGTACCTCGGTTCAATTGTAAGACCTACGCATGGCCAGATATTCTCGCAGTCCAGCTAGAGAAGATTACAACGAATGCCTTCTGTAACCCGCTCTGCGCGCTTGCAGACTCGTCGAATGCATATCTCTTTACTATCCCAGAGACGTGTAAAGCTCTAATGTCAGAGATATCATCAGTCATTCTAGCATTGCCTGAGCTTAAAGGTGTGCCTGGCATTGCTGAGCGGTTCTCCGCAGCTGCCCTTGAAATGACGGTCATGTCTATCATCAATCGTACTAGGAACACAACGTGTTCAATGGTTTGGGACCTGAGAGCGAAGAGAAAAACAGAGATTCGGTACATCAACGGCTTTTGGTCAAGAAAAGGGCGAGAGATAGGCATTCTAACGCCGATCAACGACGAACTGATTGCTGCAATTGAAGCTCAAGAGCTACAATATAGCTAATCTTTGTCTACAGGGTAGATATCTCCAGAAACCGTACTGGGTATGCTCCGTTTCAGCTCTTGTCAAAGACTTTGCTTTTCATTGACACGACGCAATCAAGTATGCCGATACTGGGAACATGATATCTATGGCATTGTCTTTCGCCTCATCGTTTTGTTCGAAACTGTTCGCGGCCTAACCCTGGTATGAATGAGACTGACCAGGCAGTACTTATTGCCACCAAATGTATATTTTACCGGGAAAAGCTGGCTACTTCTCTGGTCTCTAATTTGTGATATTTTGAGGAATAGTCTGCTCCAGAGCTCAAACTTCCACGACTAGCAAGTCCGCTAGCATGCTGGTGGTAGAGAACAGGTCGTATGACCTCACCATGAACTACGTGGTCCTCGACTCCTCCGATTCTCACCGGAGATAGACTTGATGATCTATGCGTTCTGTTGCCGGAAGGATCGCAGCCAATCGGCATTGTCCGCCACCGTTATATTCCAAGTATCATCCGCGTCGCCATATATCAACCGCCTAGATTCTCGTTGGAACATCTCGTCTGTGGGTACTTGTCCCGCGGCCATCTGCTCTCTTGCAAACCGACCAAGATGCCGCGTCAATATATCGATAAATGCGACGGTGTCCTGTGGCAATCTTGAAGTCGTGTCTTGGATATCCGTTCTTGGCACAGCAGGCAAGTTGGTATCTGTGATAAGGTCTGCCTCTTGGCATTCGCCCGCTTGCGTTGATGTCTCTTGAATGAATTCACTCATTTGAGACGATATCTGCCTGAAATGGTCGATAGATGCAGGGTTTGTCGCCGAAAACGGCACTGGTGCTAACGATTCGGCGCCGATGAGAAAAGGGGGCAGAGCGTTGCTTACTTGAGAAGCAACAGCAGCATCAAAGCCATGCTCTCCTTGCCAGTTAAGCATTGTTTTCCCAGCACGGAAATGTTCAGTGAGATGATCTGCCCGCTGTTCCCAGGTCATTAATTCGGCATTGCAGAATCCGCAGCGTGATACAACCGTCATAGTTTCAAGCTTCCAATCGTCCATTAATGGTACTGTATCTACTCCATGAACGTGGCGCAAGTGTTGTATGAGATGATCTTTGCGTCGAAAGACGCGTCGAATGTCTGGATTATTGTGGCAGGCATGATGGTTGTGTGAATCAACATGGTCGGGTTTCGGATTGAGCAGGTCACAGTAAGCACAGTGCACTCTTCCAGTCTGAGGGCGCGTCACTAGAGCACCATTCGGCGTGCATGACCACGATTCTAGACTTAGATGTACTGACTTCTCGTGCCGTACCCAATCGTACTTGTGTCGAAAAGCATCGCAGCAAAACGTGCACTTGAAGATGCGATCTGCCATATTACTGCCCCCATTCCTTCTTTTTGCTGTAACTCTGGGTCGACGACGTGATTTCTTTGCTGGGATACGGTAACTTTTGCTGGAAGCATCCGAAAGATCTGAAGTACCCGACAGCGCAGACGAGCTGCTAGCCCCACTGTCACGACTTGCAGTGGAGGAAGGTCCAGCGTAGTCTTGTAGACTTCCAATGTTGTTGTCATAAGACTGACCACCTGGCTGTGGGACATGGTGTGGATAACTCTGCATAGCGCCATAGATGGCGGAGAGCGAAACTGCCTCGTCTTGCGGCGGCGAGTTTCGCCATCGTTCTAAGGGAAGTGAATTCAAGTCGTATAGTTGTTCGCCAGATGTAGCTGCTGTAGACTCTGCTCGGTTCAGCGACTGTCTCAACCTATATCTGCTTCTCTGGCGAGGCAGCGATTGTGGCTTCTCGTATTGCCCTAGAATCTGTCGTGTCACATCTGGGAGTACCATATGTTCAGGGGATCGGCCTTGTTGATATGGACCAGTTTCTCGTTCTGCCAAAGGACGAAGATTGAAAGAAGTACCTTCGAACGATGTAGCTATATCTTGCGCAGAGAAATGTGGTTGAAAATCCAAGCACGCTGGCGAGAACACTGTATTGAACTCTGTATACAGGCCAGTTTCATGGTATGATTGCCATCCAGAACTTTGCTCACTGCCCGCCATCGGTTATCTTCGACAGGTGAAAGATCGAATCGTTTGTTTGCGGGGACTGCGGTTCCTACGACAGAAAATCGTGAGCATCAACACAGGTGAGGTTTGACGAAGGCTAGGAATGTCTGGTCTAACTAATCAACGACTCACGTGTTACCTTGACCGGCAGAACCGGGCACATCGGTCGCGCTCCGAACTTACCGTCGTCCACATCGATCCAGACCGCTTGGCGGTATTGTTGTTACAGAGGGTTAACACGTCGAGTTGACTAATTGCTAGTACTCGTCTAGATATGTGCGTTCCTTTCACCTTAATCAGCTGCTTTTTAGCGAATAAGAAGCTACCAATGCGCGTATGATTCCTTCTATTCGCTGCGAACGCTAGCAGGTGCTTAACCCGACGTATCAATCATCTGCATTCTGCCAAAGCCCATAGTCCTCAAAGACACTTCGAATGCTCTTGTGCGATTTCTTTGCTTTCATTTCTTGCTACTTCCCATGTTTGCTTAATCGATTGCTTCTTGTGCAGCATTGTGCACATCATAGAGCAAGCGATCCGCATTGTAATATACTTCAATCGTTCCAAGTTCCGTTCCACCGCTAAGTCAGCATTAGCGGCCTGCACCTTACGCCTTACGCCTTACGCCTACACCGTACGCCTTAAGAACTTTAGCCCATAGTTATTCCTAATCTAGACGCATCCGGCGGACCCTCGTCGGCTGAAATTTGGTTCCGGGATCAAAAGGCAGAGAGATCGATGCCATGAGGCTGCAAGATTGCAATTAGAAAATAACGGACCGTTCGACATGGTCATAGCTATGCAGATCAAAATGAAGCACAGTTCACATCTGCATCTAATAGTTGTCCAGTCGCGCCATTGAATGCAACAACAACCTGAGGCCTACTGTTCAAGTCCTAGGAGGAATAACCTTTCCTTCTGCCAACTCAGCGAACACTTCCTGGAAATTTTCCCACGAGTCTTTGTAACCTGTCCATCCCAGTGCCCTGGCCTTGTTCATGTTCGCGACAAGTCCAAAATCTCTTCCAAGAACAAACGCAGCAAAGTCCCAGGTAGCTCTGTCCAATGCGTCTTCATCCAGACCATGACGACTAGCAAGATTCTTCCAAGTGTCTTGTACTTCGGGTCTCTGGCTCCAGCGCTTTAGGTCAATCCGCTGCCTGAGTTTGTTGGGTTTGATTTCCTTGGCATTGAGTCCCATTTTCGCTGCAACAAAGGTGATGGGAGCCTGATCGCCCATCGGTTTGTCGGACTGATCCGGGGCAGAACCGGAGAATTGATCTGCAGGAACACGCAACCCAAAGTACTCGGCGAATTTGGGCCAAAGGTTTTGCCAAGATTCAATGTCTCCGTTAACAGTATTGAATGCTTGGTTCCTGGCACGAGGTTCATGAACCACCCAGTTACAGAATTGCGCATGCAACCTCGAAGATGTGAAGCAGTCGAACGAAGTGTAGCCAACCTCTGGGCCAGGAAATGGCAATGTCTCGCCTATCTCTGCATGTACGGCGGCGTATAGCGCGATAGTCGTGGCCAGGTTCATGAAGTTGCCCTTCGCATACCCCAACACCTCATTCGAATATGTAACATTCCACGGGATTTCATGTCGGGTGCAGAACTTCTGTAAAGAGCGCTGTTGACGGTAGTAGAAATTGCTCGGCGCAGGAGGCTCGGGAATCCATGGATCATCCTCTTCCATGGGTTGCTTTGGATTTCCGAGGTGCACTCCATAATGTTTCAGGCCACAGACAAGAACAATACGCTTCAACCTACGTTCTTTGCGATTGATCACAAAGGACTCAAGGAAATTTTCAAGCATCTCTCCTGTGATCTATTAGTCAACTGCGGGAACCAATGTCATGCATATACGGACCGTTGATGCGAGTCGCCTCATCAGGATCCTCATTTGCGAGATAAGCGGAGAAGAAGATATACTCTGGATCTATGTGCTGAAGCTCTTTCGCCATATCTCTTGCTGAGCTAGTCAAGTCGAGATGGGCGTGTTCGACATGCTCAGGATATTGATCCGCCTTTGACCTTGACAGAGCATAGACTTTCCTCCATCGATTCGAGTCCTCACTCAACTCTCTGACTATTTCTTTTCCCAAGATGCCTAGTTCACGCATCAGTACAAGAACATTCCCACAAGTCTTGTTGGCATACCAGTTGCACCAGTCACCACAGCAGTTGCCATTTTGAGAGAGAACGTTCAATTTGAGGATAATCTGCAGGCGGTTATGTCGGGTCTGCTGGCAATGCTAGCTTATATAGATGAAGGAATGGAGCTTACGATTGGTTCCTGTAGACAAAGAAATCGAGCTTACAAATGCAGGAAGAGCTTCGAGCTCTAAAAGCACAAACTTTTAAATTCGTGATGACACACAACCTAGTGTCGGCGTTCATCTCGTTGATCGGCATGCCGGCATTCGATACAGCTGGCAGAGGTCAGATCAATTGCTACGTTGTCAGTGTCGTTCGCTACTCTGACCAGAGATTACTCCAACAGAGAGGCAGCTGAAGCGGCCATTTGTTGGACTATTACTTCAGGATGTCTGGAAATAATTCATGACTCGCACTGCCTACTCAGAATGCTCACACAAACATAACCGCTGTTCCTACAATTGGTCTTCCCAGGTCTTCGATCTTTGTGAAACGGAAACCTGCGCTCATAGAGGATGTGTTCCATAGATGCTGATGTAGAAACACGTGCTAATAGTAAACGAGGGGCTAGCAAGATATGATGTCATTCGCTACATTCAGGTTCAACCTCCATAATGCTTTTATTCTTTTATTAGCAAAGATACAGTATTAGTCACATTCGATCTCAGAGTACATCAGTATGGACGACGCTAGGTGGAGACAGCATTCTTGATTTTGATGGTCGTGTCGGATTCCATGTACATGAAGTTCACTGTTTGCAAAACGCCTTGAACGGCCCTTCAAGGATTCTGTTCGAAACGACGACGAAAGATTTATCGATGGTTCACAAAGCTTTTAGACATTTTGATCGGGAAAAGTGACCACTCAACCCACATGGCGTTATGAACTTCTCAGCACGTTTCTTGGCACCTGCTACCAAGAACCTGAATTCCAATTGGCGATAGCAGCTGAGAGTAGATAGATCAAAGGCGTAGGGCGTAAGGTGTAACTCTGAGGCTCTCAAGCCATACACCACTGCCATTTTTTAAATCCAACGGCCATTTTGCTCCTAACTTTCAGTCTTAATGCATTGAAACTATCTGGCCCCACTGTTGTTGGCCACGATGATAAATCACGTCAATGTCAGATAATAGCCGACATGGCCTTTATCGGACACACACGCAGACATGTGCAAGCTACTTTGACAAACGAGAGAGCCAAATATGTACATGGAAGGAGTATTTTCCCCGCCACGTTTTCTGGGAAGCGACGAGGATAGATAGAAGGCGATGCCACTTGGGAGAGTAGACCCAATCCACAATCCACTCACTTCAATCACTTCCTGTCTCAATGACTACACCAAAGCTTTTCATGTACGTATATCGTTGAAAAAACAATCTCTAACTAAACAATATCCAGTACCGGAGCTACGGGATACATTGGGGGCGACTTTCTTTACGCCATTTATGACGCTCAACCGACATGGCACATAGCGGTACTCGTGCGGCATAATGCGGGCGCGGAAAATATTGCAAGAATATTTCCTCGAGTCAGAATCGTGCGGGGCGATCTCGAATCTAGCACTGTGCTCTGCAATGAAGTCAGAGATGCGGACATAGTATTACGCAAGTCTTCATTGGCAACTGTGTCCAATCATCAAGCTAATCTGCCAAATCATAGACTTTGCAAATTGCGACCACGAAGGATCGGCCCAGGCTCTGCTCAAGGGGCTCGCTAGGCATAGCTCTGAACGACCAGGCTGGTACATTCATACATCCGGGACCGGCATTCTAGCCTTCGAAGATAAACGCTCCCAAACATGTGGCATTTTACGGGGGAGGGTTTACAACGATTGGGAAGGTGTCTCGGAACTAGTCAATCTTCCCAGCGACGCCTTTCACCGAAATGTAGATTCACTTGTCACCCAGACATATCACACCCCAGAGAAAACTTTTAAGACAGCCATTGTGTGCCCTTGCTGTATTTACGGTACAGGTCGTGGTCCTGGGAACACGAGCAGTACCCAAGTTTATACTCTCGCAACAACTGTGCTAAAGCGAGGAAAGGGAATACGTGTCGGTGAAGGCAGGAACGTATGGCACCAAGTACACATCCAGGATCTGACTAAACTCTACGTGCTTCTGGTCGAGGCTGCTGCATCTGGTGGTGGAAACGCCACTTGGGATGAAGAAGGATATTATCTTGCGGAGAATGGAAGTTTCTGCTGGGGTGATGTCGAAGAAGCAGTATCGAGAGTAGCGTTCGAGAGGGGATACATACCTACATCTCAGATAGACACATTGGACTGGTCTCGGACAGAATCATTGGATGCTAGAGGTCCGTACCGATGGGGATCAAATTCTCGTGGTACAGCCGTTCGGGCAAGACGTCTTCTAGGCTGGGTGCCCAACCAGCTAGGGCTACTTGAAACTATCGACGAAATCGTTGACTGTCAAGCTTGTGTTGCAGGGCTATTGAAATCAGAGCAGACTTAGTACTTTGATAATCTAATCATAGGAGTTTCAGAATACTTAGAGATCACAACAAAACCTGAAGGAGTACTTGATTTTCCATAATGACTGTTACGATTGTACATCGACACGCATCTGAAATCTTATGTAAAGATATTTCGAAGTTTGTTGCAGCTAGCGCAGTACAGTGCAGCTAAATTATGAACGACGAGGTGGATATGCACATAAACATCCTGTTTACATCCCTTTTGGCACAAATGCGCAAATCAACTCTCGATAAGCTGAATAATATGTTTGGTTTTTTTTTTAAGTCGTTGTACATTTTACAAATATTCTAGTTATAAAGTCATATAGAATTCTACTTTTAAAGTATTATAGAACCCCAAAAAAAATTATAGCAAGTTTGAAGACTTTCCATTATATGATACAAATTCTAAATAAGATTATAAAAGTGTTATGGTGAACTGTGTTATTTCCTGATACAAGCGCGAGCGATTTTCGAGCGAGGCTGTGCTGTGCTCTGTTGGATCGAAAATCCCTCACAACAACGACAAATCGCGCACCCACAAAGTTGCCGATACGGGCCATGTTGGTGGAATTCGTTGTCAAGCACGGGTATCTACCACAATAAAATCCGTCAATGCTTTTTCATATTACTATAATTCGATCAGGAACCTAAAGTTGCGCAATACTTCAAAATTTTGACATTCCTCCACATCGAAGGGACATTTGGAGATGCTATAGATACCTGAATCATCCCCTTCAACAGTGACAATTCGTAACATTTACCCTCCTGCCATTTTGATATAGTTTCTTAGTAATGAGTGAGCCTTTTTGACGATCATTCCCATGATGAAAATGCCGCAACTCCATCCCTTTTCCAGAGTCGAGTCGAAGGATTAGGATAGGAGCTACAGCGCCAAAGTCTACTGTCCCCTCCACCACAACATACTCCGTAGCTAGAGATAATGCAGGACGGCTGCGAGCATCCTGTCTTGTGACCAAGATCCACTCTGCGGCACGACAAGACACGATAAGCCACGGATATTTACCTCGCGATGAACCCCTCGACAGCTTCCAATATCTTCATTTCTTCAGGGTCCTATTCTTTGTTGCTTCGCACCGAAGAATGCAACATGGCTTTGGCAGTCTACTTGACGGGGTCGATCAGGAGAGAGGTAGAGACGCTGATGGTGATGATGATGACTTATCTGGGCGGACTGAGCTAGACGATGTAGATGATGATGATGGGATACTGGCGTGTCTCCCATCTATCGGATATCGCATCTTCAATTCGAGACCAACGATCTCACCACCCACAGTGAGTGTTTGGTCCTGAGTATGACTGTAACACTTCCGCGACTGACCTGGATTGAAGCCTCACCAACGCTCCGCCAACGGATACACCTCCTTTGCGAAGTGGCAAGATTGTGAAACTTCCGAATTTCGACAGAGGTTCATTCAGGCCGCGAGATATACGACGAATAATTGGAGTATAATATCTTTGACTTTCGTTCCCCTTGGGATTGCATCGCCGTACATTGGACTCAGCGACACTTGGATCTTCATCTTCAACTGCATCGCAATCATCCCGCTGGCTGATGTCTTATGCAAGGCGACAGATGGTGTATCTAGTTACCTGGGCGAGACAACGGGAGCGCTGCTCAATGTTACGATGGGGAATGTGACGGAAGTGGCGATATTGTGAGTGACCACAGCTCTTGATTTACGATCGCAGTGTACTAACGTACAACAGTGTGTAAGAACTTCAGGCCTTTTTTGTCAATTCAACTAATTTGCGTAGACATGCCTTGTTGCAGCGACAATACACTGTCCTTCGAACGTCACTTCTCGGTTCCATCATCGTCAACATCTTGTTGGTATTGGGCCTCGTTCTTGTCACTGGAGAGTACTACCAGAGGGGACAAGTATACAACGTCCTAGCGACGCGTGTTGCGGCGGGTCTATTGTGCTTGACGACTGTCAGCTTCTTGCTCCCCGTGGGTTCCCCTTTCATACTTTCTGCTCTTTCCGAAAGGCTAATGGGTGACTAGTCGATCTTGAAACTGACCACTGACAATGCTGTGGTTGCACGCGACATGCTGGATCTCGGTAGAGCCATCTCAATCGTACTCATAGTCGTGTACATGATTTATCTTTCTACGCAGCTAAAGTCATCGAAATTCGCCTACAAACCACTCATTCAGCTAGACGATCCGATCATGCCCGAGACAGAAACCGTCGAAACATCCCAGATACGATTGCCTGCCTTTGGTAACAGTTCACTGCCTCCATCCCCAGACATATCTCCACCGCCTGCGTTTGACAGACTACCCTTATATCACGCATCACACGTAACAATCCCCAGCCTCCCCGCCTTCTCCAACACCATCGAAACACTACAGGACATCAAAACCCACCCCTTCATCCAAAAGCTCCTCCCCATCCTCCTCCTCATCACCTCAACAGCACTCATCTCCATCTGCGGCGGCTACCTCGTCAACTCGATCGACCACGTCGTCGACCACTCGCCCCTCTCCAAAACAATGGTCGGCCTCATCATCCTCCCCATCGTCGGCAACGCCGCCGAACTCGTCTCAGGCATCATGTTCGCGTCCCGCAAGCAGATGGACCTCGCGTTCGGGGTGTCCATCGGCTCGGCGCTGCAGATCGCGCTGTTCGTGACGCCGCTTGTTACGCTGATTGGGTGGGGCATTGGGAGGGAGATGGTGTTTCATTTCAGCGTGTTTGAGGTGGTCACGTTGATTGCGTCGACGGTGCTGTTTATTGCGCTCACGCTGGATGATAGGTGTAGTTTGCTGAAGGGGGCGTCGCTGGTTGCGGGGTATACGGTTATTAGGTGAGTTAATCCTACGTGAGGGTGATTGTGGGGTTTGTTGCTGACGTTGGATAGTCTTGCTTCGTATTTTGTGCCGGATATGGATTGAGCATGGGGAGGGTGGCTGTTGGCTCTGAGCCTAAGGGGGAAGTCGGAAATAGTCCCAGGAAGGCTCGTGAGGCTATTTAATTGACTACAGAGACATTTCAGAGGGTAGAATAATATTATACTAAAAACACTGCTTAAGGCTTTACAATATTGCTATTAAATTTAAATTCTAAATGCTATAATATTATTTACAAGATACAACGGTGCTTAGGTGGTGATCATAACAATAGTGGGTGGCCAGGACTATTTCCGACTTCCCCCTTAGGTTGAGAGGTTGGTTTCTTGTCTCTTGTTTTTTGTGCTTATTCTTCCTGTCCAGTTTGTGCGGTTCGAGGTTATGAAACGAGATTGCGATTTTGATATTCATCTGGCATGCCAAAGTCTTTCGTTATATTGTCCGCCTTAAACCTCGTAGAGTCGACTTTTTCAAAAATCATGGGGCAAGCTCAGTATGCGAAGGTTGAATCTTTGATATATTTCCCGCCTTGACCGCTCCTCAGACGTTGAAGTCTTACAGATGCACTACATTTCCTATCTACCCAGACAAGCGAGTGGAAAAAGAAGGTATCGTAAATCGTCTTTATGTCAGTCCAAACGAACAGGAAAAGGAAAAAGATTGAAACTAAAAGGAAAGGGACGCTCTTGTCGATGAGGACATTGAAAAAGACTTTCCCTTGTTGAATATGCTCCCTGATAACACCGTTGATGTATGTATGCCCGCTTTAAAACCCCCTATCCTTATTTTTTACTTTTTCGGTTGCGTACCATTGTATATTATTCTTGTTGAATATGTTGAGATTTATTCTACTGTTGCGTCGTCTAGTTTCCCTGCTTGACCATCCAGGTCAACAAGTCGACCTTGGTGACGACGGCGGTAGCCCTCAACTCGCCGTCGACCTTCTCGGTAACAACAGCGGCAGAGTTCCACTCGAAGAACTTGTTCAAGTCGCTGAGCGAAGTGTCGCGGGTGATCTCGACAAAATCCCGACGGGATCCCTTCTTCTTGCCCTCGCCGCCGTCGATGTGCAGGCGTCCAAGGTCCTTGACGACCTCATTGAGCTTGCGGAAGTCGAACATGACGTCCTCGACCTTGGTCTTGGGGTTCGCGCGGCCGTTAGCAATCCACGAGAGGAGGTTACCGAGGGTGACAATGCCGACGAGCTTGGCCTTGCCTGCTGCGGAGTAAGAGGAGACTGGGAGCTGGTCGAAGCCCTTCTCGCGCATCGTCTCAATGGCCTCGGTGATGGGTGAGTCGGTGGGGACGGTAGTGACGGGCTTGAGACGGAGGGCGGCGATAGTGGCATTATGGAAGGGATCGTTCTTGAGGGAGTGGGATCGAGCGCGGGCAAGAGGAGCCTCGTTGTCTGGGGATTCAGGTGGTGTCGGGGGAAGGAGGTCGTTGGCAGAGAGCCAGTCATCGTCGACAAACTGTGAGAGGTTAGCGATCAGTCTACATGGATTGAGAACTGGGAACATACCTTGCTAAGATAGCTGCGGATGGAATCGGGGCAGATGACAACAACGACATCATCCTCGCCAAGGTTGAGGTCCTTGATCGCTCTGACTGCGGCGTCAAGTGCGCTTCCACTGGATCCACCGCAGAGGATACCCTCCTCCGCGATCAGTCTCCTTGCATACTGGAACGAGGTACGGTCATCGGTCTTGTACCAGGTGTCCACCAACTTCTGCTCGAGAACATCGGGGATGAAATCGTAACCGATTCCCTCCACCTTGTAGCCCTCATTCACATGCTCCTCGTTCAGTTGCTCTGGGAGGGCCAGGATACTGCCATGAGGATCTGCAGCGACAATCTTGATGTCTTTGTTGTGCTTCCTCAAGCCTCGTGCCAGACCGGTGATTGTGCCTCCAGTACCAGCACCTGCGACAAGGCAGGTCACCTTTCCATCGGTCTGTGTCCACACCTCCTCCGCAGTACCGTATTCGTGTGCAAGCGGGTTATCGAGATTTGAGTACTGGTCGAGGATGTGGGCGTTTGGTAGTTCCTTGACAAGCCTGCGTGCGACACCAATGTGTGACTCGGGGGAGTCAAATGCAGCCGCGGTCGGTGTTCTTATGATCTCCGCACCCAATGCTTTCAACACAGCAACCTTCTCCGGGCTCATCTTCTCAGGAAGGGTAATGATCGTCTTGTAACCCTTGACAGCTCCAACCAGAGCTAGACCAATACCGGTGTTGCCTGAAGTAGGCTCAATGAGTGTGTCACCAGGCTTTATCCGTCCTGACTTCTCCGCAGCCTCAACCATGCGAAGTGCAATGCGGTCCTTGACACTGCCGCCGGCGTTGAACATCTCAAGCTTCGCGTAGACCGTAGCTTTGATACCAAGAGACTGGGGGATCTTGTTCAGTCGGACCAATGGTGTATTGCCAATCTGCTCCGTGATAGACGACATGACGACCGGTGGGATCGCTGGACGAGTTGTGGTAGACATTGTGGGCGTTCGAAGTTGGTGTTGATGCGGTTTTCAAGGTGGGGTGACGGCGGAATGGATTGAGGAAGAAAGTGAACGGTAGGAAATGAGATGGGATGGACGGATCAATGATTCTCCGTTGACAACGATTTATTTGATAACTATAGTCCGTTGTAGCAGTAGTGTGGCAAGAATTGTAGCCGGTGTAAAGAAAATAGGCCTACGATTGCGTAGTTAAAAACTTCAATGTCGCAATGGGACGGTCGGTCTTGCACGAACGCGAACGAAACAACCGAAAGCCCGCAGCTAGCCGCCTGTAAAGTTTTTCCAGTCCGATGGCCCCGCGCTAGACCAGAATCGGGCTTGCCGCTGTCTTGCATAACGCCTTTCTTTATTTAGGATAGGTGTCGATCTGGACCACGTGCGGCGGTCCGTTCTGCCCCACATGTTCCCTCTAGCCAATTATAGTCACATGGTGTACTCCTGGCAGTGCATAAGAATTGTAATTGACAATGAAGTAAAATTCACCCTCACATAATTCTTATGTAAATGTGATTCTATAGTTACGCAGAGCTGCAAATTGACTTTCCAGTATGCACCTTAAGTCGTGCCTGAGCATACCTGTGAGTTGGTGGCAGATAGGCAACAGTGCAGGGGCCTTCTGCCAGGCAATCTGAATTGATTGATCCAAGTGAGGCGCTCAGGTGCTCAGACACTCAGCAATGCAGGCCGGCCAAGAGAAATTTGAAATTTGACCGGAACAAAAGAGCTGATAAGCGCTAGTCTATATAGTTCTGCTGAGATCCCATTAAAGACCCTCGACGATTTGTAGGATCAGTATTGCAGCAACTTTTCTGAAGTAGCGGACGCATCTCAATATGTATATTCAGTTCTTACTCAAAGGACTCATACTAAACCTGGCCCGGTATATTGTCATATTTTTCAAATTCAGCTTCTCCGAAAGATTGGGGCAACTGATAATAGTCTTGTGTAGCATATCAGACCCAATTTGTTTGTTTGTTTTAAATGCTTTGATTTTCCTTATAAGACTCATTGAAGCATTCAACCAATTGGATCTTCTACTCTCAAAATACTGGAGAACTTATCATATTGTTATGGCTTCCATGCTCTGCCTCTCAGAAAATCTGAGGAACCTGACGTTGGGGGTTTATATACTCCGGGTTGGGGTGCGCGCGCTGCTCTTGGTGTTATTGTATTTCCGCTGGTTACCTGCAAATACCCAACTAGTACCCGGCCAACGAGGCTCAGAATCAGTTTCTCGGCGATGGACCCAGTTTGAGATGAACACATTACTAATCCACCTCTTCGAGCAATGGCCCCTCTGGTCATACCGGGACATTGCCGCTCGATTACGCTTTATCTGTCGGGAATCAAACGTACCAAGATTCTTCGAACTCTCAGCCGAGGAATGTGAGAACCGCCTACGTATGCTATATGCTCAGTCGCCAGAAAGATTTAGCTCTTGGCTTCCTCCATCACTCTTCGATCTCTCACCGGTGGTTCATACGTCAGAAGCGAGCGAGATTGATTTGATCTCCAGGCTTCAAACAACCTTGTGTAAAGAATGCACAGCTCTCAAACTGGGCCAGACCCACGTGGAAGCATCGATAGACGTCTATGACTTTTGGTCTGGCCCAAGTCCAAAAGGCCACCCTTCTAATCAATCCATTGGCTCTTTGAAGAAGAGCTCTGATTCTTGCTACTGTTGCAAGTTCATGTACAATGCCATCCGCTATATAGAGAGTGCGACACTAGGTCGATCAGAAGCCGACAATATGCAGATACGACTTAGATTCACAAGGGCTAACGGTGAGCATTTTCTTGAGATCGGGACCGAGGACACGTTTGCACGAACACGAATGGTACATCGTGAGTTCGCAAAGGGTCCCTTTTAAGGAGCAATACTGACACGAATGTAGTGGACGATTGGCTGCCATTCAGATTTTGGCATGGAGATAGTACCCTAGGCACAATTGCACGACTGGTGCCGGAAGTACCTGACCTGGATTATATCGCTGAGCGAATTCGATGCTGGCAGACGGAGTGCGAGCTCCGTCATCCCAGCTGTGCCAAATCTAATGACACTCAAGGTCCTTTGCCACCTCGAGTGCTGTCGATAATGAAGCGAGATGCTCAGATAATAGTTCGGCTACAGGATAGCGCAGGATACCGGGGTCGTTATATTGCGCTCAGTTACGTCTGGGGTCGCAAGGGACAATTATGTTTTACATCCGAGTCTGAACCAGGTTTAAGGGCTGGTGTCAACCCCACGATATTCGCGAAAACGATACGTGAAGCCATCGAGCTGACATATGCGCTGGGATATTGCTATCTCTGGGTAGACGCGCTTTGCATCAAACAGGACTCGCCGTCCGACTGGAATGCACAAAGCGCTCTTATGAGTCAGATCTACGGAAATGCAGGACTCACTATCATGGCTGCACGCAGCACAGGCGTGGAGAATGGATTCCTGGAACCTACTACTCCATGCGCGGTCTATTGTGGTGCTGCGAAATTCGAAGGAAGTCTCAAGCCCGTCTTCTTGACTCACAGCAAATTAAGACCTCACCTTCCTCCAGACCCACTAGACCTTCGAGCGTGGACTCTTCAAGAGGAACACCTTTCTCTACGAAAGGTAAAATTTACTTCGAGGCAGATGGAATGGCATTGCCAGTCGCAGAGATTTGAGGAGCAAGAAAGGGAGCAATCTCCCGACAGTTCATTTCTGCCAACAAAACTGCCATATTTCGCAAGTAATGGTACGCAGGAATGGATGAGAATAGTGGAAAACTACACAACGCGACAGATCACATTCAAGAGCGATCGTCTTCCCGCTCTTTCTGGTCTCGCACGTCTCTACGCAGAACAGACTGGATGTAAATACCTGGCTGGGCTCTGGTCGGGCCCAGGCCTCATTGAACTTCTCTTGTGGCTTCGGATGTTCAATGGCTCGGAGGGCTTAGGTACTACCGTCCAGCAACCGCCGTATTTAGCGCCTACATGGTCTTGGCTTTGTGTAGACGCTCCGGTGGCCTTCAAGAATTTGCGAGGTCTAACGAGGGATCACAAGCACATAGCACTGGAATTGAACTCCTCGGTCACGCCCACAACAATGGATCCTTTTGGTCAGACTACTAATGGTCATCTAGACCTTTCTGCGCCGGCAATAAGGACCACAATGGAGATAATCATAGACATGATTGAGTACGATCATTCTACACCATTGGACAATCATTCTGAGTTTCTCCAAAAACGTTTCACGGAGCATATAATGGAACCCATATCTGTTCGTTGGGGTAGGCCGGACTTCTATTTAGACCAGAGCAACTTTGACAAAGGTCTCCAGGTCTATTGCGTGATCCTTGGACACGAATGGTGGGGGAAAGAAGACTACGGGATGTACGGCATTTTAGTAACGCCAATTTCTTTGAGAAATCGGACTTTCCGCAGGGTTGGCATGTTTGAGTGCTTGCCTAAGTTCCGTTTCGGTGATGAGGGGCTTGATATGAAGGAGGTGATTGCTAAGAGAGTGGAAAGGGCGAGGAAGGATTATGAACTTCGGCTCAAATACGAACGCGAGTTCACGTCATGCTTATGTTCCGAAAACGCTAGGGACGCGGTAATTCGTCTCAAACGTTCTGCTCTTGTCATGGAAATGGAGTCTATAGAACGGGAGCTGGAGCGGAAGGCGCAAGCAATTAGAGCGGATGTAGAAATTTTTGATTTTCGAATTTTCTAGAATCTAACATATGGGTTGCTAAGAGTACATATATAGAGCCGAGGAACAGCACGCCCTCGGGCGAGTAGAGGAGTTGGAATGAAGAAGAATTAAGATTGAATATCAAGGAGAAATTAGATGGACTATTCTCTTATTAAAGCTAATACTTCAAGGATAGATGCATTTCCTATAGCGTATTGTGCGCCCTCCCCCCAAAAAAACTCTGTGACTGAGTTTTAGCTGAGGCGCAACCGGATAATTAGGAATTTGTTCATCACAGCGAGAGATATCAGTGGTCCCTTCCAAAGTATCGCTGTAGTTTCAGGGAAGCTAACAACTTGCTCATCACGAAAATGGACTTATATCTCTGAACCCTGTTTGTTTTCCTCAAACTTTGTCCATGGCTTGCTGAAGATCTACTTTGTATTCTGTAGCTAAAATTCTGGTGTTTGTTACATTCTTGTGGGTTGAAATATGAGTTGTACAGGATTAGCGAACAAGATATAATGGGGTGAACCGCCTGCTTGGGGTAAGAATCAAAGATGTCGGGGAGAGAAGATTGACTGATTGATAGTCTCAAAAATAAAACTTGACAGGGTGAGGAAGAGAAGCCCCAGCTTCCTGCAAGGTATCAGATCTGTCAAGACATACAGCTGGGAATGCCATGAGGCCCGTAGGACACTATAACCCAACTTTTCTCCACTTGAACATCCATTCACGCAGTCTCGGATGGAGGCGTCCTGTTATCCCAGATGGCAGCCGCCATTGTGCTCTCGATCCTAGCGCGGCGTTCCTTCTCGACCTCGCCAGTGTTATCGTGGAAAACCTGGTCCATCTGCTCCAGCGTCCGGCCGTTGGTCTCGGGAACAACGAAGTAGACCCATACGACAGCCAATGCTGAGAAAGCGCAGAAGAAGACGTACGTGCCAAAGCCCGTGTTCTGCACCAGCGGAGGAGTGATGAGACCGATGATGAAGTTGTTGAACCAGTTCGACATCGTCGCGTACGCAACACCCTTTGCTCGCAGGGAACTGCTGAAAACCTCTGATGGCATCGCCCATGGGATCGGTCCCCTCCAAAAGAGTTAGCATGATGTTATAGATGGCGTGGTGGGGCAGGAGAGACTTACCAGGTTGCGCCGAAGGTGAGCATGAAGAATAGCAGGAACGCTACGCACACCCATCCCTCCACCTTGTGCGTGTCCCAGCTGTCCTGGAATTTGCCCATGAGGACTGCAATGATGAAATGAGAGATAATCATACAGACACCTCCACCAAGGAGCAATGGTCTGCGTCCGAATCGATCCATGCCCCAGAGCGACCACAGACAAGCGACCACCTGGCAGATGTTAAGAACACCAGACATGTCGAGCTGCATTTGGCGGTTGAGGCCCATGGTGGCGAAGAGGGTGGGAGAGTAATAGATCAGGGCGTTGATGCCGACGAATTCTATGGAGTCATAATTAGATCAGGTTTCTAAAAGTGCTGTTACCGCTGGAGATTACTTACGCTGGAAGAACATGAGTCCAATTCCGACGTGGGTTCGCTTCCAGCTTCCCTTACGGAAGCAGTCGGTGTATCCTAGAATCTGAAGCTTGATACGGCTGCTCTTGCTCCCATCTTGCAGTTTCGGGTGAAGCTTGGCGGAAACCTCCTTCTGGTATGCGACCTCCGACCGGATCTCGAACCACTCGGTCAAGACACGCTGATCCGTAGCAGGGAGACCTCGAAGCTTGCAGAGAACTTCGAGAGCTTCATCGTCGCGGCCTTTGCCGGCCAGCCAACGAGGAGAGTACGGAAGGAATGGCACACCTGCCCCGAGGAAGATTGCAGGAACCATCTGTAGAATGTGTCAGTGATTTACGGCCCATGTTTCCGACCGGAGAGAAAATCGACAAGTTCAACATACTTGAAGAAGAAAGGGTAGTCTCCAGGACCATTGACTCGGAATGAATCTGGTACCGTAGGTAGTATAGAAAGCTGCAACGATGGCTGTGACGATGGAAAGCTCTTGCAACACAAGCAGTGTGCCTCTGATTTCCGGTGGTGCAATCTCAGAGATGTAGAGGGGAGCAACCATTGCCAACATTCCAACGCCAATACCACCGATAAATCTGCCAGCAACGAGCATTCCGTATCCCATGGAACCAGTCTGCACGGCCGAGCCGATCATAAAGATGATAACGGCTACAAGAATGGACCACTTCCGAGATATCTTGTCTGCAAGCCAGCCCTGATTCATAGCGCCTAGGAAGGCACCCAGCTCAATCATAGCTGTCAGGAGGCCCTTCTTGAAACCTGCTCCGGCGGCATTTTCGGAAACCTCGGGAAACACTTCAAGGAACTGGTCCATCACAAGCGTGATAGACACGACACCTTGATCGTAACCGAAAAGGGCACCTCCCATGGTCGCGAACGCGGCACACAAAGTAACATATTTGTTGCTAAAGATTCCCTTGAAGCCTATGAGAGATGATATTAGCTGCTGTTCCTTAGATTGGAGGACATATATTGAACATACCAGCAGGCCCGTAAGTCTCACGATCCTCCCAGACTGGACGCTCAGAGTCACCATGGTGAATTGCCTTCGAAGGTGGCCCCCGTAGACGCTCGACATGATCGGTCTGATGGATATCAGATGTTTTCTCGTCCATAGCTTCTGGCTTTTGGTTGGAAATGTTTTGTACTGGACGAGCAATGGAATCTTCCATATGATGACCAATTAGGGGTCTGATGAACGAAGCAAACTGTTGACAAAAAGGGGAGATGTGAACTTGTCAAGATCAGTTGCCACTCCAGGAATTGATTGGGGATACAATATGCGGGGAAATGAAGGATTTATATACTTACCTCTTAAGATTGTGTTTTGGGGATCACAGGAGCGTGCCCTTGTAGTTCCGATGACCAGGTTAGCCTCTTTGGATATCTTGTTTGAGTCTGGGGATTGATACAAGAACTTCCACTCCCGACCCCATGGTGCATTCAAGCCGCAATTCCATGAATTCTGGGGTAGCATACGCGAGATGGCGCCCCCGGAGAGCCAAGTACGAACTGAGCGTCGCCAGAATGCATCGGAATCCTAGTTCCGACCCTGAGGTTCAAGCACATGCCTGGGCCGGACACACCGAGTATCAACCCCAGATGGAACAACTCCGAGTCTCCGACTACAAATCAACTCAATGCCCCTTTCTTGTTTTGGCTGGTAAATTTAGCACCATTGAAAGCGTTTCGCCGATGGGCCGGAGCAATTTCACAGGACACAGACAGGATGTCGGATTCTCGGCTGATACTCAACCCCAACGACTGACAGGAGCTTCCTTGTAGTTCTAAAGGGAGTTATATTCACACATTAGGATTCTCTTCGATTTTCCCTCATTCTGATGGAGTGGCAACCAGACAGAATCGACAAATGGATGTCTCACCAAGGGAGATCAAGGAATTAAGCGCAAACCGGCGCAGCTATATCACTCAACTCCCCTGTTATACACTCTTTTCTTCATCCCCGAATGATACTGTTTATATGCGCCATAACTTGGGGGAATTGGGCTAGAGTTACAGATGATCTCGCATTGCATTAGTACGGTCGATCGTGTCTCCGACTTCAGGCCAGACTCTTCCTTAGTCTTATAGCCAAAAACCACGCTCCCGTGTCTTTAGTACTTCCGATGGGGATAGGAAATGAGGTGTTACTGTTTCAAAACAGGACTTTTGAAAGGTCAGACACACAGTACCATGGTATAACTTGTTCTTGTTGTATGTGGTATGCTATCGAAGTAATTGATCTACATGTACTTGATGTCATATAATCCTCGCGTAGTTGTTCCCCGCATATTCACATCGTATAAGATGCATAAAATGCTGCCTTTCATAATGAAAGGTCATAGTGTTCATACGTTGAGCCACAATCGGAACCCATTTCCCGAAGACGCCAACGAGAAAACTTCGGACCTCCAGGATAGCACACAAACCCACCTTCTACTCCTACGAGAAAAACACATGACCATCAATATTCAATTAGTGCGGATTATCCTTGACGCGAACGAAGAAAAACTGGTGCTTCTGGCCGAAGAGTTGCGTTCATACCTTGGGGAGGGGAACTAGAGGTTTTCGCCTCAACTCCACAAACGTGCGGGGTTTCCGCCGGTCGCCGACATCACAACTCACAGCTGACAACACATCACACACACTGTGACCCCTCGAAAATCTACCATAATCACACGTCGAGACTTGAAATCAGTTGTAGTCCTGATAGAATCGCGCCAGGTGTCTAGGAGAGATGCTGGAGTGCCGACCATGCCCCCCCAAACAAAGCAACAGCCGAAGAGGAAGCACGTCACAACTGCATGCATCTCATGTCGCGAAAGCAAAGTCAAAGTATGCTCGGCGCCCTTGAGTTCCTCACTTCTATGACTGCCTTGTTACTGACAAAATGTCCTCAGTGTGACGGTGTAACCCCAACATGTCGTAATTGCGCGAACAAAGGCAAGGAGTGTCGCTACCAGGCGGGAGAAGACAAGCGCAAGTATGTCTTTCGCGCATGCATTGTTGATGAACGTAGTAGAGGTATCGTTATGTCGACGGCAAAACTTTAGGTTTTGTGAGCAATGAAGGGTTGAAAGCTGACGCATCCTTGTATCTAGGCTATCTCTTCGAGTGGCGATCGAGCTTCTATCTGCTCGAGTCTCCCAATTAAGTCGCCACATCGAAAGCAATGGTCTGCAAGTTCCAGCCATGACTCCAAGTGACGAGAAAGCACTGAAGCGTGTCTTGGATACCCTTGGATTAGCTCAGGTGGAAACATCACATAGCCAGCAGGAGGGCGAATCTCAGAACGATACCGTGACGCAGCAACTTACTCCAGCATCAGAGTCTCAATCAGCCAACATCCTACCAGTTCAAAAGGATGCCGCAATCATAGACGAAAATAACACAACAAGAGATATTCATACTTCTCCAGGACTCTCAAATCGGAGTTGCGACGAGACCGAGCGAAACGTATCCACGTTCCCAATCCAAACCACGTCCGTGGATGGCTTCCCACTTCAAATCGATAAAGGTGCTGCTGAGTTATCCCCGAATCATCAGCCAATGATGAACACCACATGTTTGACTGGCGATGCTGCGTCCACATGGCCATGGAATGGACAAAACCCAACCAACATCAATATGCCGCTGCCATTCCCGGATCATGTCTCAGAAACACAACCGATCAACGACCTGCCGCCTGTCATCAATGACACCGGGGAGCAGATCCCTACCGCAGGCGTGGACGAGCCGACCCCGGATGAAGAGGCCACAGAATCCGATGTCATGGAGGAAGAGTTAGTCGAACGTCTCTCCTACCGGATGGGCACTCTACAGGTTGAACCAAATGGCCAGATTCGTTACTACGGGGCAACATCAAATTTCAACTTGATCGAGATGCCGGCGTCAGATAATCTAACAATTCACCGTACGGTAAGGAATAACGGAGCCGAGAGCCTAAGTCTGCTGGGATTGAACAAGGAGGTCCCACCAGAAATTGAAGCACATATGATCAATTTGTACTTCACTTGGCAAGATCCCAGCTTTCACGTCGTCGACAGAGCGATGTATGAACAGGCGAAGATGAAGTGGGAGGATGACAAAGAGGATACACCGTATTATTCCGAAGCATTGAGGAACTCCATGTTAGTATCCGTTGTGGTCTTTATCATCAATTCTGTATGACTGACAAGAGGACGCTCGGTGTAGGTGTGCATTAGGCGCCGCTTTTGAAACTCGCTACCACCCCACGTTCGTCACTTTCCCAAAGTCGCTCGCAGACTTTTTTGGCGATAGGGCAAAGGCCCTACTGGAGATAGAGCTCGACTGTCCAAATGTGGCTACCGTTCAGGCAATGGTGGTTCTCAGCGCCCACGACATTGGGTGCAAACGGGATGCCCGTGGATGGCTCTACAGTGGTACGTCTCTGTTTCAACCGCCAATAATTTAACAATCTTCTGATGAATTATAGGCATGGCCATGCGCCTTGCATTTGATCTTGCTCTACATGTCGATGTTTCGCATTACGTTTCAAGCGGAGCTATTGGTGTAGCCGAAGCTGAGTTACGCCGGACTGTGTTTTGGGGCGCGTTCACTGTCGACAAGTAAGTTTTAAGTGCTTCACCCCAGCCGACGATAAAGCATATTAACATTATCATTTTAGCCTTTGGGGATATTACCTTGGCCGTCCTTTCCGTATCAATATTGAAGATGTTACAGTTGGAAAACCTGGCGAAGGCTTTGCGCCCCGGCAACCTGGACAATGGATCCCTTATACTTCTGCAAAGAGTCTGGAGATCCATTCACCAATCCCAGACTATGTCGAAGAGCTGAACAAAGAGCGTGTAACACTCACTGAGATCATGGCACCTCTTGGACATGTACTGTGAGTGCTGACTATTTCCCATGGTTTGTGAAACTAGAAAACTGACCTTCGTAAAGGTACGGTAGCCTGAAAACGACCAGCAAAGCTCTTCAAAAGCTCAATGCAGCAACGGTTGATAATCTGCTGGAGTGGGAGGCACAGCTACCATCAGTCCTACAGGTTGATCTATCCGATTTCACAACACCCTATCTTCCACATGTTTTACTCCTGCAGTAAGTCATTGCCTTACCCTGATATTCTCTCATATCTCTCTGTACTGACGTCTATGCCCTCATTAGTATGCAGTACCATCAAAATCTAATTCACGCCCATCGCCCCTGGATGTCGAAAAGCTACGTCCAGCCGTCCCCGCCCCAAGGCCCCGGCCACTCCCACGCTCGCCAAGTGTGTGTATCTTCTGCTGTCGCCATCGCTAAACTTCTTTCCCTCTACGAATCGCACTGGACGCTCCGACGCATGAACATCCAGGGTGTTTCAATAACCTGCTCCGCCGCTTTGCTTCTCACCTTCGCAGGCATATCTCGCTACCAAGGCCATTCCACAGAAACGACGGCCATGCATCTGAGTGTTTGTTTCAGAGCGCTTGATGAGTTTGGACCTTCCTGGGAAAGCGCAAAAAGGGCCCGGGAGTACCTTGTTAGGTTACAGAGGGAGTGGAAGAATAGGGCGAGGCTAAGCCACCCACTCCCCACCCAGCAGAACCCCGCAGCATTCCGCGGGCTGCATCAAGGATCTTCGTTCATGGCGCATGGGGCATCTTCAAGGAAGAGAACGAGGCATTCAAGTGATACTGAGTCAAGGACTTCAGCAACGAGTTATCAAGACGCATCTCCAGGACAGCAATTGCCGCATCAACAGACGGGATATGGTGCTATGAATGGCAGTAGTGTGCAAGGAGAAATGGATGTCGACTTAGGTTTGGAGTTGGACTGGATGTTTCTCTGGGATAATCAGGTGCCCCGGGGTATGGGGGTTGAGGATGGGATGTATTCAATGCCTATGGATAGGTTCATGCATCCACTTGATCGACGTATGTAGTGTTCAATTCATGTATACTTTTTCATTTTTCTATATCCTAAGTAGGCCTCGAACGTTTAATGACCCGCTCTACATCAATCGTCCTGCATGGATACCACCAGTGATCAAGATGTCATCCGAGGTATGATACGCCGCAGCATCCGAGAGCAGGTATACAACTGGAACCTTCAAATCCGTCCTGTCGCCCATTCTCCGCATAGGAGGCTCATTCTGCATAATATCGCCCAACCATGGCATGCGATCGCAAAGATCCAAAGTCATGTCCGTCGCCATATATCTACAAATCGGACGCGTTTGTCAGCAATTTAGAAACGAGAAATAGACAAAGGTTCCAAAAATTGGAGAATACATAAAGTAAACTTACCCAGGAGAGATGCTGTTGACTCGAATTTTCTTGGCTGCTAATTCAACACCGAGCGCCTTTGCCAACGCGACCACCGCTCCCTTACTCGCGCAGTAGTCACTTGTCGCCTGGCCCTTACTCGCGACGTACGCCGCAATGGAGCCGATCATGACAATGCTTCCACCACGGGGATTGAATTCCGTGGGCTCCTGCTTGTCCATCTGTGCGGCTGCAAGTTGAGCCGCATAGTATGTGCCCAGAACGTTGATGTTCATGCAGCGGGCGACAGAGTCAGGGGCACGCTCGAGGAAGGGTTGGTCGGGGCAGATTCCTGCGGCGGTGACCAGGCCGTCTATCCGGCCAAAGTCTTTGACAATCTCGTCAAAAGTGGCTTTCAGAACCTCATAGTTCGTTACGTCGCTCCTTTTGCGATGTTAGAAAGGATGTTTCGGGGATGATACTGGTGGTAGTTGGACATTTGCCTCGTTTCAAGCGCAAGCAAGTCGATAGGATTAAATTTTGGTTTTGTAGTGCAATAAAGACTTACTTGTAGTAATTGACTTTGACATCAAAATCCTTCTGCAGCTTCTCGAAATGCTCGTGGGGTTTGTCTGCAGCGTCTAATATGGCGACATTTCCACCAACCTCCGCGATAGCAAAAGCGAAAGCAAGGCCGAGACCTCGTGCAGCGCCAGTAATAACGATAGTCCGACCCTTCAGTGAGAGCAGGTCGTGTACAGTGTTTTTGAGGTATCGATTCACATCTGCACGTGGCTTGGTGTCGGTTGCCATTTTGTTGAGGTGGTAGTCAAAGATGTTATCTGAGAGGCAGGAATGAAACTGTAGTTCTCGGAACAGGGAGAATTATCTATTATATCAAGTTGATTTAAAAGAATGGGGCAATGTAGACTAGAGCCGAGGACACGAGGCGAAATGGAATTACATGGTCACCAGACAGCTTGAATATTTCGTAGAACTGCTTTTCCATGTTCCCCGCATTAATTGATGTTCGTTCCAGAGTTATTCCGCTGATTCCGTGGGGTATCTAACTGGCGCGTGAAGAGACAAAGCCTATGGCTTCTACCCGGATTTAGCTTCCGAACCTATTACTCAGTACGGGATTGCACAACCTCACTTCGTCAACACTTGTTCAACACTCCCGTCGCAAGTATTCCGTATGTTTCGGAATCCATAGTGATAGCTTTCCGACGACGTGGACTACAGTTGTTATGGAGTATGATGGCGAGGAGGGGTAAAACTATAAGATTTCACACTGGAATCGCCTCGCGTCGTTTCTATGTTTTTGTAGAGTCTACTTCTTTTCTCTGACCATTTCATATTCCAAAATGTATCAGGAGAATCCTATCCTATCGAACGGTACAACACCTGCCGCTAAGAAGGCGTCTGGTGAGCAGCCGGTGCGTGACAATGACGCTGAAGCTGTCCTTGCCTTGCGAAACTTCATCTTCGACATATGCAATCAGAATGGCGGGGGTCACGGTGGTTCTGCCATCGGTATGGCTGCTATAGGCGTGGCATTATACAAGTATGTCATGCGATACAATCCATCGAACCCTGAGTGGTTTGACAGGGATCGTTTCGTTTTGTCAAATGGTGAGTAAAATCTAGAAATTGGGAATGGCGGAAGTAAGCAATAGGCTGATATATGGGATACGAATAGGCCATACTGCGATGTTTCTTTATGCGTTGAACCATTTGACTGGCTTTGATAACTGGACGATGGATGAGATCAAGGGTTACGGAAGCGCGAAAACGAATGGCTACACGACCATTTGTCATGCTCACCCCGAGATCGAAGTCCCAGGTGTCGAAGTAACGACGGGCCCCTTAGGCCAAGGTGTTGCAAATGCCGTTGGTTTGGCTATTGCGTCCAAGAACCTTGCAGCTTCCTACAACCAGCCAGATTTCAACGTTGTGCAGTCCAGGATATACTGCATGATGGGTGATGGCTGCCCTATGGAGGGAGTAGCACTAGAGGCCATCTCTCTCGCAGGCACTCTCGGATTAGACAACCTGGTACTTCTGTACGATAATAACCAGGTCACTTGCGATGGACCTCTCGACTGGATCAATACCGAAGACATCAATGGTAAAATGCGGGCATCCGGGTGGCACGTTCTCGATATTGAGGATGGTTCCTACGATGTGCAAACCATTGTTCATGCACTCGAGTTTGCTAAGTCATTGAAGGGCAAACCTATTTTCGTTAACATTCGCACTGTCATCGGACTGGGAACGAATGTTGAGGGCACTTTCAAGGCTCATCATGGTGCCTTCGACAAAGACAGTGTTACGAAATCGAAACAAATAGCAGGTCTAGATCCAGCGATCACACACGTCATTCCACAAAATGCTCTGTCATACTTCCGCGAGAGGAAGCAACATGGAGAGAAAATCGAGGCTGAGTGGGATCGCCTTCTTAGTGACTATCAGTCAAAACATTCAGATTTGGCTACAGACTTCACATTGCGACGGAATGGTGACAACGGTACCGAATGGCAAGACATTCTTACAGGGCTGGATGCGAATGATTTGAAAGGTCTCGCAACCAGGGAAGTCAACGGCGTTTTGATTGAGAAGATCTGGAAAGCATACCCTGCACTCTGCGGTGGTGGCGCAGATCTTGTGAATTCCAACAAGGTATCTTATTCCGCAGAAGATGTCTTCCATCCATCAGTCAGTTACAAGGGCCGTTACATCCGCTATGGAATTAGAGAGCACGCCATGGCGGCTGTGTCCAATGGCATCGCTGCATACAACCCAGGGACATTCCTACCTATCACCGCTACGTTCTTGATGTTCTATCTATACGTAAGTACCCAACTATCCCACCACCCATCTGACAGGACACTCACCTTTCTCGATTTTAGGCCGCACCAGGAGTCCGCATGGGGGCACTCAGCCATCTTCCCGTCATCCACTTCGCGACCCACGATTCCTTCGCAGAAGGTCAAAACGGACCGACTCATCAACCCGTTGAGCTTGACTCGCTATACCGAGCCATGCCAAACCTCACATACATCCGTCCCTCTGACGCTGAGGAGACAATCGGAGCATGGCTGCTCGCCATCTCGAAGCAAACAGGCCCGACGATGTTGTCGCTCGGTCGCGATCCAGTTGGACAGGTGCCAGGAACCGATAGATACAAGGTCGCTAAGGGAGCCTATGTTATTGTCGATGTCGCGGACGCCAAATTGACGTTGGTCAGCTGTGGTACGAACTTGCACTACGCAGTTGCAGCCGCAGCCGCACTATCCTCTTCAGGCACACCAACACGAGTCGTGAGTGCCCCAAGCTTCGAGCATTTCGATGCACAGGACAAGGCCTATCGCGAGTCGGTATTCCCATTGGACGGAACACCTATCGTCAGTGTGGAAGAGTATGTGGCCACCTACTGGGCGAGGTATGTCACTGCCAGCGTGGGAATGACTGGATATGGGTATTCGGCATCGAACCCAAGCAACTACGACAGGTTTGGTCTGGATGCTAAAGGTATTGAAAGCAAGGTCAGGTCATACCTCAAAGAGTTGGAAAGCACAGGTGGAAACGCTAGGATGGCTGGATGGAGGCAGTTGTAATCAAACATACTGTACTCTCAAGTGTCCAAGCCGTGTCTTCTAAAATTTATAGATTATAATACTAGATATGAGGGATATGCTTGCATCACAGATTCCAAAATGAAAACCCTCTTGTTCTTCGCTCAATTTTTTCCCTTCCTGTTTCCTTGTCATGTCGCATAAAGAGGCGTCAAAGGCCCGAAAGGGAGATAGAGACGACATAGATGAATTGATAGTAGGGAATAATTTGAACTCGGATAGTGAAACACCTATGAGGACGTGAAGTTGAAGGATGACGTTGAAGTTGAAGTGTGACTACAACAATGCATGTCCTTTGTCTGTAGACCTAATCACTCGACGAATGATTTTTAATCTTCATCACTGGCGCAACAAGCTTAGCAGCATTTGCAATATGAAAATAGCAAATGCAAAAAGCATATTACTCAGAAAAATTAAGAAAATCAATGCCATTAACTATAACAATTTTTGGTGTAACCTAGGTCAGAAATTGCAATGATCTGGACTTGGCCTGTGTCGCAGGGTATATAGTTGATCGATTGCTACTGCAGGTGGTGGATGTGATCACTGTTGTAGGTGATTGATCGGGGCGCTTGATTAACCACTGTTGCAGCTGGGCGATCGATTGGCAGGTGGAAATTCGATCGAACCTAGGTAGGTAGCTAGATGACAACTCCATTCAAGGGTATTTACGACACATAGACTATTTTAAAACACGATTTCGATTAATAGGATCTATCTATGTATTGACTACAGTCTTGACGATGAGGTTCCCGTTTTGATCTCTAGTCTTCCCTGCAGCCTCAAACGCCACAGGAACTGAATCGAGTCCCTCAAATCTATGGGTGATAAGTTTGGAAACATTTGGTAGACTAATGCCGTTAATAGAAGTTCCAGTCACGGACGCTGTGGCGATCTCAATTGCTCTGGGATAAGCGTTTGCGTATCGCCAGGTTGTAATGAGATTAACTTCTCGATGTGATGCGTCTGAGATGGGAAGAGTGTGGTTGGGTATGCCCATGCCGACCAAAACGACCGAACCGCCTGATTGAGTAGCCTGCATGATATGGTTAGCACGTCGCCTTTTCAGTGATTGCTGATGAGAACATTGATACTCACGTATATAGATGATTGTAAGCATGATTCGACGCCTGAGCATTCAAAAGTCGTTTGCACCCTGCCAATCTTTTCTCCATCAGGCCAAGTGAGGGCTCCAACAGCGCCTGCTGTTTCTCTCGCAATTTCTAGCTTCTCTTCGATGGTTGCGCCTCGTTTCGGGGCAACAACGTGTACAGCATTCGCGAACCCGTTGTCCAAGGCAAACTTCAATCTTCCTTCGTCGATGTCCGCCATGACAACTTTGCGACATCCCGCCGCCTGGGCCGCCACTGCACAAAGCAAGCCTACAGCTCCGGCACCGAACACCAAGCAACTCTTATGGCCGCTCGCATCCCATACCGGTCCCACTCTCTTAACAGCGTGGATGGCGACGGCCAGAGGTTCGAGCAAAGCGCCAATCTCGAAGCTCAACGAATCTGGTAGCTTGTGTACCCATTTCACGGGATGGTTGACCTTCTCCTGTAGTAAGCCTTGGAAGTGGGGGAACTTTGACCCTGAGCTGCGGAATCTCAACGAGGGACAGATGTTGTATTGCCCAGACTTGCAGAGATCGCAATCTTCGCATGGTACTCCTACTTCCAATGCGACTCGATCACCAACGTTTATTTCTGGCCGCGATTGGGAGACATTGGAACCAACATTGACAACCTGGCCAGCAGACTCGTGACCTAGGCATAGCGGTTCGCGGGCCTGGATGCTACCATTGCGGAAGTGCAGGTAGTAGTGGACATCTGAACCGCACAACGTCGTCGAGCGAATGGCAACTTGAACCTCGTCGGGCTGTAGAGATGAGACAGGTCGAGATTCGAATTGGAGATTCTTGGGGCCGTGAAGGTATTGGCCAGAACTCGTCACGGCGGTTGTTGCTGTTGAGGTTGTTGTAGTTGCCATAGTGTAGTTTGCGTCGACAAGAGCTTCATGCAAATCTAATCTCAGTTTTGAAACTGTCTCCACAGACGAGATCTGGGGTAATTGTACGATGCCTTCAAAACTCTGCACCACTAAAGAAGTTGGTGACCTGGAATTCCATCGAAGTATGACAAATGCGGAGGCGGTTTTTGCGACAATTGAATACTATGATTCCGAACATCTCGAACGATCGGCAATGGCTACTCGCAATTTTTGATAGATCACATGAAGGCTTTGCGGATTTCCCAAAGTAGTTCTAATGTTATCTGCAGTTGCGGAGAAGACCAACGACTTCAACGGGATATGGTTTCCAACTGCTCCCTGATTGGCTGGTGGACAACTATTTCCTAATTGGGACGTTCGGCTTCACACGAACACAAATTCCGTTGCATTCGGGAGTTGATACTGGCTGAGCGACAAAGTTTCTACCCCACAAATATAGTTCCGTTCAGTTACACGATGTATTGGAAATCCGCGAAGTTGTGCACTGCATCGGCGCATTATCTCCTGAGACTTTGCCACGCGTGGGTGCAGTGCAAAACTAGATAAACCCAATGATCCGACAGCACCCAGCCCACACAAAGATCATTGAACTTTTATTTTCATTACTTTTGTCGCATCGTCATAGCCAGTCAATATGTCGAAGTACGCAAAGGAATTGAACGCCATCATCATTGGCGCCGGCCCCGCCGGTATTGCCATGGCATACAGGCTCAAGCATGAGCTCGGCTTTGAGGATTTCACCATTTACGAGAAGCTCGATGGCGTTGGTGGAACTTGGAGGACAAATACCTATCCAGGATGGTAAGCTGTTTTCACGTTCCCCATGTTGCTTAATCTGTTCCATCCGATGAATACTAACGAAACATAGTGGTTGCGATCTTCAGTCGCATCTCTACTCATTCAGCTTCAATCCCAATCCAAACTGGTCGAAGCAGCTTTGCGAACAGCCCGAAATCCTACAATGTAAGAATATGCCTCCAGATGCCTTGCTTCTATTACTCGCAGTCTTCAAAGGTGCAGAGGCTAACTTGAGACAAAGATATGGAAGACACAGTTGACAAATTCGCTCTCCGCCCTCACGTCCATTCATCTGTCGAGTGCTTAGGTGCAAAGTGGCACTCCGACAAGACCAAGTGGGAAGTCAAGTTGAAGGATTTGGCAACCGGCATTGAATACTCCCAGTTCGCCTCCATCTTCGTGTCCGCCGTTGGCGCCATTTCCTATCCCCGAGACGTCAAATTCCCCGGCATGGAGAAGTTCAAGGGCGCAATGTTCCACACTGCACGATGGGATCACTCAGTCAGCTACAAGGGCAAGCGAGTTGCAGTTATCGGCAATGGATGCAGCGCAGCTCAGGTGGTCCCTGCTATCGCTAAGAGCGCGGGCTTTGTCAAGCAGTATGCTCGTAGCGGACAATGGTACCACGCTCGCCCCAACCGCATGTTTACCGACTTGGACAAATTCGCCTTCCGCTACTTGCCTCTGTGGCAACGCCTTCTCCGTCTCATGATCTTTTTGGAGGCCGATGAGGAGACAACAACATACTTCCCATCGCCGAAGGGCCAGAGGGCGCGCAAGGCTAAGGAGCAGGAGTCGATAGAGTACATCAAGTCCATGACACCCTCCAAGTACTGGGATGCGGTGATCCCCAAGTTCCCGTTGGGTTGCAAGCGACGCATCTTTGATCCAGGTTATCTTGAGTCTCTCAACCGATCCAACGTGGCCTTGATTCCTGAGGGCATCAAAGAAATGACCGAAACTGGTATTATCAGCTCATCTGGAATCAAGGATGATTATGATATCATTGTCCTTGCTACCGGATTCCAAGTAGCACAGTTCCTTGTACCCATGGAGATCACAGGTGCAAATGGTAGCACTCTCCAGGAACAATGGAACGCATGCAGAGGCGCCCAAGCATACCTTGGAACCCACGTTCACAACTTCCCCAACCTCGCCATCCTTTTCGGCCCTAATACCTTCCCTGCCAACAACAGCGCTCTCTTCGCATGCGAGACTCAGGTCGACTACGCGCTTAAGTCTCTCTTCCACCCACTCATCGACGGCCGCGCATCCGTGATCGAGGTGAAGCAAGCAGCGGAGGACCGTATGACCAACTCTATTCACACAGAACTTGCCGACACCGTGTTCGCCGGCGATTGCTCGAACTGGTATATTGGCAACTTTGGCAGGAACGCTGCTTCTTGGCCTGGTCTGGCGAGGTCTTTCTGGTGGGCAACATATACTCCAGACTGGAAGGCATTCAACTTGAGCGGCGGGTCTGCTTTGTGGCCGCTTTTCACGGTTAAGAGGTGGGTTGTCACAACGAAGCCTTTGACCAAATTAGCTGTTGCCGCTGCCGTTATCTACTTCGCGTCTGGGAAAAAGGGTGCTGTTGAGATACCTCGTCTTGTTCAGGGTTTGTTTGAGAAAGCGCGAACAGTATTGGGTTATTAGACATCATTAAAGCGACCCGAGATGAAGTAGTTCCTAGAATATATTTAGCACGGTTTGTTCATGATGTAAATACGCGAACAATGTGGATAATTTAAAAACGCATTAGATCTTTCCCAACATGATATACGCATCTATCCTCTTGAATGTTACATGATGCAATGATTTTGAACACGCTGATGCGGTGTTCGAATTTTCGCCCTTTGTCATGCTTTCTAGCATAACGCATCTTATGCTTCCACTATCCAATTCAAAGCTTCAACCGTGCTCATCGCAACATTTATAAAACACCTTTTTTTGGGGGTCGTTCAATACATTTAAGAAGACACATGTCCATTTTACGTGCAGAGAAATCAGCCAACAGTTGCGCGATACCGTAATTCCTTTAGATCACGTAAATAAGATAATAATTTGTGTTCCTACGAGGAAGAAGATCTATGCATCCAATGTAATTCTATCATTCTGACACTCCTACGCGCCCTTGGGTATATTATTAGGTACCTGCTCGAACCACTCCGTCTCCGGTGAATATCGGTAAATCGTGGTTTTGATACCATACGGCTTCTATAATGCACACCGTCATGTTAGCATCTGAACCTGTCTGTATCTTTGAACATCGATGGAGTCCCTACCGGTTGTAAACAGAATACTGTATCCTTGGCCACCTCAAGATCTGCCAACTCATCCCTCCTCAAATCCCAAAAGTATGCCAACAGAACCCGCACCACTGCCCGATGTGTCACCAGCAGCAAATGATCTCTCACTCGCTCCAGCTCCAGAATGACCACTCGCAGTCGGTTTATGACATCTATGTACCCCTCGCCTCCTGTACCAGGCCATCTGTAGAGAAGTTTATTCGCTTTACGGGCGGCGTATTCGTCGGGGTGGAGTGTCTGAATTTGGCTGTACGTGAGACCCGCCATGATGCCTGCATTGAGATCGTCAAGCATCTTCATCTGCCTTTTCGGGTATATGGCGGAGTCAAATGGAAGCGCAGTTTCTATCGCTTGGGGCATTGTCGAAGTCCATATACCAAAGTCTTGGTGATCTGTATGCGATGATCCATTGGTGGTAGGCTGTTGGTCACCGGTCGGTGATGACTTGGACGCCTTTGGTGGAACGCTACGATTTGTTCGTTGCGCATCTATGAACCGCGCCAGCACCTGGGAATATATCTTTCCATGATCGCTCAAATCTGAATTGCGGCCGATCTTTCCTTCACCGTCGTCGATGCTTTCGCCGTTGCAAGAAATCCAAATCTGACGGTCCGAAAGGTTGAAATTCAACAGATACTCCACCATTTGAGTAGCCAAGAAACCTTGGGCAAGATGCGTGTTGATCTTCCTCCCGACATCAATGGTTTGTATATAGGATACCATATCTGCCTCTTCCGCTTCTCCAAGAGGCACATACGATTTCTCGTACAATGAGACACGTTGGCGAAAATCAGCCAGCGCTTTATCGTGGTCTTTGTCTTTGTAGTCAGGCCCTGAGAGTTTAAGGCGCATGTTCGTCTCTAGGATGGCTTCGTCGAAGCAACGACTCTCGAGGTAGATGATGTTGAGGCCATCGCCAGCCCTTGCTCTAATATGTGAGCGAATGAGCCGGCGACGTTCAGGTGTGTTATTTGTCGCGTCCAAAATCCCAACTGTGCCGTCTTCAAGTAATAACCAATCTAGTAGTTCATCCAAGGTTTGGAGCGCTACCTGATCGCGGAGTGCTACGCTAGATCGATTCGCGGGATCAAAGAATGCAGCTGACGACGAATGCGACGAAGTAGACTCGTTCGAAACTGGCCCGTCCACGATATCGGTTGGTCGAACTAATCTTCTTCGCTCGCCGACATTGAAGTTCATTGTTTTGTATCTCAGCCAGTTCAGATATCGAGCTAGTTTCTTGACGATGTAGCTTTTCCCACGCGCGGGGAGGCCGACCATAACGACCACCAATTTTGTGCTGACATCTCCTGAGACGAGATGACCATTGACGGATTGCATTTTATTTGAGAACTTTTGCTGTGGGGGTATTTTGAAAAGAATTTATTACCTTGTTCATAGGAACGATGCAGCTGCATTCAACACCAAAAAAGCGCAGAATACGTGTCGCACGATCTCTAGGCCGACATGGCCAGGAATTGAATATGATTTCCATTTGACTCACTGGGTAATCGAATTCTCACTGTTTCCGTTGGCTTTCTGAAAAATCCCCCGGGGCGGTCATCGGGTCACGATTACCCCAGAGTTTGAGCCTGGACCAAAGCTAGGGCCTGGAAGAAGATGTAGCATATCCGCCCAGGAATTGATTCCGATAATAAATAGGAATTCAATCGAACCGGTCTTGCGAATCTTCTAGACAAGAGTTTCCTCCGACTTTGTATGGATTGTGACTTTCCCGAGCGTGTAAGAGCCGCCGGAATCTGAAATCCGATTGGATCTTCTTTGGCGCTAACCCGCTCCCCGCATCTTGACGCGCTCCGGCCGGTTCATGGCAAAACCCACGGGATAGCAACGCGATGAAAGTTCGGAGCCGGGAAAGGAATATATGATGGAGCTTTGGAGGACAATAATATAGTTACTTCTGCGCTCGGACAAATCACTATAGATCGAATCGACCTTTTGTTCGCATTTTTTATGCCCAAATTCTTTGACAATTCATAATCTGATCTTAACTAATCTTTACAAAATGGGTTCTATAGACACAAAAGCTAGCTCTGCTGATTATCATGAGCGAGCTCTTACTGCTGTATGTCCCAAGCAATAACCGCATTTCTAACTACCCCTCATTCCGTTCACAGCTGATTCTAATCAATATGTAAACAGCTAAAGGACAAATCTCTTTTCATCTCAGATGCCTTTATCGACGGCAAATGGAAGAGCTCAGACAAGACATTTCCAGTCTATGGTAAGAAGATTCATCATTGTTAAGAAACTCAAAAGATTGTTTCTCACAATGTATAGAGCCGTCAACGGCCACGGTACTTGGGAAGGTTGCCGATTGTGACCTTGCCGATTTCCAGAACGCAATCAAGAGCGCATCGGAAGCTCAGCCAAAGTTCTTCGCAAGCACCACAGGCACTTCTCGAGGCGCCCTTCTGCGAAAGTGGTACGAGCTTATTATACAGAATCAAGACGACAGTAAGTAATCATCATATTGGCCTCACTCTATTATCTTCAAGTCTAACGCGGGCGGTAATCTACAGTTGCAACAATACTCTGCCTCGAAAACGGCAAAACATATGCCGAAGCAAAGGGCGAAGTCGTCTACGCAGCAAGCTTCATTGCCTGGTTCGCAGAGGAAGCAACGCGTGCCTACGGAGTTACGATCCCTTCTTCCACACCTCACACAACTCTCTACACAACCCGCGAACCAGTCGGCGTTTGTGGTATCATCACACCATGGAACTTCCCAGCAGCCATGATTACCAGGAAAGTCGGACCGGCGCTGGCTGCAGGATGCTCCGTTGTCATCAAGCCTCCGAGTGAGACTCCATTCACTTGCCTGGCATTGACGAAGCTGGCCGTCGAGGCAGGCATCCCACCGGCCATCATCCAGGTCTGTCCCACAAAGAACAGAGAGGCCGCTACCGAACTGGCGACGAACCCGCTAGTGAACAAGATCAGTTTCACTGGCTCGACAGGCGTGGGCAAAATGCTGGCCAAGCTTGCGGCGGGCACACTTAAGAAGCTCAGTTTGGAATTGGGTGGAAATGCGCCATTCATTGTGTTCGATGACGCCGATTTGGATTTGGCCGTTGAAGGAGCAATGTTCTGCAAGTTCCGGTGCACAGGACAGACATGTGTGTGGTAAGTTAACCCTACCAACTCTATCAAAAACAAACTCCTGTTGCTAACACTTTTGTTTCCCAGCGCAAACCGTCTTTATGTACAGAAGGGTGTCGCTAAGGAATTCACCGCCAAACTCGTCAAGAAGGTCGCTGCCCTTCAAATGGGACCTGGTCTCGACACCAAAACCACACAAGGTCCCCTCGTCAACAAGTCCGCCGTCGACAAGGTCAAAGAGCACGTTGCCGACGCCCTTTCCAAGGGCGCCAAGGTCGAATTCGGCGGATCTGCTCCAGACAACTCAGGTTTCTTCTTCGAGCCCACTGTTCTTTCCGGCGTCACCGCAGACGCGCTCGTCAGCAAGGACGAGACATTCGGACCTCTCGCTCCAATCTTCGAGTTCGAGACGGAGGAGGAAGCCATTAAGCTCGCTAACGATACGGAATTCGGTCTTGCGGGTTACTTCTTCTCACGCAATATCGGAAGGGCGATGCGAGTCGCACAAAGACTGCAAGTCGGTATGGTCGGTGTGAATACCGGCAAGATCAGCGCTGCGGAGGCACCATTTGGTGGTGTAAAGGAGAGCGGTTACGGGAAGGAGGGCAGTCTATATGGTCTTGAGGATTACCAGATAATCAAGAGCGTGACCATCGGAAACCAGGATGCTTAATAGCTCTGCCAATGTGTAGCAATCTGTAGATACTAGAAATGATAGAAATACGACCTAAACGCTTTATTCATCTCGTAGCTTTGTGAAACTTTAATGTTACGTGCTCGGCCTCAAACCACCGGAAAGGTTATTTCCTCCCAAATCAAGATTTTCGAAATGAAGATCAGAGATGCAAGACACATGACTCCTTTGGACGCGAATCGCAAAGCCTCTCGTGATAAACGGTGACCCGCTGGTCGGAATTGAAGCCATCGCGGGACTTCGATTCCGTTCCTTATTTACTTCACCTGACCTGACATCCAGCGATGACGGATCGCAATTGCACTTCAACGGAAGTTACACCGAAGTCGGAGCATGTTCAAATATATGCCATTCCAACCCAGCGAGAGAATCCTAGCTCCATAAACCTCTCTACATTACGACTCTTTAAAGAACCTTACTAGCAATGGCCGACGTACGCGAACATTGGATTGCCTCAATCCCGGGAGACGGAATAGGAATCGAAGTCATCGAGCAAGCGCACAGAGTCCTTAAACAGCTCGAGAAGCTTTCGAAGACATTCAAATTGCACATCGATACGTTCAATTGGAGCTCGAATGATTACCTGAAGACAGGGGAGTATATCCCCGCAGACGGACTCAAAACTTTGAAGAAGTACGATGCGATCTTGTTCGGCGCTGTGGGATCTCCTGGTATGTATAACTCGTCCTACATCCATTCATTTGGGAATATGAAGTGCCAATATTGAGCGCGATCAGATGTTCCCGACCATATCTCTTTATGGGGGTTGATCCTCCCAATTCGCAAAATGGTACGTGTACCCGGTCTCACATTTGCATGTCCCTCCGCTTACGAGCCCCAGTTCAACCAATACGTCAACCTTCGGCCGATCCGTGTTCTCCCCGGACTAAGCTCCCCACTCAAGCACATCGATGCGCAAGACCTCGACTGGGTCATCGTCCGCGAGAACAGCGAAGGCGAATACGCAGGCCAGGGCGGCACCACCCATGACGACACTCCGTACACCATTGCCAACGAGGTTGCGGTTTTCACAAGGCAAGGCATAGAGCGCACTATACGTTTTGCATTCGACACAGCGTCGAGTCGGCCACGGAAACATCTTACACTGGTGACGAAGAGTAATGCGCAAAGACATGGGCTGGTGTTGTGGGATAAGATCTTCTATGAGGTGGCAGCTGAGTACCCTGACGTTAAGACCGACAAGATGTTGGTTGACGCCATGACGGTACGAATGGTTCTGAAGCCGAGCACACTGGACACTATCGTGGCAACAAACCTCCACGGCGATATCCTTTCCGACCTAGCTGCGGCGCTCTCGGGCAGCATCGGAGTCGCCCCATCGAGCAATTTGAATCCGACGAGGGAGTTCCCGAGCATGTTTGAACCGATCCATGGGAGTGCTCCGGACATTGCGGGACTTGGTGTCGCGAATCCGGTTGGGACATTCTGGAGTGTTGCGGAGATGTTGAAGTGGCTTGGTGAACAAGAGGCTGGGGAGAAGTTGATGAAGGGCATTGAAAAGGTGACGGAAAGTGGGTTCAAAACCAAGGATATAGGAGGAAATGCAGACATGGTTACAGTGACGGAAGCATTGCTTCGAGAACTAGAGAATAGTTATTAATGGGTGCGACATTTTTCTCTCGGGATTAATTAGTTTTGAAATCTGCTCTAAATCTCACTCGAGAAATGAAATAATGTGAACTATACATAAAACTTTCCGCAGGTACCAAAAGTTCAATGATTTCAGTGCTGTATTATGAATTACTATCTCCCTCTTATAGACCGTCCACTTGGTCAAACCATCAGACCAGACATCAACACACATTACAGATGCTCACAGCTTGATCAAAGACGTGGTGTTGGTGGTTGAACGTTGTAACGTTCACCTGTAGCGTCGGAATCCACATCCCGCTGTCTTCAACTAGCGTGATATCGTTGTACTAGAATTTGATTTACTCTATAAAATTCCCAAATGAACGAGGTTTATGGTGAATGATCCCATCAACCTTTGCAATTATAATACGGGGTTACGGGGTTACGGAATGCTCGAAAGCCCGAATCACCGTAGTATAGTCCTACCTGATGGTGCACTGTTCTAAGGGGGTGATTGGGCTGGCCAGAACGTCGAGCCGATGTCGCTATTCTATTGGCCCCTTACTTTTAGAAAATTCAATGATATCATAGTGTGGAGTATTCATGTACACGTACCCTTTACTTTCTTTCCTGCGTATTCGACTTTGGATGGTACAATAGGTGGTATAACCACAATAATAAGTTAGGTACTTCACTGCATCAATGTAGTCTAGACCCTATTAGGCTTAATCGCGGTTAGATAACGCGCTTCGATAAGAACATTCCTTGGCGAACGATCCTCCAAGACATCCATGTGTTCTAAACACACCACCATACGGGAGAAATGGCAGAAAGCCAATATTTTCTGATGAATCAAACCAATGGCCACATCCGGGCGACCAGGAGCTCCATACCCCAAAAGTTTTCGCCTCAGCCATACACGCCGCAAGACAGGTTGCCTCCCATGCCGACGAAGGAAGAAGAAATGTGACGAGACCCGGCCCAACTGCACTGCATGCAAGCGAAACAATCTCGACTGTGAATGGCCGAGAAGTACAACAGTTCCTGATGCTAGTTCTACTCTGCTTTCACGGTTAACTCGTTCTGCGGGTGATCTTTTCCCATCAATACAAGCTAGTCAAGCTTTCAAACTGACCCCTGAGTCGTTTCGATTACTGGAGCACTATACAAGCATCACTGCAACAGAATTTCCAGCATATGCTATGGATCAATCGCAGAATCCTTACATCAGTCATATTCTTCCGGTGGCGTATGAAGACGAACTGATGATGCATGTCGTATTGGCTGTTAGTGGCGCCCACCTGTCACATAAACTTCCAAACGTACCATCGCTCGGTCGTGCTACCCAACAACATTACTCGTACGTCTTACGGAGTCTGCAAAGCGAGATCCAGCATTGCTTCTCTCGCGACACTAAGCGCGTCATCTGTCTTTTATTCGTTGCGGCATTGCTCTGTGTTTACGAAGTAAGATTGTCCAGAATACAGGTGCCACTAAATTCTAACATGCGTCAACCTTTAGGTGCTCGCTGGATCCACTTATAAGGTATTATCCTTCCATCTTCGCGCAATCAAGCAAGGACTTCGGCACCTACGTGATGTAGGATATTCTATCCCTGCTCGAGCCAATGAGACCGAGAAGATTTTGCATTTCATCTGCGAAGGATATTCGTACATGGAGTTCTGTAACCTCATCACACCGACTCCTCAAGTGTCGATACCTTCCGATTTCATACCAATTGTGTCGTCTCTATTGGGCCAATCAATAGCCCAGCCTCTCAGTCCGGTGTTCGGTGGCAGCAGACTATTGTTCGAGCTGATCCCGCAAGCTAATGCATTACTCTATCTTCGTCTCACCGAGCAAGCGGAAGGCCATGTGGAGCCTACATCGTCTTTCATGCACAAACACGCAGAACTAAGCAGCGCGATTGAAGCCTGGAAAATGGCTCTTCCTATAGATGATTCCAACGGTAGCCATTCGTTAGGCACTGAACAGGCCTACCTGTCAGCGTGGGCACAAAGCAGCATGGTCGCCGAATGCATACGCAATGCCTTACGAATTTACATGATGGCCGCCTTTCTCGGTAGCCAGCCGCCAACACCCGATATTGAATTGGCTATCCAGCACGAAGTGCTTGCATTCGCACAGACTAGTCGCGCCATCATGGACACTAGTTGTGCATCTATCATCCTGTGGGCTCTCATTGTCGTTGCAACGTGCACTAGAGACGACTTCCTCCGGAGGGAGATCATATATTCGCTGGACAATTCACGCTTCCAAATGCGGCATCTGGGGCTTGTTCGGCAGGCGTTGGTTTTACTGTGGGCCGATGCCAGTTCTGGGGCTTTTGGGCCTTATGGCTTACAGCTTGTTATGGAGAAAAACAATATTGGATTTTGCATATTCTAGCTTCTATTATCTCCGCCCGTATGGGGCAAGGTTCTTTATGTTCCAAATGAATTGACCAACAGAGGAGGCAATTACTCAATCAATTCTACGAACCGTATGCTAACAAGCATGTTCCACTAGCTAGTTAGTCCCGGTCCCAGTCTGAGCAAGGTTATCTGCATGGGTTGATGCATACCTCGTGTGGGTCTTGCGAAACAGTCTTAGAGCACACCCCTACTTGTATGCATCTAGGTTCGGTAGGTCCCGTGCGATTTGCTCATATATTTAGTATTCCCCTCCCTCCAGAGGGTAAATTTGGTTTGTTGTAGTTCTCATCCTCCCACAAACTAAGCCACAATGAAGAACCGTAGACCCGTTACCGATGTAAGTGAGACCTTAACATGGAATATTATGTGTCTTGAGTTCACTAAAGATTGTTCCAGTCCCCAGCTGTTCATAATGCGCCTCTTGCAGCAGACGGTCCTGGAAGAGACAGCTTCTCGAATACCCTCCTGCTTCTCGTGCTGCTCGGTGTCCCCATAGTGCTTTCGTTGCTCTTCGGCGGCGGGCTGTTGTTAACAGTGATCCTCATCCTGACAACCCTACTACCTCTTCTAGCTATTTACTGGATGATAATCTCCCGATACAGCCTACCTCCAAACAACAAAGTTAAACTACCAAATCGTTCCGTCGAACACTACATAACCTTCAAATCCGACACCGACAAAGCGAAATGGAGCGGACGCAACACCATCCCAATCCATACCTTCGGCGAGATGTACATCGACGGGAAAGTAACCTTCAACGGAGACTGTCTCGAGATGATGGAGTACCGCCACGACTGGTCCAACTTCTCCTTCACGTGGTCTCTCTGCCGCTACATCGTCTTCACCTTCGGCATTGATACGCTCTTCCACACACGGGCTCAGGACATGGATCAGGTGCGGCCTAACTACGATCAGGGCGATGACCATTATTCGTATTTTCTCGGCCCTCGCATGGTATACACCAGTGGCGTCATATCCGACACATCTCGTGAAGAGACTCTCGAGGAAATGCAGGACAACAAGATGGCTATCGTGTGCGAGAAACTTGAACTCCGGGAAGGCGAGACACTCCTCGACATCGGCTGTGGCTGGGGCACGCTTGCGAAGTTCGCGAGCGTCAACTACGGCGCGAAAGTCACCGGAGTAACATTAGCACGCAACCAGACCGCCTGGGGCAACGAAGGACTCCAGAAATCCGGTATCCCCGACTCACAAAGTAAGATTCTCTGCATGGATTACCGTGACGTTCCCCGCGGTAAGAAATTCGACAAGATATCGCAGCTCGAGATGGGCGAGCACGTCGGCGTGAGGAGGCTTACGACGTTCTTCCGCCAGTGCTACGATATGCTCGAGGATGACGGGGCGATGTACGTTCAGCTTTCCGGCTTGCGACAGGCGTGGCAGTATGAAGACTTTATCTGGGGGAGCTTTTTGAATAAGTATATTTTCCGCGGCGCGGATGCTTCGACGCCGCTTTGGAATTATACGAGAAGCCTCGAGATGGCTGGCTTTGAGATTAAGAGGTAAATACCACTGCAACTATGCCGTTGTACTGGGGCTGCAAGATTCTAACGTCGATAGTGTTGATACGATAGGTGTGCATTATTCCGGCACGTTATGGCGGTGGTATCGGAACTGGCTAAGCAATCGCGAAAAGATCGAGGCCAAGTTTGGGGAACGATGGTATCGTGTATGTGACATTCTTTCTCCCATGTCCCCTTCTAAACAAATTCTCCCTTTTATTCCTCACTAACATCTTGATCGTGTATAGATTTGGGAATTGTTCCTAGCTTGGTCCACGATAGCATCTCGTCAAGGTAGTGCAGCCTGTTTCCAGATTCTGGTCGTCAAGAACTTGAACGGTGCACCTCGGATCGATGGTGTGACTTCTCAGTATGGGCTCGCTGGTGCACTAGAAAGGAGTCGCGCAGCGGGGAAGAGCAGCTTGGAATGAGCTGCATTTAGGTCATGAGGACTTGGTGAATAGTTAGTGCGTAGAGTTCAAGATGGGGCGCTGAGTGATACAGTTCATATGATGAGGCGACTGTTTTTAAGTGAGGAAGAGACACAACGCCATTTAAGATATGGCTTTAAAGATGGCTTCAGGATCCTGTCACTTACTTTGCTATGCAACGAAAGACAAAATAAATTCGGCTTTCTCTACGATTGATTTCAAAGCTTGCAACAATCAAACCTCAGTTGATAGTGAAATTCAACCCTCTTTACCGAATGGTTTTAGTGATCCATCCCCATATGCGCCAATTTTTCCATCGTCTTTTATTCATTTCGTCCATTACCTCATCTTTATCCTTACGAATTGAAACCCAGGAAAGTCGTAAAATTCTTCTCAACCGAAGCTCCCTCTTTTCAAGGTCCGATGCTTCGACTAGATTGGCACCGTTATTTCCCTCGCGTGTCTGCACTTCTTTCATACCATGCCCCTCTCTTGTCTTCTTGTCACTCGCGTAGACCTTCACAACCGCGAAGAACGCCGACACCCAGGTCCTTTCTAGATGGCGAGGATATCGTGGCTGGGTTTCAACATCGCCTCCATCTACAAGAACACCGTTAATCCAATTTCGGGGTTGAACATCGCGTAGCCCCCAATTGAGGGATCTCATCAACAACATTGTCTGAATCTGTCTTTCTAGATCACTCTCAATGGAACCATCCTTCTCGAAGAACGGCTTCACGATACCCACTATTATTTTTCCAGTAAATTTGGCCACCAGAAACTTGGCGTTTCTGGGCAAGTTGTGGTATAACTTGTTTAGAATATTGATATCAAAGGCTACCCAGCCTTTTGCACACATTGGCTCCAGGAGGCTCATCAATTCTTCCTTTTCTACGATCTCCGGTGGAGCAAATGATAGATCAGCCTCGATTGATTTCCAAATCCCTTTCCCAGATGGGCAAGTTTCGAATAGTTGAATCCACTTTTCAAACGGCATCCGCGGTAAGTGATGTGGGGAAGCTGATGGCTTCGAGAAATGTACACTGGCATATGCGCATCCAGCATAATATCGGCTTTCGAGTTTGAGTGGCCAAATTTTATTTTGAGTAGGAAGAGGCGGTTGATTCTGGAAGAACTACTGGGTATCAGTCCCAATCTTCTCATAATACACACTCCCTACCTACCAGCTTCAAAGCAAAAGATTGCCTGCTTTGAGGAACTCTGCAAAGAAGAATCAGCCCCTCTGCCCCATTTCCAATGACTTGCATGATGCGGAATGCGGTAGCCTGAGCGGGGCCGAGCCTCTTCCTGGTGTTTGAATCCTGAGAAAGGAAGCTGTGGAATTCTTCATGGCGGAGTGCAGCCTTCGGGTCGAGTGTTTCTAGGATCATTGGACTTTCCTAGAAATTGACAGAGATGTCAAAAAGAAGCGTCACCTTTTTTTGATAGTTGGTCTCTGGGTTGAAATGAGTCTTTGTTCGCTGAATAGATCAGAAGTGGTGTGAGAACTGTCATAAACATGGCTCGAAAGATTCCTTCGTCACGTTCATGGTGCGACGCGACTGGTGCCTGTCTGGGCCAGGTTGCACAAAGCCAGCGGCCTGACGAGAGGGACACCAAACCTCCAAATAGTAATTAGAGTATACCTATGGAGTACTCCGTACAATGTCTAGTAGATAGACAAGACTCTATCTGTATGTTACATTCACCCAATTGCCCGGATCCATCGTTCGCTCCTAACAACACAACCTTCAACAAAAAGAGTCGAACCGAAGAAATTTCTGATATCTCAACTGGGTCAATACACAAGAGAAATCTCGGAGACGAAGTGTATATTCATTTAGAAAGAAGTCAGCAAGGAGGACACCCACTTATGTAATCCACTATGAATAAGAAAGATATAACCCTCTGATTTCAATTGTTAATTAGCCCTTTTCGTACTAATCTATAATGTATCCAGATAACTCCGACATATTTCTATTAGCCATCCCCATCATCTACCACGATGCTTTCCGCACCTTTTGCAAAGGCGTAGGTAATACCTTGGACAAGTGCACAAGTGAAGTGCCACGCTATGATTGGTTCACACCCGCTAGCGCGAACTGGTGGGCGCCGGCGCGCGAAAGTACGCAGTAGTTGAGGAAGCGCGACGGCGGGCGACGGCGGGCGAGGGGCTGTGAGTATACAATGACAGTCCTTATGAGCAAGTTATTGTTAACACTTCGACTTGTCGCTATGTATATAACAATCGGTAATGGGCCGTGGATTCGAGCTCAATCTTGATGAATCTATGAAAAAGCAATTCCAATGCGCCTCCTATTAACCTCCTAAATTCGCGAGAGATTTTTCGGACCTTCTTCTTGTGCTCTTTTGTTGGCCTTCAGTATATTATTCATTTCCATACTGGTCACTGGGAAGATCAGCGCAGTATCATACTAAATAAAACCTCCTGAATGGCTGTTGATCCATCTGCACGATCTGAGGGAAAACCTCTCACGATCTCCCAATGGCGAGAGATACAAGGCACTGCTTCGGAGCCGACACACATTCTGACTCTCATTGAAGAGCAAGCGCAATCAAATACATCGAATGCCTGGATTTCTCTGGCAAGACCGGCGCAGATCATCGAGCAATGGGAGAAGATCATAGCGCTTCGATCGCAAGGGGTCGACCTTCCGTTATTCGGAGTGCCCTTCGCTGCGAAGGACAACATCGACGCCGCAGGATTCTGCACGACTGCTGCATGCCCATCATTCGGAACCAAGCCCGTCGCTGCCGACTCGACTATAGTCCGAAGGCTGAAATCACTGGGAGCCATTCTCGTCGGAAAGACCAACCTCGATCAATTCGCAACCGGCCTCGTCGGCACCCGCTCACCATACGGCGCCGTTGCTAACTCCTTTGACCCAAGCCGGGTCAGCGGCGGGAGCAGCTCGGGAAGCAGTGTAGTCGTCGCTCAGGGATTGGTTCCTTTCTCGCTCGGCACCGACACGGCTGGGTCTGGTCGCATACCTGCTGGCTTCAATAACATCGTCGGACTGAAGCCCACACGAGGAGCTCTGAGCACACATGGTGTGGTGCCGGCTTGTCGCTCGCTTGATTGCGTTTCGATCTTCGCGCTGACACTCGAAGATGCGGATGAAGTCCTTCGCCTGGCTGAGGGGTTTGATGTTCTCGATGCATACTCTAGAGATCGCAGCGGTTGTGCGACTAAGACCTCTCCACGGGGAGCTCTACCACCGCAACCGACGTTGGCTATTTGTGCCGACCCACAATGGTTTGGACACACAGAGCAGGCCGTCGCGTACGAGGCGGCATTGGCTAAAGGCGAACGGTTAGGTTGGAAGCTGAAGCAAGTTGACTTCACACCTCTCTTCGCTCTTGCCACACTCCTGTACGAGGGCCCATGGGTTGCCGAGCGATATGCTGCAATCCAGAATTTCATCCAGTCGGCACCGGCGGATGCCATGGATCCCGTTGTTCGTGGCATCATCATGAAAGCCGAACAGTTCACCGCCGCAGACGTCTTCGACAATGAATACCGTCGACAAGACCTCGCTCGCGAGATTGAGCAGATCTTTGGCAAGTACGACGCCTTGCTAGTTCCCACCGCACCGACATTTCCCACGATGCAAGACCTCAAGGATGAGCCTGTCCTCACGAATAGTCAACTGGGGATGTACACCAATTTCGTCAATTTTCTGGATTGGTCTGCGTTGGCAATACCCGCCGGATGGAGGAAAGACGGCTTGCCTTTCGGCATTACGTTGATCGGGGGCGCGTGGGAGGAGCCACGACTGATGGAGCTTGCTCGGAGATGGATGTCTGACTCTCCACGTACATTGGGCGCTACAGGGAGGACTTATCAAGAGCCTCCACGCAGCCTTCCAGACGAAGTCAGCTCTATACCAGTGGCGGTAGTTGGTGCTCATCTTACCGGCTTCCCGCTGAACAATGATCTGACTTCCCGGGGTGCAACTCTTGTCGCATCCACGGCCACTGCCCCGAAATATCAACTGTTTTCCCTCAACACCACAGGCCCGGTACGAAAGCCTGGTCTGAAACGGGTCGTCGACGGCGGAGACTCGATAGAAGTTGAAGTATGGAGTATGCCGCTCGACAAGATGGGTAGCTTTCTCGGCACGATCGTGGCACCTTTGGGTCTCGGATCCATTGAATTGGAGAATGGTCACTGGGTACAAGGGTTCATCTGCGAGCCTATTGGTCTTGCAGATGCGGAGAATATCACAAATTTCGGTGGGTGGCGAGCGTACATGAAATCACTTCAGACGACCACTCCAGCGCCTTCACACAAAACACCATCGGTACCTTTTGAAGTTGATGAAGTCAAGGCCATCAAAAGAGTGCTAATTGCCAATCGCGGCGAGATAGCCCTTCGTATCATTCGGACCTTGCGCGACATGAATATCTCCTCTGTTTCCATCTATTCATCTGCAGATGCTCGCGCGCCGCACGTCACCGCTGCCGACACAGCCTTTCCGCTGACTGGTGACACGGTTTCCGACACCTATCTGAATGGCAAGCAGATTCTCGACATAGCCAAGGAAGCAGGTGCAGATGCCGTGATTCCCGGATATGGTTTCCTCTCAGAGAACTCCGACTTTGCCGCAGCCGTCGAGGCTGCAGGACTGATCTGGATAGGCCCGACTCCGAAGCAGATGAGTGATCTAGGTCTGAAGCACAGTGCTCGTGAGATTGCCATAGCTGCGGGCATTCCAGTCGTCCCGGGGAGCCAAGGCCTGGTCACCAACATCGACGACGCCTTAGCAGATGCGGAGAAGATTGGATATCCCATTATGGTGAAGAGCACTGCTGGTGGAGGCGGAATCGGTCTTCAGAGGTGTGCGGACGCGCATGCACTGCGCGAGGCATTCGACGGTGTACGTCGGCTCGGCCAGGCGAACTTTGGTGACGATGGTGTTTTCATCGAGCATTTTATCGACCGCGCACGACACGTCGAGGTTCAGGTCCTAGGCGATGGATCAGGCCGTGTCATATGCGCTGGCGATCGCGATTGTTCGCTACAGCGACGCAACCAAAAGGTTGTTGAAGAGGCACCAGCCGCTTTCGTTCCCATCGAGATACAGGCCGACATGCGGCGCGCTGCTGCTGCTCTCGTCGCCTCGTTGAAATATCGCAATGTTGGCACTGTCGAGTTCATCTTTGACATCGATGTCAACAAATTCTACTTTTTAGAGATGAACACTCGCCTACAGGTAGAGCATCCCGTGACCGAAGCTGTGACGGGTCTGGATCTCGTCCAATGCATGATGCGCATAGCCATGAACGACTGCGCTGCGCTCTTTCCCCAACAAGTCAACGAAACTCCCACGCGCGGTGCCGCAGTCGAGGCCCGCGTGTATGCCGAGAGCCCTCTTCAGGGATTTCGGCCTTCCCCGGGAAAGCTGCTGAATGTCCAGTTCCCATCCGATGTCCGAGTTGATACTTGGGTGAGCTCAGGGCAGGAGGTCTCGTCGTCGTTTGACCCAATGATCGCGAAGATCATCGCCTACGGGGAAGACCGCCGTGAAGCACTTCACAAGGTCTCGAAGGCTTTAGCGAAAACGACGATAACGGGCATCGAAACGAACCTGGAGTATCTCCGTCAGATCGTTGATTGGGATTTGTTCCATTCCGGAGAGTTCACGACAACTTCGTTGAATGCATTCCCTTTCAATGCTCAAGTGTTAGAAGTCATTGATGTTGGTTCCGGAACGTCTGTTCAGGATTTCCCAGGCCGTCAAGGCCTCTGGCATATCGGCATACCGCCGTCTGGCCCTATGGATTCCTACTCCTTCCGTTTAGCCAACAGAATTCTCGGTAATGGAGACGATGCTGCGGGTCTTGAGTGCTCAATTCAAGGACTGAAACTTCTTTTTCACTGCCCTACTACCATAGCCGTTGTTGGTTCTGATGCACCCTTATATGTCGATGGAAAACAAGTAGACAGTGGTGTGCCCATCAAGATCAAAGCGAAACAAGAACTGACCATCGGAACGTCGAACAACGGATCCCGCGTCTATCTAGCCGTTCGTGGAGGCCTTCAGGTTCCTAAAGTCCTCGGCAGCCGTTCGACTTTCGCAATTGGGCATTTTGGCGGATACAACGGACGCATTTTGCACATTGGTGATCTCCTCCCCATAGAATCTAATGACCAAGAAGAGCTTTCAGTAGCCTTGAAGGCGCCAGCCCTTCCCCTGCCTACCTCCGACAACCGAGAATGGATCGTTGCTGCGGTGCCAGGCCCGCATGGCGGGCCTATCCATTTCACACAAAAAGCGCTTCTAGAGCTATTCAATGGCGTTTGGACGGTTCACTACAACAGCAATAGATTGGGTGTTCGTCTGACAGGTCCTCGACCTAAATGGACTCGGAAGACTGGTGGAGACGCGGGGTTGCATCCTTCCAATATCCACGACAGCCCTTACTCCATCGGTAACATCAGCTTCACGGGTGATGAGGCGGTTGTACTGACGGCTGATGGCCCAAGTCTAGGAGGGTTTGTTTCCTTCGCTACGATTGTCGACGCTGAAATGTGGAAGTTTGGTCAGATGCTGCCAGGCGACCGCGTGCGATTACGTTCTGTCTCCCTTCACGATGCACTGGAGCTATCGAAGGCCGTGGAGCAATCCATCGCTGAGCTCAGCCCGCTTGCGGCGCAAGCATATCAGGAAGCAAGTGTCTCCACCCTGATCGATCCGGTCGTGAAGGAGATCCGCCACGCTGGTCGTTTCATTCGATGCTGCCAGTCAGGCGATCGAGCGTTGTTGCTCGAGTTCGGCGAAGAAGATGACTTCACGCTGAGGCAAACATTCCATGTTATGACTTTCATGGAGAAGCACCGAAAATATCCCATGACTGGCGTCAGGGAGCTCACACCAGGAGTCCGAAGCATCCATGTCCGCGTGGATGAGAACATGCCATTAGATCAAGTACTCGACGCGCTTGTTGCGCATGAAAGTTCACTTGGGACTGAGATTCCCTCGCGACTACCCTCGCGTATCGTCAAGATGCCACTCGCCTTTGACGACGAGAAGAGCCGCAAGGCCATCGCTCGTTATAGTTCGACGATCCGTTCCTCGGCACCATATCTCCATTCCAACATCGAGTTCCTGCAGAAGCTGAACGGGCTTGACAGCGTCAACGAGGTGGAGACCACTCTCTACGATGGCACTTTCCTGGTACTGGGACTTGGAGACGTGTACCTTGGATCCCCCTGTGCCATCCCATTAGACCCCCGCCATCGTCTCTTCGGAACGAAATACAACCCCTCTAGATCCTTCACACCCCGCGGCGCCGTCGGCATCGCAGGCCAATATTTGTGCATCTACGCCACCGACTCGCCGGGCGGCTACCAACTCGTCGGTCGCACAGTGCCTATTTGGGAGGACTTCCACGGATCTGAATTGAACGGCGAGGTTCCGTGGATGTTCTCGCTCCTAGACCAAATTCAATTCTACCCTATCGCTGAGGACGAGCTTTCGGCGGCGGAGCGCAATGGCACGGCGGTCGACCTGATTAATATATCTAACACCACGCTAGATCTTGAGGATTATGAGCGTTGGTTGAAGGAGAACGAGGAGGATATCATTGCCGTGAGGGAGCAACGGATGAATGCGGTGCACAAGGCGGATTTCTACGAAGACCTGCTGAAGCCTTACGAACTGACGGTGAATGGTGCAAATTCGAGACTTGGTAGCGACGAATCTGTGCCCGGGGAGCGTGTCAAGGCGCGTCTCCCCGGCAGGTGTTTCCGTTGCGCGGTGGAAGAGGGGGATGAAGTGCGGAGTGGACAACCTTTGGTAAGTTGGTTACAATGCCGTCGCTATTTTGTGGCATGAGGCTGACATCTCATAGATATGGATCGAGTCGAATAAGATGGAGGTTAAGATTTGTGCACCAAAAGACGGGAAATGCGTGAGGCTGCTGGTTGGAGAGGGCGATGTCCTGGGATCGAATGATGATATTGCGATCATTTCATAATTTGCATTGAAGGCGCAAACGTTATATCCCTTTGGCATTTATTAGATTAATTCATTGTCCTCCATAACCGTAAGAGTTTACTTCATTGAAAACTGTTGCGAGCCTCAAGAACCTTGCAATGTCGCGGCTTTCACGACAGCCAGGTCACCAACCTCCTCATGCAGCATGCGCAACGCCTCGCGAGCGAACGGAACAGCCGGGGCCCTGAGCTGCAAGATCCAGCGCAACTTCTCGAGCTGCTCAACGTATCCTGTTGCTTCTTCCATCTCGGCGCTCGTCGCCCACAACAGACCCGCGAAAGTACCGACAAGGGCCACTTGCGCAGCTGCAGCGAAGCCCCAGAACGACTGTATGTGTTCGGGCTGAAAAGATTCAATCAGTGATATGGCAGATTTGAGTCGCGCGTGTGCTGCCGTTCGGATAGTTGACCGAAGGGACGGCGCGGTATTGGTTGTCAGGGTGCGTAAAAGCGCGCGATGAATAGTCAACTCGACAGCCATATGCGAGAGATGAAGGGCGCCGCTCGTCGACAGTCGTAGAGATGTTGAAGATTCCAAACGGAGGCTTGGGGGAACAGCAGCGTGCCATTCATGTAGCTCTATCGCGAGTGGCTTCGCCAACGTCATCGCGCCGGACGGCCCTATGCGGTCCAATAGTCCGCCTCTTTTTGTTGCGCCGACTGAATAAAATGTCGAGATAATCCGACTGTAAATCTTGGTCAACTTGATAGATTGCAGGAACGCCGCTTGTCCTGAGGCTGCGTCCACTTCCCCATCTCCGCTCTGATTTTCGCCGGGTCCCTCTTCTGTGAAGTCTTCGAGCGTACAGTCGCGGACATCCCAATCACTTGGTCCTCCGTCCTCGCCAACTTGGTCGTTGATGAGAGACGGACGGCCATGAACGAGTACACCCCACTTATCTTGCATGTAGAGCGCCCAAGCCAGCCGTCTCCGCAGACCTTTCTCCCATTCCGGAATTTTCCAGTCCGAGCAGTCGAGATGAATACCCACCGTTTGCCCTATGGACAGTAATTGAGCTGGGAGAGTGCTGTGAGAAGGCAGAATTCTCTGCATGAGCAAGAGGCCGGCTTGTAATGTAGAGAGCTTTGGGCGCTTGAGATCATCAAACATTGCCCTCATTGAGAGGTCCTTCAGGGCATCCACGTTCGGTGGCTGGGGCGCGGTGGCGAGCGTTCGATCGAAGAGCTTCCAATCAAGAGCAATAAGGTAGACAGCAGCGAGCAGGGGTGGTGAGAACTCGCGGTAAGATCGAGCGTATTTCTCAAGAAAGACACCTTTGTCGAGGATGGGGAATGTTCGGTGGATAATGCGGAAATAGAGGTTTACCAACGGCGGGCCAAACGGTCTGATGGCGCCCTCGATTCGATCGAGGTCGTCGATGCGTTGCACCTCTGAGGCTGACTTCTTGTCAGGATAGGTGATAAACGCTGTGGATTGATTCACGCGTCGTGGGTAGAAGACTTCGTGTTCAGCGAAAGAGACGGCAGAATGTCGAAGGTCGAGAAGCTCCGGGTCGTGATAACTTGCGGGACCGACGTACTCGGAATGTAAATGTAGCTCCAGGCCTAATGTGCCCTCTAGTCGGGAATTGATCGGTCCGGCTGCATCTTTCTCATCATTGGATCCAGCCGTTGATGATGTTGGAGAAGAGTGGCGCGTGGGTTTCCTTGCTGGATTAATTGAAAGACAGGGGCGTTGAGGTTGCGAGAACCTACGTTTCCGTTACACTGGGTGGACTTCTAACCTTTATCCGCGGTCGGGGTCCATGTAGAAATGTGCAAGTCACATTATTCAGGTTGCAAAATGCGCAATTCTCCTTTCCGGGCTCTTTTATACATCGTGACTTCCGTTGGCGGCAGCGATCGCAGGGGCGCCGGAGGTGATGTTCCGACACTCTGAGGGCGGACATTCCACGATGGGTCGATCGTGAGTTTCCCTCACGGAAAAACAAAGCCTGGTGAAATGAATAAGATATCTATCTACGCAGTGAAGGGGTCAGCTGCACAGATGAGTTCAGCTATTGACGAAGCTGGGAACAATCAGCCAAGAAGCTGTTGGCCAATCGCTCGAAAATCGAAGACGCGTTCTATCACGTGACCTGCATGTACCTTGCTCACGCAAAAGACATTAGGGCATCTCTTTCTTTTTTTTAAATGGCCATGTGAGAGGACATCAATAGGTATAAGAAGAACGGCAAGGCCACGGAATAATACCTTCCTCACAGGAAATTGTCTGTGTCAACAAACCCTAATCGACCTAATTCAGCAAATACAAAAGTTAATAACTATTCACGTCGAACACGAATGATGGACAGAACATGGAGATTATTCCCGTTGATTTACATGTTTCAATCTACCAAATGTACAGCTATACTTGTGTAGATAAATAATAATTTGGTGTGTCCTTGGGTACCTAGGTAGGCAGTCAAAGGTTTATTTGTATTCCAATTGTCAGCTTGTTATCTTACAGTGCATACTGTGCGGATGGTGATGAGAGAAAAATGTATCGTTCAAAGGTAGTTCTGATACCAGAAGTGATCCATGCCAAAGGAGAAATGCTACGAATAACTGCCTAGGTTCGTACGCACCTTCATCAATGAAGTTTTTAGGACTATAACGTAGAACACAAATCACAGCTGCCTAACCCCACCAAAAGCACACGCCCTCTTTCTAGCTACTAGCCTTACCACAACTGTCAACGAGTCTCAACAATCACAGGGAAATACAATTGATTTCCCTCCCTACGTCTAGTCCTACACTTTGCAGCATACACTTTGTTCTAGTCCTACACTTTGCAGCATACACTTTGTTCTCCCGATTCACTTCTTCTCTACCCTACCTTTCCTTAACTATAAAGGCGAAGTTCCATAACTATCCAGGCGAAGTTCCATAACTCTCCAGGCGAAGTTCCATAACTCTCCAGGCGAAGTTCCACTCGACAGTTCCAGCATACCCCTTCCACGAGCCAACAACTCACAGACGAATAAAGAAGACCACGCAAATCCGACCTGCTAAACTTGTGTGAGGATAGTGAACGAAGCATTCTCGATTGCTGCCTCCATTCCTACTTGCTGCACCTCGCCGAGCTTCCTTAGAAATATCCGGTGTATCTCTCTTTGGGGAGTACACAGCTTTCGGAACAGGAAAGAGAAAGAAATACAAAGGGAGTTTCGAGAGTTTGCTCGAAATTTCGTCTTAGTGATCGATGGCAGAGGCATACGAACCATACGACACGGGTGTGCATAATCACTTCCCAGGTCATCAGGATTACACTCCTGACACAACCATTCGCAAAGGCATATTTCCTTTCCTCCAGCTCCCTGCCGAGTTGCGTCTCCAAGTCTACAATGACTTGATCCCCAATGGCTTCGACATCAGCTACGATCGCATGATTGAACTACCCGTTTTACTCCGCCGTGAGGACGGAGCTCACTTCAGGCTTAAAGGCGGTTGCTTCCCATACATCTGTACCGAGCTCTTCCTCGTGAATAGGCAGTTATGCAACGAAGCCCGAGCGATCCTCTACGGCCAGAATACGTACATCTTTCAATTATACGGTGGCGGAGACATGACATATCACTTACAATCTATTCAGCCCAATTTCGGCGTGCTCTATGAAAATACCCACCTTGTCCGCCATGTCCGTTCCATCTCAATCATCATTGACTTGGGCCGAAACGACTACTGGGCCATGAGGCGTGTACGGAGCCGTCTAGGCCATATCATCAGGACCATCAAATTGCATGCTGTCGACACTGCCCGGCGCTCCCTGCTTAAGAAACTGCACGTCGAGTTCTCAATAGATTGCGAAGCCCTACCAATGCATGCCTTGTTGGAGGGACCAAGTGCCAACTGTCACGTTTTTCATTGTTACAATTTTCGGCACCGCCAAGAATACCGGTTTGTCGCCCTCGAAACATTGCGCAGACTTCTGTTCGGACTGGAGAACCTGTTGGATCTACCAACTGTAAGGGAAGTCCATGTCGAGGGGGAGGATTGGGCTATCCCCGCATGGTTTGCCAGATGCCTGGAACTCTGCATCTCTAGTGGCGATGGCAACCGTCCACGCCTAATGGACTATCCAAAACGCGAAGTGAGGAGAAAGGCCACCAAACAGACGGGTCCCATCAGGAAGGGACAGTACATGATCACGACGCAGACGACGAAGCAGTGGTTCGAACCGCGCTACGACTGGAAGGAATACGCTGAGAGGAACGGGATCGAGATTGACGAACAGGAATTGGAGATATCGAGGTTGCAGCGCAAGGCGTAGATACTGCGCATGGATATCATCCAGTGTGTGTGTGTGTGTGTGTGTGTGTGTGTGCTTGTGTGTTCTTTCTGGAGGAGTGAAACGATGGCAGATATCAGGCTTTCAAATGTCTTTCTAAGACAATTACATGTAGATGTATACCAAACTTAATGAAAACTCCCTTATTGCCTACTAAATGATCAGTAAGTATTACAGCATCCCTTACACATGCCTATAAAGAAAAAACCTTATTTGTTGCTCACATCGACTCATTTAATTCCATTTGAATTTGTTTTACATAATTCAATTTAATCTATTTTGCTTTACAGTAAATTCCTCTTCACACAAAGCGATTATACTTCTTAAAAGAGGAATAAATTAAACGTCTGAAATAAAAAACTAGCTAGCAGTGTACAAGGACTTGATGTGTCCATGATCGTATTTTCGTTGAATACACATTTCCACGATATCTGACACCCACATCCTCCCAAATAAAAGAGAAGAAAAACCGGGTTCGCAACGTCAACTTCTCATTCAATGCGTTAAAGAGAAAAGAGATACGCCAGAGCAATGTCAGTTCTGACAAAAATATAATGTTTCCACTGAGGACAGCACATTTAGTATTTCCACACTTCCCATTTTCTCTGACGAGTCATCTTCATCTAGATGCCATGGAATGCTGGGTTTGATGGTTTACATCGTGCTGAGAAATGAATGCTACTATACTAATTAATGGGATGGCAGCATGGATAGTTTGTCTAGGGGCTTCAACTAAAGCTCTTCTCATTGGTGGATATCACGGAAGTCAACATATTCCTATCCCAGTGTGATTTGTTGCAACTTCGTCGTAATAATTATTCATTTCCCAACCAGCGCTATATACATTTGATAACCCAGGGCACACCAGCACCTTGGATGCTACCAGTGGAAACTCATCTGACGTCCAAGCGTCAGGATAGTAAAAATAAAACTCCTCAACCCGAATAAAACTCTACTATGTACCAAATAAACTCACTGTGCGTTGTTGCGTCTGCTAGTTACAAGATTCTCCATAACTACTGGCAATGCCGACTCAATTTGCGTTACCACTGTTTTCGAGGGATTATTGCCCAAAATTATGACTTGGAATTCCACCCCCACCAACTTGGGGATCCTCCGCCGCCTCGGGATCTTCCGCTGCCTCGGGATGATTCGCTGGCTTGGGCCCCTCTGCCGCTTCGGAATCCTCCGCCTGCTCGAAGGGACCTCCGGACATCACCTGTGCTATACCGGGCAGATGGTGTCTATGCACGGTGGCACCGACATGAGCCGCCGGTGGCATTAACGCGGGGGCGTCACGGTCTGCGGGGGCGTCACGGTCCGCGAAACGGACGCTCTTTGGTTTAGAGCTACTGCCTGGTTCCATGATGGCGCTCCTTGGTACAGAGCCCTTGCTCGTTTCCATACTGGTGCTCTTTGGAACAGAGCTACTGCCTGGTTCTGTGGTGCCGTTGAGAACAGAACTTCCATCTCCATCTATGACGGTGCCCCCTTGAGTAGAGCTGCCTCCTTGAGCAGAGCTACCGCCTTGAGCAGAGCTACCTCCTTGAGCAGAGCTACCGCCTTGAGCAGAGCTACCGCCTTGAGCAGAGCTACCGCCTTGAGCAGAGCTGCCGCCTCGATCTTCGTCGAAGCTGTTTCGCGGGGTCACCGACGGAATGGGATTCTCTGGAAGGCCATGAGGTGACTGGGCGATCATAGTCCTCAACTCCTGTCCGCGATCGTGGCTCATCCTCTGCCATCTAATTTCGCGACATAAAGCCTTGCACTTGTGCATGTAAGCTAAAGTACTGCTAGCTGTCAGAACGTCGACGCCATGGCCCGAATATCAAAGTATAGAAAGAGTCAACTTACAAAAGGGCATACGGCCACCCAGTGCCAATTCTTAATACCAAGCATGTGGTTCGTAGTATGTTCTGCGCATGCAGCTCATCCCAATCTGCGGAACGACAGATCGGCCAATCCGTATATCGATGCCTCCGTTCATCAGGCATGGTAGCCTAGTCCATGGCGAGACACGCTAGGCAGATTGCTATTTGAGTAGAGCAAACGATGAATGAGCCAATCCAGCGAAAACGGAACACATGGAATGTCACGTTGAGAAGATGCAGCACGACAAGTGCAAGCGGACCAGCGACGCTAGATACGTACGTCGGACTATGACATGTTATCAGATGAACTCGAACTAACACAGGAAGGGACTTACAAGTAGAAGAGCGGCCGTTCGAACGTCATCATAGGATCCTGGCCAGCGATTCCAAGCGGGGCCATGATGGATAGCGGCCTCTCCATGTAAAATATGCTTTCCCTAGCGCCCAGACAGCGAAACGACTTGGGAATCTTGGATGAACTTCGCTCATAGACATCGCCGACGACGGCAAATGAGATCGCAAGAATCAAAGACGGCAACATACGTACGATGGCTTTTTTGATTGCCCCGCCGCCGAGTGCCCAGTTGTTGAGTTTCACCATCTTGTGCCATAGAGCGATCGCTGGATCACGGATGCAGTTGGTCCAGAGACTTACGCAGCAGACGCCGAGTATTCTCATGATGGTCGGAAGCTTGAACAGCTGCCACAAAAGGAAGTAACACATCTCGGCTTGGGGACCTTCAAGGTACTAAGAGGTTTGGGAATGGGCTGCTCAAAGAACGTATGGAGCCAGCGACTGCGAGAAATCCCAGATGCAGTCTGAGCAATGGTAGGACGTTTCGAAACAAGTCCGAAGACACTCGGATGCGGATCGGACTGTACAAGGGGCTTATGGTGACGAGGTCGAGCGATAGGAAGAGCGAGTGAGTTATGGGTAACGGACGACAATAACGTATTGGTAATAATCGTATAACGATAGACGAAGCATATACTGTACTCTGTTGGAGATGAAAGTGACGTGGAAGAGCGATGGCCGTTAGTAAGGGAGGATGAACAAACCAAGCTGCAACTGAGACAGAAGTGTCGCCCGGTCAATACCTACCCATGTGGTGAACGTAATTGCCTCTCGCACACCGCATATTCAGGTAGTTGCGCAGGATGATCACATGATAATTATAAGCACGTCGGAATAGAAGAGGAGATTAAGACAAGAAAGAATCGCCAATATTCATCGTTCCAAACTACGGCCCAACACATACAAACAGCTAGATATTCGTACCGGAAACGGGAGGCCACAAATTGCATATACAACAACACATTCGAACGGGCAAATCCACACAAAGGAACCTATTCAACAGAGACTGATCCAAACCACCATTTACATGAAGTCGGGATCCAGCATTACGCGAGAGACATGAAAAGAGGGAACCTGGTCATTTTGGGGGAGGGTTTGGCTTGCCCGATCAGAAGCGGCTGCGAGGAGGATACTGGGGGTACCTCGTGCCTACAGTCTGCTCGGGAAGCTTGTTGCCGTATTCGTCATAACCGTAGTTCTCACGCTGCTCAATCCATTCCTGGATATCAAAAAGTCAGCCGGGGTTCATAATGATGAAATTACTTCATGATTCCCACCTCTCTGTGATAACCGTGATCCATGGGAGGCACTGGTTGGGGATTCAGCACAATTTCATCTCCGAATCCAGGATCGCCGTCAAACCTACGCCGATACTCGGCAGCTCCGATGGGTTGGGGCGCACCATATTCCGCATACTGACCGTAAGGGGACCTTCGTGGCTCGCTCTGCATCCAGGTGTCGCGCTCTGGGACACGGTCCTCAAAGGACTCGGGACGACGTCCGAGTCCGGGGTCCATGCGGCCACGCTGCTCATATCGCTTCTCCTCATAGTAGTTGGGGCCACGCTGCTCGAAGCGAGCCTCAACATGACGGTCATCGCGAGGGTCGCGCTCAATGTGGAGATGGCGCTCGTCTACACGTCCACCATGACGGGGATCGTGAGGGCGGTCATCGTAGCGGCTGTCATGGTGTTCAATGTACTCGCGCTCGTCGTACTGCTGGGGGCGGCCGCGGGAGTCGTAGTGGATATGACGCTCATCGTGGTGACGGGGGCCGTGTTCGTGCTCGACCCAAGTCTCGCGCTCCTCTACGACTCGGCGAGGGTCGCGGCCATGCTCGACCCAGACCTCGCGCTCCTCAACCCTCCTGGGACCGTGTTCGTGCCTCTCGATGTAGACATTCCTCTCGTCTACATGGCGCTCGGGCGCGTCGCGGCGGATGTCGACGTCGATCTTGGTGTTGTGAGTCTCGTGGGTCTGAGTCTGAGGCTGTCGGGCAGGTTGGGCCTGCTGCTTGGCGGCGCTGTTCGGCTCGAGTGGTCCTAGGTATCCGATAACCTCGTTCAAGCTCGCATGGGCGAAGTTGAGCTCCTTCTCGCGGTTCTCCAACTTTTCCTTCTCGCTGAGGAGCCAGTAAACCCTGTGTCGTATACCGACGCGGCGGCCATCGTCGACGTCGCTGGACACACGCTCAGTGTAGGGCGCAATGTTCTCCAGGGCACCGCGGACGTCACGCATGGCTCCGAAGACCCATTTCGCTTTGCCCGGGTTGGCGGCGAGGGCTTCCTTGACCTCCTCGACGGTCAGGAGGCGCTTAACTTCGTCGAGATCGGCGCGAACGCGCTTGATGAGGCGGACGTAGACGGCGTTGGCTGGACCGACATCCTTTAGACGTTTGGCCTTGTAGAGGAACTCGCCGAGTTTGTAGGTGGCGCCGATGGCAGTCGCAGCGGCACCAGCGCTGATGAGAGCACCCTTGGCCATGACGAGGTTGGTGTTGTTGTTGTTATTGTTGACGGACGGCGACGGGGCCGAACGGGCGGATTAGGCGGGAATCGAGAGGCCTCAATTAGGTGCCTTTGAGTGTTTTGAAGGGGTGGATGCGATGAGGAAGCATCCCGCGCACTGTGAGGGGCGCTGGAGGTGGAGGTGGAAGTGTTGTGGGTGCGAGGTTGAGCTGTGTTGTCAATTCAGCTCTGAAGCTTCAGGAGGCTGGGGTGACCGCTAAACCCGATTGGGCAAATCCCATACAAAACCGGCCAGCCTCGGCTGCATGGGATCGATGAGAGTAAATAAACAAACACAGAGAGTCCATCATCATCACGGCGACGAGTATAATCAATGATTCAAATAAGTCATTGTGCCCTTTCGCGGTTTGAGCTTTATTTTGGGGGTGGACATTCTCAATATATACACATGTGGACTGAGGAATGTGGAAATCCCAGCATATTGGCTCATGGGCTCAACGCGCGTACTTTTCCACAAAGGCCTTGACCTTGGGATCTTCCATAGACAAGCTCTCTGTCTCTGCAACCAATAATTTTTGCTCTCCCTCTTCCAACTGTTCCTCTAGAGTCTTCATCTCGGCCTCCAATTGCTCATCTGTCAGCCTTACTGTCTTGAACTTCGTGTCGGCGTACACCGCGTCGAGAATATCCCTTAGCTCAGCGTCCGCTTTATCGAACCTCTCGGCCAATTTGTCGTGCGCAGTCACGGTGGCAGATTCGTAGTGCTGGGCAAGCTTTTCTTGTCGCTCGATCAGTGTTCTAGAAAGTGACTCCTGGAGTTCCTCGAGCGAGTCCTGGCTGAATGACACCCCAGCATGACGTAGGGCATCTTGAACAGACGGTGGTAAGTCGAGATTCTTTGCCGGTTTGAATTTCACTGCTGGTGTAAAGTCTAATGAAGGCCGTGAGATTGTGCGCTTCCTTGACGATTTCGGAGTCTCTGCGATTGGTTCGGGCATTCGTTTTGCAGCCTCCTCGCGCACCAATGCAAATGCATGCTGAAATTCGTGCACATCCTTCGCATGGTTCGAAACGATATCCAGTCGTTTCGCCATGAAGTCCAATGTTGACAAGACCTGTGACAGTCAGCACCAGTACGTATGTTCGTGCATCGTAAACCTACATAATCCAACCAGGCAGCTCTTGCTTCCTTCTGATCACGGTCTCTTCGCTCTATGCCGTCCATGATCGGCTTCCTCAGATCATGTTCGACAACCATCTCCGCAACGGAGGCCACCTCTGAGTGGAGGGTCTCCAACTCAGCCTGCAGTGCAGTCTTCTGTTCGCGCGCTTCCTCATCGGACATCTCGGGCACATCAGCCTCGGAGAAAGTCTTCAAGCCCTCCATGTAGGCGATGTCGACTCTAGCTTTGATCTCTGCCGTTCGAAACGACACTATTGCTTTACACCATTGGTCGACGAATTTTTCGTTCTCATCGACCTCTGGCTCCACCATAATCTTAGATACGATCCCAGGCAGAGCGGTCAGGATTTTGTCGTCGGAAGCAAGTCTTTCCACAAGGAACGAATCTAGCGCTGACTTCTCTGTTTCGACGTCTCGTTGTGCATCGCCGAGCTGTTCGTTGATGCTCGTGACCACATCCTCAATCTTAAACAAAAATTAGAATTACCAATACATGGGAAATGTGAGATACATACGGTGATGTCTAGTCTCGCTTTCTCCTGTTGCTCCTTTCTCCGCCGTTCGTTCCGGGCATGCTCGACCTTCATGTTTGGCTTACCCATGGCTTGAAGCGCCTTCAGAGCGGAAGCCTGGGCCTCGAGCACTTTGCATTGCTCTCCAATGGCAGCGGTTGAGATCTCAAGGGATTCGATTGCAGAAGATAGTTCATGGTCTAAAAGTGGTCGGATGGGGGCGTTGTCAAGATTGTGCCGAGAAATGAGTCCCTTCTTTTGCATGAACTTGTAGCTGTATGATGTTAGGTATGATGGGATACGGCTGGGTCTAGCACATTACACTTCAAGTTCCTCGCGTGTTAATAGAGTCTCTTCGTTCAGGTATTCATTGACCCATGCAGCCGCCTCTTTCTTCGTGTTTTCATCCTCAAATGCAGCGAGCACTTTGTCCAGGTCCACATTCAATTCCCTCTCTTCTAGCACATTCAACAAGTGATGCGCAGCCGCCTCCTCGGACATCCTGACAGATTTAACTAATGTGTTTTTTGCCAATAAGTACGAAACTCAGTAGGTCAAGCAGTGAGTAAATAAAGAGCAGCAATTATGACTTGAGTTGGGTTATGCTCTGGAGTGCGTTGTCCGGGTCAAAATGCAGGGACCCGCCAGCCCTACAGCCGTTGTCCAATTAGATCAAAGGGGTAATAGAGCGGGCCATTCAAGCCAACTCCGCAGTCACGAAACCCCAACCGCCGACGCGTTTTCTCGCGACGTCAATTAATTAGTCGATTCATTCACATTCACGTTCACCCCTCCGACTCCCATTACGACCACAAACACCCCTCACAAGGCTTTACACGTCAATCAATCAGTACAACACAATCCCAAAATGCCTCCGTCAGCGGTCGAACCCGTGATAACCCCTTCGGAACAACCCTCCACCAAATCCACACCCTCGACCTCAACCTCAATACCATCACAACCCTCAAATCCCTCTCATGAAGAACACCAATACCTCAATCTGATCCGCGAGATCCTCACCAACGGCGAGCACCGCCCAGATCGTACAGGCACGGGCACATACTCCGTCTTCGCGCCTACGCCCCTCAAATTCGCCCTCTCCAAACCCTCAACCTCCCCTTCAGAACCCAACACCCTCATCCTGCCCCTCCTCACAACCAAGCGCGTCTTCCTCCGCGCCGTCATCGCCGAACTCCTCTGGTTCATCGCAGGCTCCACGTCCGCCGCCCCCTTGGCCGCCGCCGGAATCAAGATCTGGGACGGCAACGGCTCCCGCGAGTACCTCGACTCTGTCGGTCTCAGTCACTACGCCGAGCAGGAACTCGGCCCCGTCTACGGCTTCCAATGGCGACACTTCGGTGCCGAGTACGAGGGCCCTAACGCAGACTATACGGGCAAAGGCGTCGACCAACTCGCAGAGGTCATCGATAAACTAAAGAACAAGCCGTACGACCGCCGCATCATCCTCAGCGCGTGGAACCCCGCCGATCTGGGCAAGATGGCGCTCCCACCTTGCCACATGTTCGCCCAGTTCTACGTGTCGTTCCCCGGCGCGGGACGAGGCGTGCGGACGGAAGAGGGCAAGGACAGAGGGAGGGGCGTGCTACATAGTGTGCTGTATCAGAGGAGTTGCGATATGGGACTTGGCGTGCCGTTCAATATCGCGAGTTATGCGCTACTGACGCATATGCTCGCTTCGGTTTGCGATCTGACGCCGGGGACGTTCACACATACGATGGGTGATGCACATGTCTACCTCGACCATGTCGACGCGTTAAATGTGCAGTTGGAGAGGGAGCCGAGGGAGTTTCCCGAGTTGAGGATTAAGAGGGAAATTGGGGGTAGTATCGATGGATGGGCTGTTGAGGATTTCGAGATCGTGGGGTACGAGCCGCATAAGACGATTGCCATGAAGATGAGCGTTTGAGCACCGATATCTGTGTATAAAGGGGGAGTTATAGACCATGATTGTACATGACGTTTGAATAGATGGGACAACCCGTACATACGCAGACCATATATCCACGATTTGCTTTTCCATGCATGTCACGTCTCCTCATCCCTCCTTACAAACACAACGCGAACGGTTCAAGATTCAATCCACCACACCGCAAGTGCATTAGGTAAGAAACGCTCCCTCGATTCCGGACGGAGGCACTCTCTATTCATCTAACTACCTCGACTTACACGATATACCCATGAACGCATACACCATGTTCAAATTCAATAAAGCTACATGTATGCCTCCCTAGGGGCTAGCTTGAGAATACAGTCTTTGGAGCACGATAGTCGAGATACAGGAAACGAAACAAAAATGTTCTATTAATTCTCAATTTATCTTTAGGTACATCAAAATATCTACGATCTGCTCCGTATGCTGCCGAAGTGTTTCTTCGTTAGTGTTCAATAGCGCCTAGATGTCTTCTTTACCGCGCGCGTAAATGGCGAGTACCAGAGCGACAGGGGTGATTCAAAATGGAGATAAAACACTACTCGTCGATTAAACTGATAAATTCGAATCGATGATAGTCTCTCTACTCATTCGTTTCAGCCGGGTAAACGTTGTGTTCCAGCGTACTGTAAGGCTGTGGCACAGCGAGACAGGATGTTTCACCACAATACGTACCTAGGTATATCATAGCCATCACTCCGCTGTATCCATCCCATCTTCCAATTCACTATCACTCTCATCTCATACTTCACATACCCCTAATTCTCATGCAATCATGTCACAAAATCACCTCACCAACGCATTCCAATCCCTAAGCCTCCAACGCCCAACCCCCGGCATAACCCTCCTCGAAAACCAACACATCGACCTCCCACCCAACTCACAACTCTCTCTCCGCTTCCACGGGCACCTCGGCCACGGCGGCAGCGCCAGCGTGGACATCGTCTCGGACCCGACCACCGGCCGCACCTTCGCACGCAAGCTTTTCAAGCGCTACAACGGCAAAGACGTCGCCTCATGGAGCGCAGCCGTGCACAATGAAATCGCCATCACCAAGCGCATGAGGTCCCACCCACACATGGTCCAGCTTTTCGGCACGTATTCGGGCAGCGGGGGGCGTGAGCTCGGCATGCTGTTGCATCCCGTCGCGGACGGGGGCGATCTCCAGGAGTACCTAGAGAGTATCCAGGACTCGCGATCGGGCGCCACGGGGAGCCAGAGGGCGGTTTTGTGGAGTGCGTTTGGGTGTCTTGCGGATGGGTTGGCGTTCATCCATCGGAGTACGATTAGGCATAAGGATATCAAGCCGAAGAACATCCTGGTGCATGACGGGAAAGTTATGTACACGGACTTTGGGATCTCACTTGATGCGACGGGGTTGGATAGGACGACGACAAGTGGGGTGCCGCAGGCTCTCACGAGGAGGTACTGTGCGCCGGAAGTGGCGAACTATGGGCGGAGGAACAGGAAGACGGATGTGTTTTCCCTGGGCTGCGTGTTTGTCGAGATCATGGCTGTTCTGTATCCTGGTCTTGGTATAGGTGTTGCGAATGGCGGTGTTCCTTATTGGCAGATGGCGGAGGGTATTCGAAAGGTATTGATAGGGTCCAGGGTTTCGGATGCTCGACTGGGGGAGGTGCTGCGCGTGATTCACGCCATGTTGGAACCTACGAATGAAGGCCGGATCGACTCTGAAGACTTGTTACGTCGTCTACAGAGAATCGAGTCGTTGTACCCGGGATCCAGTCCCGTGCTGTTCTGCAGTCACTGCTCGCCAAACGGGCCCAAGGGCAAGGCTACAGAGACCGTCCAAGGTACACGAAGACGAGCATCGCCAGGAAACACAGCAACAAATTCTCAAGCATTCCAGACGAACAACAGAAACCTCCCTTCATACAGGACCTCCTCCCCAAGTCCTCCCTCCACATCAGCAGCCGTCGCCAGAGCAATCGAAAAGCCCCTCAAAAGCACAGAGGCACACGAAAGCTACATCTACATCTTCCCCTCACGACGCGAGCACGGTTTAGTCAAAATAGGCACCGCAAGCAACGTCCCCGTCCGCTTGAAGATCTGGCAAGGCATGTGCAAGCACCCCATCAGTGAGTACCCACAAACCGCCTCGGGCCAACGAATCCCCACGAGATACGCAGAGCGCGTCGAGCAGCTCGTTAGGGCGGAACTGGGAGACGTACGGTTTCAAGATGAGAGGTGTGATGGGTGCGGGCAGAATGTGGATCATGAGTGGTATAGAACCACGCCGGAACATGCTGCGAGAGTCGTGAGGAAGTTTGGGGATTGGTTGGAGGGGGACCCTTATCAGTTTGATGGCACGGATGGGCCTTGGCAATTGAAGGACAGAGCACGGAGGAGGGATATGGAGGTGCTGTGTCGACCTGTGCCTGTGAAAGAGTACTGAGCATCATGACGTGCTTTGTTGTAATCGATGACTTTTAGGTATTCGGTAACTCGCGGGCGAGATGGATAAACACCGCTTCAACTTGTTTTCTTCATCTATTCTTTTATATCATACTCCGCGTAATCAAAGTAATACCCTAATCACATTCATCTCTGTGTAGAAAACAGTTGAGTAATGAGTACGTATACTGCATCTATGGACTATTAACGCTTGTAGAACAGAAAAACTCAAGTCGATAACATAAAAACAAATTAAAAACCAAAGCTTCACTAACTCCTATACTCCCACTTTCTATCCTGCCAGTAATAGACAAGTATTTTCTCCGTATCCGTAAATTGTATTCTATTTGTCTCTACTATATTCGCCTTCTAATTAGGTTAAAAAACAGAATTTAATAACACAAAGAAAAACTCCATAATCGCGATACTGCCTTTCCCTTGTAGCAATTATACTTTAACTTGTCGCGTAGAAGCGCTGTCGCGATCATTGACGAACTTCGAACCAAGATGCATACCTTATTGAGGCATTCTTCCAGTCCATCGCTGACCGTTTCCTCCCGTCCATCTCGTTAGGCAGGTAATCCATCTACAGTCTGCTTGGGCTAGGGGCTCGAGCTGAGGAGGTGGAGAGAAAAAGGTGGGACTGGTGATGGAACGATAGACGAAGCCATGGTAGTTAGGAGAGGCTAATTAATCAGCCGGTATCACCGGATTTCTGACACTTGCAACTCATCTTCTTTAACACCTGCGACCCGACTTCTCTAGTCTACTAATACTCTGCATCGGTTTATCTATAGGTTGATTCCGTAATGACTTCAAGTATTGCCGATGGAATTATCCGATGGTACCAGAATCCTTTCGCGCGAGGAAGCGAGCCAATTCCTTCGGACACAACGGAAAGGCAACCGCAAGAAAGCCTGTTTTCCTTGTCATGAAAGAAAGGTCGGCTGTGACGGGTCTCGGCCGTGCAAAAGGTGTGTCGAACGTGAACATCCTGCCATGTGCAGCTATGAACCTGTCGAATCAATCAAAAAGCGGAAAATTGCTTCGGTGGAATCAGCACGTACAACAGAACCGACACCCTCATCTACATCTCCGAATCTGGTCTCGATGAATAGAAGTCTCAGTAACGAACAATCTTCCACACCAACCGACCAATTCGTGGGTGATTCATCCGTTCCTGGCTTTATTATGAATGGTCTGTCACATAGGGACGAGCGAGAATCTGGCATAAGTAACAAGGAGCTTCGTAGCCTTCTCCTTCCAGCCCTTGGTCTCGCGAGAACAGATTGTGTCTGGCCCACTGAATCAGAAGAAATCACCTTTGCTCTGGCTCGCGCCGCGGAAGCGCTGCCTCGAAGTCCAGAAATCATCAGGTTAGTCAACCCCAGTACAGGGTCTCCACACGGCATTTCATCTCACACGTGTTGATAGGTTATTTCAACAATACAAACAAGTTGTCTATCCTCTCAATCCGCATATTCTCGATTTGCCGATCTTCGAACCTGAGCTTGTTACGTTTCTGAGTAGTATCGAACAGGTGAAATCAGGTCAAGCAACAGGGATTTCGTTACCTTGGATTGCTATTATGTTTGCTGTCATTGCTGCTGGCTTGCAGTTTTCTGATCTATCACTTGATGAACGAGCTTTCAGTAGCAGACGTTATGGTAAGAAATAGAGATTGATTTCAATTGTTCCAGAGACTGGTGGATTGACTGTATGTAGCCCGCCAAGCACTTGCCTGTTTACAAGCTGAATCTGGCTTCATCACGGCAAGTGTCCCAGCGATAACGGCGATCTTGATCCTGGTGACTGTGCTGCAAAACAACCTGGCGACCGAGGCGGCTTGGTCTTATCTCGGATTGGCAAGCAGACTAGCACAGAGCCTTGGACTTCACAGAAGCGTATCACCGAACCAATCTTCAGGTGACTCTCTAGAGTCCTCACTATGGTGAGCGATCAATCTGTTGATTTTTCTATCAGTAATTTCTAATAAGCTCACTAGGAAAGCAATAGTTTGGCAGGATTGCTTGCTGTCCATGTGTTTCGGAAGGCAGCCATGCACCTCATTGACCAGGAAAGGACACTGCCCCAGCAGCGAAACTCATCGAGATCTAGATTATCGAGATGCTATGTACCTCCTGACTTCTACGAGCCTTGAGTTCATCACGGAAGAAGTCAAATCACTCACTCAGCTAACTTCGCAAGCTTCTCAACTCGAGCAGGAGATTGGCAAGGCAAAACCAGAATTAAGGATTAGAGAGAAATGTCGCTCAATCGAGGATCACATGGAACACCTCGCATTCCGCCTTAACACGTCCTTTGCTATGGCTACTTTGCTCCGCCCGTCATTGAAGGCTGAGCCGCGTTGGCAGGCACATCAGGATGAACAGAGAAAGCTGCGCAGACTATGTGTCGATGCTTGTGTCACCGCCGTAGAGTCATTCATCAGTTTGCACAAGCTTTCGGTCGTGGCGGAAAGATCCTGGGCCATATTACATAACGGCTTAAGCTGCGCCCTGGTGCTGCTGCTAATCGATGAAGCCAGACGCAACGTAGAAATCAAGCAGCTTCAACAGGAACTGGTCAGCATCATGTCCCAATCCTCGAAGAGCCGGGATCAGGGCTCGTTGCTGTGGGGTCCACATGCTCGCATTCTTGCAGCTGTAAAGCTTCTCGACCCAGCAAGATCTACTATACCATCTTCCCCCCCGCCAGTTCAAGGTGTCTTTCCAAGTGAACAGAGAACCTTATCTCCTCTCAACAATCGTGGAAGTGGGGGAGGAGAGACTATTCTGGACGAATTCAACAGTCTTTCCAACGATTTGAACAACAACAATTCCAACGCCCTCTATGATTTCTCCAGTCTGGATCTTAACCAAGAGTCTTTGAGTACGCTCTATGACTCTATTATGTGGGGAGATTATCAAATCTAATGAGGTGTCTTTCTACCGAGTGGCACACGTCACCAACATTTTTCCCTTGCTATAGAGGCGTTCTGGACATCGACTCGAAAAATAACGAGCTCAAGAGCTCTCGCGCGCTTCTCCAATGCAATATGCAATCTAGTCACGTGACTATTGGCACAGCTCGTTCCTCATACCTTCAAGCGATAGAGTTGCCATCGGACACGATGTGTGTGACATCCACCTAGGCGATAAAGTCGGCGTGACGATCAGTATGCGCCGGCACGAGCATGCTGTGAGACCCCTCGACAATGCACCTTTATGCTATTAGATGACACCATGACTACCTTTCCTTGCACAAAAGCAAAATACCGTGCAGTATTCTTCAGCTCATGAAATGGTGGCGTCGGCAGGAGATAGCGGAAGAACGTCCGATGGACCACATGATTTCCGCCGCAGCTGCCCCTCTCCAGCCACATTTCAGCCTGATCGAGCTTTTTTCATCACGATGTTACGCTTTCATTTGGGCAGCTATGACCATGCCTCAGATTTGAATGTTCGCAAAGTCTGCGATCAGCTATATTGATTGAGGTTTCTCGAGCCTCCTCTTTCCACCCATTCCAGCAGCCTAGTATAGATTTATCGGCATAATTAGCCGATATTTCATAGGCCTTTTTTTCAGCCTTGTCACATACACCCGTTTGCATTCCAAAGTTGCATGTGAGAGAAGTCACAGTCCCATCATGAATGATCCTGATCGAATTGGCACTACCTCCGACGCCAGCAACGGAAACGACAACCATCCGACTTATGTGAGAGCACAGAGACGCCTGGTAGTCTGCTGCGACGGTACATGGAATGACAGTATCAGCACAGAGTCTCCAATTACAAACGTTTCCCGGATTTCACGATTGATCAAAGCAGTTGGCGATGATGGCGTCCCACAAATTCTCTCATACCAAGTTGGAATTGGATCTGGCACCACGGGATTGGGGAATGCGATTGACGGAATGACAGGAAGAGGTAGGGATTCCCCCGTAAAGGCTCATTGAGAAGATGCACAAAATATCTCTGACTGTTCAATGTCCACCTGCAGGCATTTCGACAGATATTCGAGAAGCATATACATTCATATCTCATAACTACACGAGTGCATCCGACGAGATAATATTGATCGGATTTTCACGAGGAGCATTCACAGTTCGGAGCGTTGCATCCTTAATAAATGATATCGGTCTTTTGACAAAGAATGGCCTGAAGTATCTGCTGAGACTTTACAATCTCTGGAAAAGGAATCAACCTTTCGAGGTCGTTGGCGGAATCACGATTGACCCCAAGACTGAATTGCGCAAGTCTTGCGAAGAGATCCTTGAGAAGGGTTGTCTCTTGCCAAACGTGAGGGTCAGAGTATGTGCAGTATGGGATACAGTTGGAAGCCTGGGCTTTCCTGTGCCTTGGCCAGTCCCACAACGCATCCCAACAAAGCTACGTCATGTCAACTCGACCTTGTGCGAAAACATTGACATTGCGATCCAAGCTCTCGCATTGAACGAAAACCGGAGGCATTTCCAGCCCACGGTATGGGAAGCTCCACCGAGTGGTTCGAACCAGATCTTGAAACAATGCTGGTTCCTGGGAGCCCACAGCGATGTTGGAGGCGGAAACGAAGACGCGGGTCTTGCAAATATCACTCTGATATGGATGATATCTCAGCTTCATCATTATCTAAGCTTCGATTTGGAGAATTTGCAGCAGTCCATTGCTAATAGCACCCTGGCTCGCCCGGACTGGGCTGTAACTGCAAGAGTTGGAGTCTATCTATACGGGCTTGAGTTGGAAGCTGCAAAAAGTAGATTGGGCACAGCATATTCGATCAAGTTCCAGGGCTTCACTCTTCATTCTAAATTCGTCAATACACCCATTGCTCGTGAATTCGTTCGAGAGGTTGTATCTCCGAGCAAAGGTAACTCGTTCCTAATGTTCCTTCATCAACGAGTTTTTCAATGCGATGGGCGACTGACTCTGGCTTCACAGGCATAGTCCGAAACTCAATGCGAGGGGTCTTCCTACTTGCAGGCTCAAAGCAAAGAAGACCCAAGCGATACCTCATCACAGAAGACGGGGTTCGAAAGGTTGCCAAAGATGAGCCTGTCAGCACGAATGAAACCGTTCACTTTACCGCCCGTATCCTATTGGGTACTCGCCTAAGGACGTGCCCTGCTCTTGCAAAGTACAAGACAAAGATTGTTGACGATGCTGTCACCTGGCATTTGAGCCGAAAGAACGGCAACGAAACAAGAACCACTCTTCGCGAAGAAACCTTCACACCCCTGGAAGAGAATTTATTGAACCAGTGGTTTAATGCTGACCAATCCGAGAATGGTAATTCTGACTGGAACGATGTTCTTGATCAAGTGAGAGAAAGAGGCAAGGCCAAAAATGCCTATATCAACGTGGCACTCGGGGACATCTTGCGTGCACTAATTAGTGATGCAAAGGAGCCAAAAATACTCTTTCCTCCACAACTCAACCAGCCAGCCACGCAGGCAACGCAGGAAACGCAGGCAGCGCAGGCAACGCAGGCAACGCAGGCTACGCCGGTCACTTAGTGATGAAACAGACCAAAGATGACGGCCATATCTCTACCATATCCTGGGGCAAATGATTATGGTTTTATGGATACGTGGGTTACTGCTTGGATGCCTTGCAAATCGCTTGAGGTTCTCTTTTCTTTTCTCACTGCCTCCAGGTTTTTATGACATGAGTGGGCTATCTCAATGAAACATCTAACTCCTGATCATGTACTACACAAAATTTCCTTCCGTCAAGCTCTATTGAATCCATGTTCTGTTGAAATGATAATACACAACCACCTGCTTTGTATCGAACTCAATCTTGTCTGTAGTTTGGGGTTTCGTAGAATCATTGCTCTCTAGCCCCCGTGTTGTCTTCGCTCTTGGAACTTTTGCGTTGGAAAATGCGACTGTGCACGAAGAAAGAGAACATGCAACTAAATATTGATTATCAAAAGAAGGGGTTACGAATAAAGCTTCAAGCTCAAGCACAGTTGCTAGCAGTGGCCGCAAGGCGGTTGGTACAAAACGCCAGCACCGTCGTCACCTCAATCATCTTCACCTCCGTCACTATTGTCAAGATGGGACTAGGACATTAAAATCCCGAGAAAATATTATTGCTTCCGTTTACTAAAAGTAGTTCCAGAAAACTGCTGTTTTGATGACTGTTGTGGTATGATAATTTCCAAATCGAGGTTTTGGTGTTCCAAGCATTACGGCGATTGACCTCCAAAGGGACCCACAAAACAAAGAACTGGAAATGGTCGTTCGCGATGTCGGCAATGAATAAAAGTCTTCTCCTCTTCAGGTTCGGCCACAAGAATAACAATTTGCTAGGTTGAGTAATAGTCTACTGATTGAGATCATGAGAGTGCCTATATGCACCGCGCCGAAGTGGAGCGACCATAGTCTGAACTAGACTGGTGATCCTAAGCAACACTCGGTCCGCTCGAAGATGCCGAGCACGCCGAGCACACCGAGTAGATATCTACTATTAAACAATCGGCCTCGGAAACTTCGGTGAGCTCGGTGGACGTATGTCTTTCGCCATTGACGCAAGTGACACACCAGCAATTTGGCCATTACGGCCCTTATCTGTAAATGTCCTAGCATTTAGTTCTCTGTGATAATTTCGATAACAGAAATGATGTAGTAGCTTTGTATAAATATACTTTCCTGCTCTAAAATATTGTAATTCCTCACCAATATCTCGTGCTCCTCAACCAACCTATCCAGCTCGCCTCAGAAAGCTTTCCAATTTTTTAATATGTCTTCACGCAATGAAACGACCAACATTCCATCAGAACAGCTAGAGCCGCAACTGAACTTTCGTTCTTTTGTAGATGCTCTGAAGGCCGACAACGACCTGGTTGAAATTGATGACGAAGTCGATCCTCACCTGGAGGTTGGCGCAATTATCCGCAAAGTGTGCGAGACCAATGAGAAGGCACCACTGTTCAATAATGTCAAGGGCGCAAAGAATGGCCTGTGGAGGATTCTCGGAGCGCCAGCTTCCTTGAGGAACGACCCAGAACAGACATATGGTCGAATTGCTAGGCATCTCGGACTTCCCCCTACCGCCAGTATGAAGGAAATTCTGGAGCTTATGGTCTCACCCGCTCGCGCAGCGCCAATCGAACCGCGAATTGTCGCAACTGGTCCTTGTAAAGAAAACATCCTGGATGACGGCGAGTTCGACTTCATGAAGCTACCTGCTCCTATGCTCCACCAGTCGGATGGCGGGCGATATATCCAGACCTACGGCATGCACATTGTGCAAACACCGGACGGCAAGTGGACTAACTGGTCGATTGCCCGCGCTATGGTGGATGATAAGAACCATCTTGTTGGCCTGGTCATCAAGCCACAGCATATTTGGCAGATTCATCAGATGTGGAAAAAGATTGGCAAAGACGTTCCTTGGGCCCTTTGCTTTGGTGTACCCCCAGCCGCCATCATGGCATCGAGTATGCCCATCCCCGACGGTGTTTCGGAAGCTTCCTATGTGGGTGCTATGACAGGAAAGGCTTTAGACGTTGTCAAATGCGAAACAAACAACCTTCTCGTACCGGCAAACGCGGAGATAGTGCTTGAAGGCACTCTTTCCATCACCGAAACCGCTCCCGAGGGGCCTTTCGGCGAGATGCACGGATATGTCTTCAAGGGAGACACTCACGAGTGGCCGCGTTACAAAGTTAACAAAATTACCCACCGGAATGATGCTATCTTACCAGTTTCCAATTGCGGCCGTATCACCGACGAGACGCACACCCTGATCGGATCTCTAGCCGCTGCCCAAATTTGCGAGCTTTGCCAGCGCGCGGGACTCCCAGTCAAAGAGGCCTTTGCTCCATTCGAGACTCAGGTCACCTGGATCGCGATGAAGATCGACACTGAGAAATTGCGTGATATGAAAACAACACCAGAAGTGTTCCGAAAGCAAATTGGTGACTTGGTTTTCAGCGAAAAGGCTGGCTATACCATCCATCGCCTAGTACTCGTAGGAGAAGATATCGACATCTACAACTTCAAGGATGTACTGTTCGCGTTCTCTACGCGGTGCAGGCCCGGCACGGACGAAACTTTCTACCAAGAGTGCATGGGATTCCCCCTAATCCCATACATGTCTCACGGAACAGCATCCCCAAATACTGGTGGAAAAGTGGTATCAGACGCTCTGTTGCCCGTGGAATACATTACCGGTCAAGACTGGGAACTCGCTGACTTTGCGAACTCGTATCCTCAAGAGCTACGTGACAAAGTAAACAATCGTTGGCAGCAAATGGGTTTTGGGGTGTGAGGAGATTGGTCTACTTAGGAAGCAAAGGGAAGATCACGTGGGAAAGTCATTGTGGGTTTGCGTTGGACGAGAGGTCCGGCCTTGTCTTAGATTCTGTTATGATTGTGGAGGGTATAGAGTTCGCTAGATAGTTCATGAAGCAATAGATGCGATTATTTTTAGAAGTTTGGGATCGTTATTTGAAGCTAGCTGTATTGAATGTGCTATTGCAATTCCGATGACCTATGACTAGGTGCCTCTTCACATCATCACTTAGCGGAACAGATAATATGGAACTTTGTCTGATGCTCGTGAATTGGGACTTCTTATCCTTCTACTTACAAGTTGAACACAGCGGCAACTATTGACGGCGCCAGAAAAGTAATCACAGAAGGAGTACAGGACTGGACTTAGAGACGACTAAGGTGTCACCACGACGCCACCATAGTGTGATGACTTCAATTTGTCGGTGTTTAAAGAATCCTCGCGGGAGCCTTGCCATGGGCACAGCAATAAGGACAACAAACAGAAAATTAGAACTATCAACTCAATGAGCTAGTTAAAAAAACTACATCGAAAATAAAATGAAACGATGAAGAGGCACTTACACGCACAAGGGCTTTTGACAATTGGTCCATGACGTGTGGTGCCGAACGCCGAACACCAAAATCCTGGCTCGCGGAAACCAGCATTAAATTTCATAGCTACTAACCATCCACCCTTATTACTCCCATGGACACTATTGTCGACCCATTTCAAGCGCTCCGAACATACCGAGTTGGCCGAGCAAACCGGTACCACAAGACCACCGAAGGAGCACGAATCAGTCGGCCGACGCTACCGCCATGGTCATGAGCATCGGCCAGCTTGTTCGAAAAAAAAGGCAAAATTAGAGATTGATGACATAGTCGCTCATAGACCTGAAGTAGATACGAATTAGATATATTTTGACGCGCAGCTATAGTCACATTGTCATTGCTGCATATCTCACTATTTCGCACCAAACCAATCAGTAGCAATTAACTATCAACATTCACACATCATGCTGTTAGCACTGCTCCTTTCCAGCGGTATTGCACTATTTTGGTTCGTCGAGCAAGTCCGCTCAAGATGCTCCTTTCAGTCATCAAAGCATATCGGCAGTCGTCCGACGAAGTGGCCATCGTTCAACCGAGGGGTTAACACCAAAATTTCCAAACACAGCGAGCAATCTCTGGGAATTACAGCCAGCGAAGCTGATCACAGTACCACCCGAACAAATCCTCAAGAGACTCTTTCCAACAACAACGGATCCCTCCCGCCGCTGTGTTCACACATTTCGCCGCGCATGACCACGCCCACGCCCAAACGTATCGTTGTAGCCATGACTGGGGCAACGGGATCCGTGCTGGGAGTAGAACTACTGCGAGCACTTCGTTGCATGAATATCGAAACGCACCTAGTCATCAGCAAATGGGCCGCTGCCACATTGGCCTACGAGACAGACTATACTGTGAAAGACCTTCGCGCACTCGCGTACAAAACGTATTCCGCCCAGGATGTCGCCGCATCGATATCCAGTGGCTCGTTCCGGACACAAGGAATGATCATCGTTCCGTGCAGTATGAAAACACTGAGTGCGGTCGCCAATGGATACGGGGATGACTTGATCACGAGAGCTGCGGATGTTACTTTGAAGGAGAGGAGGAAGCTCGTTGTTGTTGCTCGCGAGACGCCATTGACGGGCATTCATCTGCACAACATGGCAACAATTACAAGCAATGGCGGCATCATATTTCCACCCGTGCCCGCATTCTACACAAAACCTACATCAGTGGACGATATCATAAAGCAAAGCGTGGGCAGGATGCTAGACATGTTTGACGTGGATTCTGGTGACTTTGAGCGATGGTCAGGATTCTGAACCATAACATCTATGTACTGGTAGAACAAGGAACTATGATAGCGGCAAAGAATAATGATAATCGTGTTGATTATGTTGAATGAGTACTTGAGGTATAGTGGGATAGGAAGAATCTGAGTGATTGATATGGTCATGTATCAGAGTATTATACACATACACTACTTAGTACCGCTGAGATACTGTTCAAAGAGGGTTGCAAAGACTTCCGGTCTTTGATAATGTCCAGCGAAATCAAAAATATGTTTGAATGCCCTGACGGCGCCAGCATCGACTTCGGCATACAGTATTTCCTCATTAGATCCATTCCGGGCTCGCGCGACTTCTACGCCACCCGGTCCAAAGATACTAGCTCTCCTTCTCTGTCGCTCTTCTCGCATGAATGTCCGGATTTTCTCATCAGTACCATATAATTCGATCTCAGCATCATCGACCACGGAAGCTGCGTTGATAACATACGTCCCTACCGCGTTCGCAACCGCCTTACCTGCGACCTGGATCAAATCATTTACGTCCATACCGTAAGTGAGGAACTGGGGCCACGATGCTACATGTACAACAGGATAACCCAGTCCTACGGAGTACTGTGAGAGCGGATTCCCATTTTCCGCGCAGACAAGACCGCTCAACCCGCCAAAGTCCGCTTGTACCGACGCTTTACTGCCAGTTGTACCAGATGCATGTATTAACCGTTCTCCGACTGTAGGCACAAGCTTTTGATGTTTATGTAGAAGCGTTCCATCCGAGCCGATAAAGACTTGAGTATTGTATAAAGTTCCGGTGGTGTTGGGGGGGCGTTCATTGACACCAATCACAGCAGTGACATTGGCCTCTCTGCAAGCTTCTTGCAGGCGATCAATCTCGGGTCCCGGGACTTCAACCGCTTGATCGAAAAGCTGGAGGTAAAGTGACGTTGTGAGCGGATCGCCATCGGACAGCAAAGCATGCCAGCCCGGATATCCTGGAATGAAGCCTTCCGGGAAACCGATGACATCTGCACCTTGCGTGCCGGCTAGACGTATCAAATCCGCGACTTTTTGGGTCGTGGCAGTTCTGTTCAGAAAGATAGGTGCTGCCTGGACGGCAGCAAGCTTGAGGGCTTTGCCAAGTGTGATATTCTGCGACATGGTTTGGGATAGTTGTAAATAGAATTAGGGATTTGTGAAGAGTGAATGATATGACTGGATTCTCGTGATGTAGGAGACAGCTTTGCTTAAATGCTCATTCGTTGAATACTATCAGTGGTTTGAAATCTTAACAGAAACGATAGATATATGCCGGGCCTCATGGTTGAATTCGGCCCTATGCAATCGTCAAATGCTGATCTAAAGCCTGTCTAGAGGATTTCCTCAGTTCCGCGTCGTCATCTACACTGGTCGTTCATAGCCGATCGTGGGGGGATATCATCAGATTAAAGGCCTCGACCGAGTATCAGTCTGAAGTACCGACGTTTTTACCTCCACGTTAAGGATCTTTCTTGTGGATCGTGACCTCGAATGGCTGAACACTCGGCCCTATATTGAGCATTAGCTGGGTTTGTGGTGAATCAAGACGGAGTTCCGCAACACACACCTACTGTTCGGTACTTCTCTCGTCGAGGATGTAACCGGCTCTTCCATTGTCAAGGGATCTGGCCAGTCTTTTTCTTACCAAGAAAGTGCGCGACTCTTCTCTCGTCGAAGAAGTGGCCGCGCTTGAGCAGACGCTCTGCCAAGGTGATGCCGATGCGGCAAGTGATCTGCGACAGAAGTGCCTAGCTCGGAAAGTTGTTTACCCAGGAAATGCCGATTCGGCATATTCACATGCAAGATGTAGATAAACTGACCTCAAGTTGCGCTGATGTCAAGCAGTAAAGCTTTCTACGCGATAAATCTTGTCAACAGTTTAGCGTGTCGCGGGGTCTCGGCCCTTATGATGGGAATGTTATTGTGTAATTACTATAATCAAGCCGCGTCATGTTATTCTCTACTGAACCTCACAATTCCGCGATTCATCATACCAAAGGGCATCCCAGGATGTATGTAAATTCATGGGCAAATCTCTTGGTACCGAAAGGCGTTCTAAAGTAACTCACCACGTTCAGCAATCTATTACGCCGGATTTTCAAGAACTCTGTTACACTGTGCCCTTGATATTGCCCTCTCACTGTCCTCTACCCTATACCTTGAACACCCAAACGTTCTTGAAACCCCTCAATAAATACTGTCCTTCCAAAAATATCTCTAGTCGCTTAAAGTTAGCAATGATTAACGCTAGAGGGTGCATGAGTTTTCTCCGGAATCAGAAATCGGAAGAAGCATCAATAATGATTAGACTGGGAATGCCGACATGTTCAGGTTTCCAAGGACGAATTTCTTTTGTACAACGAGTCCGAGTCCCCACGGCCGAACTTCTGACCTACGTCGTGCCATCTATCTATTAAACACATCCCTACGTACCACTCTTCGGCGGCAGATACTCCACGCCCTCGACCGTCGTCACCAGCGTGCCATTCGCCTCCAAGAAATTCCTCATCACATTGACCTCCGCATGCCACCCACCCGGGCCGCTCTTCTTCGTCGCCACGTATCCGTCCGGGCCCGTCTGGACAAGATCACTATACCAGTGCGTGCGGCTCACAAGCGGACTCAGCGTCTCCCTCGTGACATTCTCCCACCCATTAGTGAACTTCAGCCCATCGGTGGAGTAGTTATGGTAAACCGCCACGACCTGGTCCACGGATGTTGAGTTACCGCCAGCGATCAAACTGATATCCACAGACCCAGCAGCCGTGCCCTTTAGGACGTACTTCCCAGCGGGCAGTTCCTCGCGCGCGCGTATCGCGCCGCCAGGAACATACGGCGTACCCCACGGCACCACGTCCGACGCCTCGTCGACGCGTGCGCGCTTCAGCGGCTTTCTGCTCGACAGCCGGGCGAGCATGAGGCGGTAAGTGCGGCCGCCTGGTGCTTTAGAAGGGTAGCAAGGGAGCGGGTTCGCGCCGCCGCAGGACGGCGCGATGGTTTGGGCTTGCCAGTAGGCGATGGCGGTGCCGTCGGGGCTCCAGCGGGGGTCGGCCATGGCGTTCCATTCGGGGTCGTTGACGGCGTAGCTGCCGGGTATGCCGTTGGCGTTACCGTTAATCTTCTGGCCGTGGTAGGTGCCGCGGTCGCCGTGTTTGTCGAGGAGCCAGGGTTGGAAGAAGCGGCGGGGGCCGTTGTTGCGGACGCCGGTGGTGACGGGGGAGGTCACGATGTCGGTTATAGGGGGGATGTCGCGCAGACCCGCGAGGAACATGTGGCGGGTGGTTGCGCGGGTGTCGAGGATTACGAGCCATTCGTCGTCTGGGGAGACGTCGATGGGGTCGACGTACTCTGGGTGGTTTGTCAGGCGGTCGATGGTGCCGGTTTGTAGGTCAACGGAGAAGACGTCTGTGTTGCCTGATTCCCGAGGACTGCCAACGTACACGGCTTTCTTGCCTCTGCCGCTGAAGCCTCGTAGCTCGCCGACGGTGATGGCGGCAGGGTTCAAAGATAGCTCGTTCCCTTTGATTGATATAGGCGGAGTGCTGTCCGGGTTGAAGAGCACAGTGACATTGTGGACGTCGTAGCGGGGCGCAAGGGGCAGGCCGGAGGAGGGATTCTTGTTGAAGACCAGCCTGCCGAAGTAGGCGAACTGGCCTAGCTTTCCACCTGTGTTGGTGAACGAACTGAAGCCAATGTGCTTGCTATCCGGGTGGATGCGGAGTTCCCGCATAGCACCGCCTGCTGTGGACGAGCCCGGTGCCGTGGTCTCCCATCGAATGGGGTAGATGAAGGTGTTTTGTGGATTACAGCCGTCGCTGGCGAGGAGATGTTCTCCACAGTCGATCACGTTGTCGCCGACTAGAATTCGTTTTCCATCATCGAATGCTTGGGGATAATCCAGCATGGTGGACATGCCGACTCGATGTTCGCTGGGAATCCCACAGGTGACGCACTTCCAGGAGTCGCCGTTCGAGAATTTGCTGCCGTCGGTCTTGATCAAGATGACCTGTTCCCCGTTGTAAATGCTGGATGGATTCGGCGCGGCAGGAGCTCCAGTGAACGTCACCATGCTGATGACGTGTTTGTTGTCCGGCAGGAAGTCTCCAGAAGCCATGATGCCAACAGTCTCGGGACTCGATCCGCCACCCACTTGGGCGATACACCCGGTGCCGCGAGGATTGATTCTGGCATTGCATGCTCCTGGGGAACTGTCCGCTACTATGGGTGGGAGAGGGAGCTCAATAACCTCGATGGGTTCAGGCTTAGGAGGCGGCGGAATGAAGCCACTGCATGTTGAGAGAGTTGCAGCGGCAAGTGCCCATGTTTTCAACTGAGGCATAGCAGATCTGATGACGAATGGTTCGCAGTACTGGCAGAAGGAGGATGGATGTTGCGAAACCTTGCGTGCGGATACATATTCCAAGGATTCTTTCTAGCTCTTATACATGTCCCATGTACATCGTGTGATGCTCTTGCCTATCATAAGAGCTTCAATCTGCTGTGACCCATTCGGCGTGTTGTCCCCGTGGCGCAAACCTAGACCTTCGGTCTGCAAGGGGCAGTGTGAACGGGTTGGACACATCTGTACATTCTATCAGTAATTTTCTGTCAATTGTCCATGTAAAGATGCACAAGAAGTGTCCAACCTGGTCATGGCCGCTCCATGTGTATTAGAAGTAAAAGTATGCACGTTCGGAAATGCTGTCGGTTTACACTAGAGAATGCGGGGACCCCACACCCGCCATGTCGGAATACGACGCACAGTCCGCTTCTTGCTTCGAAATGTAAGCTCAGCTCCGCACTGTGCCCTGCTTTGTACTGGGTGTTAAATTTAACGTCCAACTGCTCGGTAGTGTGGTAGGTGTTTTTCAAAAACAAGCACGAGTCAAGCATCTATAACAGCAGTAAGCGGCCATTACTCCGCAAAGAGCTATGTAAATCTTACGCCACATAGAGTTAGGCATCACACGCCATGAATCAAGCCATTGCTTAGCCGGGTAGAGTTATACGCTATACGCGTACTCGTATCTCGTCGCATGTGTAACTCCGCTACAACCGGATGTCAAAGGCCACAAATCGATCTAGTTGAGAGGTTTAGTGCTGGGGCATGAGCCAGACCTCGCACTAAATGCCCTGTTCGAATGTGATAGTTCCCCAATGAATACGGGATCAAGCGAGGCACACATTTTCATGCCCACGAACAGGACAGGACAGGATCATAAGGAAATAGGGAAGTAGGTTCGGGTTTGCTTGCGAGTTCTCCGACATCCATTTCACGGGATAGATCATTAGCGGATGGAGACAATGCGGATAATCACGCGACTGTAATTAATTTTATTAGATGCACGGTGAAGATTTTGGCTTAGAGTTTCGTTCATGGTGTATATTGCACAATTGGGGGGCACTCCAATCATCACTCACAGCGATAGTTCTTCAACAAGATAATTTCAAATCCGGGAATTTAATCTGGCTACATTTAGACATAGATATAAGCAACATATGTATCCCATCTCACGTGCCCATACTCGACTGTCCAGATGATGAGCAACTCCATCTCACAGGGCCCACTCCCAAGCTACCAGTTTCCGAAACCAACGTGTGCAGTTCATAATCCAGATATTGTCACATATCCTTTTGACGGGACACGATATGGCGCTCATGCAACCTCCTTAGTCACAGGCTTGAAACCCATCTTGGTATCAGTGTCTACAGTTTCTTCATCATCGTCTTCGTGGGCTTTTGGCTTTTCTTCAAACACTACGGGTACCGTATGTTAGCACCAACAATGATTGAGAGGATACACACGCGATGACTTACAGTAAGCCAACTCTTCAAGAGTAGGGCCTTTAGTTTCCGGATACAGGAAGTAGACGGTAGCGAGCTCGACAAGAAGCCAGACCTGGAAACAATCAATTGAAGCACAAGCCAATCATTCAAAACAACACTTACACAGTAGAACAGATAAAACTTCCAGGCCAATGCATCAAGGCCGATGGGGTTGACAAACGCATTGAAAGCAGTACTGCCACGGACAAAGAATTGCAGAATCGCGATTCCCTTTGCGCGGTGCACGAAGGGGAAAATCTCCGTGATGTAAACGAAGAGCAGCGGTTGCATTATGTTATACGACGCGTTGTAGATGAAGATCATGGCTACCACCGCCACGGCTGCCGAGTGGCCACCCGTCATCGCGAAGTGCGCGCTGAGGCCGGTGATTGTAGCAAACACTACAGTCATGCAGCAGAATGAGGTAAGATACTGAACCCGTCTGCGGAGCACGCGTGTCACGAATGCGAAGGCTCCTGCGGTAATCATGCTCCAGCACTGCGGGAGAATCAGTCAGCGAGCGAGCAATCTTTGGAAAGCACAAGCACCTACCGAGAGGGAAAGATTGACAATGTTCTGTGTACGTTTGTCTTTGACTCCTACTGTGCTCAAGACTCGAGCAAGGTAGTAGGAAACAAGGCCGTTGCCAGACCATTGGGAGAAGACACCCATGCACATGGCAATGAGCAATCGCTTCCTGTTGCCGGTGGTCTGTAAGAGCTCGACCCAGCGCCTCTTGGAGTTGCTCAACTCCTGCCTCAGTTGTGCATCGATTTCCTCGAACTCGGCACGAACGAAGGCAGAATCGCGATCTCCCTCTCCGTGGTACTTTACCAGCACCTCGAAGGCCTCTTCATTGCGTTCCTTGAAAAGTAGCCATCTCGGCGACTCGGGTATGAACCAGACAAAGACTAGTTGGAGCACTGAAGGGGCGCATTGCAGCGCCGATGGGATTCGCCAAGCCCAGTTATTGGGTATCTTGTACGTGCCCAGTGTGACGCCAGCTGCCAGTATTGAACCAACAAACCAAGACACATTGAAGAGCCCCGAGATGACGGAACGTTCGCGAGGGTGTGAGAGTTCTGCTAAGAGTTGAGACGCGCCAGAGACAGCAAAGGGGATACCGGTTCCGAGAAGCAAGCGTGAGGCCAAAAACATTCCAACTGAATGCCGCAATGTCAGTTCATCCACTCTATCGGCATCGCACTTGATGCAACTCCAATAAGGAGAGTTGCTTACTATTGATCGAGCAGGTTTGCAGAATTGTACCAATGACAAGGATAATAGAACCAAGAGTGATGCTGTGCTTGCGTCCAATCCTATCAATCACATAAGGGACGAATGGTAAAACAATTAGACCCCCAAGATTGTAAGAAGCGCTGGTGACTCCTAGCAAAGCGCCTTTAGGATGTCCGAAATCTAAGAGTGAATGGTCAGTAGGTGAAATCGACATAGTATGTGGATAAAGTCTCACGATCTTGCCAGGGTTGAACAGCTTGGAGTCCATTAAGAACAGATCCATCGTATCCAGTGGTCATTTCGACTCCCATTGCAGCTGGAATGAGGCAAAAATACAGAAATCGAAGATTGGGTTTCTGGTACCATGGCGTTGTGTCCAAGGCCATGAGTCGGTTGACTTCCGACTGCTCGGCCGCGGCCGCTACATCAGCTTGCTTCGGCATAGTGAGAGCCTTTCGTAGACTGGATGGAAAGGATTATCAGAGACAATTAGTTTTGCAAGACTGGTGGAAGTGCTCTCCTCGAAGCAACTTCAGGCGGTAACTTTTGACATCTTATATATGATGCAGATACTAAGTAGTCATGAACCGTTTAGCGTAGATGCATCGAAAGCGTGTTGAAAAGCTTGGGGTGTTCGGATAGTTGAATTCGGCTTGTGCATTGGTTCGAGTCTAGATCTTCCAATCTGGGGAGGGCGGCACACACAGGGTAGTCATGAGTAGGTTAGGCATGTCTGCGCATTTTTATACAGAATACACAGGCGTATCTAACCTGTGTATAAAACTTCAATTTTATATACTTTTAAAGTAAAATAGTTTATTATATTTCTTACTAATCTGCATACTTTTGAAGGAGTTAATCTTGTAAATGGCTGTTTAAAAAAGTCTTCTTCATACCTAGCTTTTATTCTTGTCTCTACGGACATTTAGCGCTTGCGCTCGTAGGTCGGGACCCCAGGCCAAACCCGCGCACCTGGGGTTGCTAGTTCACGTCGGAAAACATGGCGGGATTGAGTGGATCTCCCATTACCATACATGCTTCGATGGTCGGTGCGGGATCACCCCAGAAAGCTTGCTCAAAGTATTCTTTCAAGGTTACTCTGGAGAACCACGCGATAGACTTATTCTACTTCAATAGAGTTTGGAACCTTGTGTTTCGGCCGCAACTGTCGGCTTTGGTCGGGGCTGTGGCTTGGGAAGCCTCATCTCCAGGCGTACTACTGGCACGCGATTGCTACTTGTTGACAGCTGCTTCTCCGGTGCCTTTACCCAATGCCTTTGTGGATAACCTATGATGCTTTTCTAGCACCGATGTGGGCTCTCGGGCGCTTTTTGCGCTTTCGAGTGTCGGTGGTGTGAATATCTCGGTCTTGTTCTGGTCACCCGCTTTCTTCTCCCTCATCCTCTTGATTACGAGCTTTCTAGAGTATGCTGTACTGGGTGGCTTGTATATCACCACAGCAAGTACGCGGTGGGTATAGAGCCAATAGAACAGTGTGCCATGCTCCATACTCCAGCAAACCCTTACCTAGACAGCTCCCCTGGCTATGTAAAAGTGACACGCATTTAGAGCCTTTCCTTGAAGGGCGCGGAAACCCCTGTTTACCTAGACGTTGTGGATGTCTCCTGGCTCTGCCGCCTTCGTTGTTATCGTCGTTTGCCCTCATTCAATAATCATTTCCAACGTCGAAATCCGGTTGGAAACGCTTGACTAGAGTGGCACCAGATGTTAGAACACTTTATGGAAGAAGAAACCAGCCTCAGAAACCTTTGATCTCCAATCCGTCTATTGTTCTTATTATTGGACAGGCAGATTTGGTGCATGTATCTGCTATACATAAAATGCGAGCGAGAACAGCTTCGAAGATGAACGGTTCCCGTGCAAATTGACTCCAACAGGTCCACACTTCTACCCCTGTCCGTTTGATCGTGCATTCAATAATGTCTTTTGATGTATTCCTCCAAATACTTTCGGTCCTGAAGGCTTGTTAGCAAAGCTGTCATGACCTTAGCCAGCATTTCGATCCTGATTAAGGCATTTCTGCCTGATCGGGCACTCCAGATATATTTGTCGAATTCGAAAGTACACAATTATTCTTTGCATCAAGGAAATGCAACAGGTCGCAAGTGCTCGTAGGGTATGATTGTCCGCTTTATCTTTAGTTCTAAATCAATTGACAGCAAATGACAGCATATATGTCTTTTAACAGGATAAGAGTACGACAAAGCTAATGATTCTGTCACCACAACCAGCATCCTAAAGAAAAGAGCAGCGTACTTTTCGGATTACCAAATATAGCTATGTGGTCACGGGCGTCATGCATCAATTCTCAAGGCCCATGGGCATGCGCTTGTATGCTCGCCCCGTTTACGTACTAGCGAAGTCCTATACCTAAATTTTAGCTACCCTCGGTAGCATCTATCCCCGCACGACAACAATGCACCCCATCTCAGCTGATGTCCATCTTCTTCAGAGGTTTCCTATCAGATTCTGCGCGCCAGTCTTTTGAGAAAAGATGAGGCCCCTGTCAGCTTGTATAGCATGTCGGTGAGTAGTTGTTCTATGCTGGGACGGACCTAACTTACATTCACAATTGAGCGATCGCCGGAAGAAATGCGACCGCTCCAGACCAGGTCTCAGTTGCAACTTCTGCCTCAAGAGAGGTCTCAAGTGCAGTGGATCTTTCGACAGCCCGGTCGCAGACTTGCATGTACCAACCAAAGAGTACGACGCTCTAGACAGCCGAGCGAAGCATGACCGCACCCGCCAAGTATCCTCCCTCGTCATCCCCGATGCAGTGCTTCGCGAGGAACTCGTTGAGCTCTATTTTCGTTATGTGCACATTGCATTCCATAACCTCTTCCACAAACAGACATTTCTTGAACGTGTAAGGGATAATTCAATTCCTAAAATATTGTTCTTTGGCGTCGTAAGCCTGTCTGCCCGGTTCTCAACGCACCCTATTTTCGCGTCTGTAGACCCATGGGATCGTGGCCGACCCTATCGAGAAGAGACCAAAAGACTGCTGGACTTGGAAAACACGTCTTTAGTGAGTATACAAGCCTGTATGCTGCTTGTGGCGAATGCTTCTGTAGAGGGGGACCCGAACACAGAATCTGTTTACCACACCATTGCCGCTCGGATGGCAAGCTTGCTGGACCTTCCAACCATGCCCACGAAATCGCTTTTAGAGCAGGAGATCAATAGAAGAGGTGAGATGAGTTTCCTCGTTCTAGTAATACAAACTAATTTGACTCCTTTCAGTGTGGTGGTCTATCATTGCGTCTGAGACATGGAGTTCCGCAATTCATTCACTTCCACGGTTATTGAAACCGCGCGACACCGTACCTCTACCCATGGCAGAGCACCAATTCTGTTCTCTAGACCCTGATGTTCCCATTCCACCTCTGGATTCACCTGCGTACGAAACAGTTGCTGGCTCGGGAGACAGACACTCTTTGCTCGCTCAGATGATACGCCTGAATCTACTGCTCTACGATATCATTCTACTCAATGCTCGCGTCGTTGCTGAGCAAGCCCAAGGCGCGGTCTCCCAGGGTTTGGATTCTAATTTAGTCCAGGATCTGCACAATTGGGTCAACAATCTACCACCATTATTGCAGTATTCTCAAGAAAACGTGGCTCATTGGGTCCAGTCAGGGCTGGGGTCCACGTTTCTCATCATGCACATCAACTACAATCATGCTGGGCAACTATTGTTCTACCAGCACCTTCATTCGGCCCAACAAGAGCAAGACGCCCTCGGGGCGTACAAAGCTCAAACCCTGGCACAGAAATGCAAGCAACATGCAACGGATCTGTGTGAGTTGATCTACCAAGCGAAACAACGACCAGAGACCGTAGTTCTCTATCCATTGGCTGGTCACATCCTCTCCCTAGCATCTACCATCCACATTCACACTCTGTTATTCGCAGTCGACGAAAGCGAAATCAGTTTAGCTAAGTTACGATTGGAACGAAACTTTGAAATAATATCGTCAATGAACAGGTACTGGCCCATGACTCACAAGACTGTCAAGCGGCTGCAGCACTTTCACAATGCCTGCTTGCGAAGCCAGGACGATTCATTCCGGCTGGATACATGGATGCTTCAATTTCTCCTGGGATTCACAAAGGACATGGAGGATAGGAATTCAGCGTGGTCTCAGGATCATTGCTCTAGAGAATTGGACCATCTAAGGAATCTACTGGAAATCTAATCGCGAACCCCTTTTTAGTCATTGGAGTCTGTCAATGATTGGACCGAAATTAATTTCCATTTCTTCGCAGTTTGAAGGTGTCTCGCAGATAGATTGCCGATCTCTTCGGAGTTCGTTTCAGCGTACCGCCCTCGAAGTCAACATGGACGACACCGAATTTCGGACCGTATCCAGCCGACCACTCTAAGAGACCTAATTAGCGACTGCGTTGGGATTGATCCTCAGGCTGTTAAACCAAGGAACTAAGGGGCAATCACTTACCAAAATTGTCCATGAGAGTCCAAACATAATAACCTGTGACTTGTACGCCATCTTCATATATGCTTCGGGAGATGGCATCAATATACAGCCCCAGGTATCTTTGGCGGAACGTATCGTCCACAGCGGCCTCCACACTATCCTCAGGACAAGGACATCCATTCTCCGTAACGATGATAGGCAGATGATAACGATTCCAGACCCAACGCAAGAGCTTCCTAAACCCTTCCGGCGCCACTCGCAACCACGGCATCTGAGACACAGGCCCGATTTCCGTACCGTCCGCATTCACCGCGCCTTCCTCGATATTCCCAGTCCAGTCGTCGTCAGCAGGCGGGCTAGTTAGAGCGCGCGCGTACTTCGTAGAGTAATGATTCATACCGTAAAATCCGTTCGAACGTGCTGTGTTGCGGAGTAGGGCTTTCTCCTCGTCGTTGAACGCTGGCAACCTGTCACCGAGGTAATCCCTCATCGATTGGGGATAATCAGTGCCCAGGAAGATGGGGTCGCCAAACCAGGCGATGAAGAATTCGAGCCTCGTGATGGCGGCCTGTTTATCCGCCTCGCTCTGTGAGTAGGGCTCGTAGAAGTGGCCGTTCAGGACGATAGAGACGGTACCATGCTGCTTCGACTTGAATTCTTTCGTGTAGAGCTGGACGACGGATGCGTGGGATATGATGAGGGTGTGGCCAACACGCCACGGGGCATGCTTGGTGTCGAAGCCGTCCTGGGCGCAGTGTCCGGGTGCCAATGTGCCGTTCAGATGGCCAAAGATAGATATAATATAAGGCTCGTTGAAGGTGGTCCATTGTTTGACTCTGTCGCCGAAGCGCTCGAAGCAAAGGCGTGCATAACGTAGGAAATCGGCGCAAAACTCGGCGGTGTCGAGGAAACCATTGTATCTGTCATATAATGCCTGGGGAGCATCCCAGTGGTATAGCGTAACTGAAGGCTCAATCTTGCGGATCAGTAATTGATCGATCAGATTATTGTAGAAAGCGATGCCTTCTTCATTGATTGGATCATCACGGCCGCCGAGGGGAATGATCCGCGACCACGACAGAGAGAAGCGATAGACATCAACGTTAAAGGAGCTCATTAGATCGATGTCTTCCGTCACACGGTTGTAGTGGTCGCAGGCAACATCGCCAGTCTGATTACTGGTCCGAGAGGGAGTCCGGTGTGTGTACTCATCCCAAATGGATGGTCCTTTGCCATGAGCTTTCGCACCTCCTTCGATCTGGTAAGCGGCTGTAGCTGTTCCCCATTTGAAGGAACTTGGTAGCGGAAGCTCCTCAGCAGGTAGGTCGTGGCCGCTCAATGGGTCGTATGTCGCACTCCCATTAGGGGCCTGGAACATGGATTCTTCAGCCATTCTGGTCACGAATCTCGAACAAGTTGAAAACAAAGAGTGAGGAAAAGAACAACGTCTTGTTTTCAACCTTCTGAAAACAAAATCTAGTCTTTAAGAACTACTGTAATCTCTGCTGTCTAATTGTAATCTAGTCCAGGCGACATGTTGTAGTCGCGAGAATAGCGCCATTGCATGGTCATGTCCTTTTTCCGACTTGTTTCCCGCCCTCCAACCTCGGAGCTAAATACGTATACGACGCAGGCAGCTGGCGCAAAAACGGTATGAAGACAGCTTAGCTATGTACTGTCCATAGTACGCATAAGTAACCGCGTCACCTTACTATTTGTAGTAAGTCACAATGTTTGCTGTAGCTTTTAGGGCCTGGTGCAATAGTCGCCTGTGTGCCCAATTACTGATCCGACTGTCTGTCCACCGTAAAGGTATACGGAGCACCAAGCCCAGGATGCAGCCAAACCTAACTTCCTGAGTTTCTCCAATATTGGGTACATCTATCAGAAATGCTATGCTTTCTATAAGCTTAGGTGCCTATCTTACATTTATGTACTTGAATTTTTATTTAAATTTTATCTTTAAAGTAATATTTATTTTAAGCAGAATTACTTTTTATTACCATACTCTTTGCATATTCACATCTTACAACACCAATACTTGAATTATTAACCCTTTCCAAGCCGTACAAGACCCTCATGAGTTTCAAACTATGTTCAAAGCGCCTTAGAAACATCACCAACCCTACAAAATATGTGTCCTCCGACCCATTTCTGCCTGGTAGAGTACGACCATGGCACTCAAGATTCAGCGAAGAACTGTGATATTGCCACTATTGCAAAACACGACAGATCTGTGAAGTGTATGGAAGAGGCGCAGAGATGTCCAGTCGCCGGCCGGACTGAGCAGAGAATGCACGACAGCAAGACACCTCAAGCAAACAGACGCGGCATTACCTGGAGCTGGAGCATAAAGCCGCCATATGACACTCTGATGGGATGGATTTAAGGCTTATGTCCAGCTCATCATACATTTCTTGAGACTCTTGGAGCGGACGATCTGCCACTGTCGTTGAAGATATCCTAAATGCAATATAAGGGCATGTTGATTTAAGTACCTTATTACTTGATATTTAGAAAAACAAATAACTAAACGTGAAAGACCTTAAAATATACAAACAAAAGATATCAGGAATACTTCCGGTTTTCCCACATGATAATAATATTGTCTTCCTCCTCCTCCTCCATGTGTGCTCTACCTAGGTATTTTCTTTGTAATGGTGCTCTTGTGTGTAAACACCTTTCAAAAGTTGTGTGCGTTATGACTGCGTTTCTTCCTGTTCATCCCCATCAAGATGTGCGTATATAGAGATAGGTGTGCGAACGAGTGAATGAGATAGAAAAGAAAAGAAGAGTGTGAGAGAAGGATGTCATAGGCGTAACAGAGCCGAGCCGCACGGGGAGGGAAGGTTGTAGGAATCTAGGTATTTTGAGATGCCTTTTCATTGTTATTCTATGCTTTCTCTTGATGGATGGCTATGTAGAGCATGAGATTCTAGCACGAGTGTAGGTATATATCCTTCGACATGTCTGCTCTCTTCTGGCTATGTTCTGCTAACTTAAGCAGTCTCCATGAAGCTTGGTGCTGCCGTACTGTGGCAGGAGTCTTACCAAGGTCTAAAGAACCGAAGACGACCCATTCGAAGCATCCAGTCATCCCTATGACAAACCCCATCATGGTATATCCCCCCTCCCTGGTTCTCAAGAATCAACCCCCCTATCCTTCTCCATCTCCCCGGCCAACCACTCCGCCTCAACCCTCATCTCCTCCTCACTCCTCGCCCTCCTACTCTTATCATCCACCTTCGGAAACCTGCCCCCCCTCTCCTCGAACTGCCTCCCCAGATCCCCCTCCTCCCCCTGCAGCAAATCATACACCGCGTCCGTGCCCCCCATCTCCTTCAAGTCGTCCCGCCGCCGCGGGATGACGTGCGCGTGCACATGCGGGACGCTCTGGCCCGCGTCCGCGCCGTCCTGCACCGCGATGTTGAGCGCCGACGCGGAGAACACGCGCTCGATGGTGCGGGACACGCGCTGCACGGTTTGGAAGAGGTCGGATACCTCCGCGGGGGTGAGGTCGGAGAGGCGGGGGACGGGGCGTAGGGGCGAGACGAGGACGTGGCCTGGGAGGAGGGGTTTGAGGTTCACGAGGGCGTAGGAGAGCGGAGTCGTGTGGAAGACCTGATGGGGGTGGGCGGTGTCAGTACGTGTTATGTTATTGTGTTATTATGTTATTGTGTGAGGTTGTTTGTTTATGGAGGTGAAGAGAGGTCGCACCTGATTGGTAACTATGAAAGTCCCGAATTTGATGACATCTTTGGTTAGCGGTGGCATAGCATTTGCTTTTTCCCGGGAGGGGGTAGGCTTGTCAGACTCAAGCTTTGTTCGAGAGATGTGGATGTGCTTGGTTGGGCTTGATGTTCGTGGTGGAGGTGGTGGTGAGAGCGTGATAGAGTGATACCGTGATGGCTTGCCGCCACTCTCTACTGTGTGCGGTGTGCACTGCACGCCTCCTACGTACGGGATTACGAAGCGCGAGTCGAGATGCTTACAGATACAGGGAGATGATGCAGGATCGGTTCGGAGGGGGATGGCGTACGGCACGGGAGGGAAGGGAAGGGAAAGGTACAAGTGTGAGGATGTACCTGAGGTTCAATTGGGTGGAGTGAATGTTGTCGTAATAGTGAATTGATAATGGGAAGTTCGGCGCTGATGGACCGGCGATCCGACTCGTCCGGCGCCGAACAAACTCCCCTTTCACACATCACACTACTACGAGTAACTACAACTTGATAGGAATAGGTTGCGAGTAGCAATTGTAGTCTTACCTACTCCTCAACTTACCTACTTGTATTTCGACCAAAGGAAGAGTCATTATTGGGCTACCCGCGCGCGCCGCCAGCTATATCCATGCCAAGAGATGCGGCTCGCCATACCTCGCCTGCACTTGATACAAGTACACCTATTAGGTACAAGGAGATGTAGAGTAACTATATATAAATATAGTATTACTAACCTTAATATATTTTTTAAAAAAAAAAATTTAAGTAATAATATATTTTATTAAGAATTATTTATATTAAAATAATAATGTAACGGGGTCGTCTGAGTGTAGACTTAGACACGTGACCTCGAAGGGGTTCTGTTGAGTAATGAGGGCCGTAGGCGTGGTATCGGTATACTGGTAGGGTTGAACGTCAATCAATCACTATTGTGTAAATGTGTTGCCAAAGATATCACAAGTAATCTTCCGTTAGGAAACTGGATGCAGAGAACTGTATCGTGGATTGACAATGAGGACCTATCTATGGGATATATTCTGCTTATATACATGAGTACGCTTGGCGGATTCGTTGGGGGTTCGTGGATTCGTGATGGACGAATCCACGAATCCACGAATCCGTCACGTGACCTCTGATCACGTGTCCATATTGTGGTCAGCCTCGTCTGCATAGAGCCTGTCCGCGTACTCCTGTTCCCAGAGGTCCTCCTCGTAGGATTCCTCGTCGCCCTCCGGCCACTCAGAATCGTCACTGTTCGGTTCATCCGTAACAAATAAAATTAAATAAAAAATTAAATAAAATACTAACGTGTTTCATAAGCGAGCTGGCACCCCAAGCGAGCTGGCACCTTTTCATGAGCGCCCCACCAGCGCGTCGATTGCGCGTAATGTCTCAACA